AAATGAAGAAAGATCTGCAAAAAAGAGAGAGAAACTTATCAAATAGTGTCGGGCCAAACAACCGTGTTATAGAGAGAGAATGTCAAATTCTTAGTTCACCACTTTGTCAAAAAAAATGACAAGAGTAGATCCATCCCCCTCAGGACGAAGACCTGATTTGACAGCGAAGGGGAAAAAATGAGTTGGTTGCTCTCTTTTCAAAAAAGAGTGGAGTGGAAAACAGAGGCGAGGTCAAGCAGCGCTGCACGTCAGCATGCACCGTTCCAAGCCAACAGATGTTTTCTAAATCAACGGTTTCCACACCGGATCTCACACTGCCACAACCAACTCGTCTAGACACTTGCGCAGGAAACTGCCAGTGAGATACGCCAATAAAGACCGTAAAACACAGTACAAGAGATAATTCGTGCATTCTCTCTTGCAGGTCTAGAATAAAGAAACGTAAGCTCGTCTGGGAACGAAACGCCCAGAGAGTCGACACTAGTAAAGTAAGTATATTTTGCTCTTATATTCTTTACGGAACAATACTTACCGGAATTTTTTGTGACGAAGACGGATACTTTGGAGAAAGAAAAAAAGAAAAGAAAGCAAATACATAGAGCAAGGTATACATATAAAGGGTATATACAAAGAGGGGTATAGATATAGATATAGATAAAGCTATAGATAAAAGTATATAGAGTCGGAAATAAAGATAAATAGAGTAAAGTCTGTTGAAAAATAACACTATCACAATAAAGGAATCTTTTAATGATAAAGAAGCCGTATATACAAATGAAAAGAAAAAAAGTTCTTACCAAAATGCCCTTATGCCAAAGAGTTATGTTCAATCGGCCAAAAAAAACTATACGAGAGAGATGCTTTAAAGAAATAAAGGGATATATTATAGTATGGCTCAAGGATGAAGAGATATATAGACATATAGATGTAAAAGTTCTCCAAGAATTAGACGATATATCGATGGAAAGATAATTCAAAGGTAAAGAGATATGTAAGCATATAGATCGAGAGGTTCTCCAAGGATTAGGCGATATATCGACGGAAAGATAGTTCAAAGATAAAAGGGAGAGAGATAGAGAGATTTTGCTTGACCAAGCTTCTGCTAGTCTTTATATAGACAATTATTTGATTTTTTTTTCTTAAAAAAAAAAGAGAGGGAAAACATAGTCACTATATCGCAGTTTTTTGGAGTTATGAATGCAAATGCAGATCATCTCTTAAAATGCTATATAATACAACAGAGTAATAAGTTATCTAGTACTCTTTTGAATATTCTTGAAAATAATTATTACAAAACCTATGTAGATAGAGAGTATCAACTTATCACTCTTCAAAAAAAATATAAATGCCTCGATATTACTCTTACAAGGAATACACTAGAGTATATTGTACTGTATTCCAAAGAATAAAAGATATATTTGCAGCATTCTTACTATCAATAAGATAGCTAGGTAACATTTTATGCACAGCGACTGATACAAATAGTAATTATAAGAGCTTTTTTTTTAAAAAAAAAAGAGAGAGAAAGGAATCTACAGCATTAATAATTGATGTACACCGCTGAGATTTTAATTGCAATATACTACCTTTGCATATCAATATTCCATCATATAATTATTATTTATATGGAGAATATTACTCGTCAAAGAAGTGCTCTGTAAAAAAAAACACCCGCCTTCTCTATGAAAGCTTACACTTTATTAAAAAAACCAAGATCTTTCACAACATAATTTGTATTTTATATAAAAAAACTTTCGAGTAATAATCTTTTTCGATATTTTATGCCAATTAGTTGTGTTTTTGGTCAATGAGGTAGTGAATCTTTTATTTCATTTTTGATCGAAGGCAGATATAAGCAAAAACGTTATGCTGTATACTCTGGAAATAAGTAATATATTTTGTACCCTAATAATATATATATATATATGATTTTCTTGATCTATACTCACAATAAAAAACACTTTTGCACCAAATAAAGTCTTGTCAAAACCTCTGCCAACTTTTAAGAATAATAATACAACTTGTAATAAATGATAGCATGTGAGATATACTTTTATTAACAATTCTCTGTAAATAACATTCAAAAGTTGATTATTATAAGTCCAAAAACATCATGTAAGCAAACTTGACAGGCTATAGTGCAATCAAAATTTCAGGCTTTAGTGATATAATCCTATCTAATGTAAAAATTAGTATTAGATATTTGCATTAAATGCTTAAATAATTTAACTGCTAGTATTTATAAGTCATTTTTCTTTGATTAGATTCTCTAGATTTTTCATGTTTTGTTTTATTATCAGAGAAAAAATGCTTTTTTTTTATACAAGTGTAGTAGCAAGAGGGACACTCATTGATAAAAAACAAGTTTCATTCTCAAATTTATCAATAAGACATTATATTTATTTATTAACCGCGTACAAAGAATATCAGTTAATTGTAAAGTATGTATCCTATTATTTTTGTATACAAATGCCGATCAAAAATGAAATAAAAGATTCACTACCTCATTGACCAAAAACACAACTAATTGGCATAAAATATCGAAAAAGATTATTACTCGAAAGTTTTTTTATATAAAATACAAATTATGTTGTGAAAGATCTTGGTTTTTTTAATAAAGTGTAAGCTTTCATAGAGAAGGCGGGTGTTTTTTTTTACAGAGCACTTCTTTGACGAGTAATATTCTCCATATAAATAATAATTATATGATGGAATATTGATATGCAAAGGTAGTATATTGCAATTAAAATCTCAGCGGTGTACATCAATTATTAATGCTGTAGATTCCTTTCTCTCTCTTTTTTTTTTAAAAAAAAAGCTCTTATAATTACTATTTGTATCAGTCGCTGTGCATAAAATGTTACCTAGCTATCTTATTGATAGTAAGAATGTTGCAAATATATCTTTTATTCTTTGGAATACAGTACAATATACTCTAGTGTATTCCTTGTAAGAGTAATATCGAGGCATTTATATTTTTTTTTGAAGAGTGATAAGTTGATACTCTCTATCTACATAGGTTTTGTAATAATTATTTTCAAGAATATTCAAAAGAGTACTAGGTAACTTATTACTCTGTTGTATTATATAGCATTTTAAGAGATGATCTGCATTTGCATTCATAACTCCAAAAAACTGCGATATAGTGACCATGTTTTCCCTCTCTTTTTTTTTTAAGAAAAAAAAATCAAATAATTGTCTATATAAAGACTAGCAGAAGCTTGGTCAAGCAAAATCTCTCTATCTCTCTCTCTCTCTTTTATCTTTGAACTATCTTTCCGTCGATATATCGCCTAATCCTTGGAGAACCTCTCGATCTATATGCTTACATATCTCTTTACCTTTGAATTATCTTTCCATTGATATATCGTCTAATCCTTGGAGAACTTTTACATCTATATGTCTATATATCTCTTCATCTTTGAGCCATACTATAATATATCCCTTTATTTCTTTAAAGCATCTCTCTCATATAGTTTTTTTTTTGGCCGATTGAACATAACTCTTTGGCATAAGGGCATTTTGGTAAGAACTTTTTTCTTTTCATTTGTATATACGGCTTCTTTATCATTAAAAGATTCCTTTATTGTGATAGTGTTATTTTTCAACAGACTTTACTCTATTTATCTTTATTTCCGACTCTATATACTTTTATCTATAGCTTTATCTATATCTATATCTATATGTTATATTTTTAGAAAAGAAAGAAAAACAAAGTGCAGACGAGAAGTACGGTGAGACTTTGTTTATTGATGAAAAGAGAGATGATCTTCTATTGCTATTTGCTATGTGAGTTTATATAGACATTGCGTGTGTATTTAGGATAATGATATGAGTATATCATGTGATGTCTGTTTTCTTATATCATAGATAATATATTGTTAAGTTATTACCCACGCTCTTGTTTGAGTGATTAGTGATGTTGACTAAGGTGTGTGACCTTGTTATCGGTATATTCTTTATTTAATGATAGTGTGAGAAATAATGTATAATTGATACTGGTCGCTTATTCAATATGTCTTTGTCTTATTGTCTGTGCGCTCTATTTGAATCTACGATTATGTTGGATACAACATTACCCCCCTCCAGGTTGGAACAACCGTTTGAATTGCTTAGGGGAGTATATGTACATGTATGAGAGCAAATGTCTTTATTTGCGTATGCGTTTGCTAAAGCGTGTAGGTTCTTGTGTTGGATGTGTACGCTTGTTATGTATAATTGTAGATTTATTGGTGGGTTTTTCTGGACCTCGTCTTTGCCAATATTTGTCAATTATGCTCAGATCGTTGAAATTGCTTGTGGGCTCCCAAGTGTCTTGATCTGGTGCATAGTTTTTCCAGCGCACTCTGTAAAGATAGTCGCCTTTTTCTTGACGATGATCAATGATGGCCTGTATCTCGTAAAAGCTATCTGGAGATATAACAGTATCTTGTGAGATCAGCTTTATCTGCGAAGGTGGGATGTTTCGTGATAGAAGTGCTCCCGTTTCGTCTTGCAAAATGTAGCTGCCTCCCTTTGTTCTGCCCTTGACTGTGAATGGTCCCTCATATCTTGGGTCCGTCTTAGACTTTCTTAATATGTTCTTTATCATCACGTTGCTGTCGTTCGGGAACTCCATTATTATTTTATGGTCTTTGTCGTGTTTTCCTTTATCAGCAGCTTGTGTAGCTTTGATGCGTTCGCAGATTGCTGGGAATACGACAGTCTCCATTTGTTCAATTCTTTTTTTCATATCTGGTAGACTGTTAGGAGCGTTGTGCGTGCTCTCTGTTTTTCTGTAATCAGCAAAATCGTTTGGTTGTCTTGCAAACATTAGAGTGAATGGGCGTGTGCCATGTAGCTTAGCATGTTTGCTATTTATGGCTAGCTGTGTGCTTGGGATGTATATGTCCCAGTCTCGCTTTGCTCCCTGTGTTCTCTTGTTGATGACTTCCTTGGCTGTGTGTACCCATTTTTCAGCAACTCCATTTGCTCGCGGATGATAGGGTGTTACAAGCCGATGATCAATTCCTGCTGTATTTGTGAAAGTCTTGACGAGTTCGTTGACAAACTCGGTACCATTATCTGACTGTAAAACCTTGGGTAGGCCGAAGTCGCAAAAGATTTGAATGAGTTGTTTTGCAATTGTTAAAGATGTCTTATCTGGAATTGCGCGGAGTATGCAGAATCGGGAAAAGATGTCAACCATTACTAGCATGTAATGATTGCCGTTGTGCGAGGTGGTGTATGGGCCAGCTAAGTCTATGGCCCAGTGTTCACCTGGTTGACTGGCTGTAATAGGCTTCAGCGGATGATAGCCGTGTTTTGAGACATTGAACCGTTGGCAATTCAAGCAGCGCTTTACTGTTTCTGTTGCCTCTTGCTTGAGATTAGTCCAGTGTAGTCCATCACTATGTATAGCGTTGACAATAGCGTCTGTACCAAAGTGGCCGAGTAGATGTGCTTGGTTGAGTAGATGCTGTCTGTCTTTGATAGGTGGTGTTATCATATCCCCTGTGTTGTGCATGCGTTGGATAGCATGTGTATTTTGTGTGTTCTTTATTCGATGATTCGTAGAGATTTCTACGGTTTTACCCTCCCCCAGCGGTTTTTCCGAGGTGAAAAGGCGCGATAAAACATCTGGCAATATATTGTCAATGCCAGGGCGGTGGACTATGTCATAAGTATAGTCGCAGAGTACATCAAGCCAGTTTATCATCATAGGGTTGGCAATTTCTTGCGTGTGAAGGTACGTGAGAGCCTTGTGATCCGTGTACAACGTGAACTTGTTACCCCACAAGAACTTATGGAATTTAGTCAAAGCATAAACGATGCCCAAAAGTTCACGTTTGGTGACAGGATAGTTGCGTTCAGATTTGGAAAGTGACCGTGCCATAAAACCAATGTAGCGATATTGGTTGTCTATGATCTGATAGAGCACGGCGCCAATACCTGTGTTGGAGGCGTCTGTGGCAACCAGAAATGGTTGGGTTGTGTCAGGGTGGCTTAGGACTGGTGCGTGTGTAAGTGCAATTTTGAGCTTGGAAAAAGCTTGCGTTTGTTCTTCTGTCCATAACCCGTGTAGTGAGTCAGCATTGCGTAGTTTGTCCAGAGGAGAAGACAGTTGCGACAAGTTGGGAATGTGCTCACGAAAATAGTTGACGAGACCCATGAAGCGTTGAATGTCTTTGCCAGACTTGGGTTGTGGCCACATGGTAGCATTGTGAACCTTGCGAGCATCAAGATCAATACCTCTAGTGCTTACAGTAAAACCCAGTAACGATACAGAAGTTTGTGCAAAGTGACATTTCTGCGGATTGAGAATGAGATTGACATCCGTGAGCTTTTGAATAGCCGTTTGGACGTGTTTAACATGGTCAGACATGTTAGTGGAAAAAACTACGATGTCGTCGACAAATGCAGTGACATATGGAGTATCGTGATAAATCAAATTGACTACTCGCTGAAACTTGGACGACAATGGCTTGAGACCAAAGGGACATCCTCGAAACATATACTGATTGCCTTCAAACGTGAATGTAGTCTTGTGTCTATCGTCTTCATGAATTTTGAATCGATGAAAGGCACTCTTGAGGTCTAGCGTAGTGAAGATTGTTGCACCCCGTAGCCTGTGAAAGAGTTCAGAGATGAGTGGCAAAGGGAATCTGTCGTCAGGTAGCAGAGTGTTGATGGCTCTGGGATCTAAGCAAGGACGCTTGCCTGTGGGATTACCAAACTCATCTTTTTTAGGAGCGAATGTGAGTGGGCTGTTCCACTTAGTATTGACGGGTGCCCTTTGTATGGTGCCATCAGTAAGCCATTGGTTTATATGTTTGGCCATCAGTGGAACAAGTTGTAAAGCAATAGGATATTGTCGTCTATAGACTACTTGACCTGGGGGCGTTGGTAGTCGTACAATAGATTCCTTAACTGTACAAAATGAAGTGATGGGTATGGCTTCATTGGCTTTAATGAAGGGTAGTAGAGCCTTCATGAATTGAGAATGTTCAGTGGGTGTACCAGCTGGTGAATTATTGGGCTTTTCTATTTCAGCTATGGGTGTAGGGGTCTGAGGTGTATTAGAACCATACCAACTCTCTGCTAGTCCCAGTAAATGAATACCAAGGCTTGGCATTAAATCTGTACCAATACTAACATCTATATTCTCAGCGAGATCCAAAACTTCAAAAGAATGTGTAATGTGTTTGTTGTTATAAAAAACTTTTATTGGTTTTGTTACTCCTAGTCTATGAGCTATAGCGTTACTAGTGGCCAACACGATTTTCCCTTTGCGAGGAATTATTGACCACCCAAACTTGCTACAGAGCTTGGTGTTGACAGAGCTGATGGTGGCCCCGGTGTCTACCAGTGCCCATAGTTTTTCCTCTTCTAAAGAAATAGGAACGAGATAGGAGTGAGTAGACCGTTTACTGAGATCTACGTGAGTGCCCGTGTACTTACATGGGGAGCACTGTTCAAAGTCCATGTGCATGGACTGATCATCCTCAGATGTGCTGACATCTGAGGGAGAACTGTCGTCAGAGACAGTGTGGGCAGAACGGACGGCGAAGTGGGGAGCAGAGCCCCTGGGAGAGCCAGACGCAGAACTGGAAGAGCTGGAGGAACCAGCGACGGAAGAACAGCGATGTTTGTGGGACCAAACTTCACCGCACCAACGGCAAGGAGCAGAACCAACGTACTTGTTGATGTAGGGGGCTTTTTCAACCCGATTGCCCCCTTTTGCTGCCAGTGCGTTCTTGAGGATGCGGCAGTCTTCGGAGTCATGGCTGCCCTTGCCATGGAGCGAGCACCTCTTGCTGGAAGAGCGCTCACGGCTCTGTGTGGCTTCACGGGGAGAACCAGGGGAGCGGGCAGAAGAGGTGGCAGCAGACATGCGGGTCGTCTGTTCTGGGCTGAGATGGCGGCCTTTGGGCACAGGGTCGTTATGCAAGCTCATCAGAAAGACCTTGCTATAGATGGACCGGGCCAGGGAAGCAGCCTTGTCAATGGTGTCCCGTTTTTCCCTGGGCATGTTGACTTGTAGCAAGGAGACTTGTCTTGCCAGCTCGGGCAGAAGTGTGGCAGTGTATGCAATGGCTGCCTGCATGTTGTCTGCCACGTCAGCTTCCCGACGAACCCTTTGGTAACGGTCCGTGTAGTTGCTGACGGTTTCTGTAGGGCTCATTCTCATGAGCATCAGCTCATGTGTGAGCTGTACTTGACGCTCAAGGTCGTTGATTCCATATACCTTGATAAAGGCGTCGCGGACAAAGGACCAGGGAAGCTCGGGTGAACTACGAAGGTAGTTGTCATACCAGGAACGCTGTTCTCTTGACAGAACAATGGGGAGTAGACGGTGCCAGTCCACATTAAGGTCCAGACTGTATGAGTGGAGCACATCCTCGAATTTGTCCAGACACTCTTCAATGGACGAGTAGACCTTCTGGGTGTTGTCCCACTCGTTTCCTTGCCACTGAAGAACTGGTAGCTCGCGAGGTACAACACGGGATTGGGGAGCAACTTGCTCAGCGCGGGCAGGACCAGAACGAAGCAAATGGGTATGTGCTGACATGAGGATAGCCAGATCGCCTTCTGTGGCCGCAATTGTCAGCCTTATTTGATTCTTGGTGTCCTCAGGCTGGTTTTGTTCGATGGCATCGGCTAGGGCGATGGAAGCAGCAGCCAGGAGATCCCTAAGTCTGGTAATAGCCAACATGGACTTGTTGGCCTGTTCATTGCTTGCGATTTCACTTGTGTTGAGGCTGCTCTGAACACTGGGGGCGGGAGACTGGTTTTCGGAAGACATGTTTTGATTGTGATAAGAGTTCACCGTAAAAAATGTTATATTTTTAGAAAAGAAAGAAAAACAAAGTGCAGACGAGAAGTACGGTGAGACTTTGTTTATTGATGAAAAGAGAGATGATCTTCTATTGCTATTTGCTATGTGAGTTTATATAGACATTGCGTGTGTATTTAGGATAATGATATGAGTATATCATGTGATGTCTGTTTTCTTATATCATAGATAATATATTGTTAAGTTATTACCCACGCTCTTGTTTGAGTGATTAGTGATGTTGACTAAGGTGTGTGACCTTGTTATCGGTATATTCTTTATTTAATGATAGTGTGAGAAATAATGTATAATTGATACTGGTCGCTTATTCAATATGTCTTTGTCTTATTGTCTGTGCGCTCTATTTGAATCTACGATTATGTTGGATACAACACTATACCCCTCTTTGTATATACCCTTTATATGTATACCTTGCTCTATGTATTCGCTTTCTTTTCTTTTTTTCTTTCTCCAAAGTATCCGTCTTCGTCACAAAAAATTCCGGTAAGTATTGTTCCGTAAAGAATATAAGAGCAAAATATACTTACTTTACTAGTGTCGACTCTCTGGGCGTTTCGTTCCCAGACGAGCTTACGTTTCTTTATTCTAGACCTGCAAGAGAGAATGCACGAATTATCTCTTGTACTGTGTTTTACGGTCTTTATTGGCGTATCTCACTGGCAGTTTCCTGCGCAAGTGTCTAGACGAGTTGGTTGTGGCAGTGTGAGATCCGGTGTGGAAACCGTTGATTTAGAAAACATCTGTTGGCTTGGAACGGTGCATGCTGACGTGCAGCGCTGCTTGACCTCGCCTCTGTTTTCCACTCCACTCTTTTTTGAAAAGAGAGCAACCAACTCATTTTTTCCCCTTCGCTGTCAAATCAGGTCTTCGTCCTGAGGGGGATGGATCTACTCTTGTCATTTTTTTTGACAAAGTGGTGAACTAAGAATTTGACATTCTCTCTCTATAACACGGTTGTTTGGCCCGACACTATTTGATAAGTTTCTCTCTCTTTTTTGCAGATCTTTCTTCATTTACATCGACTCTAATCAATAATCTTTGTCTATTGCTTTACACAGATACATTATCAACAAACTCTTGCTAAACAAGATCCTAGCACAGTTTTTGCGGTTTATGAGTAGTATATTTTTATTCACAGCTATTTCCGTTTATCTGGTACAAAAGTTGCTAACCCCATAGTATTAGCAGCAGGATAAGCATATTATTTTACACATAGCACCCGTTCAAAATCATAACATATATACTGACTCTACTTTGAATATCTTGTCTGGGCGTTTAGTTCTCAGATAGGATCAGCTTTCTTTATTCTGGACCTACAAGAGAGAATGCACAAATGATTTCTTGTACTGTGTTTTACGGTCTTTACTGGCGTATCACACTGGCAGTTTCCTGCGCAAGTGTCCAGATGAGTTGGTTGTAGTTATGCGCAATGTGGTGCGGAAAATGTTGTTCTGAAAACATCCGTTAGCTTGGAATGGTGTATGCTGATGTGCAGCGCTGCTTGACCTCGCCTCTGCTTTCCATACCACTCTTTCTTAGAAAGAGAGCAACCAATTCCTTTTTCCTCCTCGCTGTCAAATCAGGTCTTTGTCCTGAGGGGGATGGATCCACTTTTGTTATTGTTATTATTATATACAAAGTGGTGAACTAAGAATTTGACCTTTTTCTCTCTATATATGTATTCCTCGATATAGTCAACTAATAAATTGTTAATAAAAAATTCTTTTGATTTGGATTTGGATTTTTATTATTATCAACATATTATAGTCAATAAATATCCAATAAGCTTGTTGATATTAATAAAGAGAAACTATGTATTGTAATATATATGTATTTTTTTTTCTTTTTATGAATATTAATAAATAAGATAATAGTATAAAAAGGCTAGTATGCTGGTAGCTGTGGTACACACATCACAATTGAGTGAAGAACAGACTCCAGAACCAAACACTGTTTTCTGCTTGCTAATGAATCTAGCAAGTTAACAATCTCCGTAACTGTTACACACCAGACACATGTATACTACGCACTCATACAGTGTAAACCAACCATTACACAACAGGGATTTGAATTATAGGGATTTTAGTAATAATATATACAAACAATATTATTTGGTCTCTTTAATAAATAACACTCTCACAATATTTACTTTTCTCATTATTGATATACTAATCCATAAACAATCTCAAATACCTCAGTGAGCTTGCAAATTTTCTGAACAGCTGACATGGTAATATTATTAACTTATTTGAGTGGGACATCAACAGCAATGATGTTATAAATCGATGTGTGTTTACACCTTGATGCTAGATAGAAAGTCAGTAATGCTTCAATGCACATTACAAAATACTTTCTAATTCGTTTCTACTTAATTAATACTTGCAAGATAGTTTGTACTGAGATGAAGATGATCAGCAGGCGGGAGTTTGAACTCGTATATGTTAAACATGCTTTCCATGAGGATACTGATATGTTATGGTCTTTTATAGTGCTTTTGATCAAGAACAAGCAGTAAGCAATCCATTAAATATCTTTTTACAATTAAATGATGTTTTTACTATATTGAAATACTCTTTATGACTAGCTTGTGCTCTAGTAATTATAATATATACGAAGTTGTAACTAGCTTGCTGCTAGTAATACGTCTCTGTGAGATTCGAACTCACGCTCTTCCAACCAAGGTTGGAAAAACACCTGTCAAGCCAACTAAAAAGTTAACTATAGACCGAGACGGGGGGAAGAAATCGAAAGACAAGGGCGAACTTCACTTTTTTAGGCAACGAAGACCGTATAAAGTTTGGAGACCCCGCCTTTTTCGTTTGGGATGAACGAGATTTTACCGTTCTAGAATTGGCATTATCAGGGTGTCTTTGCTTACGACTGCCTAGACAGTAATAAACGAAAAACAATATATGGTGTCAAGTACAAAGCTGTACGGAGAACGAGTAACATTGTTTCCAGCACAGAGTGATGACTTAAAGGCGTTCAGTCAAAAACTCATTGAACAAGCACATCTTCGCGAAAACAGGATCAGAACACCGATCACGAGAGAGTGGAGGCTTGAATAAAGTAATTTATCTTGCGAAAAAAAACTCCATTTGCTGTTACAATATCGGGTACCAGCTAGCAAGAAGTAGACTAGTACATCATGACAGTCGGACCAAACTCTATACTGACTCTTCTACTTGGGCTAAATAGGCGTCCCAACTTGTTAAATCAGTCATACCCCAGACACATGGATGCCTATCGCACGGGTTGAGTTGGTTTTATTATAGGTCAACTGCGTCGCTAGAACGTTCGGCTGTCAACCCATAAAAAACCAGTCTATCTGATCGTCTTTGAACCTCAACATCTGACATCAACGGGGAGGAGAGTATAGGGGGCTCGCCCTCAGTCCGTTTGGCTTGTCATAGAGAGTGGTGGTATTTCATTGGCGCCCGGTGGCTCCCACCTATGCTACACCTCTCTATGACGGATTGACCACGTTGTACCAGATGTCAGAATAGAGGAGACCAGAGTAGACCGGTGTTTCTTGTTAGCCGTTCCCAGAGCCATTAACTGGGTGTGGTTTGGTTGGCCGCTTTGGTTTTCACCGCAACAACGTCACTAGAGGCTTTCTTAACAAGCTGATGTCAAGGCTGACCCTTTCGGGTCAGACTTTTTCGTTACTATTAACTACGCATTGTTAGTAAGAGTTTCAATGAAATAAGGGTATTTTTTATTTTATTTTGTGATTACTTACATTCACTTCTTGGGAAAATGCATTTAGGTAAATGTCAAAGTAACATTACTACAAATTACATAAATAAATTCATCATAATTAGCACCACATGTGTAAGGTATACTTTCTTTAAAAATTCTGTTACTTACATGAACATTTCTCTGTGTTGTGTTTATGAGAAAGGCGGGTTTACTTACCCCCACACTGAAGAGCCATTTTTCTATACGTGTATGAGTGAATACGCGAGATATGACGTAAACACTGATCGTCCAATAGAATAATTCCATCTATTAGATTGATTTATCTATGTGGCTTATCATCTATAGAGTAATTTTATGTGTTAATTCTTTGAGAAGCAGGCTTTGTGCATGAAGAAGAACAATAAAGTATTGAAGCTTTCTGTCAGTAAAGAAGAACCCAAAAGGAAAATTTAAAAGTAGTACTCAGGTACCAGCAAGTTTAAGGGCCTATTAAAGACGAGCTTAAAACGTATAAAAAGAGATTCTGCGGCCTTGTACTTCTGTTGTGTAGCCAATACCGTCTTCTCATTTTATGTAACCGCGACAACAGCAGAATTATTAGTGGAATAAAGGACTAGAACAATATACCAGCATATATTTTAGAATTGTAGAATATAACCTATACTATTTCCAGGTAGAATGTTCTATCGAGAGCTAGCTATACCTCTCTATCTCATATTTAAATACCGGGTCGTGAAATTAATCTGTAATACAAAAAAGAGCGATCAAGTTTGCCTTTTTACAAAAGGCAAGGTTGCATGAGCAAAGTGGAAAAGAAAGTTTTAGTTCACAATAAAGTGTTTTTCAATATTATGATCGGTTTGGTTAAAATATTAAAAGCCTCAATATATAAGCACCTATATTTTCTCGAAATTTATGGGATTAATCCTGGTGTATTTGGGCTAATGCTTCAAATATTTTGCAAAACTTATACGAGTGCTTCTTTTTTTCTTTACAGTCTAAACTATTGAGATTAGGTAAAAATTGTTACAAAGTGCAAGTCAAGTTATTTTGTTTTAAAAAGCATTTTAATATTCGCATTCTAAATTCTAAAATATTTAAATATTAAAGCATCAATGTATTAAAAGCAAAACTAAAGGAGAAAGCTTAAAGAGAAAAAGAAATATTAATATCCAGTAATATATTTTGGCCTTAAAAATAATATCATTATCTTATAGTATTTTTCTTTGTAAAGTATAGATTCTACTGGGGTAATTTCTTCCTTTCTTCCTAGATCGAATTACCAATAAAGTCTTAATTGTATATCGCAATGAAGCATCGAATCTTTATTGTTGTAGAATCGGCATTACCTTTGTCAACTACTCAATCATCCTCATAACCAAATTAAAATTGATCTTGACTAAGCTGAAAATATATCTAGACTATTTTCTGGTCAAACCCTTAGCAGGGTCTCTAGTATCTCATTTCTTTTCCAATTGAAAATAGCAACTATATATATATATATATAGCTTTTGCTTTCTTTTTTTTCTGCCCTTTCTTTACTGCTTAATATTGCTTTGAGATATATGTGAGTTAATTTTCTAGCAGATGGTGGGTCCCTTTTGTGTTTATTTGCACAAACAAAATAAAAAACATTTTCTTGTGTCCTTGAACAAGAAGCGCACAGACCACTTTAAAGTAACCTGCGAATCGCTGTTATAGAAACTTGTACTCCACTTTAAGAGTTATTGCTACACCGATCGAAACCAAACTCTTCATTACTCTTTTACTTCTTTGCTTCTTTACTTTACTTTACTTCACCTTACAAAGTTGACTTCATAAGTACTCTGAGTGAATATTATTAGCTGTCTCTTCTGCCTTAGAACAGTTACACAAACCCAGTAAAAAGAATATATAGCTATGTCACGTTTGCTCTGACGTGAACATCTAAGACTGACAGAAAGCGCAGTCCTAAACTTTAATCGCAGATGAAAAATTTTCTGTTACATATAGACCTCCTCCAACGCGCGTCGTTTGTTTTCTCCTTGAGCAACAACAGTCCCGGTTTCATAGTGAGGCGTCTCTTGCGACCGTTGCAGGGAGATTCTTCCATGCTACAAGCATCGGAAAGTGAAAGTTGTTACTCGCCAGCTCAGTTAATTCTGAGAAGTCGTGGGGCATGGTCTCTTTTCATTTTTGGAAGGACTACTGTGTACATCGCATCGCCAATGTGGAATCATGATGCTGGGGGGAGGGAGGTCTAACCTGTGGTGAGATGTGCTGGCTCTTCACTGCTAACCTGACTGAACTCTTTAACGGCTGACGGTGAAGCTACTGGTAGTCGAATGAGCTGGACCTTATCACCTAGTGGTAAGTTCTCTGGCGAGTTCGCACCCACATTACTCGGTGACGAGATGTGGGGCTGGATGAACGGGTGCTTTCCGTTGGTTTGCCACCATTCCAGCACCTCCTTCGCTACCAAGTCAGGTTTACGTCCTGAAGGAGATTGAGCCGCGTAATGCGGGGACAAAGAACTTGGTGTCATGCTTTTTATTCTTTTACTCATGTAAAAGAACATTAAGTGAAATTAAATCAAATAGAATAGTTTCTTTATGTATATCTTTAAATAAATAAATAAAGTCTTTTTGAACTAGTATCGTCTCCAATAAAAAAAACACACTTTTAAACTTTTTTTTTGCTTGATTGAAGAGTTCAATGTTGTAATTAGGAGGGTTCATTTATAAGATAGAATTAATATAATTAAATGAATTCGAAAAGAAATATAATAGAATAAAGATATAACATGTATGATTTTGTAATTATGTTGATCACTGCGTTTAATTGTGTAGGCTATTTTTGTCTATAAAGTCTATAAAGAAAATTCAGAATGATTGTTGAAAATGCCGATGGCGCAAAATGTTTAGCTGAATTTAGCTAATCCGGATGAACATTGTAAAGAAGATGCATTGGAATGGGAGAAAGAAAAAATGTGAAAAAAATGGAGAAATGAGAGATGAGAAGAAATAAAGAAATATACGTTTGAAAGAGAGGCAGAAAAGGTGCAGTGGGCTAAATACGCAAGCGAATGTCCTCATTGTATTTACACAGACTGTGCACAAGATGTTTAATATGGACATAATATAAAAGAGGTATCATTATCTACAAACAATTTTATATCTTTAATACCAATTAGTACTTAGTACACTCTATTCGTTATTTCATACACATTTGTGTAATTATATTTACAGTGCAAAAATAATTTGAATTCAAATAAGAAGAATAAACAAGTATTGATACATTACAAAATACATCCTTCAATATTCTGTATAAGAGTAGTCTACCAAAAATGTAGAGACGGTTGTTATATTACAATCCTTAAAGACAAGTTGACATACATAAAGTTTATCGAGTAAGCAAGACATAGATATAATAACAGAGGTACATTGGCAGCTTGAATTACATGAAGTGGAGTGGAAATTTGATACATGCCAGCCATTATAGCTAGTTCGTTGTCCTAGTTACTTTGTATTTCGGTTTCTTTTTTGTGTATGTTCAAGTGTTTGAGGTATTGGGGATTGATTTTGGGTTAGTATCTCAATATATGAAAAACTGGATACTGTGAGAGTGTTATTTATTAGATAGGCAAAATATTATTGCTTATATACGTTACTATTAAAATTCCTATTGTGTAATGCTTGGCTCGTTTACACTGTATAAGTGTGTAGGATATGTATGCCTGGTATGTAACAGTTCCTGAGATTGCTATCTTGCCAGGTTCATTAGCAAGAAGGAACCAGTGTTTGGTTGTGGAGTCTGTTCTTCACTCAATTGAGACATGTATATCATAGTGAGAATATAACAAATAATATACATCTTAATGATGTTCAACGTTTTATGATTTGTAATCTTGGAGATGACACTATCAAATTGAGTTTATTTGAGGTCAAGGAATTTGAGGAAGAGAGACATTTTATAAAAGATTGCAATGCCTACAGAATATCTGTGTAAATCGGCACAGATTGATAAATGTATGTGAGACTATATAACCAATTAGCTGTATATGAATTTCAGTTATTACGATAAGTAAATTGAACTAATGATGCATGATTTTAAGACATAATACAAATTAAGAATAGAAAAAGAAAAATAAGATAGCCAGGAAAAGTATTATACCGTTATTGATCATTGTTAATATTATTTTCTTTTGATTTAATATATCTGGGATAACAATAAATAAGGTCCACTCTTGTACGCCTCCAATTGTAAAGTGGTTAAAGCCAATCATGGCTTATACTGAAGTAGAAGATAGCTGTTCCAAGGTTACATAAGACATTATGCGTATAGAATCTTTTTAGCCTATTGGTGAGCAAATATTAGGCTTGAAAAAAAATACAAAAAAAGTATTGGGGTTGATTAGAGGTCAACTTAATCCGATTATCCCTAGACTTGATATATTATTCATGGTGGGAGAATTTGGAAACTATCGATAATTCCAAAATTGTATTGAGCAAAATTTTAGAGACAAGGTTCATAGAATTGTTTGTCCTCTTTCTACTGAAATGACTACAGTAAAAGGTACAGTTATGGTTACAGAAAAACATGTGGCTATGTTTTACCTTCAGTCAAAGGTACTTGATATACCAATCACTATTTATAAAGCCTCAGGTCATATATATGTTACAAGATCTATCATGTCATTTAATTCCAACTCGGATAAAATTTATACAAAGTTTGTTTCTATAATTAACAAATGTCTATGTCGAGATCGTTCTATGGCTTTCGTTACCAAAGGATATTTAATTACTATAGACCAACTTTTTCTCAAAGCAACTAATACTTGGTCCACACAAGATTGAAATAGGTAATTTACTTCAATACATAATAATAATAATAATTCAGTATTGGATCATTCTAAATTATAATATAGAGTTGCTTAAATATAATGCGAAAAATCCGGTTCCACGTTGTACAACACACCCTAGTATCAGGAGGGTGGGGTTTTCTTATTCATATACCACAATATTTAGTTTGTAGGAAGGGTGAAGAAGCTTTGATTATGATTAACATGTTCTTTAGTTTTACTGGGATCCAAGCCGCAGCATTTATAAATGACAGGACATGTATATTCAGAGTAATTACTCCATACTTTGGACAATTCTTTGTTTTAAAAATAACAATACTAAAAATAAAGAATACCACACCAGCCGACCAGCATAAAAAATGTTGTAAAATCAAAGAAAGTTACAAATACTTAATAAACAGTATCTATACCACTTACACTCTAGAATCCTCACCACATATTTCACAGTGTACAAAACTCATCAAATCCAACCCCTAGTCCAATTGACATTGCGAATTTGAATCAAGCCGTATATTTTATATACATTTTCTTTTAAAAAAATATTCCAATAAAAGAAATGGATTTCTTCTACTCCAAGATTCGGGTAGTTACATTAATACACTATCATAATTTAACTATAGTATATATAGTCAATTACAGTTCTAGAATCTAATAATGGCAAAACATTTTACTGTCGTTTGTTATTTTCTTTACTGAAGCGCATTCTTTCTTTTCAAAGAAATAAGAAGAAAGCATAATATGCAACAAATGCTTTATTATAAATTATGATTTTAAAAAATATAAAAAAGATACGAGTAATAACAGTTATTTCCAAAATATAGGGTATCTTAATCTATTGTCTTTATCTATTGATATCTTGCTGGTAAGTGGTGCTTTTTTATTTCAAGAGACTCAGCTATAAAATAAGCCCCAAAATATATGTAGACTTGCGCAGTGCATATTCACAGAGTGACTCGTTGCGCACACGCTAATACTTTGATCGACTGGCCGTCTGCTGAGTCTAGTTTGCATATGTGTATGTACAAGATTAATAGCACCGATTTGGAATTATAATTAATTATTATATTATTATTATTATTATTATTTTAAAAAAAAAGAAGCGAATAGTAGAGGAGTATAGTTAAATATGCCTTTAATAATATCTCCAAACACAGATCCGTTTGTTGTATCCAACATAATCGTAGATTCAAATAGAGCGCACAGACAATTAGATAAAGACATATTGAAGAAGCGACCAGTATCTATTTCTCACAATCATTAAATGAAGAACATACTGACAACAAGGTCACACAACTTAGTCAACATCACTAATCACTCAAACAAGAGCGTAGGTAATAACTTAACAATATATCATCTATGATATAAGAAAACAGACATCACATGATATACTCATATCATTACCTCAAGTACACACACAATGTCTATATAAACTCACATAGCAAATAGCAATAGAGGATTATCTCTCTTTTCATCAATAAACAAAGTCTCACCGTACTTCTCGCCTGCACTTTGTTTTTCTTTATTTTTTAAAATATAACACCGTTATCGAATAAAATTTCATTTATTCACTTTATAACATAGTAAGAAAAACAAAATAGCATATCATTTCATTTTGTAATGATAATAATTTGTTTAATATCAGCATCAAAATAAGAATTCTAGATCAGTAATAGCACTTGTACCAAGCCAATTTCTTTCTTTCTTTCTTTTTTTGCCTATAAAGAAAATCAAAATTTTTCAAGCGATGGCTTACTGAACAATAATTTATTGGAGCCATAGGTAATCAAGGTTTTTATTCTTTGTGGAAGAGTTTTCGATAATAAATAAATCAATAAAAAATCCAATAAAAAATAAAAGGTTAAAGCAAAATTGACATTGAACTCAAATAAAGGTGTGAAATAGAGAGAAAAGGTTCTGTTTGTTCGATATATATTGATATAAAGTATAGTATATTTGTACTAGCAAAATATTTGGTGAGGTCTTTTTTCACCATTAATCTCCTTTTAAATACAAATGATACGATGTAAAATTAGTCAACCTTCTTTACAGTGTATATATACATATTCCATCAACAATACTACCTTAAAAATGACTTCAATGATTGAAAGTACTAGCTACTAAAGGTTTAACTATATTTTATTCACATAAACTTTGTTTTTAAATGCCTATATTATGTATACATTTGATTTCATGCACTATGGGAAAAAGGTGGTCTTTTTTGAATTTGTGACTTCATTTTTGGCCTATAATAATCAAAAAATCACCAAAAATCCAAGTTGAAACAAGAAAATCTTTGTTCTTTGAAATGGTTGATAAAAAGCAAATGAATCGCTTAAAATTAAATCTCAGGAGGGACAAATGTCCATTCTAATTAAACATCTTACATTTTTGGTAAATATATATTGGAATTGAGAAATATTGGATGTCAGAAATAAAAAAAAAAGAAAATATCTAAACTTTCTGCTGGTTGGATAAAATTTGTTAAGACAATTTGAAAAAAAAAGAAAAATTTATTACAAAAAAAAAAAAACAAATTATATATCACTTAAGGCACCAAGTGTCAATTTTGGGCCACGTTTAAGGCTAGGCCAAATGATGTAATGGCTACCATTGACATTTGATGGCACCAAGCCAACCAACTCTACAATGTCACTGGCATGAATCACTATAGTCTTCGGCTTTACTACAGATGTAATAGGCAATCCATTTTTCAAATGCACACTATATATGGTTATGAGAGCTAGTGGCCATCTCTTCGAGTTGTGTACATGTTGGAAGAATATAACCACCTTTCCGAAGAAATGCTTATATCCTGGACGGTAAGAGCGGGATCTTCTGGAGTTCATGTCCACTTGTAGCTGCACATGAACATGACATGCCTCTCTTGTAGAACTTTGGTTGAATGCAGCGTCAATAACACAACCATTAAGATAGGCCTTGCGGCTTGTCTTTATGGAAGGCTCAAGCATACTAAATTCTTCCCCCTTCAAATCATAAAACGTTTTAAGAAGCAATGAAAGATGAGATCTATCTTCAAAGCTATCGAAAATTGTTAAATTCTTCAAAGGCCCCCAGAACTCAATCTCACACTCAGCATTGGCAGGATCACCTCCTTCTGTAACAGGCCACCCATCGGTATATGCACTGTAAACTAGAAGGTTAGCTGGTGGAGTTTTTGTGTTTGCAACGGTTGTCAGTTCCGCTACACGCCGGGATTGCGCCAGTCTGATCATGATGTTTCCAGCATTGACACTGACTTGGGAGTTACTCTTGATGGACCTGGAGTACTCACCAATGGCTCTTTCCACGGATCGTGTGCTATATGCTCTTGGCGGGCCATATAGATCAATCATCTGAGGATAATGCTGAATAATGTGCTGGTTAATTGTGAACACGCCAATGTCAATATCTGCTGTAGAAAGAAGACTCTCTAGGAATAAGTTCCATTCTACAAGATTACTAAGAAAAAAGGTAAAAGTAAATTACTATGAAAAATGAAATAAAATATGGCATTAAACATACCTTCTTATCGAGGTTTGATCCTCTGCTGATAACTCCCAGCTCATGAGTAAATTGCATGTTTGAACCAGGCCAAGTAATGCATTTCGGGCAACCAAGTCCTGGACACGCTCTGCAACCAACGTGGGGACAACAAAGAGTAAAAAGTCTGCCCAATCCACAGCTCTAAAGAAACCGGCATTCTTTGTCACGTCTCTCCAGGCACCATGCAACGATGTAGGGATTGTGGATTTTGCGGCTACCATTGCAGCACCAATCTCCCTTTGAGTGGCAAGAGAAAGACATAGAGGATGCTTGATTCCATACTTTCCGCGTACAAGTCCCCATACCTGTTTACCGATTCCGTGGCACAGACCATGCATCTCGTCTAACGCGAAAAAAAACGGGCCAGAGAATGTTTCCATTGAGGCTAACGGTGACTGACCATTGAGCCCCTTTCTGTCTTCACTGCTTGCCAGATTGTAGTTTCTGAAACTCTCCAGTGAGCGCGTCTGGGTTCCAGGCAACATGCGGAAGTACTGGCCATGTTTAGGAGTTTGGCCCACTACGTGACAAATACGACAGCCATTCTTACTCGTGTGGCCAACATGGCATGCCAGCTTTGCCAGAGCTGGAATATCGCCAGTGGCCATGAGGACATGTACCTTTGCCCTGATCGTTGTCGTCGGTGTCTTTACTTCCATGCCTTCTGTCTGGAGCAAACGGAGATCTCTCAGCGTTGGCTCAAGAAAAGACCAGATGTCACTGGGACCAGTGCAACCAGGAAGCATTGCTATTTGGATCATCCTGTTTTTCTCATAACGGATCGTCGGATTCAAGTCCAAGACAGTTGCATGAACAATGGTTACTGATCCAGGTACATTGTGTGGGTTGAACCCGTCCATGGACAACGAAATCGCAATATCGTTTTCACCAGAAAACAGATGCTTCATGGATTGGTATACATGACCATCGAAAACATCTGCTTTCTGCCCGTCTTGGCTGGATTGGTGGTTATGACGATAGAGCATTTCAGCCCTGGTCTTGTCATCAGCCAAGCACAAAGCAAGCTGTCTGGCCAAAGGAAGCTGTACGATCGATCTCACAGGAACCCTGGTGTCACTTTCGCTAGTTTGGCCATTTTTGTATCTTGCTTCACCGCATTTTACGCATGCGATATCATTCTCGTTGTTGAACTGCATACAACCTCTGATGCAAATGTCGTATCCGTCTGCTTTGATACCCGAGAAGCGCTCAAGAAGCTTGTTTCCAAGGTGTGGGCTGCATGCTCGGTACGTAATATTGATAGAACAATCAAGGATCTGGTTGAAGTGTTCTACAATCTTTTCGTGGGCTCGACGAGAAATTCCGAACTCTTGGATCAACTGCATGAACGCGAGATTCTTTTTATCATCGTTGCTGGGAACAGGAAGAGGCTGGCTAAAATCAAAGACTAGCGAGGGTGTGGTGCCTTCAATTTCGTCAATGACATTCTCGCATTCTTCTCCAAAATCGTACTATAGTAAGATAAACAACAATAAGTATGATTATCATAATATATGTATTTATGTATCTCACCATGGACTCATCATCTTCAGTACTGTCAATGATATCCATATCCTCACTACTGCTTGTGTTGATGTTTTCTCTGTTTGTTTATCAAAGTATACAGCTAATTAATATACTGTCTATCGTTTTGTGTTTTTGCTTTTGATAAGCTTACCCAAAAGCCAAGTTAGGAACCATTGCTGATGTAAACTGGCTTTGATCAGGAAGAGAGACAGTTTGGGAAACTTCGCCATTGGCAAGTAATTCTGCCCTATTTGTCATGCATCGTTCGAGACATCTTTTATATGTTCGACTGTTATTAAAGGTCGACTTGCAAGTACGGCATTGGTAACGAGGGGCTTTTGTAATTTTGGACATGTTTGAGGTAGGTAAAAAAAAAACTTTGTTATATAAGTAAGAATAGAATTAATTACTTTCTGAATGTATAGCTTTATACTTAATTATATAAAGACAATGATGTTATATGCATTCTGAATATATGCTCGGGATCTTAAAGAAGTATCTGTATGTCATCAGTGAAGTTACTAGATCAATGTTTCTTCAGGAGTAACCAATAGATTTGTACAAATAATTTGAAACTAATAATTTGAAGCTAAAAAATTGAAGCTAAAGATTTGAAACTAATAATAGTTTCTGGTAAAAAAATTTCTCTTTCTTTCTTTTTCTATAACAAACACGTAACTGATTTTTTCTTACAATTATGAACAATACAGACAATACAGTGATTCAGTTGCTTCAAGGAATACAAGCTGCACTTATTTCCCTAAAGAGTGGTCAAGAAGCATTGCTAGGCCGTCAAGAAGCATTAGAAAAAAGACAAGATGCGATGCAACTTCAAATGACAAGTTTTTACAATGAATTTAAAGATCGGGAATTTCCAGATAGAACTATTGTAACCTCTACCAGTGTAAGCAAATACTATAACAACTAAAGTCCTTTCAATTAATGTCAAACATAATAGACTCTTACTGGCATCATTCCAAGACCCGTATCAAAAATCAACGATATAACTTTAAAGCATATATACAAGATGATAACAGACGATCTTAGAATAGAATTGACCGAGGAAACCAAGAGAATTGTTAACACATGTACCAAGGTCATATGTGATCAACTGGCAGCTCTTCCATCTGTTCAGGATCTTGGAACAAACCCTGGCTGGTCATTGCTTCCTCAAGAGGATAAAAACAGGCTGTGTATCAATCATTCCATCATACTCAGAGACAATGGAATCGATTTTACCAGATGCCACAGAAACTGGGCATCAATTGCAAGGGTTAGCCAGCTCTGGAGAGGGCGTAAGAAGCGAGAATACTCTGGTAAGTTCATATCTGGTAGGTACAATAAATTGTGTAATTAATGTGAGAATATGTAATAATCTGAAGGAATTTTAGCCAGTACGATTCATGAATAAAATATTATTTCTATTATAACAACCAATAAAAACATTTTTAAATAATGATCTTCTATGAAATAAATTTTTTTTGCCCAATTAAAACTGTGAATGAATCAGAATATATATATGAGAACCAATTGAGAGAATGCTTTTGTTTAAATGACCAATACTATCAATGTGCATACTGCAATAAAGTTTATATTATCCAATTAAAAGTAGCAGTATAACGAAAGTATCTTATGAGTGACAATACAAAGATTCTTTTTTTCCATCTATACCAATAAGAAAGCTCTTTTTTATTTTCTTTCTACCAATAGAACGAGAAGAATAATACATAAATTTAAATATCGGGATATGAATAAAACCTAACATCCATCAGTCAACGGAGATCTAATTATATTTCCAAAAATAGGGATGGTCTTTTTGCTGGTTTTACCAAAACTGCCACCCAAAAGACCACCTAAAATACCACCTAAAAGACCACCAAAAAGACCACTTTTTTTCCCGTAGTGATGTTTACCATTTAAAGAATTTACCAATGACTTGTGTAAGGGATATACATAATCAAACTGTAGAGCTACTTCAAGGTCTTCATCTTTTGACCCAGGATATTGATAGTGTGGGGTTTACAATGGTACCTTTTAACTTTTGACTTTCAAAGTTCCACAAATTCCGGTCTTTTTGCCATTGACAATGACCTTTCCTTTAATCGGTATAATATAGGTAAGGTGCGCTCAAGCTAATCATTTAGGTGAAGTTGGCTACAAGGTTTACAGTATCGGCCTCGAAAAACCGATAAATTCCATAGACCTTTATGTCTATCATGAAAATCTCTAAAATTTCTCCTTTTACATGCAATCTGTATACTTTTGGATCATTTAATTCTCAGTGAATCAACTTTTCCAACATTAACTTGAGCTCTCTACCGAGTTTTATATGGTCAGATACAATTCCACTGTTTTGCTTGGCTTTTTGTTTTGCTTCGGTACCAATTATGTTGTACTTGCTTTTTCGGAATTTGACAGAGGCGTGCCAAGCTGGGTGAAATTTTGGGCTTGGCTCGAGACTCTTGTTTGCCTACTCTTGAATGAAATACTTGTCACATGAGAAGGTTAATGATAACAAGTTATCAAGGCAATTGTGTGTAAAGGTGTCTTTAGTGTCTGATGTCGTGATCATTCCTCCCGAGGTGGTTATGGTCTTGTAAATAATTCTTCCATACATTGTCCTATTAGCTTCATAATAACCGATTATGCCAGCTTCATAATTTTGATCCAAGGGACAACACTGTGTAAAGTACTCGATTGTACACATAACCCGCTGATAATAGGTGAGATTTCTGGAAAGAATTCGAAAAGTTGGGGTGAGAGATCTTGTACGAAATTGAGGTTCACATCTTGGCATATATATATATATATTGTGGCGGGCGAAGAGATATCATTAGCAAGAGCATATATGTGATCTAATTATAACAATCCTTTTTTGTCAAATAGTTTCTGGATATAATCTTGCTTTAAATATTCAGTATATTTCGACACGTAGACGCATAGCTTCTTGTTACCACTCCTTTTATTGTACATTGATTCCAGAGATTGTAGAACGCTGTTAAAAGCGGCGGGGCTATCAAGTGTGTCGTGATGTATATTGATAAGCGCAATTTTAGGCGGACGACATTTCTTAATTGGGCGCGGCATTTCCTGGTGTGAGACGACATTTTGGTTCTACCGGGCCGTAAATCGTGATCTTTTTCCCGGCATGGAATATCTTTATCTGGCCCCTAAGGATCCATTCTTACTATAATAATTAATACCAGCTAGGATACAAAATATTCATAAAGATTTTCTTTTGTGCTTTGCAAAAGAGTGGATGAGGATTACTTGTCAGTTGGTGCTGTCAAGCTATGGGAATATAAGTAGATGAGACAAAGAGAAAGAAATGATACGTATAAGACAGTAGTTTATTATTAAGTTGGCCAAAGACAGACTGTAACTCTTAAAAGAATGAGAGTTGGGTGTCTAGGGAGAGATATATAAGCACAAAGTGTGGGGATTCAGGACACACCTTTTTTGCCCTGAAGAATTAGAGAAAGACACGGGGCACCGGACAGGTAGTCACATCGATTAGTCCGGTTAGATAGAAACGTCGTGCCCGTAAGATTGCTACACTTGTATATCATCTACGAGTCCGGAGTTATGAATCCTACTATTTCTTACAGTGAGTGGTAGAAATACAGTAATACCATATATATATATATATATCAATGGGATCACTAACAAAAAGTCGCTTTAAATGAACACAAAATGATGTACAAAAGGGATTGATATTAATTTTGGTTGGATTTCTAAGTTTGTCTGACAGACAAAAAAAAAAAAAAAGCTTGTGAATATATAATATTCAAATGTTGCTTCCTTGTTATAGTGTATTTGATAGCCTTTGATCCGCATATAATGTCTATGTCTATATCTATATCTATATCTATAATCGATCTATATTTATATTTGGCTTTTGACAAACAATGCAAGACGATGAATATGGCATTGCAGTTCTTTTTTAACACCAATCTTACCACCTTGTGCGTATTTCTTGTTTGATTATTATTATTTTGACTTGATTGATTGGATAGTTATTTTTACCACAATATCTATAATCTTTCCTTTCACTCACTCATTGACTGTGTACCTGTTGTAACTCATAGGAGGGGCGTACGGGGATCGCTTTATATTTATTTATTTACCCCCCTCATCTTACAGATCAGATTTCTCTCTTTTTCTCTCTTTCTGCCTGTCTGCCTGTCTGCCTGTCTGCCTGTCTATATTGCACCCCCTTTCCTTCTCTTCTCTCCCTTCTCTCCCTCTTTCCCTTTTCTTTCTTTCTTTCTTTCTTTCTTTCTTTCTCTTTCTCTCTTTCTGTGTGTGTGTGTGTGTGTGTGCTCTAGGGTTTCTCTACAGTCAATACTCCATCTCTGTAACCTCATTACGTGCCATGGTAGACATCACTTTCAAATTCGAAGCGTTTAGCTTCAATGGGATTTGCCAGACAGTCGCTCTCAGTCTGTGTCCTCTTATAGGCAAATCAAATGGAATCGAACCGGTGTGTTACTCCCGCAACGTTGATTTGGCTGGAAACCTCATCTTTCAACCCGGTAAAATTATATACACACATCGGTTCTTAAGGATATCTATAAAGAAATCATTATTTATTAATAAACCAAAATTTAATTATAAAATATAGCTACATTAATCATTGACGTGGTGGCTATTGTCATGGCAGCCATTATGATTTATCACATCCGGTCAAAATACACAGCCGTCGGTAGGACAAAATCAATGAGACTTTATATGTATATAAATCATAAATTATACTTTGCCCTAACCCACAATAAAACAGGTCGCAAGGAGATCGTCATGTTCTTTTATCTATACATGCTCACAGTATTCCTGGAGATGCTCCTGATCACAGGTATTATCCCAACCTCCTCTCCTGTCTATCCCGTAAGTCTCTATATTTATAATAATATTTTATTTATATATTATATATTATTAATTATTAATTACTTATTTATCAACAGTGGTTTACGGCCGTTCATTTGGGCATGATGAGTGCTACATTCTGGTGTCTATTAGTAAACGGATTCGTAGGCTTCCAGTTTGCAGAAGATGGTACACCTTTGTCACTTTGGGTAAATAATTAAATGATATTAAAGAAAGAAAGAAAAAGGAAATTAATATATATATATATATATATAAACAATCATGTATTCGCCTTGTAATGTAGTCTATCCGTATCAGTTCATTTGTCATCTTTCTTGTCGTCGGTTTCATTTCCATCGCAACTTTCCAAAAGATTGGTCCCTTTACCTATGAGAACCCTGCGGCCTTGTGGGCATTCTACTTTATCATCAACGGCGTGGCATTTATTGTCTATGTGATTTCGCAAATAATCCTGGTCGTCAACACCTTAGATGATCGCTGGCCCCTTGGAGACATTCTGTTTGGCGCAGCTTTCTTTATTGTCGGACAGGTTTTGATGTACATATTTTCGGTCTTTATCTGCGACCAGGTAAAACACTACGTAGACGGCATGTTCTTTGGTACGATCTGCTCCTTGCTGGCTGTCATGATGGTCTACAAGTACTGGGACTCGATCACCAAGGAAGATCTCGAGTTTTCGGTCGGCAGCAAGCAAAACGTGTGGGAAGTTAAAGAGCTCCTGGGTGAGGATGAGCTATCACAGTCGTACCAAGGAAATCAGTACGGTCAGCAGAATCAGTCCTATGGCCAACAGTATCATCAACAGCAATATGAACATCCTTATTAAAAAGAGAGAGAGATAACGAAGTATATATATATATATATAACCAACCAACCAATTTAACTGACTGACTGACTGACTAACTAACTAACTAATTAAATAACTAGCTAGCTAGCTAGCTAGCTAAAAAAAATAACTAAATAACCAACCAAGCACAATTCAAGATACCTCTTTTTTTATTATTTCTCTTCTTTATTGGCTTATAACTATATCTTACACAAAGCATTAACACATCTCTTATCTCTCTATCTCTTTCTTTTTGTTTCGGTTTTTTTGTTTTGTTTCGCTCCCTTTTCTTCCCCCTTTTTTTTTATATAAACATCATATTCAAAACGTGTTGTAGTTCAATAAATCATGGCATATTTTATTGAAAGTAAATTTAAATATACAAACATATACATCCTTGAAATATGCATATATATATATCCAAACAGAGTAAGAAGAAGAAGTGTCGATTACTGTAGTATTTATGGGTGAGTGAAAAGAGATAAGGTGTGTGTATAGTGGAAATATATATCTATATAAATATTTATAGACAAGAGATTATTCAACCACACATTTAATTTTAATTTTATTTTTATTTTTATTTTTATTTTTATTTTCTTTGGTTCTTGGCGGAATTTCAATTCAATTCCTTTGACTCCTTTACATGCAACTCTCCAAAGAAGAAACAGCAAATACCTTTAAACTGCTCCAGCAGAACAAGCACAACAAAGTACTCTTCTTCTTCATATTTAAATTTAATATCTAACTTGACAATTTAAATAAAATGCAATTCTTTATTTATTTCTTTATTCATTCATTTATAGGCTTGTTTTGATTGCGGTGTAAAAGCACCTACATGGACCTCAGTTCCTTTTGGAATCTTCATTTGCCAAGACTGCGCTGCAGCTCATCGGAATCTCGGTGTTCACATTAGTTTTGTAAAGTATGTATATAGTCAACTATATATACACTATGGCTTATTTGAATATACATGTACATAAATTATGTACATATAGAGTTTGATCAACCTGTAAATAAAGTAATTCACACATTAACAATAACGAAAATAAATAAAATTAACAACAAGAACAACACCTTTGTAGATCAACTCTTCTGGACTCATGGACAACCGAACAGTTAGAGATGATGAAACAAGGTGGAAATCAGGCTGCTAATGAAGCAATGGGAAGCATTTCCACCAAAGATTGGCAGACAAGATACACAAGTAAACAAGCCTACAGCTATAAACGACAACTTCAACGGAAAGTCAAGCAGGTCTTGACGGATACGCCCAAACTAAATGACACAACAATAACCAGAGACGCCGGAAACCTACTGATCGACCTTGCTGTGCCTTCCAAACCACAAGAAGCCCACAACAGCAAAAAGAACCTTTTGATTGATTTTGATGAACCGACCAAACCACAGAATAACTATAACTATAGCAACATCCATACCAGCAACAGCAATAGTAATAGCCTTTTGATCGATCTCGAAGAACCTACGACAAGCGATGATTTGTTTATTGGTTTTGACCAATTAGTATCTACACCCAACTCTAGTACAAACCACAACAACAACAACAACCATAATAATAATAGTCTTCTTCTTGTGGATATTGAACAGGACAATTCACTGATTGATATTGACACACAAAGCAGTGGGTTTGCATCGTCTATGCAAAAGCAACCAAAGGACAATGACGCTTTTTTTACAATGTGGGAAAACACAGAAGCCACAGCAGAGAAGGACAAAGACAAAGATGAAAATGAACAAAAACAAAAACAACAACAGCAAGTAAATCAGGCGCGTGCACCAGTCTATCGTGCCAAACAATCCCAAAAGCCACACCAATCCCGACTGGGTGTTCGCAAGACACCTATGGATTCATTTAACTTCCAACAAGCACTTGAAGAAAAGAAGATACCTACAATAACCTCACCACCTAGAACCACTACCGCAACTACCAAAGCTACTTCGTCTCACACAATCACTACACACACCGCAAAATCTTCACGGCCTACCTCATCAAGGCTCAACTATCAACCTCAATCCGCAACTACAACCACATCCACATATTCACCTACACCTACACAAAAGTCCACATCCATATTCACATCCGAACAATCAGATACGCCAAGTCATGCCCCACCAGTAGAAAATACATTTGAGCAGCGTATTGGTGGGTTTGGTTATGTACCTCATCCAAAAGACATGATAAACCAACCCCAATCCCAAAACACATACTCTACATCGTCAAGTTTGCGTCAATCAAAGCAACAGCAGCAAGTAAATCAGAATGGAAACTCAAATAGAAACGAAGAGGAAGAAACGACGTCTGCAAGAGATAGATTTGGGAATGCAAAGGCAATTTCATCTGATCAGTATTTCGAAAGGAACCAACATGATCCTAGACGTACGGCAGAAAGTGCTGCAAAACTAGCCCAATTCCAAGGTGCGACGAGTATATCGTCTGATCAGTACTTTGGAAGGGGGGGAGACGGTATTGGGGCTGGATCTAGCAGTGGTAGTAGAGGATCTGAAGGGTTTGGGCGTCCGGGTGGAATGTGTGCCAAGAATAATAGCCAAAGTAATAGACCGGTATTTAAACAATTCCTGAGTGCAGCAAGTAAAGGAGCCAATAAGGTAAAGTAGAACTGGAGGATTAGAGTTTATGCTTGATATTGTAAGTAATTACTGATTGTGATAATGGTGATTGATAGTTACAACGTGCTTTGTCAGATTTGGAGGTAATCAAAGGGGTTTTCTTGTTTGTTTTTTTTTAATATATATATATTTGTATTAACTATTGCTTTATTATTTATTTTTGCTTTTATTTAGTAAAGAAGAAGAAAAGCGCATTGATAATCATAATAATAAAGCATCAAAAAGAAATCCAATTTGAATTTGACACAATCACTGAAGCAATAGTAATAATGTGAATATATGTTCGTGTGGCTTATTTGGTGTTTAAAACAAAAGAAGAACAAGACGTGCTCTAAAGTGTAAAAGAGGCTATTTGTAAGCAGTTGATTTTATGTATTTATTTATCTATTTAGTGAATTGCTAGTATAATGAATATTATATATGTATGCATATGCATGCTTTATTGATTCTTCCAATAAATACATAAATACATAAATACAGAATGGCTGGCACCTGGCAATGTCAAGACCAGCTTATGTATTTACTTGATGTATAAATTACAAATGCACCAATGTATTTGTACTGTTGTATTTGACTGTGTTGCTGTATATGTTTTGTACCTAAAAGATCAATGGTGCGTGTGTGTATATTAAATTGAGTTTTGCTTGTCCGAAAGGTCTAGAATCAAGTGAATGTATAGATAATGGCTCAAGAACATTTTGAACAAAAAAAAATCAAAATGAGCATAAATATATCAAGGATTCTTACTTCTTTTTAAAATTTGCTCTTCTCTATTCATTATGTGTTGTTTTTATAATTGAAATCCAAAAAATGAATTTTCTAGATTTTATATTATAAAAGTATAGAATCATTATAAAGAAGAAGAAGAAAAAAAAATGCGTATTCCTGCAAAAAAAAAAAATAAGAAAAAAACATTGCGCTTAATAAAATATAATTTGCTGCATAAATTATTCGCAGTTCAATTCAATTGAATTTAGTTGACCTGCTTAGGCTAAATATATACAGACAAATCATATAGATCGTTACTCTACATTCTATTGAATTGGACAATGCTAACGATAATAAAAAGGTCTCACAAGAAGTATCTCATAATATCTTAAAGGATATAATCATTTGAACTAAAGACTGTATATATAATATATATATATATCATTTCTTTTTGATAAATATATTTAATACAAGAGCATAAATGGAAAGAGAAAAAAAAGAAAAAAAATATGAGACTGCATATTCTTAAAGAGCATTAAAAAACTAAATAAATATAGAGGGAATGGACAAGCCATATTCTGATTACAATTAATTCCTATATATCTTTTATATATATACGTTATTTCTTATTTTCTTCTTCTTCTCTTTTTCCCCTCTATAATTATTACTAGTATTACTGTTATTATTATTAGTAGTAGTAGTAGTATCCTTATCATTACTAGTATTTCATCTTTACCTGTTCACCTAATATACACAAAATGTACAGACTATCAGCATCATTCACTAAAACTCCTTTAAGATCCTATGTCCACAAGGTAGAAACAACAGCGCTTTATTATGTAATCAGAGTGTCTGATACACCTTTTCTTTTTATATAAATCGTCTTGAAATAAAGGGTTTACCAAAGAACATGATCGTGCGTGCAGCAAGGCAAGTTTACTATTTTATCTAAAACGCGTCTTAAAGAAAGAAAGACTACTGCTATAGTTGTTGTCGTTGTTGCTGTTATCATTTTCTTAAGAAAGGCAAATGAATTGGTTAATCAATCAATCAATCAAAAAATAATAATAATTGACACTCTATAATTTATTTATGTAAAATTTTCTTTAGTGAAAAGATTCAAGGCCAGGTGATTGGTATCGATTTGGGAACAACCAACAGTTGCGTGTCAGTTATGGAAGGCAAGACACCTAGAGTTATTGAGAATGCAGAGGGTGGAAGAACCACTCCATCTGTGGTAGCTTTCACAAAGGATGGAGAGAGACTTGTAGGCCAACCTGCCAAAAGACAGGTAAAACTAATATATTCAAACATTTTGGGATAGTTAGCTTAGCTATTCAAGTAATAAGGATAGTGAAAAGAAAGTGAGAGATAGGCAATATATATAATGATAATAATAATAATAATAATCTTAGGCTGTTGTGAATCCAGAAAATACTCTTTTTGCCACAAAGCGTTTGATTGGACGCAAGTTCACAGATGATGAAGTAAAGCGTGATATCAGTGCTGTGCCTTACAAGATCGTGGCCCACACAAACGGCGATGCCTGGGTGGAGGCGCGTGGCAAACAATATTCGCCTTCGCAAATCGGAGCTTTTATTGTGGGCAAGATGAAGGAAACTGCCGAAGGATTTTTAGGAAAAAAGATCAAGAATGCAGTAGTGACCGTGCCGGCCTATTTCAACGATTCACAACGTCAGGCGACAAAAGATGCCGGTACCATTGCTGGTCTTAATGTTCTCCGGGTTATCAATGAACCGACCGCAGCTGCCCTTGCCTACGGTCTTAACCAGGACAAGGTTGGAGACAAGTCGGTGGCTGTGTATGATCTGGGTGGAGGTACCTTTGATATTTCCATTCTTGACATCCAGTCCGGTGTCTTTGAGGTCAAGAGCACAAACGGCGACACTCATCTTGGAGGAGAAGATTTTGACATTCTGTTGGTTCGTTGGTTGATTGATGATTTCAAGAAAGAGGCAAGTAATTCCCTTTGTTGTTGTTGTTGTTGGTAGAAATCATACATACTAACTTACACACAATTTTAGTCTGGAATTGATTTGTCTGGAGATCGTATGGCTGTTCAGCGTATTCGTGAGGCAGCCGAAAAGGCAAAGATCGAATTGTCATCGACTGTCCAGACTGACATCAACCTTCCATATATCACTGCTGACGCGACTGGTCCCAAACACATCAACACAAAACTCACACGCGCAAAGTTTGAGCAGATGGTGAAACCCTTGGTGGACAAAACCCTCGAGCCCTGTCGCAAGGCTCTCAAGGATGCCAGCACAACCGCAGCTGATATTGGAGAGGTCATTCTGGTCGGTGGTATGTCTCGTATGCCAAAGGTTCAAGAGCTGGTCAAGTCTATCTTTGGCAAAGATCCAACCAAGAGCGTAAACCCAGATGAAGGTAAAAAAATTAAAAAAAAAAAGAATAAAATATATATATTTTACCCCAATAAAGTATAATTGTACTATACAATTATGCGTGTGTGGGGTTAAACTAACTAAACAAAATATACATATATATATTATGATTATGATTATGATTATGATTATTTTATAATACACATATAAAATAAAATAGCCGTTGCTATGGGAGCAGCTATCCAAGTAAGGCAATTTTATTTTTTTAAGAAAAAAAAGATACATCAGCGGATAGACTAACAAAGAGGTTCTAATCCTTGTCCCTCTGTTCACTTGTCTACCTACCTATCTATACTTTATATATATATATATATACTTAGGGTGGTGTACTGGCTGGAAGTGTAACAGATCTGCTTCTGTTGGACGTGACTCCTTTGTCACTTGGTATTGAGACTCTGGGCGGAGTATTTACCCGCCTGATCAACCGTAACACGACCATTCCTACCAAGAAGTCCCAGACATTCTCGACAGCAGCCGATGGCCAGAATGCGGTCGACATCAAGGTCTACCAGGGAGAGCGTGAGCTGGTTCGGGACAACAAGCTGCTCGGAAACTTCCAGTTGACCGGTATCCCGCCTGCTCCTCGTGGTGTACCCCAGATCAATGTCGAGTTTGACATTGACGCAGACGGTATCGTGAACGTGAGTGCCAAGGACAAGGCAACCAACAAGGACCAGAGCATGACGATCGCCGCCTCTTCTGGTCTGAGCGAGTCTGAGATTGAAGCAATGGTCAGACAAGCCGAAGAGAACGCTGAGACAGATCGTCGTTATCGCGAGACAATTGAGATGGCCAACAGAGCTGATTCGGTCGTCCACGATACTGACAAAGCTCTCGAGGACTTTAAGGACCAGCTCGATGCCTCGGAAGCAGAGGGTTTGCGCTCCCAGATGCAGACCATACGCGAGGAAGTGGCCAAGGCTCAGGCCGGTGATGCCTCGGTCCAGCCTGATGATCTCAAGGCCAAGATTGATAGCCTTCAGCAAGCAAGTCTCAAGTTGTTTGAGATGGTCTACAAAAAGGTAAATATATTAAGTCGGTCCATTGGAACAAATGGACAGGCGGAAATATTAAAGGGCGATAGAGCGGAGGATAGAAGAAAAAGGTGGAGAAGGAAATAAAAAATAGGGCGGGGGGGAAAGAGAGGGGTAGAAGAGGGAAGGCGGGGCGGGTAAACATGTGAAGAAATTAAAGTATGAATATATGGTTGAATACAAATGTATTTTGTATATAATCTATACATTAACTTTAACTTAATGAATGGGGGATTTTTCTTTTATGTGGCTGTATATCAATTACTTGACTATTGTAATTCTAAATTCTATTTTGTCTAGCGAGCGGGCCAGAACGAAGGCACCGATGCTTCTAGTGGTACAACAAATAATGGACCAAAGGAAGGAGACTTTGAGGATGTCGACAAGGACAAGAAGTAAAAGGAAAAACTTAAAAAAAAAAAACAAAAACAAGAAACTTAAAGCTAAAATTTATCTTTATCTTTATATATAAAAGTTACAAGAAGGAGAAGACAAAAAATTCCACCTAGGATATATTTTATTACTGAATATATTTTTATATATATGAAAGAAAGAGTGAGTGAGTGAGCGAGTGAGTTTATCTAAAAGTAAAGGAAAGTAAAAAGGTGAAGAAGAAAAGGTATACAGCAAAGAGTTGAAAATGTACAGAATGCCATGAAGAGAAGAGAAAGAATGAACGATAAAGAAGATAATAAGGAGATTATAATACAAAGTCATATAAGAAGCTTTCATTTGTTTGTTCGTTTGTTTTTTTTTTTTGGTGCTTTTGTAAAATTTAATGACGAGCAGTAGCAGTAGTGGTAGCAGCAGCAGCAACAGCAATGGCAGCCACAACAGCAACTGCAGCAGCAATAACAGCAGTAGTGTTAACAGCAGAGACATAAGTGTAAGCAGTGTTGGTTACAATAGCAATAGCCTTGCTTGCATTTGTTGTTGTGTTTGCCGTTGCTGTTTTTATTGTTGTAGCAGGTGTAGCAGGTGTAGTAGCAGGAATAGATGCAGCATTAGCAGCATCAGCAGCGTCAGGAGTAGATGCAGGTGCAGATGTAGGTTCAGGTGTAGAAGCAGGTGTGGTTGTTGTGATGGGTTTAGCAGGTTTATTAGTTGCAGAAGGACCCCAGCCATAAGACCGCTTGACTGCTTCGTTCCAGCCGTTGTACATTGCTTCCCGACGTTCGCCGGTGATTTTGGAGTCAAAGATCATCCGTCCTTCGGTGTTTATGAGTGCCAGTTCGTCAAAGGACTTCCAGAAACCGGTTGCAAAGCCGGCAGCAATGGCCGACCCGAGTGCAGTCATCTCGCGCATCTGGGGCCGGTCCACGTGAATGCCAAGCACATCAGCCTGGATTTGCATGCAGAGGTCCGAGTTGGACATTCCGCCGTCGACCTTGAGGGATCTGAGGGGCTTTCCGGACTCTTTGTTCATGGCCTCCAGGATTGCACGGGATTGGTAGCAGACTGCCTCCAGAGTTGCTCTGCAGATGTGTTCGAGACGGGTGAACTGGGTCATGCCACAGATCGTGCCACGCGCATCGTCTCTCCAATAGGGCGCAAACAGACCGGCGAACGCAGTGACAAAGTAGACCCCGGCAGACGAATCGACCGTCGACGCAAGCCGGTTGAGGTCCAGGGCGTCCTCGATGACACCCAGGTTGTCTCTGAGCCAGTTGATGGACGAACCGGCAACGGCAACCGAGCCTTCCAAGGCGTAGGCTGGAGGGTGGTCGCCGAACTGGTAGGCCACCGTAGTCAAGAGGCCGTTCTTGGAGATGACGGGAGCAGAACCGGTGTTGAACAACATAAAGCAGCCTGTACCATAGGTATTCTTGGCATCGCCTACGTTGAAGCATTTCTGGCCAACCAAGGCAGCCTGTTGATCACCCAAGCAGCCGGCAATAGGAACGCCCTCCAGAGACCCCTCGTCGACCAGACCGTAGATCTGAGAAGAGGAGACGATTTTTGGCATGTGGATCTGATCAAATTTGAAGAAGCTATCCAAAACAGAATAATAGTATGAATTGTTAATAATTTAATAATTAAGCTGAAACTACAATACAATGTTCATTGTCCATTGTTAAAATTACTATTATTATTGCTATTATTGCTATTCAACTAAAATAATTAAATCAAATCAAATCAAATCAAATCAAATCAAATCGAATTGAATTGAATATAGCCAAATCAAATCTTATTCAATTGTTATAAAAAATAGATAGATAGTTAAATAGAAACTCTTACTGTTTGGCTTCCTCGCTCCACTGTAGTGTGTGAATGTCCATGAGCATTGTTCGGCTAGCGTTGGTTACATCGGTTACAAGAACATTGTTCTTTTGTCCTCCAGTCAAATTCTACGTTACAGAAATAAATGTGAGATTATTATTGTTGTTATTTTTAAAGAATATATATATATATAATATATGAGACCCGGGTTAAAATAAATATGAAAAAAAAAGATGTAAAGGCAAAGGCAAAAAAATCACAAATCAAAAATCAAAAATCAAAAATCTGAGTTAAAACGGGAAGAAATAGAATAAAAATAAAAATAAAATAAAAAAAAAGGGGGGGGGGGGGGGGGGGAAAGAAAATAAAAATAGAAATATATATATATTAGGGCTTACGTAAATCAACCAGGTATCAACTGTTCCAAACTGAAGACGTTGTTGCTGTTGTGCTTGTTGAACGATAGGAACGTTGTCAAGTAGCCATCTCAGTTTGACTGCTGAAAAGTAGGTGGTGAGGGGAAGACCGCAGAGATGTCTGAGACAGTCGACACCCTTTGGATCGGTTGCAGCCAGGGCCTTTACGGTTTCGGTGGTACGAGAATCGCTCCAGACAATGGCGGGATGGAGGGGTTGGCCGGTCAATCTATCCCAGGTGACTACTGTCTCTCGCTGGTTGGTGATGCCGATGGATGTGATATCGCTTGCTTTGTGACCGAGGATCTTTAGTTTATTGACTGCATGTTCGATACATGTCCTTGCAGTGTCAATGATTTCATAAGGATCATGTTCCACCCACCTAATTTAGTATTAGTATATATATATATATATATATTATTTTTTTGATTGATTGATTGGATGAACAAGTTGAATGAATGGGGGTAGTCAAAAGTATATATATATATATATATAAAAGAATGATAAAGATTGTATATTAGTATTAGGGATAACAAAGGTAATTATTATCAATATTAATTACCCTGGCTGTGGATAGTGCTGCTCCAACTCCATCTGATGGAAAGTGACAATCGAGCCATCCTTGTCAAAGACAACAAAGCGGGTCGAGGTCGTGCCTTGGTCAAGGGCTCCAACGAATTGAGGCATCAAAATATGAGAAAGTTGAGAAAAATTTAAGAAATGTAGAATTTACAAGAAAAGGAGAAGAGAAGCAAAAAGAATAAGAAAAAAAATTATACATTTTATTTATATATGCCTTTTCTAATAAGAATATTTCCTCTTATTGGTTCTTTGATGCACATCGGGAAACCGCTGCAGAAATTGATTATCATAATCTTATATATATAGAAACACACCACACATACAGCACACAAGAAAGATAAAAGTGTACAAGCGGATTAATCGGTGTGTTTAATTGATTACTATTGGTCCCTTTAAGCCAAATACACCTAAACATCAAAAATAAATATAAAATAAAAAAATTACCCTAAAAACCGGTTTGCTCTTTTTTTTATTATTATTATTATTATTTGGTACAATTTTTATTTTATACTTTTGTCACAAGCCAAGTGGTACAAAAAAAGAAAGATTACATTTTCAAATGGAAGCAGAATATTATTTTATACAGGTCAAAATAATAAACTAAAAAAAAAAAAAAAAAAATCACACACAAAAACCTTTGCAAAGTACTTTTGTGTCAAGCTATTGTTCTTCATATTTTTATTTTTTATTTTTGAAACAAGAACATATTGTTTCAATTTTCAAATTACTTGCTATTATTTAATGATTTCATCAATGGTAATGATATTGGTTATCTATATCAAGAATACGTTACACCTATATAATATATTATAAACACACTACAAATATCTTTCACTTCTTGTTCTTCTACTCTTTAAAATAATAATAAAAATAATAAAAATATATTATTTATTTATTTATTTACTTATTTATTTTTTAATGTCTAGTGTTACAGATATCTGGTTTGCAGTGGCTTGTAAACACAGCCTGGTCAGACTCGATCTGAATTGTCGAGTGGTGGACACCGTACATATCACACACAATGTGCTGACTTCTTTGCAGAACTTCATCATAGCTCAGCTCAGAGTCAGCAGAAACGGTGATGTGTGCAGTCAGAGAGCTCTTTCCAGGTGACAAGGTCCAGATGTGCAGATCGTGAACAGCAACAACACCAGGAATCTGAGACAGCGACTTTTCAATCGCCTCTGGTTCAATATTGCCAGGCACTCCCTCCATCAACACCGCAAGCGAGTCCTTGACAAGGTGGTAAGTAGTGTAGAGCACAAGAATAGAGAACATGAATGTGCACAATGGATCAACAATGGTGTAGGAAGGCTTGAAGATCAAAATGATTGAAGAAATCAAGACGCCTTGATAATAGAAATAAAATTTTATGGTTAGTCTTAGTTATCAACATACACACTACACTACACACACATATTCATTCATTCATTCATTAATTAATTAATTAATTAATTAATTAATTGTCAAGACAAGGCATTCTTGCAAATCAATCAATCAATCTATATAAATACATGTATGTGTGTGTGTGTGTAGTGTGTTTGCATATATCATTATACTCATATGTATACACACCAACAGATGCCAACAAGTCACCCAATACATGAAGAGCTGCTGCACGCAAATTGATGTTGGTTTCCTATCAAAGCAATATACTTCATTAGTATATATATATTCATTAATTCATCTTACTTTGCGAGAAGGCTGGGTGTTAACAAGAGCCTCGGTATCTGCATCAGCATGGCTGTGGCTGTGGCTGTGGTCATGCTCATGGTCGTTATTATGATCGTGGTCGTGGTCGTGGTCGTGCTCGCTACCGTGGCTATGATCATGGTCGTCATGGCTGTGACCATGCCCATGATGGTGTCCACCCAAAACATACGCCAATCTATAACATACCAAAGAAAAATGTTGTGTTTAGTTTCTTTTGACTAATGATATGAGTTCAAAGAAAATGCATGAAAACTTACACAACATTGACAGCAACACCAATCGATGCAGTAATACACATCTAAATCATTAGTTGGTTTTCAATAAGTTAGTTGTTTAATAAGTTGAATACAAATAAATATCTCTTTTAGACAGTAGATCAACGTGCAGTAAAAGAAAACAAAAACCAAAACAGACACTCCCTGAACTAGAATCTAAATTTCTCTTCTTCATCCTCATCTTCACCTTCTACTCTCTGCTTCTCCTTAATTCTCCCTCTCCTTTCTCTTTCTCTTTCTCTTTCTCTTTTTTTTTTTCTTGCTCTTAATTTAATTAAGAAATAATAAAGGTGGGTTATATAACTAAATATATATATTACCAGTTTAGCATCGATCTCCTGGGGTCTCTTGACACGTTCAATGGCCTCGACAACCAAATAGGCTGTCAATACCCAGATAGTCAAAACCGAAACAAGAGCAGCAATCACTTCAGCACGATGGAAACCATATGTGTGACCTATAGAAACACAAGAAAAAGAAAAGAAAAAGAACGCATGTATGTATGTGAGTAAAATGAAAATTGATCATGTAATACAAAAATAATAATAACAAGAAAATATTTACGCTTTGTAGCAGGTTTTTCGGCAAGATAAATAGCAGCCAAAGCAACAATAAAACTGGCCACGTCAGACAACAAGTGAAAGGCATCCGACATAAGAGCTTTTAGTTTTCATAGATAAATTAATTAATAAAATATCATTCAAATATATATATATATATGTGTGTGTGTGTGTGTGTGTGTGTGTGTATGTGTGTGTGTGTACGTATGGGCGTATAGGCATAGGCGTATATATAGTTATGATAATGGGTGTACATGTGTTGTCTTACCAAGGGAATTAGCAAAGTAACCTGCTACCAATTCAGTGCCAAAGAACACCAGGGCAAGAGCAGTAGCAAACATAAGCTTGCGTTTTGTTGATCGTGCATTATCGGAATTCTTGGCAGTGATGTTTGAACATGAAGATGCATTGGGCATGCTATAAGAAACCACAGACCCCGAGAGATGCGATCTTGATGGGGCTGTCAATGGAGTATGTTCATCCGCAGTAGAGTGTGAATGAGCCATACTGAGTATCTTTTTCTCTCTCTCTTTTATTCTTTGTTTAGATAAAGAAATACTTCTTCTAATTTAACAAAAGAGAAATAATATGAAAGAAAGAAAGGAAGAGGAAGAAAGGAAATAAAAGAAGAAAAAAAATAGAATAAAATCAATTGAAAAAGGAAAAAAAAAAAATCAAAAGAAATTAAAGACGAAACAACAAAGGAAGAAAAAAAAATCAAAATAAAGGAAACAATTGCCTAAATATATATTATATATATATTATACATATATATATATATATAATATATATCTGCTATGTGCTATGTGCTATGTGCTATGTAATGTAGTGTAATGTAGTGTAGTGAAGTGATTATGTATATATATATATATATATATATAGGATGACATATTGCTTACTATAGTATAATTAATCAAGCAGGTAATAAGTAATAAGCAATACTCTATCAAAAAATCAAGATCCTGCTGTCTTCCTTTACTAGCTCTATGGCTCTCTCTTTTAGACTTCTTTACTGTCTCAAAATAAAATAAAATGGATATATGTAATAATGAATCACGTGCTGATCGTGCTTCACTGCCATCTTGTCTAGACAAAGTAGGATCCATTGTTGTCGTAAAGGAAGCACGAGCATTTAGATCGCCTACCAAAACATCAGTCCATCAAAATAATAACTCTATTCATAATTCATCATGAAAAAAGGACACTAATTGTATGTATATATGCCTATATTATATAATGCTATTTATTCTATTTTATTTTTGCCCTTTTGGACTACCTTACTGCCTGACTGCCTGACTGCTTGACTGTCTGTCTTGTCGGCTAAAGAGCTTATGTAGGTTTATCCAATACGATCAAAGAATTTTTGTATTAATTTTCAAGGCAGCTCCAGTAGAATTAATAAAATCAGTCATAAATTTCTTTAAAAATAATAATCAGTTTTTATTGCTTGTTACAATGATCAAGACGCAGTAATCACATTGACTTATTTCAAAGTACAGCTAATAATGCACAGCACCACAACCCACAGTGTACAAAGCACAAGGCACGAAGAATAAGTAACAAGGAACATATATCTTTCACAAATTAAACAAAGATTCATATATACATATACATATTATAGACTAATAAATTAGCTAATTCTGGGTCAGTGTGTTTTGTATATATTTTTTGGTCCTTTTTTTATTTTATTTTATTTATTTATTTTTATGGTTAAAACTCAATCGGTAAAGGAGCAGGGCTGAGCTTCATGCTATTTCTAAAGATTATCAGATCAAAAATTCTCCTCGTGCTAGTTATTACCAGATCATTATAATTAGCATTATCCTCAGCATAAACATCGTAACCATAATCATAATCATTAGTATCATCTCTTGTTTTTTCTCTCTGTCTCTTTCTCTCGATATTCTCCAGCTCTGACATTACATGGGTAATTAATTTGACTGTGTCAGTGCTGGTATTAATAGCAGTAAAATTCAATTCCTCTGAGCCGTCGTTATTGCCAAGACTCTCGAGTACTACAGACAGGAGTGTATCGGCAACCAACGGTGTACTACCCATCATTCTAATGATCGTATCTTTGAGTTCATGCAACCCGGCAAGTCTTATTTCTTTGGGCCCCAGATGTTCTTGTATCCGATTCACACATTGTTTCCGTAGTCCGGGGTCCAACAACCATGAAGGAAAAGAGCTCCTGTTGTGGGATTGAATGTGTACCGATAGTCTACGGATGTGTGCTGATTCCGGTTCAATGTAACGTTTGATAAAATTAACCAACGATTCTTTGGTAACCTTTTTTAATTCATCGGCGTCCTCTTCATCTTTAAAACAATAAAGAAAGAAGCATCAGTACATATATAATAAATAAATTGAAAAGGTGAACAATGTTACCTTGCTCAAAATTGTAATAACCTGAGCGAATATGAGACCAGTACTTGTCACCCTCCTGGCCAATACTCTTCATCTTCCCCAGTTTTTTGTGAACCAATGACTGTATCTGTGCCATGTACTCAGTGTCAGACATTGCCTCCACAATTCCCCCGAGGTTTTTCAGAAACTCTTCGATTCTTCTTTCCACATAAAGCGTGTGATTATTACTTTGTACCATCAGTCGATAGCTAGTGTGACCTGCTTGAATGTTCATTCCACTAAACACAGTATAGCCTATAATGAATCCATATACACATTTTAGTCGTTTGATTAAATATCAAATTACTTTTGTGACCAGATATTTTCTTTTGCTTTCAATTGCTGAAAGAAAATAAACCATTTCATATATACTTATTTATTTACCTAGATGTTCTTTGGTTCGCAATTGATTAAAAAAAGGTTCTCTGGATATATGAGCTACTAAATTCAATCTGGCTCGTTCCCACTTGTTGTCTTCATTTCCAATCTGAATCATATACAGCACACCAGAATCGACAATTTCTGGATCTGATACCTGTTTCTGATAAAGCCATTTGGTACCTAGAGGCCACAGAACACAAGACAATCGACCAAAACAATAAAGAGATATTACTACTATTGATAATAATATCTCATAATCTGTACATACACATTTGGCTATATATCTTTATTTTACCTTTTGGAAATATCACACTACGTGAAATATTTGACTGGCAAAGTTTGGCTTTAGATAACGGACGATAGTTTAATAGATCTGTTGCAAAAGTAAACAAATAAATAGCCTTTTCCTTTGAGATGTTTCCGTTGACTAAAGCCTCGATGTGCAGTTCGGACAAGAAACTTGAATAGAATAATTCTATATCCTCGACAGTTGTGTTTCTCAATTCATAAAGTCTCTCTGTGTCAGTCCATCTGTCATCCCCAGCCAGGTAGTCCAAGTAATGATTGGCGATTCTGAGAGGTTGTTCCATTTCAAAATTCTCAAAAGATCTAACCAACTATTCAAAGAAGAACAAGAAATAAAGAGAAAAAAGCATGTACTTTTAGCAAATAACAATAACAATATACTCACTTCTTCTCTCACCTTTTCTCTGAGTGAAATAAATGCCTTTGGGTCAACTTTAAAATCAAGCAAATTCCGGATGATCATCTCAAACAAAAACGGTAATTTGTCGTTGAATCCATCGATTATAAGCTCTAGTCCGTGAGTCCCTCCTTTGAGTGAGAATATCAAACCCGCAGTCTCGGCATTGTACGTGTATTCACTTGATGAATATCTGATCAAATGTGCGCACAACCTGTTAAAAGTAATAATAGCAATAATATTCACAAATTTCCTTCTTAGTTAAGAAAATAATAGTAATATTAGTTATTTTACTTGCATTGTTCTGACACTGTTGGCTGCAGTATCACCAGAAAATTTGCTTTTGAAAAAGACCCATACATTTGCCTTTGGGATCCAAAATGTGTCGTCTTTTTTATGCCACAGTTTTAGCTTTGGGTTTTCAATGATTAAGTCGGGTTTCTTTTTTATATTTTTAATATCAAGTCTGTGAACTTGATAGTCTAGTGGGATAAAGATATTCGGGAGAGGCAAATGAAGTTCTGGGTGGAGGGTTAAATGACTCAATTTCTGATTAACAAAGAATATATATATATATATGTGTGTGTGTATTAGTATAAGTAAGTAAGTAAGTAAGTAAGTATGTGCGTATATTAACATTTTGAAATTCTTTTGATTATAGCTATTGTTATTATTATTCTTTTTTAAAAAATTACCTTTTTAAAGCTGGTATCGAATTCAAGTACTTGGTATTCTGTACCATACCATTTCTCACGTAAGGTACACTCCACATCATGCTCTTGACTTGTTAACAAGAGCCTAAAGTTGTCAGTCCGCAGCCAGTTGAGATTATCTTGAATTACTGTTGGATTGTACTCTTGAATAATATGGCTGCCGTTTATAATACGATTTGGATGGTAATTACGTTGCATAAGTCCAGCCAGATCAGAAACATAGGCAGATTCTCCAAACTCATTATTACCAAACTCAAATTCAAGTCTTGACAAGGACTGGAATTCGGTAAAAAAAGATTCCTGTACCCCGATTTCTTTGATAAGCTTTATGTACTGGAATACTGCGACCACAATATCTTTATAACAACCTTCCACAATAAAATAAAAGGAAACGATATATAAGTAGCTATAAGTATATTCTAATATTGCTGCTTTTATTATAATTACAATTGCTTTGGTTTGTAATCAAAAGAATAATAATAATAATAATAATAAGAAGAAAAAAACCAGTAGACTTACTTTGACCCTTTTCTGTAAGGTCCACACTAATTGAATAGAACCCAAAGCCAATGCCACCATGTTTGGCAGATACCTCAAGTGATTCGGCCCACCCATTGTTTTTAAATAATGAGAATAACGACCCCTTTCCTTCGTGGCCAATGAGACGAGATATGTAGTTTTCTGGCTAGATATTATATATTTCATTGGGTGTGAATTTGCGAGATCATATCATTATTATTATTGTTGCTGTTGTTAAGGTTCAGAGCCTTTATATATATATGTACAATCTTATATTTTGTTTATTTACCTGATGAGCATAAAGCGGGTATTGATCAGGAAAAGGAAATACAATATCAATATTGCGAATATTTTTGATTGGTTTGATAAATATCTGCTTCTAATGTAGGCGTCAATACGACTTCTTTTATAGATACATATACATGCATATACACATGTAATACATGCATATTAAACAGCTTAATAATAGCCTTACCAAGAGTTCATTGCTTGTCAACGGAGAATCAGGAAACTGAGGTGGACTGATATTCTTGTTTGGTACTTCTTTGAATTTATCGACTGCCAACTCTGTTAAACAATCCAATGAATCTATACATTTGAAATAGTGTATTATAAGAGGCTATTATTAAATATTTCTACTGATTGATTTTTCTTTTCAAAAAAAAGTATTTAATTGTACCTTTCCCAAGGATACATAACTTCATAATATTGGCAGAATAATATGACTTATAGAAATTTATCAATTCGCTGCGAATATCTGTGATACTTCTTTTCAGATCGTCACACAGGGTTTCATGGTTTCCTGTACCAAAGTGACAAAAGGGATGGCTTGGATTTCCCAGTGATTTCTCAAGTTGAAATTTTCTCCAGTGATCATTTTGCTTATTATCGTCATGTTCTACATTAAATAAAAATGAGCACAGCTATGTATATAGGTATACACTTTACCAGAGTTGATGATGTTTAATTCCCTTTCGGCACATGTTTCTGAAAATAAAGGACTGACAAAGAACTGCGAAAAGCGATCCAAAGCACCCTCAAGATACTTTTGATCAATTTCAAAATAATATTGTGTATTTTCTGTACCAGTGAACGCATTTGATTGACCTGAGTGGTCTGCAAGATATTTTCTGTATTCATTATCTCTGGGATACTTCTTTGTACCCATAAATAATAAATGTTCACAAAAGTGGGCCAGTCCTTGAAAGTCATCCTTTTACATAGAGTAAGTATCTATAAGAAAAATAAAAAAAAGTAGATATTTGTTACTTACTGGATCACTGAGATGACCAACATGTACATCAAGAGCAGCACTAGAGACATTTGTGTCCGGATCGCTGACCAAAAGAACCTCTAGTTGGTTCTCAAGTCTGATGAGGCGATATTTACGGTGATCATGGACAGACTTCTCGAGTGAGGTTTTGTATGTACAGAATTTTCCACAACCAGAAGATATCCATTCAGAAGAGTTTGATACCATAGTGATAGTAGATATTTTAAATAAAAACTACCAAAGTAATGAACGCACAGATACAAAAGAAATTACCTCTATTTTAATTTCATAATTAATATATTATATATAAAAAAACAATGAGTTGGCTAAAAGTATAATCGCATCTTTATCGTCTTTATTTCTTTATTTTTTTAAATATGCTATTCTCGACATTGAAAAGGTGTTGTCTGTCAACACATCTTCTTTAATGTCTTTGACCACTTTGAAAAAGACATTCAAATATCTAGTCCTTCATTAGGAGATAGCTCACAAACTACCATTTAGAATAAAGAGATTTACTTAAAGTATGTTTCAATATTATAGACACATATCCACATTGAATAAGTTTGAAACGCAACAGTAACAGGATCAACGTTAATAGCAACATTTCATTACATATTTTTCTTTCTCTTTTTTTAAGAGTAAATTATTCACAGTATTTATTGCATAGTAACATGCTTCATATGTATGTGTTCCCTTTTTTTATTTCTTCAGATTTAAAGTCTAGAGTATACATATTACCTAGTGTGACATGGCCATCTCAAAGAGTTCCAACCTCTTTATTCTATTCTTGTAAAAAAAAGCCAAACTTGAGACTGTGTAGGGCTGACATACATTTTTTATTTTATTTTTTATTTTTTATTTTTATTTTTTATATTATGTTATATTATTTATTCTGTACTTTAGACCGTGGCTTATAATGGCAATGTTGACTACATTAACAACCTTATTATTCCAATGGAACCTCCAGCTCACTTGACATCTCGTCGACAACGTAAGATCTGGGAACAGCAACAAAAAGACAATGCTGCCAAACGACACAAGCCACACCACGATCCTTTTCGCACTCTCGAACGACACTTCAAAGCACCTCATCCATCTATGGAAGATGTGATTGATCTCCACGCACCTCACGATAAACTAATAGCCGTACCTCTTGCCCATCCTCTTACTTCTGATGTATTTGGCCCACAAATAACTTCACAGACCGCTTATATAGTCAAAGATATTCCGGGCCTAATAGTGATCCCTAACCCATTCAGCCCAGAAGCTCAAAGGGCAATGATTGCACAATGCCTCACAGACTTTGCTCGACCACCCAATACATCCAACCATGACGCATTTTTCAAGATACCCGAAACAGGACTCTGGCCTCTTTATGTGGCCGAGCAATCCGGAGCCAAGTCTATTCCGACAGTGCCTCCAAAGGAAAAAAGCCAGGGTGCTTTTTTGGCCAACTCATTGCTGTCACCCACAGATATGCTCCGTAAGCAGCGGTGGGTTACGCTCGGATATCAATATCACTGGGGTACAAAAGAATATGATCTCGAGCGAGATATCAAAGTACCCTCGACAGTGGGTGAGATGGCTGTGGATGTGGTGACTGCAATCCAAGGAATTGGTGGTGAAGGCTGGACGAATTCATACCAGGCCAATGATTTTGCAGCTGAGGCCGGAGTAATTAATTATTATCAGATCAAAGACACTTTGATGGCCCATGTTGATAAAAGTGAACTAAACATGGAAGCCCCACTTGTTTCCGCCAGGTAAATTTCTTTTCTACTTTGTACACATACAAACCAAATGTTAATTGAAGAGGTGATCTTGATAAATAACCAAATTCTCATTTTATGATTTTTTTTAAAATATATATATGTATCAGCTTTGGATTGTCGTGCATTTATCTTCTTGGAGGTCCCACAAAGGAAACACCCCCTGTAGCTCTCCGCCTATCCAGTGGCGATATTATTGTCATGACGGGAGCTTGTCGGAAAGCCTATCATGGTAAGCGCAAGGAACAATATTTCTCCTTATTTTAATATTTTTTTAAAAGAGAAAATATCCAACTTTATAACTAATTGCACACAAAAATGTATATATTTATATAATAGGGGTTCCTAGGATCCTTGAAGGCACGTTGCCAGATTACCTCGGATCTGATGCGTTTGGTGACCAGTTGGATGGGGAGCTTCTTGGAAAATGGATGAATAGTACTCGTATTAACCTCAACATTCGTAAAGTATTTCCCTCATCTACCTCCCTGGAGACTCCTTAAGATAACTTTGTAAAAGCTTCCTCATCCCCTTCTTTTCTTTGTTAAAAGTAACCAACCAGTCAGTAATTCAGTTAGCCACTAAGGCATTAATTACTTTATTCATTCATTCACATACTCATATATTCATTCATTCATTCACTCATTCATTTATATAATAATTCATTCGTTCTTTCATTCACATGCTCATATATTCATTCATTCATTCACTGAATTATTGACTTATTGGCTCGTATATCATTATGAATACACATATACACACAAGATAGGGGATAGAGATTGAAAGAAACCCAAAATTCAACTTAAATTTCTAACAACTGCTTTACTCCACAAGTAATTGCCAGCCACGTCGGTAATTCATTGATCTGAACTCCCCTGTCTTTTGTGTTAGATTTCTATTTCTTGGCAAGAAGCACAAACAATTAATAAAAAGCACACAAAAAATAGAGGGAATTGCCAAGGAACCAATATATTGCGGCTGGTAAATTATCATTAAAAGGCGATCATGTTACACTGAGCTTATTTAAATGCATTGCTGCCACACTTGAAAAGATGATGAATTCCAGGAAACAATAATAATTTTGTATAATAGAATGAGACGACATTAGCCTTTATGTCTGCTGTCAAAGGAATGACAAGACCATCATCATTATCTTTCAAGCATTCATCAAGCCAACTACCGTCGTCTCCTTTCTTTATTTTTTGGCTAGTTCCACGATAAGCCCACTGATCCAACTGATCCAGCTACTTCATCTGCTTATTTTTTTAAAAAAAAATTCGCTTCTATAAGAATAGTGGAGTAGTAAAACCAAATCCTTTTATGTTCAACAATTGTTTATGGCTCACCTTGCTACCTCAGATTGGTACAGTGTCTGAAGCAATATTTTTCACTTCTTAATCTTTTCAAGATCCTCATTTGTAGAAACGGGCATACATCTGATATATCTTGCTTTTGATGTTCATTATAAGAGAGCAAGAAGGATGACCAACAGTCCAAAAAAAAGCACAAAAAAGTCTGGCATTTGTGATTCGGAAACTGTAGCCAGAAGTGTTTGATTTTTGCTGCCAGTATTAATGAGAATCGCATTAATATATAATCAACGCAGAGCAGTCGTGTAAAATCAGGATCATTTTGTAAAGCAATGCAATCTGAAAGAGTGGACAGTGCTAAGCATTGTAATTACAAAGTAGTTATTATTCAGATTGGCTGAAGACGAGCTTGATGAGGAGAAATATGTGAGCTGTGAAGAGTAATCTAGCAATCATTTGAGACACAAATTAACAATCTCCAGAACTGTCAAGCACCAGGTACATATACACGACGCATTTTTATTGATTGACCTCAACAACGAGTTGTTGATCCTTTTCTTCCTGAACCTGCTCACTTGGTGAAGTATCTCGCATACGGTGCCGACTATCTTCAGTTGAAGACCCTCACATGTGCTACTTACCGCTCTGTATTTCTTGATACGTACGCCAAAACAACTTTCCTCACCCAGGATCCCATGTATCGTGAATTATTTTCCGCTCTTGATGAAAAGAATATTATGCCCTTTCATTGTCTAACTTTGTGACATTATGCTTTTTATATCGCTCCTCTGTAACATTGGCCCAAATGATAAACTCGGATATTTAAGCATATCCAATTTATCATAAGATCCCGCAACCCGCTGGTACTGTTTTCCCTAAGCCAAGAGCTTCGAATTCTACTTTGACATTGACATTGGCGTTGGCTGCAGGCGTTTCCGCCGACAAAATTCTTATATGTAGCTCTTTATTTATCATCCGAGATTGACATGTTTTAATGTCTGTCCTGACAAACCGTCGGCAGCTTTGCAGTTATGGCTCTTTCTTCTTCATCTCGCTGTCTTTTGGCTGTCACTCTTTTCAATTTAATTCTTATGATTCAATACCATTCGCTTAACAATGATAAAGAGTATAGAGCACACTTGGCTATACGTTATTATGAAAGCTCTGAATAAACAAAGAAATGCTGGTAACACAGTCAGAGTCTCTGTCTCCTCGAATAATAAGAATATGTCTTTGGACTAACGGCCTCGACCAAAAGACCTGAACCTCCCTAATTTTTGGAATTTGCTATTTGTTTTTCTTTTTTCTTTTCTTTTTCAGAATGAACAAAATTTACCAGCCGCACTCTATCTTTGCTATTTTTGGGTTCTTTCTTTTTTTTTAAAAAAAAAAAAGAAAAATGTATTTTAATTTTATTTTATTTTGTAAAGAAAAAAAAAGTTCACTCTTCCTTTCTATTTCTTATCTCGATGCGGATCCTTGCCTTTGCACTACTGTCCTTGGCAACTGTACTCGCCCAACCTGTCAAGCGGGATCCTCTTCGTCACTACTACGCCCTTCATTTCCCTCAGGAGCATCCCCACACAACAACTCATGCCCAATCAATTGCCAACTCTCTCGGTGTACGGTACGAAGGGCCAGTTGGAGAATTACAGACATATTTCTTGGTCAGTGCACCAATCACATCAAATCTATCCAAACGAGACACCAATGACCCTACTGTCGAAGCATTCTGGGCCCACAAACAAAAGCGGTCCTTGATGGCTCGTGATGAGATTCGTTCAAGTGCATGGGATGCAGTTAAAAGTATCGACAAACAAGTTCTCAAACGACTTCACAAGCGTGGCCCGATTCCCGGCTGGGACAAGAGAGCTCCCGTAAAACTTAAGGGACCAGAAATACTTGCAGATGCCCAAAAGTCATTGCACATTACTGATCCCGGATTCCCTCAACAATGGCATCTGGTCAACCAGCAATATCCCGGAAAAGACATTAATGTTGTTGATGTGTGGAAACAGGGAGTTACAGGAAATGGGTCTACAGTTGTCATTCTTGATGATGGTTTGGACTATGAGAGTCAGGACCTTGCTGCGAACTTTGTATGTGATTATATATATATTAAAAAAAAGAAGCTTATATGGTGGTAGTAATAGCAATAGTGATAGTAAATTTAGTGATTAATCAGTACTGTGAAATTAATCTCTTCCACCCACATTTATCACTTACTCACTTACAATTGCTAGTTTGCCGAGGGCTCATATGATTTTAACGACCACACACCATTTCCAAAGCCACGTTTGTGGGACGATAGCCACGGTACACGTTGTGCAGGACAGATTGCTGCTGTAAAGAATGATGTTTGTGGTATTGGAATTGCCTACAATTCCCGGGTAGCAGGTACATTTCTTTGTTCCTTTTATTTTAACATAAATGAGTATATTAAAGGCACATGTGTGCAAAATAAAAAAAAAAACACAAGTTTACATGCTTTGTTGTTGATTAAAGGAGTAGAAATTGTAGAAAAGAAATATATATATATTAATTTATAATTTCTTTATTTATTTTTGGTTACTAGGTGTGCGTATTCTATCGGGTGATATCACAGACGCAGATGAAGCAGCAGCACTGAACTACAAATACCAAGACAATGACATCTATTCATGCTCATGGGGACCTTCTGACGATGGTGAGAAAATGGAAGCTCCTGTGGGTATGCTGGCCGATGCATTTCAGAATGGAGTCAAGAATGGAAGAGGTGGAAAGGGATCTGTGTTTGTGTTTGCAACCGGAAATGGTGCTGCTTCGGGAGATAACTGCAACTTTGATGGATACACCAACAGTATTTACACCATCACAGTTGGTGCAATTGACCATACAGACAATCATCCACCTTATTCAGAGAGCTGCTCGGCACAGCTAGTGGTTACTTACTCAAGTGGAGGAGGAGAATACATTGTAAGTAATCTAAAAAGAAAAGAAGAAAGAAATAGAAAGGGAAAGAGAGAGATAGAGATAGAGACCTGGTCTTTGGGCTCGATGTGATGTAAGCTCGGATATTAATATCCAATAATATAGTATACAACCAATGTGGGTACATCAGTGTGCACCAACAGCCACAGTGGTACCTCTGCAGCAGCACCCAATGCAGCAGGAATCTTTGCACTTGTTCTTGGTGTCAGACCTGATCTTACTTGGCGTGACATGCAGCATCTCTGTGTCCAAACAGCCGAGCCAATTCAACTTGAAGACAAGGATTGGAAGCGTCTACCCTCAGGACGAATCTACAACCACAAATTTGGCTACGGCCGTCTCAATACCCTTGCTTTAATCGAAGCCGCCAGAGCTTTCGAATCAGTGAATATCCAGACCCACCTTGAACTTTCTGTTATACTTAACAAGGCCGCCATTCCTGATTCTTCGGGTGCCAAACACCGTGTTGCTCTCAAGAGTGCGATCACAGTCACAGAGGAAATGATCAAGGCAGCTGGACTACTCCGTCTAGAGCACGTAACTGCTACAGTTGATATTGAACATCAGCAGCGAGGAAATATTGTCATTAACCTACAAAGTCCTCACATGGTTGAATCTGAACTTGCAACTGAAAGACCTCGCGATCTCAGTCCAGATGGCATTCGTGACTGGAAGTTCATGTCTGTTAAGCATTGGTAAGGGAATAGCACTAGTATATATTAAATAAGAGGAAAATAAATAGATAGTTAAAAGAAAGGCAATGAATTAGATTTTAATCTTTGAATATATATTTTTTTGAAAGGGATGAGAATCCTGTTGGTGACTGGACACTACTGGTGTATGATGTATCCCATCCCGAAATGACTGGAAACCTCTTGAAATGGACTCTTACTCTCTTTGGTGAGATGGATCCTGAATTCACCGGAAATCCAGTTTATAAACCAGAGGAAGTTCCCGTCGTCAAACCCACCTCCGTTGTTATAAAACCAACTGCCCCTACTTCTGACTCAACTACTGTTGCTGTTGCACCAAGTGTGGTTACTGAGCCATCTAGACCCACTCGTATCAAAGCCAATCCTTCCAAAAGTCTCTCACTTGCTTCTAGCGTAGGCTCTGCTTCGGCATCTGGATCCGCACCTTCCAATAGTCACATCGAGTCTACCACCAAAGCTGCTGCTTCTGAGACCAACTCGGTACCTTTGAATGGCCCAAGCGGAAAAGACGGACAGTACACCAATGCTGACGAAGAAGAACAAGTGAAAAACGAGGGGGATTCGGGTAAAAAGACAAATGACACTGTAGACATTATCATATATGCTGTAGTTGGATCTGCCACTATTCTTGGAATTGCTACTGCAATATTCATATTCAAACGCAACCATGGCAAGACAGCTCCTATTTTACCTCCAAGCTCTAGCGGAACTGCTCGATCCTCTCAGCCTGATGATTATGAATTCTCTATGCTTCGACCCGACGATGATGAAGATGATGAAGATGAGGATAATAGCACTACAGATGGACGACCACTGCTGGGATCCGGGGGACGTGATCATCGGTCGCCTGGACATTAATTGAATTTACCCTTCTTTATTCCCTCCTTTCTTTCAGCAAACAAAAAAATCAAAAAGAATACAGCGTCTCGATGACGCCTTAATGGAGATAGAATATATATTGTGAAATTAGATAATGAAGAAATGTTATTTGTACAGTACGCATATACTATAGTAAATGGCAGCTATTTAGCACATCATACTAGGAAAATCAGTTGCGAGTTCACGGCCTTTTCCTTTTTATTTTCCTATTTCTTTTTCTTTCAGAGCCATCAATATTATATATATATATATAAAAATTAGACCATTAGGTTATGAATTTCACATTTTACTTTGTGAATAAAGAATATAGGGATATGAGTAATCTCACGCCCTTATTCAAGCCAAGTCAAGCCATTTAAATATGGTAAAGACATGTATTACCTTCTCAATCACAAACGGTTTTCTCAAAAACAAAAACAGATGTTCCCAACAAAGTTCAATTTTTTCAATATAGCGAAATCAACGTATACTTATTAATAAATTAATGTTCTCTTGTATAAAGCAGTCGCACGCAAAGAACACCAAAGTTCTATTCCAGAATAAAGTAGTTACAGTGAAACCAATTGACGGCACCAAGTTCATCATCAATGGGACAAGTTTGTGTAGGATTTCTTGTTCAGCATGAAAGGAGTTGGGCTGATGTATGACACGAATCCCCGAAAGAAAAATTAATTTCCGAAGTCAGTAAGCACGGACCATGTAACAAAGGAACACGTTTGTCCTTTAGGTACAAGCAATAAATAAAATGAAATGAAATAGAATAAAATACACATATTTGAGTAGGATAATTCCTGAGGAATTGTTTTTTTCTTAAATAGATGAAGGTATATATGTACCTCTATCTGAATAAATTTATTCAGAGGATGGCTTTAAAAAATGGGAACCGTGTGTGTATTATCCAAAAGAATAATATAGCTGTACTATGTAAGCATACCAAGGCAGTCAATAATAATGATAAGCGTGAAAGTTTACAGTGATATTCTCGTCTATAAAGCATATATATTTTCGGAAGAGTTAGGTAAAAAACAAGGGGGGAGAGTAACCCATACATATATATATTAAGCTTAAGAAAATATTTATTCTTTAATATTTAATGGAAAAAACTTCTTTGAGATATTAAGAGAGAAATAAAGCTTTCTTCAATGAGATGTCTTGCTGCGAAAGCCAAAGAAAATCATACATCTATAGGCTAAAAGGTATATAAAAAGAAAATCGTATTTCAAAAAATAAATAAAAAAGTCGAGCACAAAACGAGTTGTATTGGACGTTACACATTCCATTAAATTTAAACAAAAGGTAATAGTGGTAGTAAACTCACGGCAGGCGGACGTGTATTCGTGCGGTCACGGTAATTACTGGACTCAATGTTGCAGACTAGAAGAGAAAGAATTAAAATAAAATATAAGAACGAAATAAAAGAGATGGGCCTGATCAAAAAATTAAATTGTATTATAATTAAGGGGTATTTAACAGTTCCTTTTTTAATTTCGATTTTCCTAGAAATTTTCATGCTTTACCTCCCATACGTTAGGGGGTTTCACTATCTTTGCGAATGAAAACGAATACTGCGGGGGTTATACTTGTAAAATTATTGGCTGAAAATAATCTGTACAGAATTAAAGTATACAGGAAGAAGATGGAAAAGCAGAAAGGGGGACTCAATAATTTTCATTTTATATTCACTTTCATTGGCTACAGATTTAACACCCGCTTTCAGAATCCTAATCTGAGTTTATATCCGAAGAGATATTGAAATCCCATACTAGGGGGTTTCAACAATCATTCAAGCTTTTAAACTTAAGCTTTGACTTTTAATTTTTTTTTAATGATTATGGATTGATTCCAGCCAATAATTTCTTAAATTTAAACTCATAAGCTTAAGTTTAAAAGCTTGAATGATTGTTGAAATCCCCTAATATTCAAAGAAAGAATAAAACGTTTGTCTAATTAGACATTTTATTAATGGCTATAGATTAATTCCAGCCAATTGGTTATGAAATTTAAACGCATAGGTTTAAGTTTCGAAACCTTAGACTGTTGAATTCCCTTAATATAAAAAGAACCTATAAAAATGACCAGAGTGAAATGTACTGTATATATTAGCTATCCGTAGAGTCTGGCCAAAACACTTCCTGGATTTGTATTCGTTTCTTCATGTGATAAAGTTTCTCAGAAATCGGTAAAGGAAGCGATGAAGATTATGTACCTCATTTATTCTTTCAAATTAAACAGTAGCAATGTGGTTATGAAATCAATTTGCATGACAGAGTATTTGACTAATAAAAAAACAGACTACAGCTATCGCTATCGCTATTGTAAAAGTTGAAAGTGCATTTATACTTGAAGTGTGTTAAATTGCTCATTCCAAATAGTCCTAAATAGACTAACGTTAGCGAAAAAAGAAGCAGTATCTAAAGAATGAAAAAAGAAATAACATAATACCTCCTAAGTAAAAATTGGGTGTAGTAATTTTATATTTGTTTTTCTTCGAAGTTACTTATCCATTATGTTTGAATCGTTCTGCAGTTGAGGGAAACAGGGGGGGGGGGAGCAAGTTGAAGAAGATAGACATCATCAATGAAATTGACCCACAATTAATCAAAGCTTGATAAAGGACATTAGGGTGGCATTGTCACATAAAAACCATAAGAAGGAGAAGAAAGATTCAATACATTCTACAGAATGATATTGCTTAGTGCAGAAACTGGGCATTGTAAGTTGATAATAAGGGTGGACAATAGGAGTTGTCCACCCTTAATGTAGGCAAATGAGACATTTTATAGTGTTATAAAAAAAGTAGTATATTTTGATGAGTGATGAAACTATTAGAAATCCCGGTAGAGTTTCCCGCAATTTTTTTTAATAAAAAAATCTGTCATAAACTTTTCTTTACATGATACTTTATTCTGCTCTTATTATCCTATTAAGTTCTACAAACATGAACCCCACAGAGTCAAACCACGACGAAGAAAGCCTTCATAAAAAACACAACAAGATTTCTGATACAGAAAAATATATAATGGTTGGAATTTACGAAGCTGGATCCTCAATCTCGGAAATCACCCGGTCCAAATGTATACCTCAAGAAACACTTCACGGGATTATAAAGAAGTACAAGGAAACTGGATATGTGGAAGATAAACCTCGTCCAGGAAGGCCTAAGATTCTCACTCTCAGAGATGAACGGCATTTGCTGAAGCTTGTGAAAAGCAAAAACCATCAGACTTTGAAGGATATCAAAAGAGATGTAGAAGAATTCACTGGAGAGCACATCTCTGAAAATACCATTAGCAAAGAGCTACACCGTCTGGGTATATACAGCTATACTGAACCTTCGGATCACTCATCAAAAAGGACAGAAAATCCTGTATGCTGCGAATGGGTACAAATAAAATAAAATAAAATAAAGTAAATAAAAGTGGTAATATGTACCGATGAATCCTGTTTTTTCGCTTAAACATAAAAGTTCAATAATAGAAAAAGCTAATTAGAAGCACTGTCCAAAATGTTCTAATAAAAAATATAGGTAATATTAAGAGATGGTGATGTTATGGGGTTGGGGTATCTTTCTATTAGAGAAATTGGCTAGAATAATAATTTGATAGCATAAGGTATCATTCTGAAGAAGTTATTTAAAAAAACCAAAAAAGAAATAATATATTGCGACCTGTGCTCTCCACTCAAAAAGCATGAAATAGCACATTTATAATATAAGTCAAGTCTTTTATTTAATATATATCACCGTGATCACCTACCAATTTCGAAAATCAAATATACAAATATTCGACAATAGGCTTATCAGTGACGTTTTGGAGATGTTTTTTAAGCAAGTTATACTATATCAAGTATGGATAAATAAAGGGCTGTTGCTGCCAAGTACTTGACTATATTTATAACATTGGTGGTATATATGGAATTTATTTCCTGGATATAGATTCTAATATGCTTATATCTTAACAAAATTATGACAATAAGCTTTGAAACAATAAACACTGTCATTAACAGCAAAAAAAAATTATACTCTTATACCCGCATCCTCTTCCTCTTCCTCTTCCTCAACGCACGATACCTACTTTTGTGATAACACTACCGATTTATCCCTATCATCATATGCCTCTTAGGAAACACACATAAAGTAAACTACACGTATTAAGAGAAATTGAAGATGATGCGACTAACTTCACCAACTAAGATGAGTATGCTTCTCTCTGCTAAAAGTATTTTGTTTTTCGTTGCAAATAAATCATACATTTTTATTTGCTGCTCTTTACGTGCTAGGCTTCTGTTCTTGATTTGATTATTGGTTCAATGAACAACTTCAATAATCTCATTTTGAAAGAAACCAGAAACCGAAAAACTTCCAAAGAATATTGTACCAAAAGGCACAACCGTCGACCAAAGGTTCTTTAAAGGAGACTTTGGGATCAATCAATGTACTCAAATATCAAGATAAACGGCTTGCATTTCAATCTAAATATGGTCGCACTCAAGAACAAGGTCGAGTTTCACGTAGTACACGTTATTCTTACTGAACTAATTATATTTTTACCTGATTATTTACTATACATCACTTCTCCATCTTTACATATAGCTCACAAATCGTTTAGATACCTTACCTATTCATAATTCACTCGATAAGATAATAATATTGAATTTTGTCTTTGTTTCCAAGTCTTATAGTTTGATAAATCACCTTTGATTATACACCAATAAACTGTGTGTATGTGTGTACGTGCCTTTTTTTTGACATTTCTTAAGAGGAAGGAAAGGAAGGACTGTGATGTTGGTGTACCTTTGGATACTATACATCAATAAAATCACCAGGCCCCAAATCTTACACTCCTTTTAAAAGCCACTTACAGTATTAACTGGGCTTTTCATGACAGAGATATAACATTCATCATGCATCGCGCCTTGTTTCTCCGCTTTGTTTGGAGAGTTTGGAGAGTTTTCTCATTGCGGCTGAACCCGATAATTGAATTCAGTGTCGATTGTCGGCATCGAAATTCAGTTGAGTCTGGATCGTGGGTTCATGACTTTCATACTGATTGCTTGGAATAGAGCCTTTAACTTTCGAATAAACATACACACACACAAAGCTCCTTTACAAGTAAATTCTTATAAAGTATAAGATCCTAGAAATCTCGAGCTAAATCACTACTTTTGCTTTTATTTGTAAATACATTGGGCTTGGTAATTGTTTTGACTTCTATAACAAGATGTATGCCGAGAATAATCGGAAGAGTTGCGGTGGTGAAACAAAGGTATCCTGTCTTGATATCCAATAATAACGGGTTTGTAAGAGTACAACAGTGGGCTTTTTCTGGGGTTACATGCGATAGCTTGTAAGACCAACCTTGATCGTTTAACAGGTACACACATACAAAGACACACACAGTCTACCTCACCTCTTATATGTATGAAAGCTAAATGGATTTCTCGCAAACAATTTTTTTGGTGTTTTGATATTAACATTATGGCTTTATTAAGCTATACACGTCAGGAAAGACAAGTAAAAATTGTGGTATATAAAAGAAAATAAACAAGAAGAAATGTACAGTTTTTAGGCAAGCACCAGCATGAAACTAGCGACAAACAATGTGGCAAAGGTGGCGCTCTGGAAAATAGAACCATTGAATAAATCGGAAACCAGAGAACTTCCGGAGCTGGCAGCAGGCGAGGTTTGAGCACTAGCGGCAGAAGATGCGGAGGAAGGTGCACTGGAAACCGCGGCAGAAGCACTACCGGCAAGAGCGGAGGCCTTGTCTTGGAGAGAGCTTAAGATGGCATCGACAGCACCGGTAGACTGGGCAACGGCGCTTGTAGGAGTTCCTGAGAAACCGCTGGCATCAGCAGCCTGTACCTGAACATCATCAGAAGAGCTCTGTGCACTGACGAGGGCAAACAAACAAAGGGCGGCAAGGAAAGCGATAAAGATTTTGGTGTTCATTTCTGATGTGTAGATAAAGGAAGTAAAGATTAAGAGAGGGAGCAACCAAGGTTGGTCTATTTATATTCGATAGGAGTTGGTAAATAATGTGCAATGAAAACACTGTCTCTTACACAAAAAGGAGCTGGGAACTTAAATATCGGTCCTGGGCATCACCACCAGAGACTTTGTGTGTAACTTCTTTCCTAAACAGTTATAGGTGTACTACTTTACGATAAATCACTATATATGGACATACAAATTTTAGCGATAGATTCTTGTCCCACAATAAAATGGATTTACAGAAACAATTTCGCAATTCTCATAATTCTCATAATTCTCATAAAAGTTACACCTTTGGAACAAAGTGAAAATGACGTACAAAAAATTGCCATATAAAATAGATTGGTAGCTAAGTTTGTAATTCTTGAATAACTTGGTCCGTACGCTGGCGAACGCCATTAACTTTCTTGTGATATCCATTTTCTCTAGAGGATCAAAGACAAAGAACACAATTGCATCACATATCCGACCACAATCACATAAGGAACATGAATATGAACATTTTGAAAGTTAATAAATGGGTTCTTGCTAACTAACGAATTGAGAAAAGCTTTCACGGCAACAACAGCCTTAATTTTTATCTTTAAAGAATTTTGGCTCGGAAGCAAGTTTAGCGAATTCGCCATACTCATTATCGTACAGTGGCTTGTTTATACGAGAAGCAACAAAACGAAAGTCCATCTTCATGCTAATTCCCATAATGCTTACGAAGCTAGACATAGTGTCACCCGTTCAAAAAGGAATGAACAAGACCAACGAATGCATATATTATAATAAATTAATGTACAAGTGAGGTATAATACTTGTGTTTCTGAAACCTTTTTCAACAAGGAGACTCCAAAACTTGTTTGCAAAATAACACTTTGAGTAATATTGGAATATTTAGCTTTCAAACAAGTAGGCTCCATTAATATGCTTCTTGAGGCTATTATTATAATAAATTCAGTGCGTAACCTGTAACGTGGAGTCAATTGTCATATCTGCACAAAATTTACAACGGAGACAGCTGTAGTTTCCTCTATGTTGGCAGATTAGGTGGTTTTCAGATTTCCAATTTTAACCTTCAAACCTCTCTTGCTGCCCTTTATATTTTAAGTAAAAGCTTAGTATATGCTGGATAAAAAGTTACGTTCAAACCCTTAACCTATGGGGAACGAGTGGTGATTCCGATGAATATTTTGGAGAATGCCTATGGTGCTTTCAAAAATCACGATCCCTTCTAGAACATGACTAGCGTGCTCAATCGAGTTCAGGGCTGGGCTTTTAATTTAGATGTTCAAATAGTTTTCTAACGACTGATGGTACTATTGATTGTTGCCTAAGGGATGTTCAAGCGGTTTGTAATCGAGGTTGGGGAGGTATTGTTGGTTTTATAGAGCCAAAGAAAACATTCGTGTTCAAACTCTGATGCCTCACGGCTATTTGAGGGACTTTTGGCTTTTATTTCTTAATGACATGTGATTGAGCTTTAAGAAAAGTAAATGAAGTGAGGTCAAAAGAAGGGTGTATTTCCAGGGAATTTACGCTCTTTTATCTTGTCGGAGTGTATTATTAGGCTTCTTGTATATTGCTCTTTGGAATTTATGCTGAAACATTCACCTTTGAAAGAGTAACTACGAATCACAGGTGCTTTAAAAACTTCTATGTTTTGTATTTTTAAACACAAAGTTACTGCACAGTCGTTCCACTCTCAAGCAGTTACTTCTTTGAAATTGAATCAGTTGCTTTCTCAAGTTCAATGGCTCTCATTACTACCAAGTCCAATCAAAACGATCATTCAAAAGTGGCCAATTTAACTTTGAAAAGACGATCAATTGGATTCTAAAGAAGTAACCAGGTTGGCCGAATGAACTTCAAAAAAAAAAGTGATCAGCTTTTCCGGTAAAGTAACCAATTGAGAGTGGAAAGAGTCTTTCCAAACTTAGTAGGAAATAATTTAAAATTAACGGCTCTATTATCCAATAAAAAAAAGAAATAGTCTTAATTTCCTTTCATAAACATCTGAGATTAAAAGTTAAAATGTCCGAAAAAGACGGTCCGAATTCTTTTTAGAAAAGGTCCGAAAACAAAGTCAAAAAAAACCGTAATGATTATTTTTGGGCATTATTATGCCATCATCACAAAAACTACTTCTTGTGTAGAAGCCAACCTGGTAATTTGCGGTGATATATATGAATGATATATAATATATGATATCATATGGAAGCATGAGTAAGACTGGGATTTAAACACGCTATAGGATAACTTTTTCTCTCAAGTTCTTTATCTTCCACATCACTTATACCTGCCAAGAAGTCTGTCAATATGTTTCAGCTTGTTATAAGAATAGATTTTTGTTTCGTGTCGTACATTGTGATACAAATATCAATCCAAACAAGTCTGTATATGTCTTTTTTGTTCTCGAACAGACTGTAGACAGAGGCCATCTTGCTACTCAACATATTTGTGTGGCTACTATAATATATATATATAAATTATATGGGCTGCTTGTGTAATTGTAATACTTTCCTGAGCCAATATTTATAAGGTTTCTTTTTCTATTTTGCCTTTTTTTTTAAGTCGTGGAGTATATTATAATAGCTTGATTTCGCTGGTTATGTCTAAATTTCTCCTGGGTTCCGGATGATAAGTTTGAAGGCAGATCTAAGAGAAAAAAAATACCGCAGGTAGTAAACTTCTTTAAAGAACTACTGGGCCGGCTGTTGTACGAAAAGTGTACAGGCTGCATGTCTAGCTGAAAACCCATCACTATATATTTTCCTTAATTGTTTACGCTTAAAAGACAAGATCCTTATTTAAACATTATTTCTGTGTTTATATATTCTGCTCATATCTAAACCTAAAGAGGGCATTGCCACAAAAAGTATTCTTCCTTGTGTTAAAATAGCAAAGACTTCTATTTGATGCCAAGGAAGTATAATAATGCATCGTCATTGTGCTTTTTTTCGAATTCTATACAAATATATATGTGTGTTTGTGCTTGCGTGTGTATTGTTTATAACCCGTATTCAATATTATCTAATTCCCACAAATGTATTTGTAGATCGACGAAAGAAAACAACAATGTCTTGGCTAACCCTTTGTGGGTTACGAAGTAATCATCGATTTTCTGCAACAGAATTATCCCTTCAGGCTGATATGTGCAACGCTACTCATAGTCTAAAAAGGGTAGTGAGATTTTATTACTCAAGGTGTATAATTAAGTTGTATTTAATAAGTTAAAGTGCGTGTTTAGAATATAAGTGCTATTGAAGCAGCAGTAAATAATAATAAGGTTAGTGTAAACGGAGAAAATGAAGAACTGCCGTTCATCTCTTGTGCAAGAATCCACAATTTTTTGCCGTCGTCAGGATGGGTATACAGAATGTTTACAAGGGTTACGTCTTTAGTATATTTTTCGACTTCCTGGGCACGGTAACCATCGTAGGTTGAGTTGTCTAGAACTGTTTTGTTTTCGTTAAAGTTATCTGGGTCGTTAATAATCTTGAAGTCTTGGGTGATCAAACTTGATGTGTGTTTGATGTGGTTAGCAAGCGATTCCGGTGAATAGTCTTTCTGAGAAAGATGTAATGCCATAGCACCAGCAACAACTAGAAAGTGCAAAAATGTTGATAAGATATTAAAGAAAGCAAGCTTGATATATATATAGAAGTATCGTACATGGTGCTGCCATTGAAGTTCCAGTAAGAACATGCGTATCCTGTACGCCAGTATTCCATGTCGATCGAATATTTGTTCCTGGAGCAAATCTGGTGAAAAAGAATATATATACTTAAATACACATGGAATTGACTTGCTATACAATAACTTTCTTACATGTCAACACATTTGCCAAAATTGGAATAGTATGAAACAGAATCATCTTCGTCGATGGCACCCACGGTTATTGCACCTCTAGCAGAACCTGGAGAATATAAACAAGCATCTTCACCATAGTTTCCAGCTAAATAAACAATTGCTTGGTTAAATTCTGAAAATACAAGGGATTTATATACATAAAAAACAAAACTTTACCTGCGATTGTAAAATGCAGACCCATGGCAATAGCTTGTTCTACAGCATCGTTTGTTGCTTGGCTTCGCATTGCACCAAGTGATAAACTAGATATATAAAGCCAGAAAAGATATTAGCTATTGTTTAAAGTTTAAAATAGGACTTACTTTACGATGCTCTTGGTACTGTTAGAAAGTAAATGCTGTTGAAGGACCCATTCTATGCCCTTTAACAAATCTGACAAACGACCGTTGCCTTCATCATCAAGTGTCTTGACAGAGACGATACTAGCTTTCTTGGCAACACCATATGTTGTTCCACAGCATACACCGGCTACAAAAGTTCCGTGACCGTTTGTATCTGTTGGGTCGTCGACATCTCCAACAATCGTTGCTCCGATAGTTACACGCCCCTTGAAGTCATTGTGGTTTGCAAGAATACCAGTATCAAGTATATAAACCGTAGCTCCTTCTCCCTAAAATTATTAAGTAAATAAGTTAAATGGCTCAGTTTTGTAACAATAATTTAATACTTTACCTGTGTTGTAGGAAGTCTATATTGACCATTAGTTCCAAGTCGTTGGTCAACTCGGTCAAGTCCCTAGGAATAAATGTCAGCTTATGAAATACTCGTTTAATGAAAACATACCCAATTTGGTACATTAAGTTGAACAAATTCCTGAAGCGAAAATTGAACATCCTTTGCCCAGTAGTGCACTACGTCGGACTCTTCGTCATCTTCTTTTGTACCCGTGTTTTGCTGGCGAAGAGTAATAGAGCTTGTCATTAAATCTTCGAATGGCTGGGACTCGAACCGGCCAGCGTACCATCGGAATTCACCAATAGCTGAATATCCAAGGGTCTGGACTGATTTGTGCATTTTTCCGGCCTTTCCGGTACTGTTTAGTGCGTCTGTGCTGTTGACTAGTACATCACTAAGTACTAAATGTTGCTGGGCACGTTGTATATGGCTTCTAATTGCTGATTTCGAGACTTTAGGTTTAAAGACGACGATATAACTGTCCGTGTCATTGAGTTGAGTAACGATTGGAGCGACATTTTCGGCGTAGACAAAGGTGAGGTGAAAGAGGACGAATGCTAAGGCGAGGATTCTGTAAAGCATAGCTGTTATTTTAATATATGTATGTATGTATGTATATATATATATATATAGACAAAAAGGATCAAATGGATGATATTAAAGGGAAAATAAATAATATGATCCTTAGAATTATATAAGTGGCATTGATATTCTAGAAAGCCAGACAAATAAAAATAAATGGAAAGAGAAAGAGAGACGAGGATATTAATTGTCAGTGAAATATTGTGAATTAAAATAGTTGAGAACATCATCAAGTGTGAATAATACAATAAGGAAGGACGAATTAAGGCAACAGCCAATAAAGACTGGGTACTTTATTAGCGCAACTCCATCTTCTTCACTCAGCTGCTTGCCAGGCACGAGTATCAGTACCAGTTTTGCTTAAATTTAAATATCAATAAAAATGCATTCAATACTTTTCAATGTACCACATTCAAGACACTAACCCCGCCTAATTGTATCACTTTTAGCTTGACATCAGTCAAATATCTATGTTTACGACACACTATTGGTAAAAAGTTATAGTTTCTCAATTCAACCTTATCTCAAATGAAGGCTGGCAAAGAAACGCATGTTTTCGAGCCTTCTTTTTTTCTTTTCATTACCGTAAAGGGAAGTAGTATTAAATTTTAAAAAAATAGTTTAAAGTGTATGTTACAAAAACGAAGGGTAAGGGAAGTTTAACACAGCTATTGAGTATAGCTTGTTTGCTGTGCTTGGAAGTTATCAGTTCTATCATTCTGGGAAGCAATTGTAATCAAACGTCGGAGCCGCTTCAGGTTTAACTAATGGAAATAAATGCATAGGCATGTCAGTTAACAGAGTTATACAAATACTTTAAATACGTACCCATGAAGGCATATAGCACTGAGGTACGATCTCTCGGACGACTGGTATCTCGAATGGGTTGGTCATATCATCAATCATGACAGGATCTAGTAGTAATACATCACTCTTGTCACCACTGACATGAGATGCTACCGCCTTGAGAATTTCAGGTTTTATTGGTGTCTATTTTCAAAGTAATAATAACAATAATAATGAACAATACAGCCCACAATTCAATCTCTTGTAATAACTCACCTCATAGTCTGCCACATGGTATTGTGAGATTAATTTCTGGATTTGTGTAGGCGAAAGTACCCAGCATACATCATAGATATTCTCAATGTCTTCCAAGGTAGCCTATATTATGCATATTAGTATTAGCCTCCTAATTGCTTTTAGAAAAAAATAACAATTTACCTTTTTGAATTGCAGTAGTTTTGTACATTGCATCAAGTGTTCCAATTGAAGGGTTCCCTCTGGTATGTCATGGCTCTTGCACCATTCCTCAATGCGAGTAAGGTTGTATTGGATTTGCATGGCTGTGATGTAAGTTAGTTCCCTGCTATATTTTATACTTTTATTTGTCTTACCTCGCTTCCATGAACAGAAGTTCTTTCTCATCAAAAGATCGTTGAATGCAGTTACACCAAGAAGTTTGAGAATTTCAGTCAATACTTGAGTAGCGATACTTTGTTCAATGTAATAACACTTCATTGTGCGCCAGATCTTGTTCAAGAAGTTGAAAAGATCATCCATGCTATAGGTTGGCTTTGCTGTTCCTGCCAAGATTTTGTTGAAAAATCTTCCAGAGTCGCTAGTGATGAATCCAGGAAGGGACTGTCCTTCTACAACAGCCGGGACTACCATTTTGCTAAGGCGTTTCTTCATTTCTTTCATCCATGTGTGGAAGATATTATCCTCAAGACATTGCATCTCAAATTTGACAGTTGTTGCCAGCTTCTCAAATTCATGCCATCCCACAGGTCGACGTCCGTTTGTGCTATTATCAAGCATCTCTTGCTCCATGTCAGCTTCAGCAATGCAGATGAGAGATACTAGCTCATGAACATTTGTTAGCCAAAAAGCGCATGGTACTACAGACTCGTCTCCAGTGAAGCTCTAAAATGTATTTTTTTTGTGAGACTGAGAATATCTAGAATTAGATCAAGCATTGTTTTACCAAACACTGTTTTTGGATTGTGTCCATAACGGTAAATAAGAGACGTTCTGACTCCCCAATGTAGCCAAGCTGCCACATTTGAGTAACACACAGACCGATGGTGTGAGCTGGGAAGAATATTTCTTTCTGGGAAGGTGGGTTTTGCAGACTAGGTAAAGGCATCTTCAATGCCTTTATGAGTCCCTCAAGAATTTCCTCTTGAAGACTATCTTCATCTTTAAGGATTTTTCCAATCTAAATATTGGACAAAGTCAATTCATTTCTAATCTTAAGTAGATCTATCATGTAACTCACCTCTTCCGATAAATCTTCTTCCGCATCACTTGTCATACCACTCATGATTCCACTGAAAGGACCGATAGACGTAGGACGAGGGTTTTTGGTAAGTAGTTCGGCCTTACGAATATTGTCGATCGATGTTTTTGGTCGATGGTCAATAGCATCTGCAGCACTATTGCGTCGAATCTTTCGGTTGATAGGTACACCCGCCGGGGATTGGCTACGTGGTTCTGGAACCTGGCCCTTTTTATCCTTCGATTCGAGCTGTCTGACTGGTGAAGGTGACATGCTGCGAATTCCATTATTTGTGGGAGACAAGCTTCGGATATTTGAGACTGATTGCTGTCTGCGAGGCGTATTCATTACTTGAGCGAGTTGTGACTTGAGTGCAACGATCTGGCTCTTAAACTCTGCTACTTCGGCTTCATCGGCAGCATTGATGCTCTGTTCTTTTGCCAGGTCTACTTCTTTTTGGAGTCGCGCATTCTCCTCTTTTTGTACATTGAGTTGCTCTGTCAGGATTGTGATCTCGCGGTTCTGGGACTTGACTTTCTCTAGAACGCTACGATGTTCGCTAAACAGAGTATCTTTCTCAGTCTGAAGAGCCTCCCATTGTGCTTGTGGAACGGTGGGCTCAAGTAATTTGACTTCCAATGCCTTGGCTTTTCTTTCCACTTTCTCGTGCTTTTCTTTCCACAGTCTTATCTGAGATTCCAACTGGTTCGACTTTTCTGACATGCTCTTTTTCTCATCTCTTAGTGCAGTCATGCCTTGAGTCAGCTCGACGACCTTGCTTTCCAGCTTATATGACACTTCTTGTAAATGATTTACTGATCGAGCCTCGTGCTTCAATTTCAGCAACTTCTTGCGCGCCACACGTCGACGAACACACGATTGCAAGTAAACTACACGCTCTCTCTGTGATCTGTAATGCTTGCGTGCAATCCTAATAGGGTATTTATGATCAATAGATAGCTCCAATAATGACTTTCTATATACGTACCATCCTCTTGCAACACGTTGAATCTGAATGGCCGCATTGGTCTCTCTTACAGAAGAGAAGTTACGACGAGCAATATATCCACGAGCAGCTAATGTAAATTGTTATTAGCTACGTTTTACCACAAAGATGTGTATGTGTAGTGTACCTGTTTGGATTTTAAGTACAGCTTGCTGCTTAGACAGATATTCCTTGCGGGCTGAATATCTTCGCCAGTTCTTTTGAATAGTAACAGCTGCATGTTCTTCTCGAAGAGCTTGCATTTTACCAGCTGCAACCAAGCGCCGAGTAACACACTGTAACCTCAAAGCCAGGTCGCGCATACGAACATAACGAGTGTGGTAAATAAAACGACGCATATTCTTCTGAAGGAGGATAGCACATGCAGTGAATTTGTCGGATCGAAGCTTCTCAAGGTATGCAAGCTAAATGAAAATATAATACATGTTAACCAATATATTTATACTAAAGTCACCAGTTTAACTTACTTGTCCAGCACGGAAAAAGATTTTTGTTGTACCAATTTGATATTTATCTTCTTCCTTGATTGAATTATTTAAAATTGTAGTGCAGAGCTCTCTGATATCGGGTTTCAGCTTTGGATCCCAATCTTTGGAAGACACTAGCGCGTAGTAGCGGTCGGCAAACTCTTCAAATGTCCAGCGAGAGGGATAACCAGCACAACTGATGCGAATGGTTTCTAGTACACCACATGCACGCAACTGAGAGAGAACCATATTTGGTTCAAAACCCCAAGAAACCTTGGCTTCGTTAGGTTTGATACAACGAATATAATGTACATTTGTATGACCAATAGTATCCATAAGGTTGATAAGAGAAAGCTATGAAATTCACAATGATTTTTTTTAGAAATTAAACAATCGTTATATAAAATATTTGTATTGTTTCTTTCTTACTTTGAAGATTGAGCCAAGTGTAGGCTTCCTGACCACCATACTCATACGCTTGTTGTTCTCTGGCTAATGGTATATTTTTACTGTTAGTCAAAAAATCACGTATTTAAAATCAACTATCCTACCGTTGGTACTGGGTTGTTTGCTGCTGCTTTGTCAAGAACATCTGTCAGAAATTCAAACTCAGAGTCTTGTAAAAGTGCAAGATGTTCGTCCGGAACTGAATCTTTGTTTTTATCCAAGAAATTCTCGGCTTCGTACTGTACATCGTGGGCATAATGAGCAATGGTGAAGGCGCTATTGGAGAACCGAGGTTTTTTAAAGTGGTTTTTGAAGTTTGGATTGTCAAAGTTAGAGTACAATTTTTGAATAAATCCTTGATCGGATCCAGAAGGAAGACGAGATTCCTAAAAAAAAAAAGCCCCCTAGAAGTTTAAAAAGTGCAAATATGTATATAACATTTTTTAATATATATAAATATATATACCTCATCAAGAAGAGACAAGATACCAAGCTTCGCCTCAATGAGCTCAATACACTTTTGGTTGTCGCTGAAGTCGATAAATGTCCAGTTGATCTTTTCACGAACATACTCTTCTTGCTCAAGTTTAAATACGTGTTGGTTGAACTAATAAATAATATTAGATAAGAGTTTAATTTCTGCACTTCTATCTTCACTAAATTTAAGTCCTACCTGTTGTTGGAGCTTTTCGTTTGCATAATTAATACAAAACTGCTCAAAGGAATTCTTTTTAAAGTGCTCAAAACCATAGATATCGAGAACACCAATAAAGTTTGTAACTCTAGACATGTCTGGGCAAGACAAGCTTTCGTTTGTAACACACACGAGCCATTCAAACAAGTTTGCATAAATGTATTTTGCAACAGAGTCCTTTACCACATTTGCTTGAGTTGGGTTTAGGTTAGTTACAATCTTCTCTGAGCGAGTGACGATTTGCTTGCGAACAATCCACTTTCTGAATTCGGCTGTACTTATGCCCAAGAGGCGGGTTGCGGTTAAGAGGGCGGCGTCACTGTCGGAAAGCATGGCATCTCCACGTCCAGTGATCTGAATATTACCAATATGAAGAAGAGCAGCCAATATACGAAAAATCTTCCACTGTAATTGGACCGATAAACCAACAGTTGACAGTGCTCTCTGGGTCACCTCAAACTCGGCAGCATCATCTACACCCGGAACAGTTCCACTTCCACTTTGGTTGAGATAATGATATCTACTATAATCACCCAGATCAAGTTCCTTCTTTTCAGAAGAGGGAGCACCGGCACAAAGCTAAAAGGAATTTTTCTCCTGTATTAAAGCAAATACATCAAAGAGAATACAACTCAGCTTGTCTTACCTGATAAAATATGTGGTAGTTTCTTTCAATTTCTGGTTGGAAAATCAGTCTGGAGCGTTCTAAAAGATATGTTCTGATCTTGGCTCCAATGATGTTGGCCCCTTCATCGAATTGAATCTCCATATACTTTCCAAACCGAGAACTGTTGTCGTTACGAGTAGTTTTGGCGTTACCAAAAGCTTCCATGATGGGATTGGTAGCTAAGGTATAAGGCAAAGTTATATAGTCAGTACCACTTTTTGTTTACTTATTCCCAAGTATACACAATCATATATTACCCAAGATCTGCTCTTCAACCTCAGTCATTCCACCATCCACCTTTTTCTTCTTTCCCACCGATTCCTGATCGTCTGCAGTGGCAAAGTAACGCATAATATACTTTGCACTCACTGTCTTACCAGCACCACTAAATTACATGTCCCCTGTCAGTTAATTGCTAAACGAAAGTTGGTTGAAATAGTATTACCTCTCTCCTGACACAACAATTGTCTGATTCGTCTGTTCCCTTATCATGCATCTATAGGCGTCTTCTGCAATTGCAAACAAATGCGGTTCTAATTCACCACGTCGTCTACCAGAATATTGCTGTACGATGTCTGGATCATAGAGAGCAACACGGTCAAAAGGATTCATTGCAATCAGCACAATTCCAGAATATGTGTAGATGAGATGCTGGATGTAGCGCGTACGGATCGTATTGAGAACTGGGTATGACCGTCAGTACCATATCAAATATAAAGTAATGATATTGTCCTACCAGAAGGTTCATTGAGGTAACTGAGATTTGTGAGATCATCAGTATACTCCATTCTTGGAGGATTTCGTAAGGGTGGAAGCTTTGATCCATTATCGTTTTCTATATCTTTCATGGTAGCTTCGAATATATGTTCCTGAATAGACAAGTTAGAAGACTATCGAAGACATGGGCGGAGATGGCAGGTGAGAGAGCTCCGCAATTGCAAATGTACCTTTTGGTCATTGTCATCCTCAAAGACAAGACGAACTTTGTCTCCAGAAGTGCTGGCAGATATACATGTTGCTGATACCCATGCTTCCTTTTCGTCTGTGAACCAGGCTTTGGTTCCTTTTGTGTATACTTGTACTGCCTGTGATGCGGTGGGACTTGCCATCCTGTGTGGAGTGGATTATACTCTATTCTCTATGGGTGATGTTGCGCGAATTCTTTGTCTGGAAAAAGCGATCTTGTCTTTAGGTTGGGTCTTTGGCTAGAAAGCGAGATGCGACGGAGGGCGATCAGAGAAATAATAATAAAGACAGCAGAAAGAAACAACGACTTTAGAGTTTGGAGGATCAAAAGGGAGCGTGAGCGGAGAGAGGCGGAGTTGGACATCCACTGGGAAACTGGCTGTGACGTAGAATTTATAACCAAGGTGAACTTGAGCTTATGATGTACACTATAATTACTGACGTCCTTGAGACATAAGAAGATGACTTGGTAAGGCTGATGGTTGCCAAAAAATCATCAGCATTAGTCTTAAGACTGGGCGGGTATTTAATTACCATACACAATGGGTCCCGGGGAAACACAGCGCCTTCCGTTCCAGGTAACACACAGCATATCAATATGGCGCTTATATTTACACTCTAAGCTTATTCTCCTGCCAAACTAAAGAATCTAGCTGCAGTCACGGTCTGTGATTCATTTTGCACTATTAAACTAGTGGCTAAGAAAGAAAGGAAAAGAAGTGTATAATGAAAGTCAATACATAATCAACGTAAGAATGAATTATTATTATTTTATTCTCAACAAGGTGTTCACAAAGTGTCTAAAAAAATCATCGCCATCTTTAGGTTATCAAACTGTTGGATCGACTGTATGTTTTGTACAGCCTGTGATTTATCTGTACGACTCTTTCTTAGGCCACAGCAAATGATAGCAATTCATCTCTTTACTGCCCACACTCTTTTTTTAGTAATATTTTTTTTAAAAATAAATAAATATAAAATAGTATAGGCGCATATACATGCATGTTTGCATTCATATTATATGATTTTTTATACCATAAATTCAATAAAGAAAATAGTGACGTCGCCTTTTTTGCAGGATACAACAAGAATAATCCTACTTCTTCTTGTATCCCATTTTACTCCTCTTCTTTCACATATATGTATATGTACATTTATAATAAATCTTTAATATATTTTTAATTATCACAGCTTAAACACATGAAAGATGTGCATATATATATATTTCAAGGATTCATGAAACTACGTTAAATTAGTCGTTATCTCAGCTGTGACGCATCAGAGCAGGTGCAAATAGTGACTTTCAAAAGCGACAGGAATTTCTGCGACGCTACATGCACAGATTCAGCGGGAAAAAAACTCCCCCTCATCAACCAAACCGGAAGTAATGATTGATCAGGCAAGATTCAGAGTTGTAGATCGTTCATCGCTGGATGATCGCCAGGTCATTTTTTGACTTTGAACTTATCATCCTGACTTATTTGCTACCCAGTGGTTTTTTACCAAAGAGGAGCTTCTCGATACGCCTAGTATAATAGACGGACTTTCTTTCGAACAGGAGCAAATGGACCGTACAAAAGGGTGCCATTACTTGCTTGCTGTTGGAGCAAAGCTTAATCTGTAAGTCCACCTATTAGAGGGGATCATGTTGTTATTCTTTTGTCTATATACCTGTGCTCCACCTGTAACGGATTCGTATTATTTCGTATCGGGTTGTGAATAGTCCACAACTTGTCTTGGTAACAGCAACCACATTCTTCCATCGATTCTTCATGCGGCAGTCTATGAGACGCTTCCATGTCTATGTAAGCTCATCTCTCGATGGGAAGAGATGAGGTTGATTGACATAAAAAAAAACATCCCAACAGGATATTGCAGCAACAAGTCTTTTTGTGGCCACAAAAGTTGAAGAGAATGCGCGTCGTCTAAGAGATTTTGTTAATGCGTGTGCCCAAAAGGCTCAAAAGAACGATAGGCTTATGCTAGATGAGAACTCAAAGGTTAGTAAGAAAAACCTTGAAAGATAGAGAGTTAAGATGAGAAAAAAAAGGGAAGATAAAGAGAAAGGAATAAAATGAAATGCATCATCCAACTGATGACATCAATGTTTGCGTTTATAAACTCTTAGGATTTTATCAAATGGAAGGACACAATGTTGCATTATGAAACTATTCTGCTGAAAACTCTTTGCTTTGATCTCTCCGTGGAACACCCACATACTAATCTGCTGAACTTACAGACCCAATTGAATGGTATGAAGATGTTTTGTGTGTGTGTGTGTTTGTATCTTTGGAGAGAAATGGAATATCTCACCAGGTAGAACCTTAGTTCCCGATGCATGTGTTCGCAGAGCTTGGATCTTGTTATTTCAGAGGTAATTGGTATATAATGTGTGCGGAATTATTGGCCAACAGAAGACAATCTCTTCAGTCTCGGTTCTCCAATTTGTGTACTTTATCGACCAAAGGTCATTGCTGCCGCTGCTCTTTTGATCTCTGCCCATCTTTCTGGGGAGGAGATCGCAGAAAGACGGTGGAAAGATGTAGATGTGGATATTGGGCAAGTGCATGGTAAGTGGTTGGTCCCCGTCTTGGGAATTTAAACAAAGCCAGCCTATTAACATTAATTATCGTTTCATGAATTTGTTAGAGCTGGCAGCCGAGATGTTAGAATATTACGTAGACCATTATCTGAAGAAAGCCGCTCATTCACCGCATCCATCTCAAATATTACAACATTCTTCATTCAATGGATCACAATAGCTGCAACAAAATTACATGCATGCTTCTCAGGCAATGCCAACCACAGATTGGATAACATTTCTTCATAAATCTGACCCGCAACCGCCTGCTTGTAAAAAAAAATAGCTTCTTCATATATAGTGCCTTTCTCGCCTCATCGATTTTTCTTCTCTGCTGTATTAGCAGACTCCCACCATCCACAGCCATGTCTTGTGTGTAATATATAGCATTACCGCTTGGATCTGATCCAGTCTGGAAATTTTCCGTTTGCCCTAAAAATGCATTGTTTTTTTTTGTTGCCGTGAGATATCGTGTATGTGTGTGTGTGCTAGTACTGACAATACACCTAATTGTTGTATTTGAAGTAAGGTTATAGTAATTTAGCATCCAACTATGGTGTAAAATATAACAAATGAAAAAAGAAGAATAGCGAAAAACAGACAATAAATCTTAATGCTGATATTTTCCTTTATGTTTAGCAGCAATTCATTATTATGTTTCAGTATAATATTCTCACTTTTTATTTTATTTTATTTTATAAAATACAATGCTTTTTCTCTTTCTACCAATAGCTCATTACATTATCTCTAGTGTTATCAACCCGTACATACAAGAAACTATATGTCTTTTTCTCAATAAACCCCCCCCCCCCCCCCTTTGTCTAAAAGAGTAATACAATCTCCATAGATTATGTCTGTTGATTAACCTTGTAAATATTTCTTTGTCAAGCATATATATATAATATATATACTGCTAAACCAGACAAGTAAAATAAATATAAAGCACCAATAAAATTAAATTCTGATGGATTTTGTCTCTTTATCCATATATTTACACAACACTGTGTACGAGCATAGATTAAGCTATTCGTATAAAATAAATATACAGGTTATCGAAATTTAACAAGAGCATAAATTTGCTTTATAGTTTTAATTTTTCTAGCCATGTACAAGTATGAATTGGCTTCTATATCTTTTGGAATAAAAGCTCTGGCAGTTTTTCATATGTCTTCCCCTTCATACAGCTCTTACAATATATCCCATACTCTTAATGACAATACATTTAATACTGCTTTGTCTCATTCTGGTATATATATAAGTCAATCTTTCTCTGGTACCAATCTTTAATATATAATAGCTCCATCTGTAATAGACTCGTTCCAACCAAGTATTCCATGTTTTAACGCATTAAACAGCATGTGGATATATGCAGCTAGGTATTTTTTGGAGCCTTTATTTTAGTTTCTTACCAGGTATGCACACTTAATGTATATCTTTTATTCCCTCAAAAAAATAGTCGCAATATCTTGGCCGTGTTTTCATGGAGTGGACTATCCATTGTTTGCACTTTTGGAGCTTGTTTTCTATTGACTTGTATTCATAAAAGGTATTAATATACACAGGTTTCTTTTTGTGTATAAGCTAATTGATTTATTATCTAATACTTGTCAGAAAAAATGATTTAGCTCCCCCAATTTTTACAATGGAAGAATGTATTATTGAATCAAATGTATTCGAAAACCCGGCTGAATACCGATACCAGCTCATACTAGGCCGCACCTCAATTTTGCGTACCAAATTACGCGATAGATTTGGTTGTATAAAAAACAACGCCGTTTCATTGTACCCAAATTTAATACGTGGAAAGCTAGATTACGAAGGAATATTGAGACATGGGATTTGTAACATGTCTGCACTTCAACCTCATTTTCGGACGAAACGACGAAAAGAAAAACTTTTTAGAGTCTTGAAAGCCTATTCTTTATATGACAAAAGGGTTGGCTGTTGTCCCAATTTAAAATACATTGCTGGATCTCTTTTAACTCGAGTAAGTAGCTATCTATATATAAAGGTAGTGTTTATGTGTAGCATAAAGTTTCTCTAATATGATGTATATTACAGATGAATGAAGCCCAAGCTTTTAGACTTTTGACTATTTTACTAAGTTCTAGGTCTGACATGATGGATTTTCGGTCGCTCTTTTTTCCATCAACGGATGGTTATTCACCTTTTCTTGAATATTTTGACTTTCTGATGGCTGCTAAGCTCCCTAATATGTACAATTATATGCTGAGTGGAGATATACGTCCTTCTGTATACATCAGTCACGGTTTTAAGAGTCTCTTTGGGCTACAAGGTCCAGCTTATCTGATCGAAAATACAATTGACTTGCTTCTAATTGAAGGACCTTGGATACTTCCGTATTGTATGCTGGCATTATTGGAGTCAAATGAGGACACAATCATGAAAATGAATCACGATGAAATCCCTGGTTTTCTTTGGAAAGACGTATTTAAGCCATTTGAGGTATGATCTGCGAGTTTCCGGGAATTTACTAACGTATTGTTATCATTTTATAAACTTTCTTCTTATGTAGTCTGAATCAAGCACGTTTATATCTAGCACGCTACGTCTGGCAGATATTTATGTACCATTTTGAAATATAATTATTATCCAAAGCCATAAATTTAATTCTTAGAAAAATAAAGGATAAAGGTTGATTATATATAAAATTGAATTGTATGATTTTTGATTTTTGATTTTTTTTCATATATATATATCTCTTTTATGATAGAAAAGACAGAAATACCAAAACAATTACATAATAGAATAAAACAAGTATTTTTATTGGTACTATTTAGATTTTCTGGTTTTTTTTACAGTGGTACATTTAAGGGAAGAAATAATACAAAAGAAAATAGGCTCTAATAAAAGTAAACATCGGAGTCCTGGTACTGATTTACGGATCTTTAGTCTTGGTGCTATGAATTGAGGCCTGTACCCTTGCATTAGCTAGCATTTGTGCTGTTTGTATTTGAGCTTGACGCGGAATTTCCGGTAGAGCTGTCGTGAGACATCATGACATCGTTGACAGCAATCGGTTTGGGAAATAAACTATCCCAGAATTCTGAAAAAGCTCCTGCGTTTACAGAGGCGACAGCAAGGGTAAGAAGAACAAGGATCAGATTGAATCTCATATTGTGGTTTATAGGTTTGAAGGATAGGTAAAGATATAAGAGATAAAGTTGATGCTCATTAAAAAAAGGTATTTATTTATTTTGGACGATTAAGGTTCCATTTGATTTAAACTTCTGTAGATATACTCATTATTCTTATTTGAGGCTTCTTAAAGTAACGTAAAAATAGAAACAATGTAAAGAGCTACGAGGCTTTGGTACTAACAAATTGCTTGAATAGTATTCTATTAAACTATTGTATTATCATGGCAGTTTATTATATACTTGTATGCTCATCATTAGGTGTGACGACAGTATCAATAAGTCAAGGTAGTACATATTTTATGGCTGAAAAATATGCTGGTGAGGTAGTAGGTGTTTAGATTTCTTTTGTGTGTGTGTGTGTGTGTGTGTGTGCGTGTGTAATGCAAAATGGCTTTGACGGCTTAAAATAAAAATAAATAAAAAAGCAAATTCACCCAGTCATAAATCTTTGCTATATATTACTGGTAAACTATCCAATCCTGCCACCTTACAGCGCCACTTCTATATATTGTTTCAGCCAATAAACAAAAACCTGAATAGTTAAATAAAACAAGCTTGATTGGTTTTGCTATGCATGTGTGTTTTTTTTTCTTACATTATTTAATAATCAAATATCAAAGCTCAAAGCCCATTATATTCTGGATCCTTTTTGGGAGATATTAGTTATAATTACTTAATACTGTGGTCAGTTCTGTTAGCATGAACAACAAGCCCAATGATTAAAGTATAGACTCAGGGTTATTGTTTATGTATAAGCCAAAATAGGAAGAAAGATAAAAGACTTTAATCTTGGTATATTTTAATAGCAATTTTTTTAAAGAAAATAAAATATGCTTCAATATTCTTGGGACCATTTAAAATGGTTATGGAATTTAATATCCAATTGATATCAACCAAAAAAAAAGTGGAAAACAAAGTGAGCAGCTTAAAGGTAAAGTATAGGTTTTAGCATAAAAACATGATATCTGTAAATATAATGGAGAAATAGAGCAATCACCTATTGAAAATAAAACAAAAAAAAAATATGCTCCGTAGAGCGTTCCATCTCAGAAGTTTAGTGTCATCCTTGTGCAGGGGCCATGCTAATCTTCTCTGTATCGTTCCAATTTTAATATGTGACAGAGGTGCAAGCACTTGTCGACTAAAATAAATGTCCCAAAACACTAAATATATGCATTACTTTCACGTTTTATTAAAGTTGTGGGTCTCAAATGTCTTCTACTTCTTTAGAATAAAATAAAACAAGGTAGACTGGCGTTCCTCGCGAGACTGAATTAAGAAATAACCACACTCTATGCAAAGAAAGATTGACGCGTTCACACAAATTTATGAAACTCTTCTATATTATAATAGTTTAGATAGCTAGACTTTTGCTCATGTAAATACATATGCTATGTATTGTGAATTTTGTTAAAGAGCTTTGCCTACTTCTCTACTGCTTATCTCAATTGGACACACAATTAACATCGTATGCAATGTGTGCAAGAGTAATTCCTTGACTTGTAGAGAAATGTTGAAGAAAATAAAGGGAAAGATACAACTACATATCACGCAACATCGTAATTTGACTCTGATTTTAAAGAAACCTAGATGTAGCTTATATTTTGGTTTTCTTTAATTTTTTCTTTCTTTTTATATACATGCATATAAAAATAAAAGAAAAAACAAGAGATTCGTGAAAGAATTGAATTGAATTGAATTGAGTTATATATATATATATATATTAATATTATTTATACAAAATATAGCAGAGAAAATAAGGTGGATTGGGATGGGGGAGGGGAATATTTTTGTAAACATGGTAAAATCGGTATCGTAATTGGTGTACTGTATTTATAAACTACAGCCTACATCTGGGCTTCCAGCAAAGTTGTGGTGGGAGTTGTTTGGGTGATCATGGTAAGTCGTCGGAGACGTTTCAGGTTTAGCTATTAAATATTAAATATTAATTATTAATTTTTTTTTAAAAAAAAAGAGTCCCGAAAAGATACTAGTAGCAAATCAATTAAATTAAATTAATAAAAAAAAAAGACACTCACCCATGCTGGCAAGTATTTCTGAGGCCTTGTTTCACGAGGGCCAGGAATCTCAAACGGATTAGTAGTGTCATCAATGGCAACAGAGTCCAACAAAAGGACATCACTCTTATCACCACTAACTACATGAGATGCCACAGCTTTGAGTATATCTGGACGGATGGGATTCTATAGTAAAAAAAGTATCAGTATATACAACAAGAGAACGCTTTGGAGTTTAGCTTCTTATTCTTCTTTGTTTGTTTGTTAAGAATTACCTCATAGTCAGCAACATGATACTGAGAAATAAGCTTTTGAATTTGTGTAGGAGAAAGAATCCAACAAACATCATAAATGTTCTCGATATCTTCCAAAGAAGCCTAAGTAATGTTTTAAAGGAAAACCACCGTTTGTAAGCAATAAAGTCTACTAACAAACGACTGCGGACATTTACTTTTTTGAACTGTAATAACTTTGTTGTTTGCATCAAGTGCTCTAGTTGAAGAGTTCCCTCTGGAATATCGTGGCTCTTACACCATTCTTCAATACGTGTAATATTATATTGTATTTGCATAGCTACATACCCACAAAGAGACATTATATTTTGTTAGTAAAGATAAAGAAACCAAAAAAAAATCATCAAGGAATAAAGTTCTAGAGTCTTTTTTTCTTACCTCTCTTCCAAGAAGAAAAGTTCTTCCGCATAAGCAGGTCATTAAAAGCAGTGACTCCAATCAATTTAAGCAGTTCGGTCAAAACCTGAGTGGACACGGATGGTTCGATGTAATAACATTTCATTGTACGCCACACCTTATTCAAGAAATTGAGGAGCTCATCCATGCTGTAGGTTGGCTGTGTGGTACCAGTCAAAAGCTTGTTAAAGAATCGACCAGAGTCGCTGGTAATAAAACCAGGAAGCGACTGTCCCTCAATAACAGCAGGGACAACCATTTTGCTGAGACGTTTCTTGAGCTCCTTCATCCAGGCATGGAAAATATTATCCTCAAGGCATTGCATCTCATACTTGACTGATCGTACAAGCTTCTCAAAGTCCTGCCAAGCAGTCGAGCGGCGTCCGTTGGAATTGTTCTGGAACATCTCCTGTTCCATCTCTTGGAGGGTTTGGCAGAGAAGGGATAGTAATTCATGCACATTGGTCAACCAGAACGCACAAGGAACAACTGCTTCTTCACCCGTGAAGCTCTGAATTGATTTAATTATTGTATTTTAGTATATTTTTTTTATAATTTCAAAATATTTCCCAGTCAGCATATAGAGAAAAAAAAACATTTTAGTGCTGTATATTAGATATGCTTACCAGGCATTGTTTTTGAATAGTATCCATAACTGTAAACATAAGACGTTCTGACTCCTGAACATATCTCAGGCGCCACATTTCTGTAACACACATACTGATCATATGAGCAGGGAAGAATATTTCCTTTTGGGAAGGAGGGTTCTGGAGACTGGGGAGGGGCATCTTCAAGGCTTTAATAAGACCCTCGTGAATTTCTTCTTGGAGACTGTCTTCATCGCGAAGAATACCGTGAATCTTTGTGCAAAAAAAAATAGTTGGTAAGTCATACATACATAGATATATACATCCATTAAACCTCTACACTTTTACACTCTTACCTCTTCCTCAGGTTCTTCATCAATAGCACCAGTAACGGTTTTATTGCCTAGAATTGTGCTAAGTTGATCAACAGAAGTAGGACGGGGACTCTTGCTACTATTGAGATTTTCAGTTTTTCTGATACTGTCAATAGATGTCTTTGGGCGTGCTTGAATAACATCTGCAGAGCTGTTGCGACGAGGTCTTCGGTTAACAGGTATACTTGCAGGCGACAGATTGCGTTCGTTAAGCGGCTCTTTGAGAGCTTCGGTCTCCAATATTCTGGCTGGCGAGGGAGATAGATTTCGCATAGCATTGGGAGCAGGAGAAAGCCCTCTGGTGCCAGCAGGGGATAGACCTCTGGCTCCACCAGCAGACTGCTGTTGCTTGCGCGGAGCATGGAGGACTTGTGTAAGTTGGGTCTTGAGAGCAGCAATTTGACTCTTCAGCTCAGCAACTTCGGCTTCATCTGCAGGCTTGCTTGCCCGCTCGTTAGCTTCTTCGACTGCCTTCTGAAGTTCTGTGATAGTTTCTTTTTGGGTATTGTTTTGTTCCAGCATCTGGGCGAGTTCCTTGTCTTGAGTCTTTATCTTATCCAGTGATTTCTTGTAGTCTGCTGCAAGTACATCTTTCTCAGATAGAAGAGTATCCCATTGAGCTTGAGGAACAGTCGGTTCCTGTAACTTCTCTTCGAATCCTTTGGCTCTTCTCTCCATCTTTTCGTATCTATCAGACCAGTTGCGGATCTGGGCTTCCAGCTGGACTGAACGGTCCATGGCAGCCTTCTTTTCGTCTCTTACTGCAGTCAGAGTCTGAGTCAGCTCTACAACCTTGTTTTCAAGAGCATAGGACACTTCCTTGAAGTGCACAACCGATCGAGCTTCTGTTACCATGGCCACCAAAGCTTTGCGAGCAACTCTTTGACGAATGCACGACTGCAGGTGGATGACCATATCACGCTGCTTCTTATAGTTTTTGCGAGCAAACCTAGTTTAATTTTTTGTTTTTTTTAGTGACCATGAGGGGGGGTTTTATGCCAGATTTTCTTTAAAAAAGAAATTATTCTATATATTTTACCATCCACGGATAAGCTTTTGAATCTGAACTGCAGCGTGACTCTTCTCCAAGAATACAAAGAGGCGGCGTCCATTGTATCCACGAGCAGCTGAGATGAATCAATTATATGGTATGATATGATATGATATGATATGATATTATATATAGGTTTATTGTGTTTGTGTGTGAGTTCCTTCCTTCTTTCAAATATAATCACTTTCTTTCTTTCCTTTAAAGTTTCTTACCTGCTTGAAGTTTGAGAATAAACTGTTGTTTTGCAAGATACTTCTTGCGCTCCACATATCTGCGCCAGTTCTTTTGCAGAATGACTGCAGCTTTTTCTTCACGGAGAGCCTGCAGCTTTTTGACAGAAACCTTGGTTCGGGCAATACATTGCAGTTTCACAGTAAGCTCTTGCATACGGACATAACGTGTGCGATACACAAATCTGCGGATATTCTTTTGTAGTAATACTGCACATTCATTGAACCTGTCAGAACGCAGTTTCTCAAGATAAGCAAGCTACGTAATTAAAAGAAGAAGAAAGAAAAAAAAAAGGGGGGGGGGGAGATTTGATATATAAGAATGAAGTCCACCGATTGTTTCATTTTTTATGTGTGTGTGTACCTGACCAGCACGGAAAAAGATTTTTGAAATTCCCTCCTGATACATTGCGGTATCCTTGATTGATGCTGCCAAGATTACGGAGCACAGCTCATTGATGTCAGGTCGTGACTTGGGATCCCAATGTTTTGAAGACACAAGAGCATAGTAGCGATCAGCGAATTCTTCGTAAGACCATCTTGTAGGATAGCCGGCGCAACTGATACGAATTGTTTCCAGCACACCACATGCTCGCAGTTGAGCAAGGACCATATTGGGCTCAAATTCCCACGCAACCTTTGCCTCGTTTGGTTTGATACATCGGATATAATGTACATTGGTGTTTCCAATAGTGTCCATTAGGTTAATGAGAGAAAGCTAAGATGAAGATGAAGATGAAGATGAAAATAACAGTAACAACAATTAACCAAAGAAAGAAATTGAGGTGAGTATTTTATTCGTTCTCTCTTTCCTTCTTCTCGATCGCTCCTATCCAACATACCTTGAAAATAGAGCCCAGTGTCGGTTTTCTGGATGTCATACTCATACGCTTATTGTTCTCTGGCTATTATTTGACCGACACAAATTGTCAGATTTATATTTATATTTTTCGCATTGTATATTACTTACTGTGTGGGTCTGGGCATTTGCAGCAGCCTTTTCCATAATCTCTTGAAGATAATCAAATTCCGAGGATTGCAAGAGTGCAAGATGCTCGTCTGGAACGGTATCCTTGTTTTTATCCAAGAAGTTTTCGGCTTCATACTCAACATCGTGGGCATAGTGAGCAATGGTAAAGGCAGTGTTTGAGAAACGAGGTTTCTTAAAGACTTTTTTAAAGCCAACATTGTCAAAGTTGGAGTATAGCTTCTGAACAAAGCCTACATCTGTACCCGAAGGAAGACGCGATTCCTATTCATTTTATTTCGATGTTTTGTAAGATCCCCCATTCAATTCAATTTTTTTAAACTAGTACGTACCTCATCCAAAAGGGATAGAATACCAAGTTTTCCTTCGATAAGTTCAATACACTTTTGGTTGTCACTGAATTCAATAAATGTCCAATTGATCTTTTCCTGGATGTATTCTTCTTGTTCCAGCTTGAAGACGTGTTGATTGAACTGAGAGACAAATATATAGAGCATAAATTAGACTTTTCTTATTCTTATTCTTTGTATTTCGTGTTTCATAACTATTACCCACACACCCACACCCACATATCCAATTGATATATATATATATATATGTGTGTGTGTTTACCTGTTGCTGAAGTTTTTCGTTGGCATAATTGATACAAAACTGTTCAAAAGAGTTCTTTTTGAAATGCTCAAAACCATAGATATCGAGGACACCAATAAAATTGCGCACTTTTTCATCATCAGGACACGACAGACTCTCGTTGATAACACTGACAAGCCAGTCAAACAGATTTGCATAGATGTATTTGGCTACCGAATCTTTAACGACCGAGGCCTGGGCAGGGTTTAGGTTCGTGACGATCTTCTCAGACCGAGTGACGATTTGTTTGCGAATGATCCACTTTCTGAAATCAGCAGTCTTGATACCCAACAGACGCGTGGCTGTCAAAAGCGCAGGGTCTGTCTCTGCAACCATAGCATCCGAACGTCCTCCGATCTCAATATTACCAAGATGTAAGAGTGCAGCCAACAGTCGGAAGATCTTCCATTGCAATTTGACAGACACGCCGATGGTAGAGAGTGCTCTTTGGGTGATTTCAAACTCTGCTGCGTCATCCATCCCAGGCACGGTGCCTGTGCCGGATTGATTGAGGTAGTGGAAGGTAGTGTAGTCACCGAGCTCAAACTCTTTTCTTTCTGAAGAAGGAGCACCAACACAAAGCTAGATAATATAGGACAACATTTATAAGTCACGAATCAAACCAACTTCTTTTGCTTTTGCTATCCTATACCTATGACTATAACTACGACTGTGATTTATAGTTTTTTCACGTTACCTGGTAAAATATATGGTAGTTTCTCTCTATCTCTGGCTGGAAAATCAATCTGGATCGTTCCAAAAGGTAGGTTCTGATCTTGGCTCCAATAATATTTGCGTCAGTGTCAAACTGAATCTCGATATACTTTCCGAAACGAGAACTGTTGTCGTTACGAGTGGTCTTGGCGTTACCGAAGGCTTCCATGATAGGATTGGTAGCTATGGAAACGAGCGGGTGTTATTCAACCTATCATTATCTATGCAATTTTTTTTTCTGGGGGAAAAATTTGTTGTTGTTGTTGTTGTTGTTTTTTTGGTGTTGTTTGTTACCTAATATCTGCTCTTCGACTTCTGTCATTGATCCACTGGTTTTGAGCTTCTTTCCCTTGGAGTCCTGATCATCGGCCATGGCAAAATAACGCATGATATACTTTGCACTGACTGTCTTTCCGGCACCACTGCATACCACTTCTTTAATAACTTTGTTCGTTCCCCTTTTGACGAGTTTCGTATCACTTGCCTCTCTCCTGAAACGACGATTGTTTGGTTTGTTTGTTCTCGAATCATGCAACGATACGCATCTTCGGCAATAGCGAACAAATGGGGTTCAAGCTCTCCTCTTCGTCTGCCGGAGTATTGCTGGACAATGTCAGGGTCGTACAAGGATACACGGTCAAAAGGATTCATGGCAATCAGCACAATTCCAGAATAGGTGTATATCAGATGCTGTAAGTATCGTGTACGGATTGTGTTCATTACTTTTTTTAATACAAAAAAAGAAGAGAAGAAGTATTAATATATGCATGTATTAGCACCAACCCTGACCACTACTCTAGACCACATCATACTGTACTGTACTGTACTGTACTGTACTGTACTGTACTGCACCGCGATATTTTTTTTTAATATTATTATTATTGTTTTTGCTGTTTTACCTGCAGGCTCATTTAGATAACTCAGATTTGTCAAATCATCTGTTGACTCCATCTTGGGCGGGTTTCTAAGCGGTGGTAGTTTTGATCCGGCTGTCTTTTCGATATCTGCCCACGTCGCCTCAAAGACGTATTCCTGAAATGCGCACCTCTCTTCTGTCAGATGTTATTTCTTGCGAGGATTTCTTAGATAGGTCTTACCTTTTCATCTTCATCTTCTCCTTGAAAGACAAGTCTGACCTTGCCAGCCACGACAGTGTTGGATATGCAGGTGGTGGAAACCCAGGCTTCTCTCTTGTCCGGGAACCAAGCCTTGGTTCCCTTTGTGTAAACTTCGACAGACTGTTGGGCACTTGCCACTACTACCATTATAAAAAGTTCAAGGACTCGGTTTTTTTTTGTTTGGACTATAGAAAGAAAGAAAAAATGGAAGGTGGTAGGAGAAGGATGGAAATTGGCCAATAAACTGTCTCTCTTTGGCCACAAAAAAAATGCGGTTTTATAAAAAATAAATTAAAAAACTAAATAAAAATATTAAGAGAAGAAGAAGGAGGAGAAAATATTGAACAAAACAGACTAAATATTATTATTATTATTATTAAAAAAAAGGCTATTCTAACAGAGAGAGAAGGAAAGAAGCGTGTGACCTGCTCGAAAGTGTCACCAACAACAGTCTAAGGTTGGGCGGATAACGAAACTCTCGGGAGGGAAATAGAAATGGATCATTTGTGAATTTTTTTTCTTTGAGCTTCTTGTAACCTACAAATCTAGCATGATATTTAACCCAAAAGAAAAACAAACTTTTATAAAATTCTTGTGAGATGCAAACCAAAAGAGACAGCTTTACTGGCCTAACTCCAGTCCATTTCTATGACGCGTCAGTATAGGAAACAAGAAGGCTACATTCAAAGCAAGAGACACGCCACAAATGAAAATGAATAAAAGTCTAAAGACCTGCATATCTATGTACACATTTCAAGTCCAAGGTCTCTAATACTTCTTTGTTGTTGTAAGGAGCCCCAGCTTATGCAATACATTATTTCTTAAGATCTTGATTCTTCTTCTTTTCCATGTGCTTCTCTTACTATGTGTGTACGTGTGTCTGTTCCAGGGATATAGTAATTTGATGGTATATATCAACAATGGTTACACTTCTCTTCATAAAATAATAATATATCACAAGTTTGTCAGTGCACAAAATCTGTCATGTATGTCACCTTATTGGGTGTACCTATTGCACTGCCTGTACTTTCTGTATTGCCTGTACTTCTTGTACTGACTATACTGACTCTATTAACTGTATTGCCAGATTCGCCTTCTCTCTTGATACAACTCATATGCGTTGCTTCTGTAGAAAATGGTAAGAATGGAAATTAATCGGCGTCTTATTTATTATTCCTATGTTCCACACATACAGGATATGATATTATGATATTCAAATGAACGACGTACACACATACACATACACATACACATATACATACATACATACATACATACACACATACATATATATATATATATGCATAGGTATATGTATATGCACAAGCACACACACACACACACACACACACACACACACACACACACACACACACGCACACATACGCACACATACGCACACAAGCATACAAGCATACAAGCATACAAGCATACAAGCATACAAGCATATACATATAATGATGAAGAGGAATTCTATATAAATATATGTATGTATATGTATGTATATGTATTATTATTTATTCTAGCTTGAGGGTCGAATCGTTGCCCAAGAAGATCGCTCCGAGCCTGTGGCTGGAGATCGGACGTCGGGCGAACCCAGGTACCGGTCATATTCTGTCTGACTTTCAAGGCTTGCCTCATCTTCGTCGTCTTCTGCCCACGGAAGACCTCCCCGTTGTCGAGAGCCTGTGCGAAGCGTGCTGAAGATCGGCTTGCGCCCTTTTGACCGTCCGATACTCGTGGCCTCCAAGGCACGCGACATTACCGCCGCCGATGGCTCTGCCAGAAGCCCGGGCCTGCTCTTCTGAGCCCGGCCATTCCAAGTCTTGGCTACACTGTTATTGTTTGCACTGGCCCGCAGCATTGTACCTGTATTGGAAGCTCTGTCATTCGGCGGGCGGAACTCACTCTCACGCCCGCTTCCGAAAGTATCAGACATTTCTTGCAGACGACGACTTTCACCAGAGTACTGTCTGGTGTCGTAAGTAGGCACCATAGTACGTACAGTAGAAGACGAAAGAGAAGAAGTAGGAGCTCGATCTTGATCTTGATCCTCATCCTCATATCGAAAGCTACCCTGTTCATGGTCTACAAAGCTGGCCGGCATGGTCGGTCGTCGGGAAGGGTTGGCTCGAACAGATAGAGATTGAAGAAACTGGGTGCTCTGGTGAGGAGTTGCTAGCATGGATGGCGATTGCTGCGAACAGTTGCTGAGGTCGGATGTAAAGCTTGTCGTGGACTCACTACCGTTCAAGCTGTTCTCCCAAGTCGACTGCAGCATACGACGGATAGTAGCCACCTCGCCTCCTTTCTTGCCCGACACAGAGGCACTTCCGATTTTGGATCTAGAAGCATTGGCACTGGCACTGGCACTGGCACTGGCACTGGCACTGGCACTGGCACTGGCATTAGTGTTAGCGTTAGCTTTTGCCTTTGCCGCATAAATGCTCGCCTGCATTGCCATGTCCTGATCCGAGACCGCATATTTAGCAGAATCTGATGGTTCATCCGTGGCCTCAGGGCTGAGATCTTGTCCAGCCGATAATACTCCTTTATCAGCAATACCCCACGATGGAATTGGACGAGCTGGTTTGAGTGACCCCTGAGGATCAGGTGTGACCCTAGATGTTGGTGTCTCAAAGAGATGCTTGAGCGACTTGACACCATTAAGACTAGGCACCGGTTTCTGTGAGCTGCGTCCCAGCGTGCTGGCCCGTTTTGAGCCTGTTCTGGTGAGACCTTCACCCTTGTTGCCGAGGATACGCAGATCTCGGACGGCCAGGGTTTTTGCAGTGTTGCTGGTGTGAGATCCAGATCCAACGGGAGGCACAAGGCGAGGAAGATTGGCAACAGACATGGGGAGGTTGGCTTCCTTGTTAGTCTGGGCCTGTTTTGGGCTTTGCTGCCACCAGCCCGCAATCTCTCGAGCACCTGGCCCAGGGCCACTGCGAACACCTGCCGACACGGTCGCTCTTCCTTCGGTCACGATACTATCTCGGACCAGGCGTCGGACAGATCCAGATGTGATGGTAATGTTCTCGAGTGTGCGTGGATCACGACTTCGTACACTGGCAAAGTAATTGGATTCGTCTGCCTTTGGGACGGGTGGCATGCGAGGTGTTGGTCGACCCTCTCTGGTCAGAGAGTCGTCTGGCTGGCCAAACATCATAGTCACAGCCTCGTCGCTGATCAGAACCGATCGTGTCTTGGTCTTTCTGGATGCAGAGCGGATCACACGACGGGCAGCATTCACAGCCGTAACTTCCTTGAGAGGACTATCGGCCATATCGTAGCCTTCTAGCTCTTCATCCTGTTCTTGTCCATGTTCTGCTAGAGCTGCTGCTACGGCTGTTGTTGATTCAAAGGCTGGGATGGATTGTAGGGTGTGACTCCGCACACTGACCGGACTGACTACCCAGTCATCTCCAGTAATCGTACTAGGTTCACACTGGGTCTTGAGGCTCATTTTGGTAGAGTGTCGAGTTGGGGAGAGAATAGCAAGTGATTCGACAGTGAAATCATTGTCAATAGGAGACTTTTGTAAGGTTTCTTTTGATCTTGGCTGGAGTGGGTTCTGGGAGTACAATGATGAGCTCAAGAGGGGAGAGGGAGGCTCGTCTCCCGAATGAAACATCTGGTTGACAGGCACGGATAGTTTTAGGGATCTTTGGCGACGAAGGGATTGGTGGAGAGTGTTCTTCATCGTGGTTGCTTTTTGCTGCATCTTTTCGAAATCAATCGACACAAATCCACGGGCCTGTTTTGCTTCGGCCGCTTCCTGGCTGGCAATCACACATGTGGTGTAGAGTTCCATAGCTTCGTTTGAGTTGAGTTCCATCTTGTCTGAGAAGAGAGAGTTCTGTGGAATTAAGGTGGGGGATTTTGGCTTGGTATCTTGTCTTCTTGGGCTCGGGAGGTCTGTAAACGAGGCGCTGTCTTTTTCGGTACATGAGGCGAGGTCTGGAATGGACATCGTGACGGATGTTTCGATAGTATTATTCTGGTCGACTGTTGTTGGTATATTAAATCCGGTCGTGAGTTGCCCGAATGATCCTCTCTGGGTCGGTTCTGCGCTATCGAGTGTCTTGGATCGTCCCCTGCGCTTGCGAACAAAACAACATCCTACAGAAGCCAGCATAATAAAGGTGCTGACAACAAGAACAACAATGATCCAGGTGGGGAAGTCGGGTTGGCTTTTAAAAGATGAATCTAAGGTAATTGTGTCCTTGAGGGTTAGAGGAGGAACCTGTGGCTGATATCAAGACTACCTGCAATAACAAGAGATAAGTGTGAGATAATAAGGATTGTAGTATTGTGGAGATCTCTAAAGAAAACCATACACTTTTGTGTGAGTGTGAGTGAGAGAGAGAGCCAAAAAATAAAATAAACAAATAAAAGGTTTAAAGATGTGAAAAAAATAAAATAAAAAGAATAATGCTTGTGAGTACTTGGACAAATAGAATACAATAAGATACAATAAGATATAAAAAAGAAAGAACATCTGAATGAAGAAGGCTAAGGAGGGGTTAGTGGTTTACTGGGGTGATAAAGGGGTTACAAGGGCGGCACTGTTGCAAATAGTAAAAGTGCAAGACAGCAGTACAAGATACACCTAATGTGGTATCTAATTGTATAGGGGCAGTTTTTCTTTTGTATCTGAAGGAGGTCAAAGACAATAAGGGGATCAAGTTTGGTTTGTTAACTACACAGCCAAAAAGCAAAAAGGAAGCCATTGAGACTCCTTGAGTAAAGTGTACTGGATTATGTATATTTTTTTTGTTTGAGTGCAAAAATAACAAGTGAATGCAAAGTAACAAGTGAGTGTGGCAATCCCATGCTGACCTTCCGTGTTTAGCTTCCTTGAAACTTTGAATATCACACTATTGAGTAAGACAAACACAGGCCTAATGCTTATTTATACAGGAAATGTCGATCCTGTCACTACATCAACCCCTTGACCAATGTATGTTTTGTTTGTTTATTTTGTAGTGTATAATGTATATGTGTTGTTAAACCAAAGGAGAATTAGCAATCTAGTTTAATATATACATTATATTATATTATATTATATAGTACCAATGTTGGATATGCTTTTTTTTTATGTCAAGAAAAGTCGTAGTCTATGACTGGATATCAGTAACCATGGAGAAATATCCACTTGCTTTATCCTTTTAGGAAAAAGGAGGATAAAGAAAGAACCATTTGGTCTACCCCACACATGTATGCAAAAAGAAAACTGTTGTTTTTGTTGTTGTTGTTGTTTCTTTATTCTTTTTAAAGAAGGTTCTTTCTATAAAGTCGAGATTCTGCAACCAATGTAATTCATATGTCTCTCCTTCAATTATACCCTACTTTCTTGTATACACATTTATATTTATACTTTACACACAAATAATTAGGTACCGGTGGTTAATTTTCTGTACATGATCAAGTCACCACACTGCACCACACTGCACAAATAAAATAAAATAAAATAAAATAAAAGAAAATAAAAGAAAATAAACGTACAAAGGTAAAGAGGTAAAAAGGTAAAGAGTAAAGAGTAAAAGGTACAAAAAAAAAAAAAAAAAAAAAAGTCCCACAGCTCTGTTCTCGGATCTTTTCTTTTTTGTCTTTACAAAATTTATAAAGGGTATTTTAATGAGAATAACTTTAAAGCAAAAAAAAAAGAACAATAGAAAAAGGGTTTCGATTTCCTATATATTTGGTTTTTTTTTCTTTGCTTTGCTTCTCTTTTTTCTTCTCATTTTTGGGGGGGTTTTTTTTAAGCATCATTGACTACTCTGACAAGATTGTCTCGGTTAATGACACATTCAGCATCGACATAGCCAAGGACATCAGCAATCTCATGACTCTTGCAACGCTTGATTCTCGAGATCTCAATGCTAGTGTAGTTGACCAATCCTTTGCCGATCACCATGTCTGTTAGTTTGCCGTTGATTGTCTTTCTGACCACGATCTGGACTGCCTGTTGGGCTACAAAGCTTCCCTTGACTTCTACAATTCCGGCTGCGAACAGACTGGACCGAAGAGTGGAAGTCACTGCCCTGGCTGCACCGTCGTCGACCACGATAACACCAGCTGTGTGCAGACCGTGCAGAATCCACCACTTATGGTCCAGCAGAGGGTTGTTCTTGGCCACAAAGCGGGTGTTTAACGGAATGTCATGTTTTTTTTGGTCAGCGTTGTCAGTTATGGCATCACCTTGGATAATCTTGAGCATGTTGAACGGTTTGGCACCATGAGTAATGATAGTAGTGACACCTGCCGCAGTGGCCAGATCTGCTGCAACCAGTTTTGTTTCCATACCACCTGTACCCAAAGATGATCCACTTGTGCTGATAGACACTAGAGTTTATTATTGTTAATATTTATTACCATGTGCATTTTTTTTTAACAAAAAAAAAAGGGTATTCAAGTTGGTTTACCTTTGGAGCGAAGTGCACTGATATCGTCACAAATGTCTACAGGTTTGGCATCTGGATTTGTGCGAGGATTATCGGTGTAAAGACAATCGACGTCTGTGAGCAAAAAGAGATAATCTGCCTTGATCATGCCAGCAGTAATGGCAGAAAGGGTGTCGTTGTCACCAAATCGAATACCCTTTTTTTTTGATACGATAAACGATCAAAACTTTAGCTCATATTACATGTATAGAAAAGAAGAAGGAGAAGAAGTAAAAATAAAGCAAATTTATCAATTACCTGGGTAGAAATAGTATCGTTCTCATTCACAATTGGAACCACACTCATATCCAATAGCTCTTCCAGGCAGCTCACAGCATTCAGATATTGAGAGCGCTATTATTATTATTTTGTAAGAAAAAAAAATTAGTTTTGATTTTGATTTTTTTTTATGATATAACTAGCCATGGTCAAGCTTTATCTAAGAAAAAGAAAGATATATATATATGTGTGTAATTTACTCACATCAGCCAGATCATTTTTTGTTAACAAAAGTTGGGCAACCGGTTGATGGAATTGACCAAACAAATCATCATACAAAGCCATAAGTCTACCCTGACCAACCGCAGCAACAGCCTATGTTAAATTTATATATATATATAAATCAAAAAGGTAAAAAAAAAAAAAGGGGGGGGGGGGGGTGTAGGTTAATAAAGATATATATTATATATAATATTTAGATAAAAAAAATTATTATGTATTACAGCCAACTTACTTGTCTAGCCGCCAGTTTAGAAGGCTTCTCGGCCATATTAAGTCGTCTTAGGCCAGTTCCAACTGCTGCACTTGTCACAATCACCACACGATGACCATTCTGTTTCAGTTTCAGGACTGACTCAACCAACAGAGAGAGATTGGACAACAGAGGGAAATGGGTCTCTTCATCGCAAATTGAGGTTGTTCCGACCTTGACTACAATTGTAAGAGATGTCTTGTTAGGGCGATGATTGTTCTGTTGATTCTTGTGAATCATGATGTCGAAAGAGTAAAGTGAAAAAAATAAAAATAAAAATAAAAATAATAAAAATAAGGAACAGTTTCTTTTCTTTCTTTTCTACCTGTCAAAGGCTATATTTTTTATTTTTATTATATTGTGATAGTTTTGCGTTATTTGAAAAAAATCAAATAGCCCATCTCATAAAAAAAAGAAAAGAAAATGACCTTTCTTTTTTTTGTTAATCAGGACCCCCCAAAAAAAAAGTCTTGTGTATCCAATAGAAAGTCTCAAAGATTCTTTTTGATGCTGTGATTGGTGGAAAGTCTAAATAATTATTTGCGTCAACGATAACGCAAATTCATATTTGTACGTGCATCTGTATGTGGTATAGATGTGGGTACCTATATATGGATAAAATTTTAGACGTAATACAGTCATTTCAAAAAGTAAAGTCGCTGATTTTGAGTTTGATGTCGTGCAAAAAAACTTGTGTCCAACAATGATGTCGACTGATCCAGCAATTAAGTCGTGACGAATTTCGTTTAGTAATTGCCCAATAAAATTTCTTGGCATTAATTATTTTTATAAAAAAGGGGGCCATTCTCGGTGTACCTTTTTTACTTCTTTTTTCCTATTTACAATTTATTTTATAGACATATAGAATGAGTATGCAATTTCTTTACGAAGATGGAAAAGGACATGTTGTTGATGAGCACGGAGTTGAGCCGATGGATCTTGTTGTTGACGAGGAGCTATTCGCTATCGAAACAATAAGCTCTCGTACTCAATTCCTAATGAATAAACCTCCGGAAAGATATTCTAATCCTGTAATGCATCCAGTTTCAGACGATAGGAATAATGATGTTGATATGGAGTTATTCAACAAGCGACGCTATACAGTTTACTCTGATGATGAGAAAACGAGATTTTTTCACCTATTTTTTAGCAAATGCTTAAGTGCTTCTGCTGCCGCGAGACAATTAGGTATTCATATTCGTGCAGCTCAGAGATGGGTCAAACGTTATTATGAAGATCCTGAGAGTATTTTCGAAAAAAAAGAAAAAGTCAGGTCGACGTCGTATTCTTGGGGAGGAGCATAAACAATTTATCTTAAGGTGCATTGATGAGAATCCTTCTGCTGTTTTAACTGAAGTGGTAGGAAGTTTAATGCAAAACTTTGTAGATCTTAATGTTTCTCGTAGTACTGTTTATAACTTCATGACAACGCAGTGCAATCTATCAATTAAGCAGGTGCAGTTCCATTCTGTAGAAAGAAACAGCGAGGAAAAAATTCAGCAAAGGTACGTTTGGGTCCAAAAGTGGCAGCAAACTGACATGGACTTTACAACAAATTGTGTCTTTCTGGATGAATCAGCCTTTCACATTAATTTGAAACGAGGTATGGCTTGGTCAAAGAAGGGAACTCCTGCAATAGTTACAGTGCCTATGACTAAAGCGAAAGCAACATCTATTTTAGGTGCCATATCGGCCACTGGCTTAATTAATGTTAGTTTGAGAGTTCCAAAGCGTATCAAAAAGAGAAAGCTTGGACATGAGACTGACGTTTATAGCACAGGAACAGTGACAGGGCATTATTTGAGCTTTGTGAAGGCTACTCTTGATGAAATGGACAGATATCCAGAAATGAAGGGACATTACCTTGTCATGGATAACGCTCCTATTCACAGCTCAACCGATATAGGTAAGTATATCAATTCTCGGGGATACCAGTATGCGTATCTTCCTCCATATTCTCCTGAACTGAATCCAATCGAGCAGTTCTGGTCAGTCGTCAAGAGTAAAGTGAAACAAAATAAGTTTTTGGAAAAAGAATCACTCATGACAAGAATTAGCGAAGCATGTGATAGTTTATATTTAAGTGATTTCAAAGGTTTTGTTTCTCATTCTGTTAAATGCTTTGACAAGTGTCTCAACAAAGAGAGGCTCTAAAATATCCAATGCAAAAAAAAAAAAAAAAAAAAAAAGAATGAAAAAAGGGGAAATTTGTTATGCACTTTTTGTTAAGCACTTTTTGTCAAGCACTTTGTCAAGCACTTTGTCAAGCACTTTTTGTTAAGCACTTTTTGTTAAGCACTTTTTGTTAAGCACTTTGTTAAGCACTTTGTCAAGCACTTTGTTAAGCACTTTGTCAAGCACTTTGTTAAGCACTCGGGGGGGGGGGGGGGGGGGGGCAACGACGTCATTGTGGAGATTGACGAAAGCAAGTTTGGTAAATGTAAGTACCACTGGGATCATGCTGTCGAGGGTTGCTGGGTGTTTGGGTTTTGGTCATATATTTTGGCTGGGTCAACAAAATTGACCAAAAGCAGTACTCTTTTTTTTTTACTCTTTTTTTTTTTTTTTTTTTGTGAACCAGCCTGCTTTTGTTGTGTCTCCCTCTTTTTATTTTATTCTTTTTTATGGTTGCAATGGCGAGTAAAACAAAACTTGTTACTATTTTACAGCAATGTTTTGAATGTCGAAAGACATACAGCACTCCACAATCCCTTCGAGAACACATGCAAAAGCACAATATACAATTGCCACAACGAATAACAGGAATCAGACGATATAATAATGATGAATATACCTATGTTAAGGCTACCAAATCACACGATGACATTGAGAAGCACTTTGGCTGCCCTGCATGCATCGCTCATTGTATGGAAATCGACGAGTTGAAGACCCATTATTATGCCAACCATTTAGAAACCTTGCCAGAACAATCACAGACGACATCGCAGGAAGAACCAGCAACAGGGCAACAACAAAGCTACAACAGCCAAGACCAGCCTAACAAACGTCGCTTAAGCAATATCCTTGGAACTGAGTTGTTGGATCCATTATGCCTATCGTTTCCGCCTCTTGATCACGATGACCATTTGTTGGTACAAAACTTCGATGCAACAATGGCGTTTCATAAGCTGCAGCTCTCATTATGTCAACACAAATGGAAACTATCACTCGAAAATCACATCCACTGCGCCATGGCAGCCACCCACATTTTGCTCTTGTCACGAAATCAGTACCCAGAGGATTTATCACCCTATTTCAGCAATCACGACCTCAAGGCAACCATCAATGGGATTGAGACAAAATATGGCATTAAAAAGCTTCCAATGTCAATGGCGACGACTACCAGCATGATCGGCATCGTTCAAAATCTTACCATGGGAGTAATCAGTCGAGATAAAGCGATTGCACACCTTTTGGATTTGGACCTCCCCACAAATGAGAACAAGTTCAAAAAATGCATAATCGATTTGATTCGGAAGCTTCCTCCCGTACCTTTGCAGAAGACATCAACGAATTTGAACTTAGCACTCGATACGTTGATCCTTTTTTATCTGGTTTATTTGACGATCCGGACGAGGGCATATACCTACGGTGGACTAATGAAATAACTTTAGAAGCTCGACAGAATGAAGATTTATCAACAAAACGTCCCGATATATGTATAAGTCGTTTACATGGGATGACATGGGCGTCGAATCATGGCTATGGGGAAGTTAAGTCAGCTGCTCAAGGTGGTAACAATTATTCGATTTGTCGGGATCTACTTCGCGTTGGTATATTCTGCAAGAATGCTCTCGATACACATAACATGGAAGGTGTACTGGGTCTGCAGGTTATTGGAAGAATGGTTACGTTTTATGTCTTGGTTTTGCCATCAACAGGACTTTATGTCATGTACGAGCTGGAAAAAATCAAGATTCCTAGCTGCTTGTATGATTTAACTAAACTTATTGTGGATATGCCTCGCGTTTGTCGCGTACTTGACACCTTCAATCGCATCTGCAAACCATCAGTCCATCAAGCAATGCCTAGCCGACACCGCCCAACGATCACGACGTCTGCCTTCAATGGCGTTTTTTCACCATCCCAAGATCGCAAAAGATCATGTCATTTGAAATATCAACATAATTAGTAATCAACTCAAAAATAAAAAGAATTATTCGATCTATGTGTGGGCTTTGCCGTGTTTTCTTTTTCTTTTTTTTTTGCTAAGCATTTTGTTAAGAATTTTGTTAGGCACTTTGCTAAGCGTTTTGCTAAGCATTAGTTTTGTACAAACGGTAAGAGGCAATTATGTTGGACCATGCATGTGGGCAGACTGGGTCAACAAAAGTGAACAAATACAAAACCCAAACACCCAGCAACCCTCGACAGCATGATCCCAGTGGTACTTACATTTACCAAACTTGCTTTCGTCAATCTCCACAATGACGTCGTTGCCCCCCCCCCCCCCCCCCCCCCCGAGTGCTTAACAAAGTGCTTAACAAAGTGCTTGACAAAGTGCTTAACAAAAAGTGCTTGACAAAGTGCTTAACAAAAAGTGCTTAACAAAGTGCTTGACAAAGTGCTTAACAAAGTGCTTGACAAAGTGCTTGACAAAGTGCTTGACAAAAAGTGCTTAACAAAAAGTGCATAACAAATTTCCCCTTTTTTCATTCTTTTTTTTTTTTTTTTTTTTTGCGTTGGATATTTTAGAGCCTCTCTTTGTTGAGACACTTGTCAAAGCATTTAACAGAATGAGAAACAAAACCTTTGAAATCACTTAAATATAAACTATCACATGCTTCGCTAATTCTTGTCATGAGTGATTCTTTTTCCAAAAACTTATTTCGTTTCACTTTACTCTTGACGACTGACCAGAACTGCTCGATTGGATTCAGTTCAGGAGAATATGGAGGAAGATACGCATACTGGTATCCCCGAGAATTGATATACTTACCTATATCGGTTGAGCTGTGAATAGGAGCGTTATCCATGACAAGGTAATGTCCCTTCATTTCTGGATATCTGTCCATTTCATCAAGAGTAGCCTTCACAAAGCTCAAATAATGCCCTGTCACTGTTCCTGTGCTATAAACGTCAGTCTCATGTCCAAGCTTTCTCTTTTTGATACGCTTTGGAACTCTCAAACTAACATTAATTAAGCCAGTGGCCGATATGGCACCTAAAATAGATGTTGCTTTCGCTTTAGTCATAGGCACTGTAACTATTGCAGGAGTTCCCTTCTTTGACCAAGCCATACCTCGTTTCAAATTAATGTGAAAGGCTGATTCATCCAGAAAGACACAATTTGTTGTAAAGTCCATGTCAGTTTGCTGCCACTTTTGGACCCAAACGTACCTTTGCTGAATTTTTTCCTCGCTGTTTCTTTCTACAGAATGGAACTGCACCTGCTTAATTGATAGATTGCACTGCGTTGTCATGAAGTTATAAACAGTACTACGAGAAACATTAAGATCTACAAAGTTTTGCATTAAACTTCCTACCACTTCAGTTAAAACAGCAGAAGGATTCTCATCAATGCACCTTAAGATAAATTGTTTATGCTCCTCCCCAAGAATACGACGTCGACCTGACTTTTTCTTTTTTTTCGAAAATACTCTCAGGATCTTCATAATAACGTTTGACCCATCTCTGAGCTGCACGAATATGAATACCTAATTGTCTCGCGGCAGCAGAAGCACTTAAGCATTTGCTAAAAAATAGGTGAAAAAATCTCGTTTTCTCATCATCAGAGTAAACTGTATAGCGTCGCTTGTTGAATAACTCCATATCAACATCATTGTTGGACACAAGTTTTTTTGCACGACATCAAACTCAAAATCAGCGACTTTACTTTTTGAAATGACTGTATATATATATAAGATATGTTAGAATTAAAGTATATACATATATATTCAAATGTTCAAATGTAATAATTTGTGCTACTTTGATCGAGTCTTTAAATATATACAATATAAAATATGTGGTGGTCAAACTGAATTGAACCATGCAATTTGAATCAAACAATAAACATATATATATATATATATATATATATTGGTTTTGTGATTCTTCTTGGATAATCACAAAGCGTCAGGTATTACATATTTATGTAATTGAACCGTCAATCTAGGTTACTTATAAAAAAAAACGATACTTTAATATTCTAATCATATACATTACAAATTATCTGATCTGCTCTGCTCTGCTCTGCTCTGCTCTGCTCTGCTCTGATCTGATATATGATCAATTTTAAACAAATAATAATAATAATAATAAAAGACCCAATATTTATTCAAATCAATGAATCAAATACTTGCTCAAATACGCCAACTACATAAAGCAGTTTAGCCAAACATTTTGTACTTGATATTTCTTTGCTGCAAAAAAAAAAAAGAACAAAATGCTATATGCTTCTTTTTATGACTCCGAAGAAGTGTCTGATGTGGTGTGCTTAAAAAAATATTATATATATATATATATATTTTACAAGTGATGTGATTCTACAAAGGATATAAAAGTCACATACACCCAGAGTCCTTTTTATTTTGTATTTATAATATGCATATATTATTTGATCTCTTGGACGGCTGATGGTTCTTTTTTTTTTTTTTTTTTTTGGTAACCAAAGGGAATAATGGATCGGGCGGGGGTACAGGTGAGTGATGGAATCTGCATGGGTTGACTGCAGAACTCCAGTACACAATATGTATATACTGGTTAAACCTCTACTATAAAAAAAAATAAAAGAAAATAAAACACCCTAGTGCATAATATCGATTAAACACTTCCATCATAATTTCATTTTGACGTCTTGAACCTTAAGAACAAGACGAATCCTATGCAATCGGAGAAAGGTAAGTAAGGTCTATATAAGCTTGAAGGGTTTGGCAGCTTTACGAAAAAAAAATAATATATATATATAGCGCCTATCTCTTCATTTCTTTCCTATCACTACTACCTTGTTATCTTTCTTTAATTCCATAAAAAAATCATTATCACAATGCAGTTCAAGATCCTTGCCCTCTTCCTTGCCATTGCCTTTGTTGTAGTCAACTCCCAGGGTGGTAAGTACACAGACATGATTACAACTCTAGATTCAACCAAATTTGATCTAATCGTCTGATTGAATATTCTAGTTGCCGCCCCTGCCCTTACTTCGCTCGCCTCCAAGTAAGAAATCAAATATAATTTATAATAACAAATACCATTAACACTCTTGATAATATAGAATCGGATGGCTCGAGAACTCAAACAACCCCCAAAAGACTGAATTGATCCAATCTGCCGAGTCTGCCTACAGCCGTATCTCTGCTGCCTTGGCCATCCAGACCTCTGCACCTACTGGCTCAGTATCCGGTGCTGACACTACTGGTGCCGGCGCAACCGGTGCCGCTGTTGGTGCCCAGTCTTCTTCCACTGACGCCGCTGCCGGTGGTGTTGCTGCCACTACCTCCTCCATTGAGTCTGCCGCTTCTTCTGCCGCTGAGGCTACTTCTTCCGTTGCCGAGGCCAGCTCTTCTGCCCACGGAGTCGTCAACTCTTTGGAGTCAAAGGCCACCTCCATAGCCGCTGCTGCCACAAGTGCCGTCGGAGATCACACCAGTGCCGGTGTCCGTGTTGCCTCTGATTTAGTTGTCCAGATGACTGCCATTGCCGGTCTCATCGTTGCTACCTGTGTTGCTTTGATGGCCTAAGCCTATTGTCACCTATTTCATTTCTTTTTTTAATTTTATTTTTCTTTATCTAATTATGGATATTAATACTTACTATTCTTATATATTTTAACAAACATACATATTCTTTTTATTTATATATATATATATATATATTCAATTATGTATTTAATTATCTAAATAAATAAATTATATGTATCTTATCTATGTATTCTATATGCTTTTTTTTTTGAATAGTGAGAATCGTATTATTATCTTTAATGCAGGCCAAGTCTTTTATATACTTTAATTTTATTAATTAAACTAAACTAAATTGAATTATGTATATATATATATATATATATATTCTCTTGATTTCAAAATGTCGAATTGTACAATTTAAGTTGTACATTTATGCTATGTAAATGCTAATCTTCTATTTGTGATTTTGATTTGAAGACTTGTTTATTTCAAATAATAATAATAATAATAATAATAATAATAATAATAATATAGATAAAGAAAACCTTGGTGTTTAGATCATAACCGGTCAATTAATTGATCAATTATGATTTACTGATCTACATTTCAACCTCACACAACATATTTCTTTTTTGTATGACGCGCCCAAAGCTATTTCCATAGGATTGGCAATATTATTTTCTGGATTCATATAATACAGAATATACATATTTCTACCAAATTATTATTAAAATCTTGTTGTTTTTTTAAATAGAAAAAAATTGTATATCTACAGACACAGATTTAAATGGTGAATTATATATGCAGCTTTTTCCCTGTGACTTTTTTTTCCCTGTGTCTTTTACTGTGTTGTCTCATGTACAACATTACCCCGCATTACAAGCAGCTCCGCCCATCAAGATCCACTCACACACGTATGTATATATATATAGTTGTATTTGTATGTAATGTATTTATGCAAAAAAAAGGGCGAGAAGATAATACCCTTGACTAACAGAATATATATATATATATATATATATATTATATGCGTGTTTTGTTATTATCTCCAAGTGTCATATTGACAGCAGTTGGTTGCTTTACTTTCTGTTTTTAACTAATTGATCTTTTGAAGTACAATGTACAAATACTAATGCTTCAAATACTAGAGCTTTATTATATATTAATACAAGTATCAGGATTAATTGTGCAGTTGAAAGAAAAACACAATATTAGACCTTGTTATAAAAAAATTGCACATCAATTGAGACGGTGTTTACTGCTACAATTATATTATTATACCATTATGCTATCAATTTTTGTGCGGAGAATTCTTTTTTTTTTTTTTTAAAAAAAAAAAAGCCATTAAGATGAAATATGTATGGTTTGTCTAAAGAAATCAATACATGATCTCTATGGTTATATTACAGCAGCATATGACACAAGTAGATATCAGTAGTTAGTAGTAAAGAAAAAGAAGAAAAAAAAAGAAAAACCAAGGATTCTGCCAGAAATAACAATTATAATTGGTGTGGACAGACTGAAAAGTTCAAACGACTCTAACTGGCTAGTCTTCTTCCATTGCCAGTTGGATAGTGAAGATCATGTCTTTAATGAGAGAGGTGTACCACAGTAAAAAAGGCCTTGCAAAACATAAAACTCGCAACAAAACACCACCTGATGGAAGAAATGGTATTATGAGCACTAGATTTTTACCTAATACGCATTTGAATTAATTTTGAACTTTTTTTTTTTTTTGATCGTTTTAGTCTGTCCATACCAAATAATTTTCTTAATGTTCTAATTTTAATTTGAGTCTACATAGTCCAATGTTAATCATCTACTTACCTTGTGAACAAGGATATATATATATATCAATAGAAAATGGAAAAGAAAGTGAGTGAGAGAGAGAGAGAAATATTGGGTATGCTACACTGCCCAAATTAGGAAACTATAGTATACCAAGATTGCCATAAAAGAAAAGACCTATTTTTTAAAGTAAAGGCACATGTAATTGAGAATTTTTATATTATTAATATTATTATTTAGATTTCATTATGAGTATCTTTAGAGCTTCTTCTTCTTTAAAGAAAAATAACTATAGAAAAAGGTACTTGCAACAATTGGCTTGGATATACTGATAAGCTAAATTGTCTTGGTCTTATTGACACTAATAATTGTATTAATAAATTATTTTGGATAATCTTACAATCTGCTCGTACAACGTCCAAACACACACACAATAAATATATTTATATACATTTTGTACTGTAAAAAGGATTGTTTTATCAGATAGAACGTCTTCTTATTATTATTATTAGTATTAACATTATTCTACTATTCAACAACAACAATAACAACAAAAGAAGAACAAGATGCTTGATATCTGGGTATTCAAACCAGACCCTCTTTATTTATTTTTCTATAGAGAGAAAGAACACAAGGTAGGACATGGCGGTTTGGTTGAGTAACCTGACTTGAGATTATAGCCAAAGAATAAAATAAATCATAAGTCAAAAGTCAAAAGTCAAAAGAAAAGAGTCTATGGTCCCCAACCACACAATTAAGCAATTAGGCAACCGATATTGCGATTAATTTATTTCTTTTGGTTGAATCTTACTACTGCTACCAAGTACCCTTCTTTCTTAATATACATATATGAATATTAAGGAGAAGGATCAAGACTTTAGGAGTCTTGTCCCCCTTTATATATATATATATATATATATATAAGTGTCTGCATGTACGATTATTATTCTTTTGCCCCAGCCAAAGCCAAAAACTTTCTATAATTGAAAGCAATAAAGCGGCATGTTTTATCTAACCTTTAAAAACAAAAGCAAAAAAAAAAAAGTATTTTACGATTCTTCATTTCGGATGAGTCATGGTTATGTTTGAAGTGGTTTTATAAATTTAGGCTCATTTGGTGTGATTAAGGATTCAGATTTATAATAAGGCAATCCTGATCAAGATTTGTGTCAAGGAGATCTAGAGAACAACGATTTTTGATATAATTTTATCGATTAGTATTAGCAAAAAAAAAACAAACAGATAGATAGATAGAAAGAAAGAAAGAAATGGTATCGTTTAATAGCCATTATTAACTTTTCATTAGTCACTTATTTATTTGGCTGTGTTAAATGTTGAATGTTAAATAAATCAACAAAGTAAAAATAAAAAATAAAAAAAGCCAAATTCGCACTGACCATGCTCCTTTAAAACAACCCGCCCCTTCCCACAATTTTCCCCCCTCCCTTTTGATATAGATAGAATACATCTTCTTCTTACAGTCATTTTAAGCTTCCACAGTTCTTTAAAGACTTGGAGTTTAAATATGTAGATAGGTGGATAATCAATGCCAAAAAAAAATTTTAAGAAAGAAAAAAAAAAGAAAAGAAAGCACAAGGAAAGCTTCAATTTTCGTATTCAGTGTTCTTTACGCACCAGTCTTTGGTTCTTGGCTGTTCTATATATAAATATTCATATTTTTCTTGCCTTTTCTTTAGTCAAACAGAAGCGTTGATTGGGTTGGGAGGGGGAAAAATACATTACATCGAACACCGACAAAGTGGCGGCAGGAGTTCGATTCGACGAGGATAAACAACATATACACACACAACACATACACAAAATTGGATCAGAGCACAGCAACACAGACACGCAGCCAATAAGGGCGACTATTTTTTTACACACAAAATAAAAATGGTATGAGAACCAAGCGAAGCACTCCAAAATAATAAATAAATAAAATAAAGTATCGTGCACTCTTAAATGGAGAATAAGAAGAAGAAAATCAAAATCAAAATCAAAATTTTTAAAATTAAAATCAATGAATTGAATTTAATGAATGAATGAATGAATGAAATAAAGGATCAAATATAAAGAAGTACAAGAAGTAGAAGAAGTGAATGAGCAAAAACAACAACAGCAAAAATAACAACAACAATATAAATACAAGTCTATATATAAAACTCTATATAAATAATATGTACACCTATCTACCTATCTACGCACGCACACACACACACACACATACATCCTCACACTCATACTGCACACACTACACACAATATACACCACATACGCACTCTTTCTCTTGTTCTTTTTCTTTTTTTTTTTCTTTCTCTCTCTCTCTATACACACCCACACCTACACCTACCCAAAGGGCGTGACGTCAATTAATTTTGGCTGTGAACATATATAAGGTGTCCAATCTGCGGCGTTTCTTCTTTCAACCCCCTCTTCCACCTTTTTTTTCTATCCTGAGCTCTTTTGCTCTCGCGATTTAAACTTTGTACGTTCACCTGTAGACAGCGCCCTGCTCTCGAGATACAAGACGGCGCATATAAACAGCAAAGAAACTAGCCATCCATTTGACATCGCACATGGCACAGCCGCAATTAAGGAGGGCCGCCTGGGATGGGTATGTGCGAGGTTAAAAAAAAACACTGATCAGAAGAAAAAAAAAAGAAAAGAAAAACAATGAGGAAGGGGGTGGAGAAGGGAGAGAAGGGTTGTGGGATGAGATGAGATGCTGATGGCTTAAGCTAGGCAGAATAACCGGCCAGTAGTAGTAGACAAGGCAACCGAGCTACTACATCTCTACATTTACGACTACTGCAAAAAGCGCAATTTTGCACAGGCCGCTCGGGTGTTCTCTGCAGAAGCGAACGTGTCTACAGATCATTTGCCTCCGGTCGATGTGCCGACCGGCTTTCTTGCTGACTGGTGGGGAGTCTTTTGGGACGTCTACCATGCTAAACACAAAGATGCTCAAGCGAGCAAGGAAGCTGGAATGCATGATGAGGTACTGTAGGGTAGTAGTGTCAATGGCAGTAGTTTTAGTAGCCATATTAGTCATACCAGTGTTATTAGTAGTAACAGCACCAGTACTAGTAGCAACAGTAGCAATAGTTATTATTTATATAAGCTGTAGTAGCTCTAAAAGCAGTAAAAGTAGCAGTAAAAGTAGTAATAGTTGGCTGTGGTAGTGGTAGTGGAAGCAGCAATGAATCTGTAAAGTAGTAAACAAAAGACAAAGAATCAGATCATCACCACACACTAAATATCAAATACCACAAATATTCATATATACACATATATATTTTCTGTGTTGCAAATATATACACACACTTTTTTTTCCCTTTAAAAAAATAGTATCATGAATTCATCCGTGCCCGCCGAGAAGAGGCCATGCAACAGCAAAGAGCTTACAACATGCAACAGGCTCAACAACAACAGCAAACACAAGCACAGCAAGCACAACAGCAACAACAACAGCAAGCACAAGCACAGCAAGCACAACAGCAACAACAACAGCAACAACAACAGCAAGCACAAGCACAGCAAGCACAACAAGCACAACAACAACAAGCACAACAAGCACAACAAGCACAAGCACAGCAGCAGCAACAACAACAGCAACAACAGCAACAACAACAGCAGCAGCAGCAGCAGCAGCAACACCAACAGCAGCGGAGACCGTCCGAGGTTCAGCGGGCCGCTGCTCAATCTCCTCAACACCCTCATCATCCACACCCTCACCCGCAAGCAGGTCAAGCACCACATATGCAAAGTGTGCCTTCTCAGCACACGCCTATGTCACGGGACACCCGTCAGTCACCCGCCAGCAGTGTCGCCTCCTTGCCCACCAATCCGATGCCTCCTCCTCAATCTACCATTGTAAATACTCCCCAAAGCCTGCCTGCAACTTTGCCACAACACCTCCCCGGGCGCCACACAGCCTCACCCTCATTTTCGCCCCAGCAGATGCAGCGAGCCAATGTCCTCGGACCGGATGGAATTCATCCCATGTCTGATCCGATGTTAAACTCGTCCATGACCGTAGGTGTTCCAATCAATCCCCAAGGACAACCAATGATGGCCAGACCTCCGAATGCTGTTCATATGCAGAGCGCGATGATTTCTTCCGCCATGGCTGCTCTGGGATTTGCTGGTCGTGATCCACAGACCCTGAGTCCCGAAGAACGGGTAAGTCCGCCACCAACTATGGTCATGAAACAATTTTTTTTTGTTTCGTTTTAGGTGAAATGAAATTAATATCTTATTTGTGTACATTTATAATGTTGTTGTTTTTTTTTTCTGTATATAATATAATTATTATAATTGTATATTTTTACGCGTGGTTTGTATATTAGACTTTACTTCAAAATCAGTATAAAAAGAATTCTGCCCAGATGACACATAATACTATGCTCCGTAACGCGTAAGTTGTGAACTCACCACGATCATAATTCGACATTCTTATAATATATATATATATATATATATATACCTATGCACAAACGAACATACACAAACACATACACACACACACACACACACACACACACGTACGTACGCACGCACGCACGCATCAGTATGGCCCAAGGTGGTAATTCCCAGGTACGAATGCATATGCAGCAACAAGTTATGAATCATCAATTACTTCAGCAACAACAAGCTGCTGCTGCTGCTGCTGCCGCTGCCGCCGCCGCCGCCGCTGCCCAACAACAGCATCATGCTCAACATCAGCAACAACAGCAACAACAGGTTCAACAACAGCAAGGACCAGTACAAGCTACACCACAACAGCAACAAGTTCATCAGCAGACTCAAGCTCAGGCCCAGGCCCAGGCTCAACAACAGGCTCAAGCTCAAGCTCAACAACAGCAACAAGCTCAAGCTCAGGCCCAGGCTCAAGCTCATGCTCAGGCTCAAGCTCAAGCTCAGGCCCAGGCTCAAGCTCAAGCTCAGGCCCAAGCTCAAGCTCAGGCCCAAGCTCAACAAGTTCAACAGCAGCAGGCTCAGGCTCAGGCTCAACAACACCAACAGCAACACCAACAGCAGCAGCAGCAACAACAACAACAACAGCAGCAACAACAACAACAACAGCAACAACAACAGCAGCAGCAACATCAAGTTCAACAGCAGCAGCAGCAGCAACACCAGCAACAACTACACCAGCAACAACAACACCAGATGGCACAGGCTTCGGCCGTAGATGCGAGCGGTCGCAATGGCCCCGCACCTCAGACAGGTAGCATGGACATTTCAAAGCATATTCCAAAAAAACGCCCTGGAAAAAAACGCCAAGCTGACGCAATATCTAAAGGAAATGGGCAACCTGGAACGCCTTCAAATCCAAACACAGGTATTCCTGGACCCGTAGGGGTAGGCCAAATGGCAGGCGTTGGCAACATGCAAAGTCCAAACATGATGGGTGGATCACCTTTTGTGGGTAGTGAATGTAAGTAAACAGCAATCAAGCAATGCCCTCTATTTTTATTATCATTCAATTCACACTGTGGATATGTGTGATACATGATATTCTATTCAATAGTCAATCAAATACAAATAAATTTATTTAATGATTGACTGATTTTTTAATGGTGTTCTGCTTTTTTGAACTTTCTTTTTTTTTTCTATAGCTATGAATATCATGTTGGCCCAACAAATGATGAACAAGGGACACATTCCTGCCGGGTTGGCTGGTCAGACAGCACAACAGCAACAACAAGTAGGTCTAGGTGAAGGGAAAGTGAGAGTTAGGGGGGATAGTATAGAAGAAGAAAAAAGAAATAGAAAAAGAGGAGGGGTGGGGAATCCAAAGTGTGTAGGATACTCGTGTTGACAAGGCGAAACACCGTCCACAGTTGGTTGCGGCCCATCATCATCAACAGCAGCAGCAGCAGCGAGTGCTTAATCAGCAGCAGCAGCAGAGACGGTATATTCAACAGCAACAGCTCCAGATGCAAGCCAACCAAGGATCTCCTAATACTACGGTAAGCCCTAATTCCGCGATACCAGAATCCCCTCAAGATCTCGAGAAGCAAAAGGCCCTTGCAACCTACCAAAAACAGCACATTCATCGTATTTTGCAACAACAGCAGAGTTTTATTCAGCAGCAAGCCCAGGCCCAAGCACAACAACATCACCAATTACAACAACAGCATCAACTACAACAACAACAACAGCACGCCCAACAGGCTGCTGTACAACAACACATGCTGCAACAACAGCATCAACACCATGCTCAACAAGCTGCCCAGCAGCAAATGGCAGCACAACAAGCTGCCCAGCAGCAAATGGCAGCTCAACAAGTTCAACAGCAACAAGCTCAGGTGCAAGCTCAACAACAGTTAGCTCACCCTCAAAAGAAACAAAAACAATCCCACGACGACCCTAATGCGTCAGGATCGCAGACAGGGCAGTCGCCACCACTCCACACAAGTGGTAGTCCTCATATAATGAACGCCAACCAACCCCATGCTGTTGTGGGTGGTGAGCGAGTCCATCCTTCCTCTGTGGGTCCACAAGATTCACCACTTTCGACAACTATGCACCGACAATTACAACACCAGCGACAACAAGCACAGCAACAGGCACAATATTCACAAGAAATGGCTGTAAAAGCAAGTCAATCACCACAGATTAGTCGAGTATATCCTCAAGGACAACCAAAAGGACAGCCTCAGGTTCCACCACAGATGCAACAACAACAGAGGATGTCATGGAATGCAGGAGTTGAGCTTGGCTCACCTGCCTTGACAGCTTCTACCAACGAAAATGCCCAGTCCCCTGCACCTTCAGCAATGACTGCCGCCGCCGCAGCAGCAGCAGCAGCAGCTGGTGCTTCCACCAACCCGGGAAATAATACCACCACTACCGCTACCACTACTACTACTACCGTCAACAATAACCCCAACAACACTAATAACAACAATAATAACAACAGCAATAATAGTAATAACAATAATAACAATAATAACAATAACAATGTTCCCACGGTCGGGCCAAATGCAATGATGTCCTTTGACCTCGAGCGATTTATGATGAGCGACAACGAATATAACATCTTTGTTCCTGGCGAAGACAGCCCAGACCAGTCCTTGATGATGGGAGCCGACATCAACGAGAATGATCCGTTTGGAAAGGGCTATTTGGCTAGTATGGGAGGAGCGATTGGAGTAGACAACTCGCTGTCCTCGATTCCTCCGGCTGGCCAGGTTCTGCAGCTCTGGACCGAACTCCAGGGCCATACCAACAAGGTTAACACGGTTGATTTCTCCAAGGACGGCCAGTGGATGGCTAGTGCGGGCCATGACAAAAAGGTTATCGTCTGGGGGGTCCAGGATAAGCTGGCCCGATTGACGCTCGAGGGACACACGATGCAGATCAACTGTGTCCGGTGGTCTCTGGACAACCGTAACATGGTCGCCACGGCCTCTCATGACTCGACGATACGTATCTGGGATGTCGGGACCGCGATCACAGACAGCACCCAGGTAGTCAAGCACGCCAATAAGTTTGACTGTAAAGCTCAGGTCACTGCAGTCGACTTTGATCCCGAACGGCCCGATATCGTCTGTTCAATGGACGGCGAAGGCGAACTGAAAGTCTGGAATATCAGCACATCGAAATGTGAAAAGACCCTGCGGTTGGTATGTATTTCTTTATCTTTTTCTGCTTTTTCTATTTTTCTATTATTATCATTCTATTCCTATTCAATTTACTCTAGTGAATATATTATTATTACTGTCATTACTGTCATTGCCCTTTGCTATATTTTTGCTGTTTTTTTCTTGTTGCTGTTGTCATGGGTCGATCTAATTCTTAAATTCTTTATATATGTGTATATAATTTGTAAAAAAAAAAAAAAAAAAAAAAAACTGTGTTTGTATGTGTGTCTGTGTCTGTGTGTGTCTGTGTCTGTGCTCATGTGTTTATGCATTTGCGCATTTGTGCATTTGTGGGTATGAATATGTGTTTGCGCCTGCACTTATGCCTGTGCCTGTACCTGTACCTGTACCTGTACCTGTGCTTGTATTTGTGCTTGTATTTGTGCTTGTGCTTGTGCTTGTGCTTGTGCTTGTGTTTGTATTTTGTATTTGTGTGTGTACAGGCTATTCAAAAAGGAACTGCCTTTTCTCCTAATCCTATGCGTTTCCATCCTCGTTCTCGGAATTGCCTAGCTTGTGCTGTAGGCACTCAATTGCTCGTTGTCGACATCATAACTGCCAAGACCAATGCTTCCAACACATACACCGACAGCTCGGCTATCCGAACCATCAGCAGCGACCACACCAAGAACATATCCTGCCTAGACTGGTCCGACGACGGCGCATTTTTGGTGACATCTTCGGACACTCTAATCTGTGTTTATGAGACAGCCCACTGGAAACCCATTGCAATGCACACACCACATTCAAAGATCTGGAGTTGTGCGTTTGTGACCAGTGCCGGCGCTGGTACAAACAACAGCGGAGACAAGTTGAGAATCATGTTTGGTGAATATGAAGCCATATATGTGTGGCAGGGTATCCAAAATTCACAGCCAAAGAAGGCAGGCGCACCACCAGGCACAATCATGGGGATTGCCTGCTCTCGATCTGGAGGACAAACAGTTGTGGCTACAGCAAGTAGTCAAAGGGAAAAGAATCTCATGTTGTGGACTATCTAAACAAAAAATACATACATACATACATACATACATATATACATACATACTATAATACTATAATAATAAGAGAGAGAGAGAGAGAGAGAAAGCATAGCGAGGGAGAGACGGAGCAAGAGCAAGAAGGAGGGAGAAAAGAAGAGAAGGGGGGACAAGAGGAAAAAAGAAGAGGAAGAGGAAGAGGAAGAGGAAGAGGAAGAAGAAGAAGAAGAAGAAGAAGAAAAAATCGAAATCAATCAACCAAAATTTACATCACAGCATATTATTAAAAATAAGCCCTTTCTTTATTTTACTTTCATTTCTTAAAGGTAGTCAAACTACATACACTACTCACACATTCATACATACTCTCTCTCTCTCTCTCTCTTTCTTTCTCACTCACTCTCTCTCTCTTTCTCTCTTACACACTCACTCACTCACTCACTCACATTATACACATTATACACACTACACCCACTACACACACTACACAGAAGCATATATTATATACATATATATACTTGTGTAAAAGAAGAACAGGCAGATAAATATATACATATACATACACACACACAAGCACACACAAGCACACAAGCACACACACACACACACATATATATATATATATATATATATTATATGTATTTAAAAAAAAATTATTTATTTTATTTTACTCTATTTTCTATAAACTTTTTATACAACTACTTCTTTCAAACAGAAAAATATACATATAATACTTGTTTTCCTGATAATTGATAGATTTTTATGGTTACTACTATATTTATATATAAGTTAAAATAACAACAACCAAAAAAAAAACAAGGCAAAGGCAAAGGCAAAAACCTAATATATTCAATAATATAATATAGTATTTTATAGTATACTTTGTACTTGTACCTGTACCTGTACTTGTACCTGTACCTGTACCTGTACCTGTACCTGTACTTAGACTCAGGCTTGGACAGACTTGGAATTATGCTATTCTGTAATGTAATGTAATGTAATGCAGTATAATGCAATGCAATATACTGTGGGGTTAATAAAATATCAAATCAAATCAACCTACATTCCAACGGTAAAAGACAAGCTAGTTAATTTTTAAACAAACCAAAAAAAAATAGAAACCCTATATCTTTTTTTTAGCCCTTCTTTTCACTCTAAACACCAATGAACTTTACACACCCTCAAAATAAATATCTCTTGTTCTCTGGCCAAATCTACGTATAAATGTATTTGATAATTATATTAAACCAAGACATTCAATTATGTTACATTACATTGTATTTTCACAGTCTCCTTTGTCGTGTTCTTGTTCTTATTCTTATTGTGCATGGCTTTATTTATATGTTCGAACCAGGCATAAATACTAAGAATAATAATAACTTGCTTTCTTTTAGAGAGATTGAAACATTGACTGCATGTACAGCTGTGAATGTGTACAGTTGTTAATATCAATCTTCCTTTACCCTATGGTCAAAAAAACAAAAAGGGCGATTTTAGTAAGAGATTATTATTTTTTGTTTTTGATTATTGCAGAATACACCTCTGCACACACCCCGGAGCTCATTGAATATGTATATATATATATATATATATACTCCTAAATATGCATGTTTTTTTTTCTTAATAGTGTTAGCAGCATTTAAATATATAGTTTCTTGGCATCTTGTTTCTGTCAAAGAAGAACCTCAATAGATCTGCCAAGAAATAGCTTCTATTATGCGTTTAAATAAATAAATAATTAAATTAACCAACCAGAGAGTTTTTTTTTTTATAAGATATATTATTGGTCCAATGTATCTAAATATATAAGAAACCCAAATACTACTGCTATGATTCTTATTATTAGATATTGTACTTTATTTTATTTTATTTTTTTCTTGGTGAAGATCTTTGGGATACAAAGAGGGGTCCTGTCAAGGATGGTTTGATGTAGAATATAATGAAATAAAATGATAAAACAAACACCCTTGAATTCTCAAGTGATCTATACATAATGATAATTAAAAGGAGGGAGCAAATCTTCTTTTCTTTCTTTAAGATTCTTTGTACTTTTTACATAGTATATACAACTCTTACTGTTCTACACATTTGTAAAGATGAAGATCATTCTTTATCTATTCCCCTCGCACGTACATTTTGTTGAACAATTATACTCTTTCTTTTCTTTCTTTTTATAATAAAGATTATATATAAAAGGAGAGATAGATAAAGACAAAGACAAATATCTCTTCTCCCCACTTCCTTCCTTCTAAATTTCCTTTAATTTTTTATTTTATTTTTTAAAAAAAAAAAAAGAAAATTATATAGGTATAGTCTATTATATTACCATTTTTGAAAGGTACGTGTCAATGATATTAATGACATTTATCTAAGTATTCATTTGCTAATAAATATCATCAAATCTTAGTATATTTTGATAGCATTATGTATGTATGTATGTGTATTTTTGATGCTGGTCAGTGGCTAATAAAGATATATTAAAGTTTAATAAGTTGCATTGTGAACAGTACTATACACACTCTATTTGCTAATAGTGGTAGTGGTAGTGCTAGTACTAGTGCTAGTAATGTAATGAAATGTAATATTTCGGCTATTGGGTGTTAATATTCAATATATACGTATGTCTATTACTTTTCTTTCTTTCTGTATTTATTATTACCCCATTAAATCTGATTTGTCCTAGAGATCATAACGAACGATACCCAAGACACATATGTATACATATATACATATATTCATATATACATATATACATACGTACATACATATGTATAGACATAAATAGTTATATGGATATATTTCCCCTAATAATACTTATAATAGTGATCATGGTAATGATAATGATAATGATAATTATAATTATAATAACTATAATAGCCCCTCATTGGATACATGTGCTCGTGTGTGTGTTGATGTGAATATCTGTAGTTCTGCACTTCCCCTTTCTTTAAATGCTATATATATAAATTTCGAGTCACTATTGCTTTTAATATATATATTTGTAGATGATGTGTATATCTTTATTGAATTGTTGGTTAGACTGTAATGAGCTATAAAGACAATAAAAAAAAACTAACTAACAAACAGTAGATCCCTAGAGTGTATTTGGCATAATAAATTAACTGCAGGATGATGCAAGGTGGTCTTTTATTTATCTATTCGTTTATTCTTTTTTTTTTTAAAAAAAAATATAAGCAAGTAAGCAATAAAGAAAGAAAGAAAAATGTACATATTTAATCAAATGCACACCTTATAGTAATTGACGAAATAAAATAAGAAGAAGAAGAAAAAAAGAAAGTTTCAGTATCATACTTACTCCTCAAAAATAATAATAGTAAGCCAACAAAAGGAAGGAGAAGGAGGAAGAGAAGGATAAAAGTCCTTGTGAAATCTGTCTAATTATTGCGTTGAAGCCGTCAATCAACCAAAAACTCAATAACTCATTTGGTGAATTTAATTAAGAATAAGTTCTAAGTAGTAATGGTACTTTAAATGATTGTGGCTCATCAAATAAATAAAAAGGTAGTTTTCTTTTTACGAGCAAGCAAGTGTGTATGTGCGTATATGTATATATAATTATGTGTATTGTGCATTAGACAGCAAAAAGATCAAAGATATACATATGTACATATATGTATATATTTCAATGTGAATATAAAGAGAAAAAGGAAAGGAAAAGATAGTGTGTGTGTGTACAAAAGAAGAAGAAAAAATATAATTCAGGAGAATGAATTGAGGGTGAAATTGATTTCCTTCTTTCTGTCCTTCTTATTCTTCTTCTTGAAAGATGCGTAGAGATAAAGATATATATATATAAAGTTTAAAAAAAAGAAAGACAAGTTTGAAATGGGAGGATGTGATACACAATGTAAAGGATTTATGAGTGAGTGAGTGGGTATTTACTATTATCCTCACTTAGTATATTTAATTATCGATAGGCAGGTGGATAGATTGATTGATGGGTAGATGGATAAGTAAGTAAAGAAAAGAAAAGAAAAGAAAAGGGGGGGAGGTGTATGTATATATGTATATTACTCTTTCCTTCTTCAGTTCAAGAACCATAGTTCGTCTCATGGCTTGTACTTGGCGATGGATTAGGGCTACTTGTGATATTGTTGCTGTTACCATTGTTACCATTGCTGTTGCTGTCTGTGGCTGAGTTTGTGGTGGTGCAATAGGAATGACAGGGTATTAAGAGATGTAGATTTGGTTTACGGATATATAGGTTCTGTAGTGTGTTAAATGACCAGCACCGACTACAATGTTCATGTGGGCTAAGAAAGCGGTTGCATATAGTGCATTTTGTGTGGCAGTCAGAGCAGAACCAGTCTGAAGAGAGAACCTTGTCACAAGAGCCGCATACAACTTTGTCATCGATATAGAGTTGTCGAGGGGAGGAAGGTGGTGATGGGAAGAAGTCCATATCAATTATACTGTTAATGAATTGGACAATTGGTCGCTTGATTTCTTGATCGATTTGTTGCTAGGTTACTTGATTTGTATATTGAAGAATAATATATGTATATATAAATTGAGAAAATGAAAAGAAGAAGAAATGAAAAATGAAATTAATAAAAAAAAATAGAGATTTTTGATCAAAGAGGTTTAAATAAGTAAATTTTTAGTTTATTTTATCTTCTTTTATATATATATATATATATATGTATATATGTTTTATGCACAGACACTATTTTGTGTTTAGACAATGGCCAAAACAGAATCAGGCAAAACCCAACTTCTTCTTATTCTTATTCTTCTCTATTCAGCTATCAACCTCCTTTATTCTCCCTTTATCTACACCTATACAACCACACATTAAACACACATTATGTACATACACACACAATGTATATATACCTTTTTCTCTTTCTTTCTTTTCGTAATATTAAATACAAATCTAGAAAGGAATCTTATATATATATATATATATATATATATATATATATATATTATTTCTTTTCTGTTGGGGGGGAAATAAATAAATTCAGAGTTGGTTAAATTCATCTCACCATGCTTTGATGCATTTTCTCTCCTAAATCCACACGTGGTATTGTCGAGTTGTACAGTGTTCGCACTCCTGTGCATCAAATACACCCTTAATTCATATAGGGTTTTTTTTTGAGTATATGGATCGTTTTCGTTGTCATTGATACAGATCCTCAATAGGGTTTTTTTTTGTTTGATACACACATATGTCCACAATTATTTAAATATATTATATATTATATTATATCATATCATATCATAAATATATCTATATTTTTTTTTAAAATAAAATATTAATAAATGCAAGTGTTTGCAGTGCTAGTTTTTCTAATATTAACGCATTGGACATGCATTTATTACCATCAAGCCAAATAACTAAATAAACGCTCCTAAACATATTTATGTATGTATGTATGTATGTATGTATGTATGTATGTATACAAATATTCTTGTCTCCTTATATCTACCTACCTTGAACCGTCTTTTTAATATAATATAGATATTGTCAGCATTGTTTATTTACCTTGTAAAAGTACATACATATATATTACTTTCTATACACACATACGCACAAACAGCCTCGTGCAAATGACACCAGATGGGCTATAAAGATACTATAATACAAATTATATATATATATATATATAAATGAACTATGTAATTTTTAGGTCTAATCTGTAATATAAAATTCTTATTCCTTTAGTTATTTCACGTAAATGTCTTCCTTATTTGTAAATCTACACTTGCACACCTATATACATACATTATTGTAGTAACAAAAACTACTCCTTTTCTTAGCCTTTCTCTTTATATATACATTTCATTGTTTTATTATAATATTAATAAAGTAAATTTAGTAAAGAATGTCGAATACATATAAAAGCTAGTTCTTTTTTTTTTTGGTTTTTTCTTTGTTTGGATACTTAAAATAAGTGTAGCAATGTCATTTGCTAATCTTATTGTTGTGTATTTATATGAAAACTATAAAAAATCGGTTGTACAGACTGGTGTAAGATAAAATATAGTTGATGATTGATAGGTATACATATATTTGTAAACAGCCTATATGCCGTGGAACATGACTTATGAGAATCAATGCCAAACAAATGCACACTACATACGTACAAGAAGTTTTGTATAGGTAAAAATGATTTATTGGCCTATTTATCTTTGGAAGAGACCAAGGTAAAGAAGAGGTTTGAGGGGAACATAAAAGAAAGAGAGAGAGGGGGGGTAGTTATATTTATATATTTTACTGCGAATCATATCATTTTAAGTGGTGCAGCTTTTCATCATCCAATCTTGAACATTACTCCCTTACTATTTTAAATGGGTTTGCATAAATGTACATATTTATATCTATATCTATATCGATCGGTTCTATTATCGGCATGTAGTGTAGTGTAGTGTAGTGTAGTGTGGTGTGGTGTTCAAATTGTTTCAATTTGACAGCCAACAATCCGTAATAATCAAATCTCTTGATCTCAACTACGTTCTAGACACAATAATGATCATATAAGTATTTATATATAGGATTAATCTTGTCAATTCCAAAAAAACATGAATGCCATTTATCTATCAATCCCTTTTTTTTTATGATTTTTTTTTTTAAAAAAAAAAAGGACATAATTGATAGACAGCAAGACTTTCTAGCTTACTTTCGTTCTCTTTATCTCTAAAGGCATGAACCACAGACAGACACAGACACAAAATATCTATTTCTAGATCCCTCAAATAAGGTTTATTCTCCGACACTGAAATAAATATATATATTTTTATAAATAAAATAAAATAAAATCATTAGTGTCACAAGATTTCCAAAAATAAAAATAAAAAATTATATAAAGTGTGAGAGTGATGTGTGTGTGTTTGTGTTAATGTTTATGTTGTAGGAGGCTTGGAAAACCATGTGCTTAATTTCCATGTTTGCTTTCATTCTTTCTCAAAAAATAATAAAGTAAATAAATTCAACGGAAAGTCACCCGGCTCAAAAGTTCATCAATAATATAATATAAAATAAAATAAAAAGCAAAATACGCCACCAGAAATTTTATAGCGAAAATAATAATAATAATAATATATATATATATTTATATGCTTTTGTATACAAATGTACCTACTTGTATGTATATAGAACGTATACGGCACCAAATGGCGGATTCAAAAATAAGAATGAATCAATTAATCGATCTTCGGTACTTTAAAACGAATTGAATATCATCAAACCCCAAAGCAGAATTTTGGTTGAATGTATGTATATATATATTTTAAAAATAAAAATATTAAAAACGCCTTTTTGGAGAAATCCGAGTGTATTGCTTGGATTTTATATCTCCGGTACTTGGAATTTAATATCCCGTCAGTTGATTCTTTTGGAGTCCGCCATTTGGTACCGTATGCGTTCTATATACAAAAGAAGAATGATACATACAAGGAAATTTGATAATTAATAATAAAAAGGTAGGATCCATTATCTCGACTTGGAAGAAATATATATATATATATATATATATTATAATAGAATAGAATAGAGCAAATGAAAGCATTTGATACAATTGAATTGAATTGAATTGAATTTGGTTTAATTTAATTTAATTTTAATTGTGCTCTGTTGTTATTGACGATTGTGATTGTGATTGTGATTGTGATTATGAGGGTTAGATCGCCGATGTATCGGTCTAAACTATAGATAGAGAGAAAAGGGAGAAAAGATAAACTTATACACACCACTTTATCTTGGTCATTTTCTATAGATTTTCTTTTCTTTATGATCGGCATAAATAAAATAAGTAAATATTTATATATAAAAAGAAAAGAAAAAGCCGAGTGTTGCATGTTAAGTTAAATACAAACCTACATTACATTACATTACATTACATTACATTACATTACATTACATTACATTACATTACATTTGTTTTATTTATTTAAAGAAGAAAAAATTATGGAAAATAAACTTGGCTTTTGAAGGTTACTCTTTCTTCTTTTCTTTTTGTATAATAGGATAATATCAAAGAGACCAAACACCAACAAGTACTAATGATGATATATTATATATTATATATAAAAATAATAGAAAAGAAGGTTTATTGACAAAGGAAAAGGAATAGAGACACAGACAAAGATAAATTTTGTGCTTCAAGTTTAAACAAAAACAAAAGCAAAAATAATAGAATAGAATAAGGGGTGGAAAGAGAAATAAAGAAAGAAATAGATTGTGTGTATGATGTTTAAAGGGTTGGGGTTTATTTACAGCAATGAAAGTAATAGTAATAATAAAACAACAAGGAAAAAAAAATATATAAAGAAGGGGTTGAATGAAGAGGGGGTTCAAAGAAAAAAGTGAGGACAATTTTCTCATCATCACCATCTTCTTGATTCTTTTTTTTTCTTTTTTTTTGTGTGTGTTAAAATATGTATATAAAAAATATATAATGTGTGTAAGTATGTAGTATATAGAATGTAATCTGTATGTAATGTGTGTATAAAAAAAAAGGCCTGTATACGTGAGAGGAGTATATTGGAGTGCGGTTTGTATGTATGTATTGTATGTATTGTATGTATTTCTTTCTTGATTTCTTCTTTTGCTTGACCTGACCTGACCTGACCTGACCTGACCTGACTTGGGTTTTATGTAGATGTTAATGGACAAGGTTAATGGGAGTTTGAAGAAACTGCTGGTTGCGGTGATCACCGACACTGTATGATCTAGGGCGGTGTTTGACTCCAGGCGGACAATCGGACACTTGGAGATGAGAGACGGCCTGGTGAAGAGGAATAAAACTAGAATCTTGAGGAAGTGGGTTTCCGGTGCGAACAATAGGGTGCTCCAGAGGTCTAATAAACGAGCGAGGTGCAGACATGGTATTTGAATAGTAATAGTGTGGTTGTGCTGGTAGTGGTGTTGCGGTTAATGGGGTTGGTGCTGCTACTACGGTTGGTGTGGTTGGTTGTTGAGGTCGAGAATGGGCCAGAATTTGTCTGAGTTCCTGACAAGCGTCCTGAACATCATCGCTAGTGAAATCAAAAGCCTGATCATAATAGTTTGTATAGGTCCGGAGAGCGGAAGGCTTTTTGGGACAAGGAGCAACGATAAGTGTAGCCATGGTGATGATGATAATTTAGATAGACAAAAAAGTGGTTTTTATAGTAAAGAAAAGATATACAATATATAAATAAAAATAAAAATAAAAGCAGAAACAGAAACAAGGGATATATAAATAAATATATTTTATATAAAGAAAACAAAATAGAAAGAAGGAGAACGATTTGAAGAAAAAGCGAGGGATTTATATACGCTTTTTTTTTTTTTTTTTTTTTTTTTTTTTTTTTTGCACAGGCGTTATGTAACACGAGACCTTCTTCATACATATGTAACATAAATAAAATAAAATACTAAAATAGGTTTCTTTACTTTAAGTCTCAGACGTATTACACAAGCACAGATAAAATAGAATCAATTATAGTATCCAATATAAATAAACAAACAAATACAAAATAGGGAGGAGAGAAATGATAGTAATGATGATTTACAAGAGTACCAATAATTACAAGCAGATAACAATTTGCCTGATAGCAATATTAATAATCATATTAGAAAGAATGATGACTATGATAGATATCAAAACATCAAAAATATCATTATATAAATAAAAATAAAAAAAGAGTAGAAAAGGAGAAGAAAGAGTGAAGGATTAAAGAAAAGAGAGGGGGAGGAGAAAAGAGGGCAAGGGAAAAGGGGATACTATAGGAAGAAGAGGAACAAAAAAGGGATAAAGACAAGAAGGTTATTTGATTGTGGCAAGTAGTGTAAATTGGTCTATTAAGCTTTTACTTATCTATTTAATCAATTAACCAGGCCTAGAACTCTATTATAGTCATTATAGCTATCATCATCATGCAGAAAACAAAATACAACAGCAAAGAATTAATATTTATGCAAGGGTTGAGTAGAAAAATAGAAAAAATGTATAAAGCATACAGCAGACAGCAGACAGCATATTACTATCTTTAAAGGAGACAATCAAAGAGGTACAAGATATATAGATAGTCAAATCTAGAAGAAGTACCAAATGCTATAACTGTGAATCAGAATCAAAGCTAAATAGCTATATTGATCATTTTTATACAAAAATTTATGTATAGGGTGTACAATCCATATGCAATCTACACACCATGATTTTCACACAAACTGTCAAAGCCATACAATACACACCCACACACACAAAAAACAAGAAAGGCACTCTTCTTTTTATTTCAATCGCCTACTACAATTTATTTAAACTCAAGACCAAAAATACGCTTCTTTTTTGATTATTTTTAACCAATCAAATGTCTCCAAAAAATAAACTTATATCATCACCCCACACAAAGAGAATAAAACCTTATACTAAAAAGGCGATTATTCGGACATTTAATAATTAGGTATAATTTCCATACATATATATTTACACACCAAAGAAAACAAAGCATAACTAATATAATAGAATATAATATAATATTATAAAATATCAAATATCAAAAGTAATGGTAATAAATTATTTATAATTCTTTATTGTGCTTTGTCAAACAAGACAATCTGCTTTCCTTTACCGTATCCTTGTATACCATTCTCAACAGCTTCCTTTACGGCCTTTTCATTCCACTCAACAGCTGTCCAGCGGGGTTCTTTAAGCTGCTTAGCTGCCATGAGCTGCACAAGATCTGCCAGCATCTCCGACCGCTCTTCCTTTGAGTGTGTTTCTGCCCACTTGGACACCCAGAACCCGTAAAAAGAGATGTTCTTAAATATCAACATCGATGCAGGCAGTGTCAGTGGAGCCCGTGCCATGGCACCGTATGTAACAAGCTTTCCGTTCGCACTGTAACACACAAATATAAATAAATAAATAAATAAATAAATAAAATAATCAAGGTCAAGAAGAGCAGAGCAGAGCAGGGTAGACAAGTGAGATCAACCAAAGTCAAACAAAATCAAAAACCAAAAGGAATATATATATATAGATAAAGATATTTTATATTCTCTATATTCTACCCACTCATATCACAATACCACTATTTTTATTTTATTTTATTTTTACCTCAAGTAGCGTGCCATTTCGGTTGCACTCTTGCCTCCCACGCAGTTTAGTCCCAGCAATAGCCTGTTCTTACCAACCCAGCTCTTGACTAGGGATTTTGTCTCAAATGATCCAAGCTGATCGTCAGTGATGACGTGAGTAGCTCCCAGTGCAGTCAACTCTTGGCGCAACTCTTCAATATCCGGTCTAACAGTTGTATATATAAATAAATTAGTGTGTGTGTGTGTTTGTTATTGTTGTTAATATTTAGATATTAGGTAATTATAATAATTAATACTACAAGTACGTAAATAAGTAAGTCGGTGATAGAAGAAAGAAGAAGGAAAAAGAAGCAGTACTAACTACAATTGCTATTATTGCTATTATGTACCTATTACGAACAACATTGATCGTCTTTAATCCCCACGCCTTTGCAATCTGAATAACAGCTTGGCCCACAGCACTATTGGCACCATTCTGAATCACATAGTCACCTAAATAAATAGATAGATAAGTAAAGCAAAACAAGGTTTGTACAAGTTACAAGGGTTCACAATCTGTTTTTTTTATATATATTTTAGGATACACAATTAAATTCAAAGAAAAGAAAGTAATAATCTCATCACACTTGCCTTGTTGGGGAGGAATAAAGTCCTTGAGCATACGATAAGCTGTGCACGGGTTCACAGAAATGGTAGCCTGTTGGATCAAAGATACACTGGTCGCATTGGGCACAACCTGGAAATCCTCGGGTGGACCGGCAGCATAGGTACGCCAGGTGCCATGGCCGGTCTTGGCCATAATCACACGGTCTCCCTTTTTCAGTCCACTGACCGCATCACCAACAGCAATTACCTCTGCAACACCTTCATTTCCTCCAACTGCAGCCTTAACAACCTTATCATTATCACCACCATCAGTAGAAAAGTTGTCTTCGTTGCCTAGAGCCACAAACGGAGGTTTGATAGGATATGCTCCCTGAATTTGATTCACATCTGCAGGGTTGATTGGTGACGCCAGAAACTTGACGTGCACCGTGTCGCGTGTCAGGGCAGGCAGGCCGTACGAGTGCCACTTCAAGACCTGAGAAGGCGCTCCGTACGACGAATACACAACTGCCTCTACTTTGTCTACTTTGGATCCATAAAGACGTACACCAATAGGCCGACTCGATAATACTAATCGACGAAGAAGAATTGTCATAATAATATTATACTTATTTGGTTTTTGGGTTTTTTTCTTTAAAAAATAATAATATTATAATAATTAGCTATTAGTGATTACTAAGCTATAAAGAAAGGAAGAAAAGAAGAAGAAGAAGAAGTGTTTCAAGCTTAACAATAAAATACAATAAAATAAAATAAAAAGATGAAAAGGAAGAAAGGAAGGAATGAAGGAAAGGAATATATATTCTGGATAAATGTTTATCCAGATTGAATCAACTTCATAAACGTGGATGACGGGGTAAATTTTACAGATATACAATGTATTTCGTATTATAAAAAATAATCAGACAGATAACAATATAATCTCCGATGACAGAGCATGCTCATAAAAGACCACAGCACAGCACAGCACAGCACAGCACAGCACAGCACAGCACAGCACAGCACAGCACAGCATAGAATAACATGACATAGTATGGTATAGTATGATACAGTATGGCACAAAATAACAGAGCATAGATTTTTAATGACATTTACTTACTATTACTACTACTAATATTACTAGCATTACTAGATCTATCTATCTATTGATCTATTGATATATTGATATATCTATTTATCTTAAAAAACTCCCTGTATTATCTTGCCATCTTGTTCGAATAGCAAATGTTATATCAATAATGGCAGCAATAGTGATAAAGGTAAAATGTAAAATTTGAAAGGTAAAATGTTAAGGCAAAAAGATAAATTATATAACATGTATATATGTATTTATGTATATATGTATACATTTTATATTAATAAAATAAAATAAAATAAAATTAAAAAAAATAAAAAAAAAATCAACATCTTTTACTTTTAATTTTTTATTTATTTATTTATTTATTTATTTATTTATTAAATAAATAAAATATACATATACATATTCTTATACATATTCAATACATACACATAAGAGAAACAAGAAAAAAAAAAGCACGATGCCAAAGAAAATAGCAGCAGAAGACGACTATGAACGCAACATCAGATCTCCAGAGATGTGTGTCGATTACCTGTCCTACCACTTTGATGAGATGGACTTGGCTGCTTCCTGGAGAGTCATGACCAAACAAAAGAAAGACATCGTCAATGGACTACGACTAGAAAATGCTTCCTGGAGAACCTGGGCAAAGCAAAAGAACAAACTAAAGACAGTTAGTCCCGAAACCCTTAACTGGTGAGTGAGTCATTCCATTAGTCGTTTAGATTATTACTGTTACTGTTACTATTGTTATTTAAGTAATATACACACGTACAAATAAACTAAAAAAATCAAGAGAAAAGGCTCAAGGACAGCGATGTTACATGGCTCTACGGTCCTCTTCACACCGTCATCCATGACCAAGAAGACCGCTACTCAAAGCCAAAGATATCCAGTACTCAGGACACTCTTGGGCTCATTACCGCACCCCCACCTCTCACAGAACAACAGACTAACCCACCTGTCTTACGTCCAGAACAATCTCAAGCCGAATCTACCAATACTGTAAACCAACAGTCCCAAACCAACCCAGAATCCCAACCATTAACACCCACAGTAGCAATAGAAGGAGGAGTAGCAAAACAGCCAGAACAACAAAAAGAAAACGGCCAAGAGAAAAACACAAGACGGCCGCTAAAGTCTGCCTTGAAGAGAGTAACGATGTCAGATATCCTGAAACGGTCAGCATCAGAAATCCACGTCGACACTCTAAACTCCCTGGGACCTGATCCGTCTTCGCTGTCAATCACCGAAGCTAACAAACAGCTCGGTGTCTTTTCTCCATCAGTCATTGCGACCCACAGGCAACCCAAACTGAGGTTCAATCAGCAGGTCGAGCAGTGCATTGCCCTCTCCATCGACGAAAAGACCGCACGCTCACGTAGCAACAGCCAGGCCACAGATAGCAGCCGTCTCGATAACACCGATGGCCAGAGCGGGGGAGAAGATCCTACTAATTCTACCATTTCTGGCTCCAATGGTGCCGGTGCTGGTCCTGGTACTGGTGGGACTACTACTACTACTACTACTTCTTCTTCTAATGGCAGACAGCGACCACTCTTTCCTCGATCGTCTATCAAGAAAATCGCACCTGCTCGCCTCAAGAACAGCTCCCAGTCAGAACATGAAACTGACGTTTCTTCTCTCTCTTCATCTGCCTCTTCTTCTTCTACAGGCCACTGCGGCGGGTTTGCAAACATCCAAACTGCAAACAGCAGCAGAAGAAACTCGTACTCTTCATGGGACGACAATGGCGACGATGATGGCGACAACCTTGATGACGACGACAATAACAGTAGCAGTAACGAACTGATGCCAGCCATTCTCAATTCAACAAGACCAATCAGAATCCAACCACCCGAAGGACAGGCCATTAGATGGGAGGGCCAGCCATGTGTATATGATGTTGTGCCACCTTCAGATATGTACCAGAACAACGACGACATTGAAGAAGATGATGATGATGACGACGACGAAGAAGATGATGACTGGGATACAAACGATGAAGAAGACAATCGTATCTTACACGAGGTCGTAGCTGGACCTAGTAATCTCAATTCCCACCACAACCAGACAATTATACACTCCTCTACCACCTCCACCTCCACCACCACCACCGCTACTACTACTACTACTACTACTACTGCTGCTGCTGCTGCTACCGTACAACGCGCCACCACCTCTTTACCTGGACCACAAATCTCTCCAAAATCACCTCCGCTTAGTGAGCCTTCTCACTACCAAACCATTGCCGATCCTCAACAAGCCAATTCTTCTCCCTCTAGCTATCAAGCAGTGGCTGATATTCATCGCATGGATCAGGAACAGCAGCGCACATCTCCTTCTTTCATATCCCAAGTGGCCAACTGGGCATCTTCTCTTATCTGGTCAAACTCGCCTCGCTAATCCAACACTTATAAACACACACACACATCTAAACACACAAAAGACAAAGGCCAGAACAAGATTAGGACAGGACAGGACCAAGATAAGGCATTACATGACAGAACAAGTCAAGAGAAGAAGAAGAAAAAAAAAGTATATTATTATTCTTATGAAAAATTATCAAAGAAAAAAAATCAAACAACCTTGCATTCTCTGACCCTCTCCTTCCTACTTTACTTTTCTAGTCAACTTATCTACCCATCTATCTATCACACTTACACCAACCCACCCACCACACTCTATCACACACACATCCTCTTTATCTTTATCTTTATCTTGGTCTTCGTCTTGATCTTGGCCTTCCTCCCCCTTCTACCTTATTCTTCTTTATTATTCTTCTTCTCCCCACTTTTACTTTGATTTTCTTTCCTTTTCCTTTAACGCTTTGTTTTGTTTTGTTTTGTTTTGTTATTCTTGTATTTGAGATCTTCATAAAACATAGACTATATATTTTTTGCTGAATGATCGATCCTTTTTTTTTTTACATATATATCTCTCTCTACCTCTTTATCTTTCTATTTTTGGGGCTTTTATTATTATTATTAATTTTTTATTTTACTTTAGATTTTCCTTCTTCTTCTTCTTCCTCTTTAATATATTAATATCATTATAAATATAAATATAAATATAAATATAAATATATATATATTATGTGCCTTATTGTTGGTACCATTCATTGTCACGGATTTCGAGTGCATCATACATTACCGTGTACTCTTTTTGAAAACTATTCCACGTCGTAGGATCAAAAAAGTGATAACTACCTCGTTCACATGTTGCCGACTGTCCAACCAAATCAGTGCCAGATTCTTTGCACAACCATAATTGGAGGTTTTTGTGAAATCTCCATTGACGTTTATACCTTTTATATATATATATATATATGTATGGTATTCAATTAAAGAAAAGAAAAGAAAAAGATAATAATAATTTGGGCTTACAATTCTCGGGCTGCAAGTTCTTGAAGAGCATCGCGTGGATTGGCATAAAACATTACAAATAGACTATCCAAAGACATCTTTTCTGTCACTTGTTGTATTGGTCGTACACTGGGAATACAATACTCGGTTTTTTGTTTGAATGTGACAGGAATGTTGTGGAGTGTAGCATGATCAGCGTCGTACCATGGAGACATGAATGTAGTATGAAGATCCCTGCACACCAAGAATACATGCGCAAACACACACAAAGATAAATAATTATAAATGCATACAAAACCCACACCGCACATAATAACGACAACAAGAACAAGAAATAGAAGAAGAATATGATACTAAATTCTGTCTGTCTGTCTTTTTTTTGTTATTCTTTTATCTTTAATTACTTACGTGGATGACTTTAGGTCTAGCCCAAAACTACTTGGATCGTTTCCTTGACCAAGCATTGTCCATTGTTGATTGGAATGATGCATATATTCTAGTAATCCCATCAGATCATAGGATACCGTTGGCTCATTGGCATGATTGGTATTATTATTGGGTATAGTAAAAGAACTTGTGTCATTCAGGTTACGAGAAGTAGCAGCTGTGCCCGGAAATAATCCCAATCGATTGGATATCCTGTTTTTCCAAACGCTATCTAGTAAATGTTCTTTTGTTGCTGCCTTTTTATATATATATATGCATATATATATTATATATATTTACATGGAAATAAATAATAGTTAATATTTAATCATATATACTTGTCAATACAATACAATGCAATGCAATGTAATACAATTCAGTTTATGGAAAATCATTTACTTTTGTTTCCAAGACGTCTTGGAGATTCACATCAAAAGGTACTGGAACGTTGATAATGATGTCCGTTCCAGGGTCAGTTCCATGGCCAGTTCCATTCTGTGCGTGTGTCTTTGCTTTTATTTTTCATTTTTCATTTTTTCATTTGGTGAATGTTTTTTTTTGATTTTTTTTTAAGAGGGTGAGGATCATCAAGTCACCAATAACCCCATCCACCCTACCCAATAAGTCTTCTTCTTCATGATAAACTCTTCCACTAACCACACTCTGCTGCTCTTGTCGCTGACTGTGTATTGTGTGTGAATCTTCATCCAATGTGGAGAAATCCTTTGGGATTTTTACCGGTTCGTATTCTTGATGTAAATTCAAATGATCATCATTATTGGATATCTTGTGCGATATTATTTATTTATATAGATGTAATATTCTTTGTGTTCACTTGTGTATGTGTATTTTCTTTGTTTGTGTGCGTGTGAATATTACTATTATTATTATTATTATTATTATTATTATTTACCTTTACCTTTGTCGATAATATTCTGGCGATTGGCTGCCATTACGGTTGCTATATATACATAAAAACAACCACCAAAAAAAACAACAACATAAGTACACTGCACTATAGATACATTTTTATATATTAATCAATCGATTATTACCTGGGTTTAATAAAATATCTGAAGTGACAGAACTCAACAATACACTTGAGGTAGGTTTGAGTGTGCTAAGGAGACCATAATTGTGATCATTTTGCATTATTCCTATCTTTTGAGAAGAAACCAAGAAAGACGAGTGGAATGGAGAGGCAGTTGAAAAACTACTACTACTGCTGCTGCTGCTGCTGTTATTACTAATAGTAGTGGTAGTAGTAATATTGGTAGATTGAGTGGCCAGAGGTTGTGAGGATGCTGGTGATTGAGGCGCTGGTGATTGAATCCCGGCAGATCCAGGAACAAATGATGCTGATCCATGAGATTGGGATGGGGATGATGAGAGCATGTGTGTCAGGGCCAGCATGATTCCAAACTGGATTGTAAAGATATCAAGATATTTTGGGTATAAAATTATACGCGTTTTTATATAAAAAGAAAGAGAAAGAAAGAGAGGGATCAATTGAATGCTTCTTTGTTCATTTCTATTGACCTTTTTTATTTTATTTTATTTTTTTACGTGATTTATCAGAAATAAAATAAAATAAAACAAAAATGACGATTATTTCATTCTCTTTTAGTAAAATTGATCGCAGTTCATGGTGATTTTGTGATTCTAGTCAATTCAATTTGTTACATAAAAGATTCAAATATTTCAAATCAAGAAATAACAATAGTAATAACTACTGTTAAAGAAATGGACATTTGAAATCCAATAATGTACTATACAAAAAAAATCAATAGGTAAAACACACACACACACACACACACACACACAGGTTTTATATCACACACTACACTGCCTTGCATTAAACGGACAGAAGTATAGATACAAAGAACAAAGAAATGTAGGTCGATAAATCAACAACAAAATAGAAATATTGATTTTTGTATCCTTTGTCTCTCTTTATGTGTGTGTGTACACAAAGGTGGTCCGTGTCCCTTTTCTTTTCTGATTCCGTCAAGTTGATCGGTTTATTATACTATATTTTATTTTAAAATCAACTACACACAAAGGGAAGATCGCATACTAAAAAAAAATAGGATAAAGGGGATACAATAGCCAAATGTTTTCCAGGTATCATTGGTAGTAGTAGTAGTAGTAGTAGTAGTAGTAGATATATATAAAGGCATCAGTTTGAACATGAATACTTTTTTTTTGTGTGCATCTGGAATCTATCATGTACTATTTAAAAGCTACAGAACTTATATAGAAATAGGGAAAAATCAGGAAATCAAATATCAAATGTCTAGCAAAGATCTTCCCGATATTGATTATCATCAGTAAGGCTTTTTATCTTTTTCTTTTCTTTGAGGGATGTCAAATTGTACATTTTGCATACTCTTCTAACGTAAAGACATACTGATACATTACATTATATGTATTTTTATTATATAAAATATAAAAAGAATATTATCAGTTTTTGATATAGATTGGCAAAATCCATTATTTATTTATTTATTATAATTGAAAAAAAAAATACTTTTACAACAAGGGTGAAGTTTTATTGCACATATATATATATAGATAGATATATAGATAAAGAGGTATATTTATGTATGTATGTATGTATTTATGTGTGTATGTGTGTATGTGTGTGTGTGTATAATGTAGTGTAATGTAATGTAGTGTATAGTATAGTATAGTGTATTTCCCTTGGTGCCTAAGATCTCTTTGGGACTGCTGTCTTTTTGTAAAAAATAAAATAAAATATAAAAAGGAAAAGAGATTGATCTTGGAAGATCCAGATGAATAAGAAAAAGAATATATTACTTGTACTAAAGAAATTGCGAGGTGCAGAAAATGAAAATGAAAAAAAAATATTTAAGAGATATATGAAAGTGACTGAGTAAATAGGTAAGTAAGCAAGCCAGCAGCTGTTACATCAGGACAGCAGCTGCACCAGCCATCAGGGCTGCGCCAATTGAGAGGGTAGGAAGCAGCACAGCACCTGCATTTTCATGGGTAGTGGCTGCAGACTGAGCAGCCCCAGAAGAAGTGGCAGTCTTGCTAGAGTTGGTTGTACCGGCGGTGGTGGTGTTTACGGTGACAGACACATCTTTGTAAGCACAGCTGGCAGTGGTACACAAACATTGTCCAGCAACTAATAAGAAGAATAATAAAAATAATGATTTTTAATATTTAATGAATAAGCGGCAATGACAAATAAGAAAATAAAGTATAAAATAGACTTACCAGGGTCCCACCAGATACTATCGCAGTTGTCAGGGACAGGGTGGCGGTAGGATGGGTCAGTGCTCTGGACCGAAAGAGGGGGCAGAGGAGTAGCCAGTGTAGGAGCTACCGAAGGGCAGTTGAAACATGTACCCCAGCTGGCGACATTGAAGTTGCAGGTATTCAGAAGACTAGAAGAAACTAGACCGACATCGCTGATCGCGATTTTCTCGAGACCGTTACAGATCTCCTTGCCAGTATTGGGAAGTTCGCACTTCATGTAAGATTGATTGGCCAACTCACTAGCAGGAACAGGATTTTGCATCTAAGACATATAGATATGTATACATATGCATGTCAAAATAATAATATAATAGCAAATGTAGTTTAAATAACAATATCAGCAAGAGGTTCAGAACCAACAGGCTTTTCTTTATATTCTTTATATTCTTTATATCTCTTTGTGTGTCTATATTTATTTACCCATTGCAGCAATTGGTCATTGGAAACAAACCAGACATCGGGCTTTCCAGCCAGGGACTGGATAAAACTAATGACTCCCTGTCTAAGGGAACTAGGGTCGGGTAATCCTGGGTAATTGGTGAGGTGGGTTGGGTGGACATAGATACCAAATGGCTGGCGGTTGCCATTGTAGTGGCGATCAAAGTTGGTATTAGACCACTCGGTTACATCAGAAACAGAACCTGCCAAGTAATTGTCCATCAATTGAGGGACACTGGCATTATCATTGACAGCATACATAGGAATTTCCCAAATGCCTAATAAAAATTACAATTAAAATTATAGTTAATGATACAATTTTTTATTTTATTTTATTACCTGGTAACTTGACTGCACCATCACAGATTCCTGTCCAGCAATCATTGGCCATACCATTATCAAGTGTGTAAGGCCTATGTATTTTATATTCACATAATATAGATAAATAAACAAGTTAGCTATATATATATATATATTTCTTTGTTCATCTCATTACCGCCATTCTTGTTCTTTGTGTATAAAATAAAATAAAATAAAGTAATATTAATATTTACCAGTAGCAATCATCTACAACAGCTGTAGCCGAACTATCATATTGGAATCCCTGTTGGCTAATCTCGGACAAGGTACCGGCGGTGTAGTTTACTTTAGAATAGGTACAAGCAGGGTAAGTACAGAGATCAACATCACAAGCAAACAAACAAAAAAAGAGAAGAGAGATCAAGGAGGAAAGTTTTTTTTATAACCTACAGAATGGTGCTCTGAATCCCTTGATTTTGCCTTGCGGAATACCTGCGTATTCATGCAGCATTGCTTTGGCGGCAGCAATTTCTCTACAGACAACATATAAGTATACATATTATATTATATTATATATTTATGAGAGGGTTACTTACTGTGATGAGGGAGAGCCTACAATATAACCAATTCATTTTATAATGTTTGGTGTGAGTATGAAGGTATAAGAGTACGTTTCATTTAAGCTGTGTACTCGGGGCAAAGTGAATAAAGAAATATAGATATAAACTTACCGACATGGGAGAAGGTGTGACTAGTACAAAGAATAATAAAAGAGGAATATATGAGATACAATATAATAATTTATAACAATGTACCATAAGGTATAAGCACAATAAAATAAAGGAAGTGCAGGTAGGGGTCAGTGTTCTTCTTTGTTCAAGTATCGAGACAAGAAAGGGATGCTAGTTTTTTGTATGTATGATTGCTTGCATATACTTACTCTGCGACTTCGTTTCCATTGGCGTACCATTGTTGAACAAGTGAGAAATCAGTGTACTCCATAGAGACATACCAAGATCCCTATTAATATTAATATTAATATATATATATATTAATAATGATTAAGAGACCTAGTAATATCTGTATATATATATATATATATATATATCACACATAATATGCAACTAATTTAAGACTTGAGTGACATTGGGTCTTAATAAAGGACTCCAAAAATCACAAGTATTGTTTCTATTTCTTTATTATTATTATTTTGGGTTTATTAGGTATTACCTTTGCTCCACAACCATTAGGATTTCTATCAAATTATAATAATGATAATAATCAAAAAATGTAAAGACAATGGATGTGTAGATATTCACATATACTTACTTGACATCTAACAATTGATTGGCAGTAGCCAAAAGAGATGGCTGAACACTATCATCAAATGTGATTGTAACAAACTAATATAAAGAAAGATATATTGACAATATTGATAAGTAATCAAGACAAGATTACAGTGCATTATATACTGTAAAGTTCTCAATGAATTCAATTGACTAGAAATGATCAATTACCTGAGGTACATCTTTGGCAGCAAGACCATTTGGAGGTGATTGAGATGCGCACAAACAAGTAGGAAGTTTGCAAGTTGTGGGATCACAAGAATAAGAGCTGGCTGTTGTAGTTGTAGGAATGGACCCTGTTCCATCTTGAGCAACGACAAGACAGAGCATTGAGAGGGCAGCTGCACCAAGACTAAGTAACTTCATTGTGATTTGAATTGAAAGATAAAGAGAGATAATAAGGGAACGAGGAAGAAAGGAAAAAAAAGTAAAGAGAGAGTCAATGATGAAGAAGGCTTTATGGCTTTTTTTTGTTTCGATTGGTAGTAGGAGGTGATTGGATAGAATAAATTGTCCAAAAGGAGAAGGGGTATAAAACTGTACAACCTGCTTTCTTTGTACAATTCTATTTAAATTTACTATTTTTGTCGACATATAATCCTTATTTTAGATTCCATTGATTAACATCAATATGTTTAACCGCGGTTGCCATCGAAACAGCCACCATGCTTGAAAGCAGAAAATAACAATAAGAATAATAAAGAACCATTTTTTTTACCCACGCATTAAGCCTCAATCTCAAGGGTATACATTTATATGTTTCAATCAGGCTTTCTACTATTACTACCGTTATTATTAGTACAATCTATTCAATCTTTTTTCTTCTTCTTTCCTTCTTGTATGATAAGTTTCCTTCTCACTCTCTCTCTTTTTTCTTTGTGTTGCTTAGATACAGTAGGCAAACCTGACTTTAGACGCAAGTTTTATGGTACAGTTCACTCCGCAAAAGTCTATATTATGGTTTTACAGAATTTATTAAATGAGTTTCTTTCTTTTCTATATTTATTTATCTTGTTCATATATAAATATATAAAGGGGGGAATATCGATTTAAATAGTACAAGTATCGAACCACTTTGAGCCGTTTTTAGGGCCGTGTTTCAATATATCTATAACCAAGAAACAAAAAACAATTATTCGGACAGTCAGGGAGCCCTAGGATATTTCATTTTATAAAATGCAATACACGTCTACATATATATATTTCAAGTAATGAATTGATTATTACCTTGCTATAAACTAACCTAACCTGACCTGACCCGACCTGACCTGACCTGACCTGACCTGACCTGATTATCACGACAAGCCAAAATAAATAAAATGAAAAAAAATACATGGCTTACCAATGTGTACTCTTTGTTTTTGTAATATTTCGTACATATTTTCTGTTTGTTTGTGCGTGAATATTCTTTGTATAAAAAAGACACGTTATTTGGACTTTGTATCTTTGATACTCAATGTCTATTAAAAGGACCCCTCTTTCATGATCAGTTTTAGACCCAAGCATATATATATATTTGTAAGCATAAGAAGTAATACGTCTATTTATTTATTTATTTATTTTGCTAAAATAAAAGGTGCCTAAAATTAGTTTCTTTTGAATATTTTTTTTTCCAAATATCACAAAAATCGTCTGATTTAAGCCCATTATACATTGTTTCTTGTTTTTGGATTCCACTGTTCTTTCTTACATATGTATTTATTAATCTCGCAATATAATACGGTCTTATTAGGTCAATAGTTCTCACTAAGAGCCATGTCACTTGTAATAGTATTAAATATTATTATTAAGAATAATAATAGCAATCGTATAATATACATGTAAATGTGCATGTAAATGCAAATGTGCATGCATGTGTGTGTGTGTGTGTGTGTGTGTGTGTGTACGCGTGCTGTGTTTGTACAATTCAAATATGTTAGCCAAAACAAAATACTTTTATATGTATTGCGTCAGATTGAGCTGTATATCTTGTTCTATATATCTTTCTCTAATGTAAACATGTATTACACTATATATATATTATTTTCCTTTCTTTTGGCTACCGAACTCAGAAACCGTATCATTTCGCAGTTTAATTCCTATGACAAGGAAACTTTGTAGCTGAGGCTAATTTTTATCTCTATATCTTTTTTATCTATTTATTCATTCATTTAATCTTTAAGGATATTTTTCCCAAATAAAGATCAAGTATCTATTCTATCAACGTATCACTAATCGGCAGTGTGCATTGCAGCCAGATAATAGAGTGTGCTTAATAATAGAATCTATCCAGACGCTGCCTTTCAAACAGGTTTTTATTTTTTTTAAAAACTATTAGATAAACCTACAGTTAAGAGGAAAATAAAGTAAAGTAAAGGGAAAAAAAGCCTCTCCACCCAAGGTCTTAAATACAGATATGATAATTAGCCAAATTTTATAAGCCTTATGATAGCAAAGTCAAGTTCTTTTGCGTGAGAAAGAAAATAAGAAAATAAGAGTACAGTTGACATTTTCTAGGAAAATGCTCAGCTTTCAAATGTCCAATGAGTAATATCCCAGGTAAAGAATTGCATTTCTTTTTACTTTAAGATTATCATGCTGTCTCTAGTGGTTCTGCTGCTGCTGCTGCTGTTATTATTATCATGTCTTTAAAATACACAGCACATCTAATTCTCATCAACTGAGAACATGTATATTTCAAACGAGTCGAATCTTTTAATAAACACAGGCTAATATCGCTTTTGTTTTTTTTTTAAAGTTTCGGGAAAATATTGTTAGTATCAATCTCTCATCATTTAATTATTTTTAATTGGATTTGCAGTTAAAGTTCACATACCCATAATACTCACATTTTCTATTTCTAAAATAATAATAATAATCAACGAAAGCAACAGCGACAGCCATTACCAACGGTAAGGAACAAAGAGAAGAAAAAAAACGAAGAAATTTCCGAATTTCAACCTATTTAAAGTCAATGTCCTGATAATATCCATTAAAGCCCTACGCACCCCTTCTTTTCTTTTTGTAATGCTCAGCATTAATAGTCTTTATATATAAATCAGTTACACTGGTCAATTGTAAGAGACTCATCCAAACCTTCACAGCCTTTTGTTCAAAATAGTTACACAATTTAACAGTAATTCACATGATTCCAATCCTAGAGAAACGACTAGGAGCAATATCATATCTCTACAGCTTTGTTTTACATATATATATATATATATAGATTTCTGTTGTGTTTATTACAGGTTTTCTAATATTTGGTTTGTACCCATTACACACCCACAAAGGCTTTGATTGCAACTATGTTTCTGTTTTTTAAATATATATATTTGTACTTGTTCCTTTCAAATGAAACCCTATATAGACATATAACCTAGATACACCAACTCAACGTCTGTGCAACTCTAATATATCTCTGTGAATGGGTAAAAGATATCATTACCAATGAACTTTAGCATTTTATCTCTTTATCTCTTTCTTTATTTGTAAAAAAAACCCAGTAGTCTAGGAATTTATCAGCGAGTTTCAATGGTCATAGTCTACGAGTATTTTTTTGTTGTTGTTGTTGTTCCTAAAGGTCTTGTAGTTCATTAAATATTGTTGTCTTTACATTTCACAAAATATATAAAGATATAGATCAGATATAGAAAGTGCGTTCCAGACCAAGACTTGTGCAAATCCTGTATAATAGTGAATACTGGAAATTATATGGTACATCACCATATGTAAGAAAGAGAGAGGGAGAGAATCTAAAATAAATAAATAAATAAATAAGCAGATTCTTTTCTTCTTTCCCAAGAAAGAACATATTTTGTAATATATATATATGAATCTAGTATTTAAACCTTTTGCGAAATCAAGAAAAATGATCCACATGAAATTGCCCAAATGTTTTATTGTTTTATTATCATTGGTCTAATAGCAGACGTGTGTCAAGAAATAAGTTTTCTTTGATTTTATCAATTACTAAAGTTGTCAAAAGATCCAATTATCCGGATTAAAACGGCCTTTAACCGAGTCAACCTGGAAAGAGAAAAAGGTAACATTGGTCGGTTCATCGATATTGAGCATAGATTACTGTAAAGAAAAAGATAAAAACCATTTGAAAACAATTGTAATATATGTATGTTGCAGAAAAAATATGATAATTATCAATGTAAAGTAAGTGACAAGGTTTCATTCCTGATAATTTAATACAGCCACGATAATCGTCAGGTAATAGCGTTATTGAAATGGCCAGGAATTTTGACAGGTGTAAAAAAAAAGTCGTTGAGATGTAAGATACAAAGTAGAAATCACCTACACACATGTCTTGAATGATATTAACAAAATCCACCAGCTAAACTATAGGAAACAATCCAATACTTTAATCTAAAGGATATATAGAACTAGAGAAGAAGGAACGAAATATTATGTGAACAATTAACTAACTAAATTCAAACCGTTACAGAGCGCAATAACAAAATTAAATTAAAGGGTTACCGATAAATGAAACCAAGCCACTGTGAACCGTTCGAAGGAAGAGCAAAGGAGGGGGATTCGGAGACTTTAGAATTGTGTATTTTGAAGAGACAAGTCAAGTGTGCGTGTGTCTACTATATTCAGAAATAAGCATCTTCCTTTATTTTGTTTTATTTGACTTTTTTTTTCAACTTAATCACACATGTCAAAAGTCGACAAAAAAGATACAGCCAGTCCACCTCCTAGACGCGAACTGTCAGAGTTTGAGCGTGGAGGAATTATTTGGCTGTCCATCGCAGAACATAATCCAACTGACATTTCGAGATACATGAGCATTCCGCGAACAACGATCTGCGATACAATCCAACGTTGGAAAAATGACGGCACTACAAATACAAAACCTAGACCCGGAAGACCAAAGAAACTAAGTGTAACAGACGAGAGAAGCCTTTCTCTGAGTGTTAAGCGCAACCCCACTGAAACCTATGCATATCATCAAGCAAGTCTGGCAGCTGCTGGTGTCAGTATCTCTAAGCATACAGTTATTAAATACATTAAGGAAAACAACCATAAGACTAAAATAGCTGGCATCAAGCACCAAAAGAAAGAGCACAAAAAAAAAGAGAAAGCAAAGGCAGTAAAAACATAAGGAATGATGATCGGCTGTTCTGGAAATATAGCAAAGGTGAACTCTACAATTGAATACTGAAACAGCATGATGTGGATAGAGAGCGAGAGATAAAGTAGTCAAGGTTTAGAGAACAAGGATAATGCTTGTATTCCACAAATGTTTTATAATTTTTACAGACTTGGTAGCTGATATACCCTTTTATTATTATTATTATTATTATCATTTTCAAAAAAGGTGCTTAATAATAATGTGCAAGTATTTCTTGACTGACACTGGGCTATCAAAGTTGTATATCTTTTTGGTATCAGGAAATAACTTATTTCATTAATTTGAATGGCTCAGATCTTTTATCAGTATCACGCATAATGTCTGAATATAATTATACTTTCTTTTTCTTTTTCTTTGTAAAGTTCCCAAGGTAATGTAATGCTTGGAGTGATAGGATTCTTTTGAGAGCAAGAATACTGGTTCTTTGGGAATATATTTTCTGTACTGTTTTTAATAAAGATAAATATGTTTAAAAAGATAGAGATCAACATCGTAACTGATCTCATAAAAGTTAGTCATTACAGAGTCTTATATAGTTTATATATGATTATGTAAAGAGAGGAACAGCAAAATGATTTAATTAAACACCTTGTCATTATACAAATTAATCCCAAAATCTAATATATATATATATGTGTGTGTGTAGTAACAGTACCGTACGGACCTGTCAAAAAAAATGTTCTATTGAAATGTTCAGACGAATACATACAAATTATGGATTCAAAATAGTGTAATTTCATATATATATATATATATATTAAAAAAAAGGGTTATCCCTTTAATAAACGTTATAAAATTACAATGTAACTTTACCTATAAAGAGAGAAAGAAAGAGATCCCTGTTTGTTATTATAGCAGATATAAGATCAAGTACAGTTGATAGAATAAATAATTATCAAATGAGTACTTATTCTTTGTGAGTTTATTCGTCAGCCACTCTTAATACACAACAAGAAAAAATCATATTTTATTATTATTATATTCACTACCTATATACTGCTCAAACCCAAAATATGCTTCTTGATGTCTAATGCTCATCTCAAAGCATCTACTCTTCTTGGTCCATGACAAGTACCATGAAGTAACCAGGCCAATTATATATATATATATATTCATATGTTTGATTAAAGTATTTCAAGCAAATATAAATAAAAAATAAAAAATCTCGGGCCCGCCAAAAAAAGACCCGCAGCAGCCTTTTGTGTTATGACGTCGCACCCAACGAGAATCAAACCCGACAAATTTTTTATTTCAGCTATTTTTCCCTAGCTTATTCCCCTCTTCTCCTCCTGTTATTTTGCCTGGTAATCAAGTCGCAATGAGTGAGAAATTCCACTGTCGAATGTACGAGAATGAGTTCCCCAAGGTCGATGATGTTGTCATGGCCAACGTCCGCCAGATCGCCGACATGGGTGCCTACGTCAAACTGGTAAACCATGACACACACATGCTTTATTATTATTATTGTTGTTGTTGTTATTCGGCTTTCTAATGTGCCATTGTCTTTGTCATTAGCTCGAGTATGGAGACAGAGAGGGTATGATTCTGCTTTCCGAGTTGTCCAGAAGACGTATTAGATCTGTCCAGAAGCTCATCAAGGTCGGCCGTAATGAGGTTGTCGTTGTGTTGCGTGTGGATGAAGAGAAGGGTAAGTATTGTGCTGTGCTGGTGATACATGTATCTATATAGACAATGTGTGTTAATGTATGGTGTAGGTTACATTGATCTTTCTAAGCGTCGTGTCAGCCCCGAAGACATTGCAAAGTGCGAGGAGAAGTTCACAAAGTCTAAAGCTGTTCACTCTATCCTCCGTCACGTTGCTGAGAAGCACGATATGCCCTTGAAGGATCTTTACGAGATGATCGGATGGCCTCTTTACAAGAAGTTTGGTCATGCTTTCGATGCCTTCAAGCTCGCAATCGCGTAAGTATATCTATGAAGAAAGAAAAGAAAAAAAGAAATCGGAGTGATGTTGATCTTCAACTGTTGGTTAACGTATTGTATTATTAGCGATCCTGAACCTGTGTTCGAGGGTTTGACTATTCCTGCAGAGATTCTCAAGGAGTTGATCTCCAACATCAAGCGTAGAATGACTCCTCAACCCGTAAAGATCAGAGCCCGTGAGTTTTGCTTGCCTTTTTCTTCTTTCTTTTTTTCCCCTTTTTATTCTATATATATATATATATATATATATATATATTGCCAAAAAGGAAAAAAAAAAGATAAAATATGTGTAGCTAATAATGAAGCTTAATGTGATTAGAGTTGGACCTGAGATGCACTGGCATGGATGGTGTTAATGCTATCAAGGCTGCCCTTATTGCTGGTGAGGCTCAATCTACTGAGCAGGTTCCTATCAAGGTTACCTACCTGGCTGCACCCTTCTATGTTGTCACAGCCGATGCTCTCGACAAGACAGCTGGTTTTGAGGTCATGGAGTTGGCAGTAAACGCGATAAAGGAAAAGCTTGAGAGCCACAAGTGGTCTCGTTTCAAGGTTGAGAAGGAGGCCAAATTGGTATCCGAAACCGATGATCGTGACTTTGCTGAGCTTATGGCTCAGGCAGAGAAGGAGAACGAGCTTGTTAGTGGTGATGAGGATGAAGGAGATGCCGTTGCTGCAAGTGACGATGATATGTAAATGATAAAGAGATATATATATACAAAAGGATCCAAAAATTATTTAAAAACGATTACCTTTTTTTCATTTTTTTTTTGAAACGTACATCCTCATCCTTTTTTTGTTGTTGTTGTTGATACTCCGTCTCATCTATTTTCTCCCTTCCTTTTCTTCCCCTCTTTTCTTCTCCCCTCTCTTAATTTAACCAAAAAGAAAAAAGAAAAAAAAAACTTAATGGAAGTGTCTGACTATATAAACAAGGCCATGAGCTTTGCTGAAAATGCTGCAAAGCTTTCTCAGAAAATGTCTCAAGGTTTAGTTGAGAATGCGCGTGAGCTAGGCTTCCCTGGCTCATCTGACTCTAGTGCTCAGTACTTTGATACATCAGAAGAAAAGATGCAGAACATTAAGCGGCAACTAGATGCCAAGAATGATCGCGAAAAGTTGGATGGTCTCAAACGTTTAATTGCAGTAAAGTAACCACCATGCTTTTATTTATCTTTGAGTTTGATAAGAATCATCCTATACTAAATAACACCAATTATGTCTTAGATGATCTCCAAAGGCAGAGACGTCTCAGAGTTTTTCCCGGATGTCGTAAAAAACGTAGTAGCTCAGAATATCGAAGTTCGTAAACTAGTGTACATATACCTTCTGCGATATGCCGAGCAGGAACCAGACTTGGCCTTACTGTCTATCAACTCTTTCCAAAAAGACCTGAGCGACAAAAACCAAATCATCAGAGCCATGGCATTACGCGTCATGAGTGGCATCAGAGTACCCGTTATCAGCCCTATTGTGTTATTGGGAATCAAAAAGTGCATCACTGATTCAAGTCCATATGTCCGAAAAGCTGCCGCCCACGCCATTCCAAAGTGCTACAGTTTGGATCCTATGCAAAAAGAAGCGCTGGTTGAGGTCGTGGCTACCTTGATGAAAGATCGTTCAACAATCACACTTGGAAGCACTTTGATGGCATTCAACGAACTCTGCCCTACTCGCTTTGACCTTATTCATCCTTGCTTCCGTAAATTATGCTCAGTAGTAGATGATTGTGATGAGTGGGGTCAGATGGCTATATTGGGCGTCTTGTTACGTTATGGAAGGTAAGCTTTTTTTGGTGTTTTTTTTTTATATAATAAAAAAATCGTAAGATAAGATGAGAGTATATATATGCAGTGGATTGTCTTGACTTACACTTTAATATCTAGAAACCAATTCTTGAATCCTAATCCAAATGTAAGTAACAACTCTTTTCTACTCTGAAAATAAGAATCGTGACTTATATACTATATTATTGTGTAGGGTTACCAAATTTCAACTCTCCCAGTTGCTTCTAGTCCAGCAAGCAACCGAGCATTCTATTCGGATTCGTCGGAAAGCGATAGTGATGATGATGACAAGCCCGACGTGAAAACCTTGCACTCTATTGTGAAACTGGATCCAGACCATGATCTTCTTCTTAAGAGTTGCTTACCTCTTTTCCAAAGCAGAAACAGTGGTGTATGTGATATTATATATTATTTTTATTATGTAGAACATCTATGACAAACCAAAAAAAAAATGGAAATGGAAAAGGAAAAAAGAAAACTCAGTTTAAAAAATGTAGGTCGTATTGGCTGTCGCTCGTCTTTTCTACCACCTTGCTCCTGCCGAGGAAGCCCTTAAGATGGGTAGACCTCTTCTACGATTATTGCGAAGCCACAGAGAATTACAGTATGTTGTATTAGCCAACATTGCAGCCATGGCCAAGACACGTCCAGTAAGTTTGTTTGTTAAAAAAATTAAGGTGAAGAAATACTAGAAGAATATTATGTGACTTATATTATCTTTTCTTCATTTAGTACATCTTTGAATCATATTTCCAGCAGTTCTATGCCCAGTCTTCTGAACCAGTGTTTATTCGTGATACAAAACTGGCTATTCTGACTAGCATCGCAACGGAAGCGAACAGCCAAATGCTACTTAACGAGTTACAGGTATAACATAAAAGGAATTGATATATATATATATAATTGAAATAAGGATAAAACTAACACAAGTTGTTTGATAGCAATACAGCAAGAGTCACAACAAGGATTTCGTGGCGGCATCTATTCAAGCTATTGCACGTTGTGCTATACGCGTACCGTCTGCTGCTGATCGTTGTTTGCGTTTGTTAATGAAGCTACTCCACAGTACTAATGGTAATATTTGGAACATTGTGCTATGATATAAGTGCATATATAAAGTTATTTATATACTTTGAATATAAAATAGATTTGGTAGTGGCAGAGTCTGTTCTTGTTGTTACCCGCCTACTCCAATCTCCGTCGGAAGATAAAAAACGATCTGTAATGGCTCTTGCCAAACTATTGGAAACTATCAAAGTTCCTATGGCACGGGCCAATATTTTGTGGCTTGTAGGCCAGCATGCTGAAATATTCCCCAAGATCGGGCCTGATGTACTTCGCCAAGTGGTCAAGAACTTTACAAACGAGGTTAGAATGTATAGATATTTAACAATAAAACAAAGAAAAGAAAAAAATAAACGCATTTATTGCCTTACTCACCTTTACATTTCTTGCTAGGCAAATGTTACCAAATTACAAGCTCTCACTCTGTCCGCTAAGCTTGTTTGTCTCAACCCAACACACACAACTCTCGATAGCCTGAACCAATATGTTCTCAACCTGGCTAGATATGATTTGAACTATGATGTGCGTGATCGTGCCAGATTTTTACGCGCATTGACAGTCCCAGAGCAAGGGCAAGAAAAGCCCGGACTAGGATTCCTTAAATCACACGCTAAGAAAATCTTGTTGGCTGATACAGAACCACCTGTCGTCGAACAGGACAGCCCGACCGAGTTCACAATTGGCTCTTTATCGTTATTAGCACATCAGCCGTTACCAGGATATGAGCCTCTACCAGACTATCCTGAGGAACAGCCGGATCCATCGGTGCGTGATGTCCAAGAATTAGAAGGATGGAGCGGTAGCCGGACAATCGTAATGGAAAAAGGGTTCGGAAGCGATAGTTTTGATAGTAGGTACCGTTCTGGACGAGCTTTCTCGAGTGCATCCACCGCATTATCAGGAATTGAGGCATCCGGTATCAGCAGCAACAATTCATATGCTATCAAAAAGGGTAATGACTATGATCTGGAAGCATTTTATGATGAGTCGAGCGAAGAGGAAGAGGAAGAAGAAGAAGAAAGTGAAGAAGAAAGTGAAGAGAGCGAAGAAAGCGGGGAAAGTGAAGATGATAGTGAAGACGACAGTGAAGAGGATGACAATGAGGAGACCAGTAGCGAAGAAGAGCAAACCTTAAAACAAATTCGAAGATAACGTTGTATAAATACTCAGTAAAATAAATAAATAAATAACATAACAAAATAAAATAAAATAAAATATTTTAATTTCAAGATTTTGTCAAGTATCCTTTCATCTTTCAATAATTGAAATATTTGAAACGCCTTTTATTTGCTATTTGCTATTTGCTTATTTTTTTTTTAAATTATGCAATACCATAATTTGAGATTCAATCAATGTTTCTTTCACAGTTAATGGTAGTGATAAAATAAACAGATAGTAGTACCAAATATCCCTATACCCCTATATTGAGTATTAAGTGCATTACTTGAAACATAATTACTTTTTATTAAGATATTTGTACCTGTTATTTTGAAGCAACATACTGAGAAAAGGCAAGACTTCTTTGTGTGAATAAAAACCATCTTAATCTACCGGAGCATATATTATTACTAAATATATATATATATAGAGAGAGGAGTCATAAAAAAAAAGCTCAATATAGTAAAATGGAGACAATTTTTGCTTTTCTCACTATTATCACTAAAACGAGCTTTAAATGTACCATTCGAATAAACATGCTTGAATAGCAAATAAAATCAATACAAAAATCTTACTTGTACACTTAACTTGTGGTAACTTTCTTGACTATTAAAATGATCTTTACGTATTTAATTTATATCTTTTCCTTGAAAGGCAAGTTGAAGAAGCCGAAAATTAGACAAAAAAAAGCCATGGCTTGGGTGAGCGCCAGAAAAGAAAAACTCGCAGCCAAGTATACTAATTTTAATTCGATTGAGACATGTAAATCTTTAAGGGTGGTGTATAATCTTTTCACATGATATGGGGTAGAGCATTTTAATCAACAGTATATGATCAGTAAAAGAAAAGATGGGTTCAAAAGAGTACTTGTTTACTATCAGCATTTTTGGTGATACAGTCTGTAGATAAGATCAAGACCAAATACCCTTTTATAAATATAAACCAATACAAATTCTTCTATACACAAGAAGCACACACTGTGTGCACAAATTAGATGGTTTGTAGTTATACTTAATACATGACCAATTACAATTAAAGATAAAAAGTGAGAAGCATAAAGAGAATGAAAATGGAAAGGTAATACAAATATAAACACTTGAACATATATAATGAGTTATACATATAATTGTGTGTGCATGTGTTCTTTGCATGCTAGCTCATGGTATTACTGTGCAAAGAATATTATGCTTTAAAAATATGAACAAAACATATTATAACTTCAAGTATCTTCCTCCAAAAAACAAATGACGAGAGATGTTTTAGAATATGCCGGCATTGGCTTATATATATACGCACTTTTTCGTGTCAAACAGCTAAAGGTGCCGCGGAATGGCACTCGATTTATACTTTGAGAAATACAGTTAACATCCATATCAGTATATATGCATATATACGTACTAAGAATAAAAACAAAAGAGTGTGTAAACATGGTACCCAACGACAAGTAGCCATTAGATTGTTAAATAATCAACCTAAGCTCGATAGTAGACAGAATACAATACTCATTTAATTGTTATTTTCTGCATATACCTATATTATTAGAAGTAGTATGTGCTCAAATATGTTATCCTATAATATGAAATAGCTAGACTTATTTGATCAAGCATAGTATTTTATTTTGTTGTATCTTATTATCAAGTGTGATATAAGAATACTAGCTTGCCGAGACACTCTATCACTGTTTATCTGAATTTATAGCTGCATAGTAACATCCGAGAATGGATACACCTTAATTTATAAAATAAAATTATGAAAAGACAGTTTTCATTTATTACATGCAGCTCACAATGAGATCCACGCTCGAGTCGTATGGATGACAAAAATTACTGGTATATAATTTAGTTGAGCTGGTTTCAGGACTTGTATCAGGCTCTTCACAATCCGCCGGATCTTCTTCTGGGATTTGAGGTAATTCGTCAAACAATAGCTTTTCTGTATAGGACCAGAGATAGTTCTCCAATGTGATCTCATCATCCTCTTCCTCGCCCTCACCCTCATCCTCATCATCCTCATCTGATTTTGAAAGACAAACAATTAGAATATGTTAAGTAGCATATATATTTATTTATTTATAGTAATGAAAGAAATCTTACACTCAATAAGCATGGCGGGTTCAACGACAACACCAAATTCGTCGATCAAGCATGGAATTTCTTCAATCATAGCAATGTTTATGTAGATAACAGTAGATATAGGTATCTCTGTATTCTTTTTTTTTAGATGATTATATAATAATTTGTGAGACTTAGTAGAATGAGACATTTTGTAATGTTGTGACGTGATGCCTTTGTTAAAATAATGATGTATTGATTGAACAATGTTTTATATGGGTAAAGACATTGAATGGATGGTTTTATTCGCCGTTTAGGATGTCTTGTGTATATACACATAAATAATTATAGTGAATTGCTCAACAGAAAAGAAAAAAAAAGGGTATTTTATATTGTACGAGTAGTATATATCATTTAAAAGAAATTTTTGAGAATTATTGGATAAGCACTCGAGGAGGATATTTCTTTAATTTCGTTTTTCACCAATTAAAAAAAAAGAAGAAAAAGTAGAAATGCAATGTGCACAATGTATATAGTATCTAACTGTCTTCCATAAAGTAATATACTTTGTAATATACGTTAAAGGTGTTTTGTGTAAGTGTCTTGCGTATATAGCTTCATGATTAGTTGAAAGTCTCCAACTAGACATCACAGTTAAAAGAAGTAAAGCCGTTACTGTTGCTATTGTTTCTTACAAGAGAAAGAATGTTTGGGTACCTACTTTTAAAAGAACAGATAAAACAAACTTGAGCAGAAGAATTTTGTTTGATAGACTAGAAACCAATATTTAGTGCCATATAAGTATACTTGACTAAGAAAATAAACCTGTTTTTAGGAACCTGAGATCGATAAAGTATAAAAACATGCACATCTGAATAAAAAAATCATTAAAATCATAAAGAATCTTGTCTTATACCAGTGTTTGTAAGTACCATCAAAGGCTTAGAAATCTACCTTAAGGTGATTTACTTTATAGTTCGCAATAAGAACCATTTTGCTAACTCTTTTAAAAGCTTGCATAATATCTCTAAAGCAACACATTAAATATTACGTTTGAAAAAGCTTAGAATTAGCCAATCTAATTCGCAGTCAATTCAATATTATTGTTTTTTATTATTTTTTCTCATCAGGTTCAATTGAAATCTCCAGTTGCTCCTAGCCTTTATTTTCAGTCTATATATCTATACATCAAAATGAATTCCCGGCTTCCCAAACCTCCTTTTACAACCAGATCGAAGCAAATGGGAAAAGATAAAAGGCCAAAAGGATGTGGTGCTTTCAACTGGATAATTTCACGTTTATTTAGAAATAAGGGTGCGACTCAACCAGCCTAGTTTACTTCAATATTTTATGGAATGACTACTGCTTGAACATAACATTAATCTATGTAGCATCAACTTTATTAAAAGTTTTCTATAACGGTGCAAAAATGATTGGTGACAGATATGCTACCTACCGCACCATTGGTGAAGGTCAGCAAGGAAAGGTCAAGTTTGGAACTGACCTGGTAAATAATAAAGCAGAAAGTATCCGTAGACATGTGTAGCTATCATATGGCTCTTCTAATTAATACATATATTCCATTAGGTTGCTATCAAGATTATAGACCTTCACCAGCGCTCATGGCTAAGATTTCACAGACATGCCGACTCAATTAATACCTACGAGAATGATTATATTGAGGAAAAAAGATTCATTGCACTCCGCGAGCATGAATTTATGTCTCTGATAGACCACCCAAACATTATCAAATCTGGGCAGCTCATATCTGATACGAGCAAAATCTACATTGTCATGGAATACATTGATAGCTACGATCTATTTGGCCTTATAAGAAAACTTGGGAAAATCCCGGAAAAAGATTGCTGCAAGATTTTCCAGCAAATCGTTCGTGCAGTTGATTATTTGCACAAGAACTCAATTGTACACAAAGACCTTAAACTGGAAAACATACTGGTTGGAAAGGAAAAGCAAGTCGTTAAGATCATAGACTTTGGTTATGCAAGCATATTCTCGCATCTTAATAAGGATGTTACTTATTATGGAACATTAAGCTACTCTTCCCCAGAGGCTCTAGAGGAGATACCACATTTGGGACCTTCAAGTGACGTGTGGAGTCTTGGCGTAATTCTGTACACTATGGTAGCAGGATACAAGCCATTTAAAGGCAATTCGCGTTCATCAATCCTGAAGAAGATCAAGTCTAACCCGGTGATCTACCCTGATCATTTCAGTGCAACTTTGATAGATCTACTTAACCAAATTTTTGCTGTGGACTATAGCAAGCGGGTCGGAACATCTGAAATTCAGAAGCATTCATGGGTGAACCAAACACATAATTACATCAAAGAGAATAATATGCTTAGTCGCATGTCTTTGCAATAAGATAACTTTTGGCTCAGTTGTTGTGAAAAGAGAAGAAAAATACGTACATTTAATCAATCTTCAGAATTAGAACAAAACTTTTATTCAAATTAATAGAGTAGTATCCATATAAATATATACCAAACAATGTTTCTGAGCTGTAGTAGAATTTTAAAATCTTTATTTACAAAAGTTGGTTTAAAGACAAAACTTAGTTATCTAATTTGATATGTACAGCACTAGATAGTTCATTCTCTTTTTGTACTTATTGATATTGCTAGAAACAATAGCTGCGAACCTTAGGGATTAAAGAGAAAGATAGAGCGGTAATAAGGTACAATCCCGTTAGGATTTCCTGGGAAAGGAGTAGGAGGAAAGGTAAGAAGTCCCGAACAGTGAAGAAGTGTGTGGTACTTGAGACTAGAGAAAGTAGGAGTGAGTTGGGAACTGATTTCAGATCTTGGAAGAAGAAAAGAAAACGTAAATATTAAGCGGGATACTCATAGAAAGGAGTCGGAGTAGTGAATATGTTGGCCTTCTTAAAGGGATCCTTACTATCATTCTCATTTTCAGAGTTACTTGACAGGCTGTATTTGGGGAGCCTAAGTATATATCTGTTCTTAGGGAAGCGGTTGCAGATGTGCTCAGGTGTATTGCACTTTCCATATATACAAAGTTCGCACTCAGGACAATAAGATAATTTGTATGCAAGCTTATGATGAGCCACAGTCTAGTAATATCTTGGAGCAAGTGGAATATATAGTACGATCATTCTGAAATGAAATGGTATAGACTAAAGAAGTAATATGTGTAATCGAGAGACTGTCTAGGAAGCGTATGGGAATCTAGACCTGGCCACTCAACAATCCTTGTGAAAATTGTATAACTTATATTGAGGTGTATGGCATAGCTTTTGATACTTTTATGCACGACCCTTATGACTTTTATATGATCCTACATCGAAACTTTGAAGGGAAAGACGTCGGGAAGTTCTACATCTGATCCAAAAGATGGGAAGCCATAAGCATTTTTGTCTTCAAACTTGATGCCTCCATTGACATATTTTAAAGTTTCTTGTTCGTTTTTCATTACGATTTCCACCATCGTGGGGTTTCGAATTTTCTGAACAACCGACATAATAATATTATTAGCTTATTTGAGTGAGACATCAACAGTAATGATGTTATAAATCGATGTGCATTTACACCTTGACGCTAGATGGAGAGCCAGAAATGATTCAATGCCCATTACAAAAGACTTTTCAATTTGTTTCTGTTTAAGTAATTCCCGCAAGATAGTTTGTACTGAGGTGGGGATGGTCAGCAGACGGGATTTTGAACTCGTACATGTTAGAAATGCTTGCCATGAGGACGCCGATATGTTAGGGTTTTTTGTAACTTTTTTTGGTCAAGGACAAGCAGTAAGCAGTCCATTAAATATCTTTTTACAATTAAATGATATTTTTACTATATTGAAATACTCTTTATGACTAGCTTGTGCTCTAGTAATTATAATATATACGAAGTTGTAACTAGCTTGCTGCTAGTAATACGTCTCTGTGAGATTCGAACTCACGCTCTTCCAACCAAGGTTGGAAAAACACCTGTCAAGCCAACTAAAAAGTTAACTATAGACCGAGACGGGGGGAAGAAATCGAAAGACAAGGGCGAACTTCACTTTTTTAGGCAACGAAGACCGTATAAAGTTTGGAGACCCCGCCTTTTTCGTTTGGGATGAACGAGATTTTACCGTTCTAGAATTGGCATTATCAGGGTGTCTTTGTTTACGACTGCCTAGACAGTAATAAGCGAAAAACAATATATGGTGTCAAGTACAAAGTTGTACGGAGAACGAGTAACATTGTTTCCAGCACAGAGTGATGACTTAAAGGCGTTCAGTCAAAAACTCATTGAACAAGCACATCTTCGCGAAAACAGGATCAGAACACCGATCACGAGAGAGTGGAGGCTTGAATAAAGTAATTTATCTTGCGAAAAAAAAACTCCATTTGCTGTTACAATATCGGGTACCAGCTAGCAAGAAGTAGACTAGTACATCATGACAGTCGGACCAAACTCTATACTGACTCTTCTACTTGGGCTAAATAGGCGACCCAACTTGTTAAATCAGTCATACCCCAGACACATGGATGCCTATCGCACGGGTTAAGTTGGTTTTATTATAGGTCAACTGCGTCGCTAGAACGTTCGGCTGTCAACCCATAAAAAACCAGTCTATCTGATCATCTTTGAACCTCAACATCTGACATCAACGGGGAGAAGAGTATAGGGGGCTCGCCCTCAGTCCGTTTGGCTTGTCATAGAGAGTGGTGGTATTTCATTGGCGCCCGGTGGCTCCCACCTATGCTACACCTCTCTATGACGGATTGACCACGTTGTACCAAATGTCAGAATAGAGGAGACCAGAGTAAACCGGTGTTTCTTGCTAGCCGTTCCCAGAGCCATTAACTGGGTGTGGTTTGGTTGGCCGCTTTGGTTTTCACCGCAACGACATCACTAGAGGCTTTCTTGACAAGCTGCTGTCAAGGCTGACCCTTTCGGGCCAGAATTTATTTTTACTATTAACTGCGCGATGTTAGTAAGAGTTTCAATGAAATAAGGGTATATTTTTTATTTTGTGATTACTTACATTCACTTCTTAAGAAAATACATTTAGGTAAATGTCAAAAGTAACATTACTACAAATTACATTAATAAATTCATCGTAATTAGCATAACATGTGTGAAATGTACTTTCTTTAATGATTTTGTTACTTACATGAACATTTCTCTGTGTTGTGTTTATGAGAAAGACGAGTTTTCTTGCCCTCACACTGAAGAGCCATTTTTCTATACGCGTGAATGAGTACGCAAGATATGACGTAAACACTAATCGTCCAATAGAATAATTCCACATGTTAGCGTGTGATATCTATGTGGCTTATTGTTTATATATAATTATTCTATGTGGTACTCCTTTGAGAAGCAAACTTTGTGCATGAAGAAGAACAATAAAGTAGTGAAGCTTTCTGTCAGTAAAGAAGAACCCAAAAGGGAAATTTTAAGGTAGTACTCAGGTACCAGCAAGTTTAAGGGCCTATTAAAGACGAGCTTAAAACGTATAAAAAGAGGTTATGTGGCCTTGTACTTCTATTGTGTAGCCAATACCATCTTCTCATTTTACGTAACCGCATCAACAGCAGAATTATTAGCGGCAGAAACCACCAGAATAGTGTATCAGTATATATCTTAGAGCTGTAGAATATAACTCATATGATTTCCAAGCAGAATGTTTTTATCGAGAGCTGGTTATACCTCTTTATCTCATATTTAAGTGCCGGATCGTGAACTTAATCTGTAATACAAAAAAAGAGCGATCCAATTTGCTTTTTGCAAAGGTCAAGGTTGCACGAACAAAGTGGAGAAGAAAGCTTTAGTTCACAATAAAGTGTTCTTCAATATTATGATCCGTTTGGTTAAAATACTAGAAACCTCAATATTTAATCATCAATATTTATTTAAATATTAATGAGATTAATCCTGGTGTATTTGTGTTGATGTTTCAAATATCTTGTCAAGAGTATACAAGTGCTTCTTTCTTCTTTTTTTTTATTTATTTTTTTACAAAATTCAAACTTTTGAAACCATGTAAAAATTATTATAAAGTGCAATTCAAGTTAATTTCTTTTAGAAATCATTTAAATCTTCGCATTCTAAATTCTAAAATATTTAAGTATTAAACCATTAATGTATTAAAAGCAAAACGGAAAGAGCAAGCTTAAAGAGAAAGAAATGTATATTAATATTAGATAATCTTTTTTATATAAAAATAAAATCATCATTTTATGGTCTTTCTCTTTGTAAAGTATGAATTCTGTCAAAGTATTGCTTTACCTGCCTGTAGATAATATCATCAAAATAACCATAATTGTATATCAATAAAACGCTAAGTCGGCTTGTTCTAAAATAGTAATTACTGTGGTAAACATACGACAATTGAGTGAAACACATATCTCATAGCCAAAACCTGGTTCGTTCTTGCTAGAGAACCTAGCAGATTACCAATCTTCAGAATTATTACACAACATCGATTTAAATTAGAGGGATTCTAATAGTAACAGATATAATGAATACTATTTTTGTCTCTTTAATAAACAACGCTCTCACAGCATTTACTTTTCCATACATTGAGGTACGAACCCCAAAATATATCCCGAATAACTCAATGTATATGTAAAGCAATCAATTTTCAGCTATAAGACTTGCATGTGCAAACTTAATTTGTATAATGCTTATTAAATTGTAAGAAGTGTGTCTCTATCCTAAAAGATAATATGAATGCAGTAAGTAGATATTAATACTATCTTATAAAAAAGATAGTGCGTGGAAGTATTAGTTCACTAAATCTTAACTAACTGTAAGACTTTGTTATTGGTAATTTTTAAAAATTGCAAAAGAAATTATCAAGAAATTAAAAATATTTCAAATCATAAGAGTTTTTTTTATTCATAATTTATTAGTAAACTGAATTGAAGACCACACACACATATATATACATATTAGAGAGAGAAATGTCAAATTCTTAGTTCACCACTTTATTAAAAGTAATAATAACAAACGTGGATCCATCCCCCTCAGGACGAAGACCTGATTTGACAGCGAAGGGGAAAAAAGGAGTTGGCTGCTCTCTTTCTAAGAAAGAGTGGAGTGAAAAACAGAGGCGGGGTCAAGCAGCGCTGCACGTCAGCATGCACCATTCCAAGCCAACAGATGTTTTCTAGATCAACGGTTTCCACACCGCATCGCACACTGCCACAACCAGCTCGTCTGGACACTTGTGCAGAAAACTGCCAGTGAAATACGACAATAACGACCGTAAAACACAGTACAAGAAATCATTCGTGCATTCTCTCTTGTAGGTCCAGAATAAAGAAAGCTGATCCTATCTGAGAACTAAACGCCCAGACAAGATATTCAAAGTAGAGTCAGTACATATATTATGATTTTGAACGTGTGCTATATGTAAAATAATATGCTTATCCTGCTGCTAATACTATGAGGTTAGCAACTTTTGTACCAGATAAACGGAAATAGCTGTGAAGAGAAATTAGCTACTAATAAACAGAAAAGACTGTTACAGGATTTCTTTTACCAAGAATTTGTTGATAATGTATCTGTGTAAAAAAATAGACAGAGAGTATGTATCAGAACCGGTGTAAACAAAGAAAGGTTTGAAAGATAAAAAGAGAGAAATACTTATCAAATAGTATCGAGCCAAAGAGGGGAGTTCTAGAGAGATCATGTCAAATTCTTAGTTCACCACTTTGCAAAAAAAAATAACAAGAGTGGATCCGTCCCCCTCAGGACGAAGACCTGATTTGACAGCGAAGGGGAAAAAGGAGTTGGCTGCTCTCTTTCTAAGAAAGAGTGGTATGGAAAGCAGAGGCGAGGTCAAGCAGCGCTACACGTCAGCATACACCATTCCAAGCTAACGGATGTTTTCAGAACAACATTTTCCGCACCACATTGCGCATAATCACAACCAACTCGTCTGGACACTTGCGCAGGAAACTGCCAGTGAGATACGACAATAAAGACCGTAAAACACAGTACAAGAGATCATTCGTGCGTTCTCTCTTGTAGGTCCAGAATAAAGAAACATAAGCTCGCCTAGGAACGAAACGCCCAGAGAGTCGACACTAGTAAAGTAAGTATATTTTGCTCTTATATTCTTTACGGAACAATACTTACCGGAAATTTTTGTGACCAAGACGGATACTTTGGAGAAAGAAAAAAAGAAAAGAAAGCAAATACATAGAGCAAGATATACATATAAAGGGTATATACAAAGAGGGGTATAGATATAGATATAGATAAAGCTATAGATAAAAGTATATAGAGTCGGAAATAAAGATAAATAGAGTAAAGTCTGTTGAAAAATAACACTATCACAATAAAGGAATCTTTTAATGATAAAGAAGCCGTATATACAAATGAAAAGAAAAAAGTTCTTACCAAAATGCCCTTATGCCAAAGAGTTATGTTCAATCGGCCAAAAAAAACTATACGAGAGAGATGCTTTAAAGAAATAAAGGGATATATTATAGTATGGCTCAAGGATGAAGAGATATATAGACATATAGATGTAAAAGTTCTCCAAGGATTAGACGATATATCGATGGAAAGATAATTCAAAGGTAAAGAGATATGTAAGCATATAGATCGAGATATTCTCCAAGGATTAGGCGATATATCGACGGAAAGATAGTTCAAAGATAAAAGGGAGAGAGATAGAGAGATTTTGCTTGATCAAGCTTCTGCTAGTCTTTATATAGACAATTATTTGATTTTTTTTCTTAAAAAAAAGAGAGGGAAAACATGGTCACTATATCGCAGTTTTTTGGAGTTATGAATGCAAATGCAGATCATCTCTTAAAATGCTATATAATACAACAGAGTAATAAGTTACCTAGTACTCTTTTGAATATTCTTGAAAATAATTATTACAAAACCTATGTAGATAGAGAGTATCAACTTATCACTCTTCAAAAAAAATATAAATGCCTCGATATTACTCTTACAAGGAATACACTAGAGTATATTGTACTGTATTCCAAAGAATAAAAGATATATTTGCAGCATTCTTACTATCAATAAGATAGCTAGGTAACATTTTATGCACAGCGACTGATACACATAGTAATTATAAGAGCTTTTTTTTTTAAAAAAAAAAAAGAGAGAGAGAAAGGAATCTACAGCATTAATAATTGATGTACACCGCTGAGATTTTAATTGCAATATACTACCTTTGCATATCAATATTCCATCATATAATTATTATTTATATGGAGAATATTACTCGTCAAAGAAGTGCTCTGTAAAAAAAAACACCCGCCTTCTCTATGAAAGCTTACACTTTATTAAAAAAACCAAGATCTTTCACAACATAATTTGTATTTTATATAAAAAAACTTTCGAGTAATAATCTTTTTACTTAGATATTTTATGTCAATTAGTTGTGTTTTTGGTCAATGAGGTAGTGGATCTTTTATTTTATTTTTGATTGAAGGCATTTGTATACAAAAATAATGGGATACATACTCTACAATTAACTGATATTCTTTGTATGTGGTTAATAAATAAATATAATGTCTTATTGATAAATTTTGGAAGGAAACTTGTTTTTTATCAATGAGTGTCCCTCTTGCTACTACACTTGTATCAAAAGAAAGCATTTTTTCTCTGATAATAAAACAAAACATGAAAAATCTAGATAATATAATTGAAGAAAAATGACTTATAAATACTAGTAGTTAAATTATTTAAGCATTTAATGCAAACGCCTAATACTAATTTTTACATTAGATAGAATTATATCACTAAAGCCTGTCAAGTACGCTTACATGATGTTTTTGTACTTATAATAATCAACTTTTGAATGTTATTTACAGAGAAGTGTTAATAAAAGTATATCTCACATGCTATCATTTATTACAAGTTGTATTATTATTCTTAAAAGTTGGCAGAGGTTTTGGCAAGATTTTATTTGGTGCAAAAGTGTTTTTTATTGTGAGTATAGATCAAGAAAATTATATATATATATATATTATTAGGGTACAAAATATATCACTTATTTCCAGAGTATACAGCATAACATTTTTGTATACAAATGCCTTCAATCAAAAATAAAATAAAAGATCCACTACCTCATTGACCAAAAACACAACTAATTGACATAAAATATCTAAGTAAAAAGATTATTACTCGAAAGTTTTTTTATATAAAATACAAATTATGTTGTGAAAGATCTTGGTTTTTTTAATAAAGTGTAAGCTTTCATAGAGAAGGCGGGTGTTTTTTTTTACAGAGCACTTCTTTGACGAGTAATATTCTCCATATAAATAATAATTATATGATGGAATATTGATATGCAAAGGTAGTATATTGCAATTAAAATCTCAGCGGTGTACATCAATTATTAATGCTGTAGATTCCTTTCTCTCTCTCTTTTTTTTTTTTTAAAAAAAAAAGCTCTTATAATTACTATGTGTATCAGTCGCTGTGCATAAAATGTTACCTAGCTATCTTATTGATAGTAAGAATGCTGCAAATATATCTTTTATTCTTTGGAATACAGTACAATATACTCTAGTGTATTCCTTGTAAGAGTAATATCGAGGCATTTATATTTTTTTTAAAGAGTGATAAGTTGATACTCTCTATCTACATAGGTTTTGTAATAATTATTTTCAAGAATATTCAAAAGAGTACTAGGTAACTTATTACTCTGTTGTATTATATAGCATTTTAAGAGATGATCTGCATTTGCATTCATAACTCCAAAAAACTGCGATATAGTGACCATGTTTTCCCTCTCTTTTTTTTAAGAAAAAAAATCAAATAATTGTCTATATAAAGACTAGCAGAAGCTTGATCAAGCAAAATCTCTCTATCTCTCTCCCTTTTATCTTTGAACTATCTTTCCGTCGATATATCGCCTAATCCTTGGAGAATATCTCGATCTATATGCTTACATATCTCTTTACCTTTGAATTATCTTTCCATCGATATATCGTCTAATCCTTGGAGAACTTTTACATCTATATGTCTATATATCTCTTCATCCTTGAGCCATACTATAATATATCCCTTTATTTCTTTAAAGCATCTCTCTCGTATAGTTTTTTTTGGCCGATTGAACATAACTCTTTGGCATAAGGGCATTTTGGTAAGAACTTTTTTCTTTTCATTTGTATATACGGCTTCTTTATCATTAAAAGATTCCTTTATTGTGATAGTGTTATTTTTCAACAGACTTTACTCTATTTATCTTTATTTCCGACTCTATATACTTTTATCTATAGCTTTATCTATATCTATATCTATACCCCTCTTTGTATATACCCTTTATATGTATATCTTGCTCTATGTATTTGCTTTCTTTTCTTTTTTTCTTTCTCCAAAGTATCCGTCTTGGTCACAAAAATTTCCGGTAAGTATTGTTCCGTAAAGAATATAAGAGCAAAATATACTTACTTTACTAGTGTCGACTCTCTGGGCGTTTCGTTCCTAGGCGAGCTTATGTTTCTTTATTCTGGACCTACAAGAGAGAACGCACGAATGATCTCTTGTACTGTGTTTTACGGTCTTTATTGTCGTATCTCACTGGCAGTTTCCTGCGCAAGTGTCCAGACGAGTTGGTTGTGATTATGCGCAATGTGGTGCGGAAAATGTTGTTCTGAAAACATCCGTTAGCTTGGAATGGTGTATGCTGACGTGTAGCGCTGCTTGACCTCGCCTCTGCTTTCCATACCACTCTTTCTTAGAAAGAGAGCAGCCAACTCCTTTTTCCCCTTCGCTGTCAAATCAGGTCTTCGTCCTGAGGGGGACGGATCCACTCTTGTTATTTTTTTTTGCAAAGTGGTGAACTAAGAATTTGACATGATCTCTCTAGAACTCCCCTCTTTGGCTCGATACTATTTGATAAGTATTTCTCTCTTTTTATCTTTCAAACCTTTCTTTGTTTACACCGGTTCTGATACATACTCTCTGTCTATTTTTTTACACAGATACATTATCAACAAATTCTTGGTAAAAGAAATCCTGTAACAGTCTTTTCTGTTTATTAGTAGCTAATTTCTCTTCACAGCTATTTCCGTTTATCTGGTACAAAAGTTGCTAACCTCATAGTATTAGCAGCAGGATAAGCATATTATTTTACATATAGCACACGTTCAAAATCATAATATATGTACTGACTCTACTTTGAATATCTTGTCTGGGCGTTTAGTTCTCAGATAGGATCAGCTTTCTTTATTCTGGACCTACAAGAGAGAATGCACGAATGATTTCTTGTACTGTGTTTTACGGTCGTTATTGTCGTATTTCACTGGCAGTTTTCTGCACAAGTGTCCAGACGAGCTGGTTGTGGCAGTGTGCGATGCGGTGTGGAAACCGTTGATCTAGAAAACATCTGTTGGCTTGGAATGGTGCATGCTGACGTGCAGCGCTGCTTGACCCCGCCTCTGTTTTTCACTCCACTCTTTCTTAGAAAGAGAGCAGCCAACTCCTTTTTTCCCCTTCGCTGTCAAATCAGGTCTTCGTCCTGAGGGGGATGGATCCACGTTTGTTATTATTACTTTTAATAAAGTGGTGAACTAAGAATTTGACATTTCTCTCTCTAATATGTATATATGCGATTATATGTTTTTCGATATTATTTAGTTTAATAAACACAGTATTTCTTTTTATTACTTTAAACCTCTCTACTGTTTCAATGCAATTATATATAGTGTAGCAGTATGTTAAATGTTTATATTGTCTAACATATAAAAGTATCAATAGACTGATAATACTGTAGTGCAACTTAAGTCAAGTCAAGTTTTTTTAGAAATGATTTCAATATTCAGATTCAAAGCTCTAGAATTTTTTAAGGGTTATAACACTAATAGATAGAAAACAAATCAAAAAGACCAAGCCTAGAAAAGAAGCAACATATTACTATTTAATAAAGTGAATATTATATTACTACCATATTACTATTATTTTATGATGCTATTGTCGTTTTATAATATGCCGTTTTGTATAACTGATGCCAAAGTATTGCTTCGTCTGATCGTAAATATCAATCCCCAGAGCTGGTACACACCAGACATACTTACACTGCACATGTATACAGTGCAAACCAGTCATTGCACAGCAGGGGTCTGAATAGTAATGAATATAACTCATTATTCCGACTCTCTTTAATAATAAGGCTCTCGCTGTATCTACTTTTCCTAAGATCAATATATCAACCCATAAAGAATCACAAATACCTCAGCAATAAGCTGGTTTTTTTATAGCTCAACAGCTTCTATAATAATACCAATATTTCTAAACGTTCATGCAGAATAGGTGTACCTTGTCCTTAAATAAGCTAGACTTTGGAGACAATAGAATATACAAGCCCCCTTCTCAATTTACTTAGACTATGCTTCTTAATTATATTAGGGCGGTCGGTAGTGTCTATAAAGAATTCAGAAATAGTGAAATTTACTTTTAATGATCTGATAACTAAAAAAAAAAATCCTTGCTGTACCATAGAGCTGTAATTGTTATAAATATATACTATATAATATATATCGTGTTGCTTTGTTTGGTGAATAAAATGACATTAAGAAACTAGCCTTACGAAAAATTCTCTTGCTCTCTCTTTAATCCCTTGTTAATTTACACAACAGTTATATTATACTAAAAGGAATAAAAAGGGAATATGCTTTTATGTACATATAATTATTTGCCATTTATTTGCGGAGAAATAGTCTCGAAAATCTCCTTTATTGTACACGTCTATTTAATTTTATTTATTACTTTTAATTAATTATTATTTATCAAGAGAAAAACACGTTACTTATTATGATTATTCAAAACAACCATACTAATAAATTGTATGTTCAATATTTGTTAAAATGCATATTTTTTTTTTGTATTTCCTGCTCTTCAGAACTGCAAATAAGGCTAAATCTGAGCATGACTTCCTTCGTGCTAATACATACGCACACAATTGCCATCACAATTACAATTACAATTCCATAAGGTCATAACAATCTATCTGGACGCTGCTTTTTTAATATAATTACTTTATTTAATTAGTGTATTATTTTTCCAAAAGAACTATTAAAGATAGTCCATGAATTATTTTTATAGAAATAATAATATTAACACTATTTTTTAAGACAAGCGATTATAAAACTAAAGTACACATTTCAAGTCAATATATATATATATGTCAAACCCTTAATCTTTTTGTTCTATTTGAAGCACATCATGCTATATTTTCCGAAAATAAATTAAGTACGACATGACACCCACCATTTACAAACATGCCTCGGCATTCAAGGACAATAAAATATATACATGCAATTTGGATTGTTGTACAGTCTTGATAGTTCAATCAATGCACAAGCTCATACTTCAAAAGTTATAATACATAAATTTAATGTATACCATGATAAATTATGTATCATGTCTTGGTGGCTACAGACTACAGCATAATACATTAAACTAAAAACAAAACAAAAATAATAATATTTTGACAAGGTAGTCTTCCCAAAATAGATGGGATGATTAAGAAGGATAGATTTTTCATATGAAAATTAATTTTTGCTTCAAGATCGAGTCTATTATACACCGTCTTGTCAATAGCTACTCTCTATTAGCTTTTAGAAATAGCTCAAATAATATATTATTTACTCGTTTGTTTGTTTGTTTGTTTGAAAAGAAAAATAACAATTAGACAACCTGATTAAACCCAGGATAAAACCAATGTCTCAAAGCTGTCACTTAACCATATAATACTTTGGTGTATCACAAAATATGACCAATCTTTCTATCCGGATATCTGGTACACGGACTTGTTTAATTTTTTTTAATAGCTCGTATTAAATATGTACAACATTTGTTTCATATATATTTATACTGGTCAATAGCACTAACAGTACAGAAAGAAAAAACTGTATAAATACAACCCTCATTTAAATTCTAAAAAACGCATTCCCTTTACAATCCTTAATATGCACTTCTCCTTTGGACTCATTGCATTGGTCGCAGGTCTTCTTGGTACAGTTGTCAATTCTATCGAAGCTGCCAAGAACGTCAAGATTTGTGCCAAATGCAGTTACAAGACCATCAACTCTGCACTTGCTTCCCTTCCCAATGATGCTACAACATATAACCTTCTCCTCTACCCTGGCATCTACCACGAACAGGTCAAGATCCGCCGTAACAATGTCAATCTGAAGCCCATGCAGCCCGGTTTCGTTCAAATTGAGTACAATGGCTTTAAGGATACTCAGCGTACCAATGGAACCAACGAAGACTCTGCCACGCTGTCCGTGTTTGGTACTAATGTGAAAGTTTACGACATGACTATTGCCAATTTGTTCCCACAGAATGGAGGCATGGCAAACTTGGCTCTTAACCTTGCTGCTACTCAGGCTTCCTTTTATAACGTCAAGTTTTACGGTTATCAGGATACCCTCTTGGTCAACCGTGGTGCCACTGGTTTCTTCAAGAAGTGCTACGTTGAAGGCTCGGTCGATTACATCTGGGGAGAGGGCACTGGTAAAACATCATTTATTTTAAGATGCGAATTTCTTTCCCTAATGCTATTTATTATTATATAGCTGTCTTTGAGCACTCTACTATTGCCACCAACCGTAAGGGAGGATATGCTACTGCCCACAGAAGAGGAACTGCCGACTCTGCCGGTGGTTTTTTCTTTAACAGCTGCTACATCAAGGCTACTCTACCTTCAGGACCTCTCGTTGCTACTCAGGACCGTACCGTTGCTTTCACTTCTTCTTCTCAATTCCCTAACAGCTGGTTCCTCGGTCGTCCTTGGAATGAGTTTGCTCGCGTTGTTTACAGATACTGCAACATCGACGACTCTGTCAAGGTTGAAGGATGGAGCAAATGGGACAGTGCTGTCAAGGATTACAAGAACGTTAACTTTGGTGAATACAAGAATTCTGGTGCCGGGCAGTGGAACTCTAAACGTGTCACCTTTTCTCACCAGATCACTGATGCTGAGAATGCCAAATATTCCACCGCCGCCCTTTTCGGCAGCGCTCCTTGGATTGACACCACCTACCAGTAAACACACTCTTATGTGCATGTTTAATTTTAAATAGAGTATGAGTTCCTAAAGGCAAATAAACACTCACTATTATTACTACTATTATTTTGACCAATATATTGTTGTTATTGCAGTAACAAGATTAGGTTTAACATTTTGTACTTCCACAGCAAATATAAATATAGGATGCAACGGGTTTTGATTTCTTATGTCTGTGTAGGCAAGGACTTATTATAGGCAATGCTCCGATCTAATGGCTAATGGCTATTGGCTATTGGCTATATGGCTCTGCATGGACGGAATTGACATATTTGCCAATATGTGTATCTTATCCATGTGTATGCAGACTATTTATATAATGTAATTCAATCAAGCATAATCAGTGGCATGCTGTCAATATACTAAAGGGTCGATACACAATATATTAATACTATCATTATTTATTTTATCATACAGTAAATGACAAAAGGAAATAATACAAGAAGGATGTATATATGTTGGTTGTAAAGAACTTTATGTATAAATATAGGAGAGAAGTTAACAAAGAATTACGCTAAGATATTAATCGTATGCAAGAATGATAATGTACAGACATAGTAAATACGCATTATGACAAGAAATGAACAGACATGCCAGCGAAAGATATAAAGTATAGGATGAATAAGGAGTTCCATTATATAGAGGATTTTGAAGGACGGTCTGGAAGTAGTTTGAGGTTGAAAATTGTTTGGTAGATATCCTTCTGTGGATCAGTCATTACACCAAATATGAGTGGAAGCTCAGTCTTGTGCCCATTGCTGAGACAGCGTATGTTGTTCCCTTTTATGACTTGCTCAAGCTCTCCCTAACACGAGCAGAAAAAATAAATATACTGAAGGTATTAGTAGCAAATGAGGCTTACCGTTTCAATGTTGCGGATTTCGATAAACGATGGATCAAAAGCAATGACGTGGGGATAACTAAATGCAAAAGATTCTGGGTGTCCCTCCCATTCGATTATAAAATCTCTGCGTGTTCTGTTACCCTTGCTATCAATATAAAAACCATAGACTAATGGGGTCCTTGTTAGATAAAAGATATTATTTGTATTATATATATAAAAATATGTTACCATCGTAGCAGAGAAAATAATCTCCAAGAGGTACTGGAAATACGACAATACGTATCATTTGTTGGCGCAGTTGTAAATTCGACTCTTCCCTTTCTCGTTCAGTGATGAATTTGAGGTGCTTGTCGCCCGGATTCAATAGATCTAATAATAGTGAGAATTGAGTAACCTGGGCTTTGGGCTTATGTTTATCTGGTGGACACCGTCTTACGTTGAACCTTGTCTGTTCGCATGTCTACCATGATCAAGCCACGGGGACAGGTGATAAGCATCTTACTGGGGGACAGCTCAATAGATAATGCTTCTGCTGGTATATAGCAGTCCTTAAATCGTTTAAGATGGAGATCTGAAGACAGTTGTGTACGCACAATACGATCAAGGATTCCTGGCTTTTTGAGTTCTGGGGAGTTTGCAGGCTCAAATATGGATATGGTTGACTTTAGAGTAGACACCCGAGGTACACATACGAGTTTGCGATTCAGAGAAGTACCCACATGAAAGAATGGCACATGCGTCTGGACTTTTCGCCCAAGTGGCTGTGTCTCGGGTTTACCATTCACAACATCGAGACCATACTCCCATAATATCTTATCCGACAAAACAAGCAGTACCTGTGCTGTCTCTAATGCCTCTATCTGTGTAACTTTATAAAGCGAAAGAATTTTGTGGGGGGTTTTTGAACGAGATGTGTGGCCCACATAAACGCCGATATCTGTTGCAAGCAAGTACTGTTGACCACTGTCTATTAATCAGTCGTGAGTTAGGAATATGTTTCCTTGATGAAAGAAAGAAAAAACAGAGCCCAAGTTTAGGTGTGCGACTTACTAAAAGTGACCATGTGGTTAATCTTAACATCGACATAAAACTCTCGCTCTGGGATAGCTGGTACAACTTCAACCACAGGATGAACCTGGTTTTTCTCAAGTTGCTGCTTAAGGATTTTTTCTATCCAGGGTTTTCGTGTTGCCATTGAAGAGGCATATAATGTGAAGCTTCCGGTACCTTTGTTACCGAGATGATGGAATATTATGGGATAGCCAGTCTTGCTGGGTGCAATGAGACCTGTGGGCAATGTGTGACTGGTGGGCATACTCGGATTTGCCAATTCAGATGAAATCCGTATCATATGTAGGTTGGGAGTCAAACTTGGATAAGGACCTCCGGGTATATAAGGTATAATTGAACTCGAGCGTTTGGTCCGGTTTCCTTCAGGTGGAGATGCGGAGAGGAAATGGACAGAAATTGGCTACCGAGATCTATCAGAGATCCATTTGCTTTTATAAATACTCAAAACAAACTTACTCTTTTCTGGACAATATAGTGCTCGATTCCCTGGACAAGTTTTACCTTTGCCACAACAAAATAATGGTCAAAGAGAATGACTTGATATTCTGTTGAATCCAGGTGAACTCCTTTTCGAAGCGTGCTTTGCTTAACAATATAACGACCGTCTTCCAACAAATGGAGATCCTTTATAGTAAATGTTGAGTTAACCAAGTAAGGTTATATTCTTTTTTTTGTGTGCTCACCATTTCATCTGCCTTATGTTTAAAAGCTAAGTTATTGTGAATGCGTTCGAGATCAAACCTATTCTTGGCTTTGCCAGCCTCTGTGTTTACGCGTGTCAGGAGCTGCTTAATGTAATCTATAGCTTTTGGAATATCCACGCGATCAGGATGATTATCTGGGGTGTGCTTTAGTATATCATTTAACAATAGAGTATAACGACCAAGGCGTGTTGTAGGCTTGGTCAAATAACCATTCAACTCAAGCTTGGATGAGCTCGGATGTCTTTCAGTTTGCTATAAATAAAAATCAATTTTTTTTAAAAAAAATTAGTCCTAGAATTCTTTAGGTATATTTTTATTGCTATTATGCTTGCCTCTAGAAAATCTTCAAACTCTGGATTGACAGCACGCTCGTGGTCTAGTTCAAACTTTGCTTCGTGTTGTCTAGCTCCGTATTTAATAAATGGTTCAAAATCGACCATAAACTCAAGAATAACATCGCCTATTTGCGATACAACAGGGCTCTCTTTTTGTCTTGCATTAAATGCTTCCACAAGCTGTGCGTTGATGTCACGGATTGAAAGGATATTACAAAAAACCTTTTGGATAAAATTTTCTCGACTGAGGATTGGGATGATGTCTGTGGTGCGCAGGGGTTTAATCCACATCTGAGAATAAATGAAAAATAAGTCAAAAATAATAACTTAGACGAAGAAAAAAAAATATTATTATACTTCTTCAAGGTATTCCAGATCCTTGACAAAATCGGCTTCTGTGTAAATAAGTTCGTATATATGCTCTTGGCGTTTCCGTTCTGCACTAGAGACGGAAAGCAACACTTCTTCATCTACTATGTCTGCCCACAATTTATGCGACTGCTGTCGAATAAATGGGTTGCTGTTGGTGCGGGTTAGAGACATGCCAGCATAGTCCACACTCTTGCGCTGGAGAATTTATTAATACAAAAAAAAACAGAAAAATATATACAGCCATGTATCTGTGTATAAGTACGCAGATATATGCAATTAATTTGGTTCTTTTTTCTTATTACTAAAGAAAAGTTTGAGGTAACATACCATTGCTGTCCTTTTTGGACACGTATAGCTATAGCAAGGTTGACTCCCGTGGCAAGTTGAAGAATAGCAGTGTGTAAGCTCTGTGAATACACCGTTAGGCAAACCGTCATACTGGTCTGTTAGTTCAAGTAGAGATGTTGCAACTGATGCATTTTCATTAAAGAAATCGCTGGCACTACTACTACTTGTAGTTAATGTTCCCGGAGAAGCCATTGGGCTTTCACTAGCGCCATAATGGCACACACGGTAATCGAATTGATAAATCTCGGTAGTAGAGTCGACAAGTCTACTTTCATAATTGACATCATGGAAGAACCTCTGTGCACCCAGGGCTCGTCCCAAGCGGAGTGCCACCCATCGATCGGTTGTGCGAATTATCATGGCAATCTTATCCTATGTCGCACATCTCATTAGCGAGCACTTTGCAGATCTATCGCATCAGGCTTACTATCGCTTCTTCTCCTTCAAATGCATTCTTGTATTCTACATTGTTCTTAATGCGATCTCGCAGAATAACACGATGCCGCAATTCCTGCGCAACACGAGACAAAAGAGCAGGGTATACAAGAGGAAGTCGTTGTTTTATCTGCTTGGAATGGCCCCGGCTAACAGAAGATTGTGTCCCGTACGCAAAGCTACGGGAACGTTGTGCCTGAACTTCATCCGGGGAAAATAAAATCTTGTCTTGGCGTATGTTTGCTTGTTCTACAGAGCGAGACGCTAGAATAGGACGGTGGTTGAATATAACAATTGTGGCCGCATGTTGTGTTGCATTCTTTAGCTTCTGTTTTCTTGTTGTGGTTTACCTGTAATATTGCGTGGTTCCTGGATACCACTTGAAGTCATCCCAAGAGGGTGAGAAGGAATATCATGCCTGTTTTCGGTGTACCTGGATTTGGATTCAAAAGAACTAGCCAAAATGGCACTTGTCTCTGTTGTACTGTCATGATTTCTTCTTCCAAAATTGGTTTCTCTCGTATAGTGGATGGGTGGAGTGATGGTATTTGAGGCTGCTCTGGTTGGATAGCCGTATTCTCTGGTAAACTTTTCCCAGCCAGCTGGTTGAAGGGAGGTTAGGGGTGAATTTGTGCGGTGTGGCGAGAGCGGCGGTGGCGAGGGATGGGCTGACTGAATCCATGAAGTAGATGGATTGCCAGCCATTCGCTCTGACAATGCCGAGTCAAGGTAGGCGAGTTTTTCGGAGGCAGTGTAACTAATGTCGTGGCCATGGGGTGGAATCCGGGGAGGAGGAGGGTCTTGTTGAATGCTCATGGCCGGCAAACTGATCTCAAAGAACAGTAAAGAGGCCACCTGTTATAGCTATAATATTCGTTTCTATGGAAACAAAAGCAAGAAAAAAAAGAAGGGTGATACCAGCCACTTCAAATAGGCAAGATCCAGTTCAAGTTCACGTTTGACTTGGAAGAGGGGGCTGGTTAAATAGAATTCGACTTGACGATTGGCTACAGATGTTTGTTACTAAATGTCTGTACACCTTAATCTCTTGGTTACAACACTTCCAAAGTACCTTTTTCTTTCTTTTTTCTTTCAATCTTTCTCTTTCTCTATTTCTCCCTTTATCTCTCTCTCTCTCTCTCTCTCTCTCTCTCTTACTGCCATTGAATTTTACAGTTTATGTGGTGAATATAAAGATAAATTTTATCCTTTTTGGGCGTGGTATTCACTTCCCCCTGCACAGTAACATATTTGTATTCTAAACTAAAGAATCTTTATTATTCTATACTACACAAAATATAGGTACTAAAGGTATAGGTAAAAAAACCAAAATCCCAATACAACCAATTCTTGTAAAAGCCAAGAAGGATACAGGCAACTACCAAATTCTTGGTAAGTAAATTGGAACGGCTATATGAAAAGATTATACTATGTATCAAGCCATTTAGTCTATAACTCAAAGTTTAATATTATTGCTTGTGCTGCAAAGAATACTGAACCAAAAAAGCAATAAAAAAGTGCTTCAAAATAGACTCTAATTCTATTCTTTTATAATTATTGTTATTGTTATTGTTATGATTGATATTTAAACTTTGAAAAAAATGGAATCTTTGGGATAATTGGGATCTTCATTATCGAAATCAGTTCTCCTATAATCACCCAATCCTCAACTCATTATTTTCTTTTAAATATAAAGACGATTGTTTATCATATTAAATGTAAAGCTGTGTATGCGTGTTTTTATTTATTAAAACTTTTGATCCAGCAACCTCTTTACTGCTCAGCACCAATGGAAGCCTTCTTCTCCTCAGCCTTAAGCTTGCGACGCTCACGGAGAGCCTTGTTCTTGGCACGGAGAGCCTCGGACTGCTCGTTGAGGGTCTTGGCTCTAAGCTTCTCAGCCTTGGCCTTGTGGATGTACTCCATCAAGACACGCTTGTTCTTGAAGCCGTTACCCTTGGACTTGAGGTAAAGAGAGTGGTAAAGGTGCTTATCGATCTTGCCAGCCTCGCGGTACTTGGCCAACAAACGACGGAGAACACGCATGCGACGCATCCAGATGACCTGGGAGGACATACGGGCATCGGCGGTACCCTTACGCTTACCGTAACCCATGTGGCGACCGAGACGCTTGGCAGCGGCGTGGACACGGACACGGAAACGGGAGTGGCTAACCTCGGGCTTGCGGATGATGAGACCATCCTTGACGAGCTTGCGGATGTTAGCGCCTGACAGGGAAAAAAAACAAAAAGTTAAAAATTTGATTTATCTTTCCACAAGCCACCCTTTACACGACTTTTATGTTAGATATACTTACGGGAGTTGGCGTTGGAGATCTCGTTGACCTCATTGGGGTCAAGCCAGATCTTGCGCTGACCGCACTTAAGGACGGAAGATGCCAAACGTTTTTGGATGCTCAAGCTGACCCTGTAGAAGAATGAAATGTCAGAAAAAAAGCTGGATTTCCACAACGGGTAATCTTCATCGCTTCATCGCAACGTATTATTCGCGTCGTCTGGGTTGTTTCAAGAGGGCGATGAGTAAGAGAAGACTGCCTCGACTCGTCCGTATCAGCTAGGCCTTTTTGAAGGATGTCTTTCTGGCTTGTCTAGTCTCTTTCACTCTAATCGCCATTGACCAAGGACGATGAAAAGATGAGGTCTGGAGGACTCTTTCGACTCACATGGTGAAAGTGTCTAGAGCGGTAAGTCCAGATGAAAAAAGAGGGGGAGCCTGTGTTTGCCCGTGTGCCCAATAAAATAAAATTTTTGCGGGCTGTGACGTAGAAAACAAGCCACGGTAATTCACTCTCTTGTTTCATTACCCGCTCAATCCCATTTTGAATTAAAGAATTTGGCGATTTGCAGGTGTAAAATTAACTGGTTTCTTAAAAGATAGAGAAAGAAAGAAAAAAAGGGGGGAAAGGAGGGAGATTTACATATTTACTGTCCATTAACTTGAGAAACTTTATTTTTTTGAATTAATACAAAATAGCTCTAGTTTGTATGGGAAAACTTTAAAGCGAAATAAGTAATTACCATACGGAAAATAAGTTCATAAATATTATTGTGTTTAATTCAATATCATGGAGAATCGGTCCATATAATTTCAGATATACGAGTCTTGTAATGTAGTATTATGTAGTTGGCACAGCAACCAAAGTTTTTTATTAATAATACCTGGGAATCTTTATCAATCAAAAAATAAAGACAAATAAAGTTAAAAAGGTGTATTACATTCGATTTGCATTAACAGGGTCGATATGGCGTGATTGTGCCAGTATATTTGACCACAAAGTACTGATAGTTAACGTGCATTCTTCTTGTTCTGTTCTGTCTATCATCACATTTAACATGCCATCACCACACCAGAAAAGCAATCTGCCTATTCTTGACCTATCAAAATATCAACCAAATGATCCCTCTTCACACTCTTCCCAGGAGTTCCTCAAAGAGCTTGATAAAACAATGAGAAACATTGGCTTCTTTTATGTTAAAAACCATGGGATCCCACTTACAGTACAGCAAGACGCCTTTAAAGCTATGAAAGCTTTTTTCAAATTGCCTTTGGAAGAAAAATTAAAAATTGAATTAATAAACTCTCCTCACTTCCGTGGTTATACCCGTATGAGTAAGTTCAACCGAATTTCTTAATACACACAGAGTCAAGCTTTATTCCTTCATTCCTTTATTTATTGTATTTGTTTTTAATTTTGATAAAAACAAATAGAGGGGGAAACGACAAACTTTAAGCAAGACAACCGGTAAGACAGTAATATTTACACCAGGATATTTACTAATGCATCCAAAAGAGAACAAGTTGATCTTGCAAGAGAGCAAAACGCAGAGACTCTCGAAGGTCGTCCGGCATATGTTGGACTTCGCGGACCGAATCAATGGCCAGAAGGTGTACCCGGTTTTAAAGAAGACATTACTGCCTTAATGGCAGCGATGACAGATGTGGCACTAATATTACTTAGGGCCATGGTGCGAACACTAAATATCGACGAAGATAAATTTATGGCCATGTTTGGTAATGATTACGGTGCCCGAGTTAAACTGCTGCGTTATCCAGCAATGTCTAATGAGGAAGATCGGCCTAATGAACATGGTCTTGGTGTAGGCCCTCATAAAGTAAGTCGAAAAATAATAATACGCTTATAAAAAGCTAATCGTAATTATTATTATTTTGACTTGTTTTAGGATTCCGGATTTCTGGCACTTTTGCTTCAGGATGAGCTTGGTGGACTTCAGGTCCAAACACAGACCGGTAAATGGGTGGTAAGGAATAATGTCAGTTTACTTATTTGGGGATTTTTCTAACCGAATTCTCTTTACAACTATGCAATAGGATGCCGTTCCGATTCCAAACACATTCGTTGTCAATATTGGTGAAATCCTTGAAAGATTGACTCGAAAAACCTTTGTGGCCACTACCCATCGTGTGCTCACTCTGACTTCTACAGATCAAGACAGATTTTCGTTTCCACTTTTTCTTGCACCTGCCTTGGAAACAAGAATACCTCAGTTAGACGTACCTTTGGCAGCAAAAAACGTAGTATCTGATGTGAAGGAGGAGCAATTACTCCAGGATGAGGTTTATGGTGTCAATGAGCTTAATTCTTATTGTCGAAGCCATACAAAGGTAGCACAGAAATGGTATCCGCTACAGTGTACTAATGGAGTAGCTGACAAAGTGATTACAAAACCTTGATATAAGCTCATCTTGTCACGATTTTGTTTTTGAATATTTAATAGTAATAATAAGGTTTTAATCATTCTATTTTCTCATTTCTTTTTTCTCAATTATCAATCTTTATATACTAAATTTTTTCAGCGTAAAAATTGATAAATAGGTGGTTTTAATAAATTTTTATATGGTGTGGGGTATGGGATAACTATCAGGATAGTCGGGGGATATTTCATTCTAACCACACCAAAGTATTTAAATAAGGTTGACTAAAAGGAAGTAATATAATGCAGTGCTGATCCACAAAATCTCTGAGTTTTCAAGCATATTATTTAATGATTGTGGCTGTACTTAACAAACCTTTTGGTCTTGGGTGTAATTATATTCTATCTATAGTTGTGCCTTTTCATGCATAGTATGAGAATTGATGGCACTACACAAGTCATGCATCATTTCCAAATGAGGAACGTTAAGGCCCTTGGAAATAGCACGACGCAAAGGGGTACCAAGGATCACCTCAACTTCCATTGGCTGACCACGTTCAAGATCAAGTTGCCTAGCGAAATATCGGTGGTTATTTAAAGAATAAAAGAAAAAAATGGGTTGCAGATAATATCTTACATGGAAGGCTTATAGTTCAGTGCAGTAGCTTCGGTTCTCTCAATCATGGTAGCCATCTGTTCTTTTTCATTAAAGTCATAACCCATAGCATTAGCAGCCTGGATAACTTCACTCATAAGATTCTTAACGCTCTTCATAGCTTCCTTGTTGCGAAGTACATCAGAAGTAGTCATTTGTGTTACAGCACAGACAGGGGAGAAAGATGCGTTCCTGAATAAATGACGACAGAAATTGAGTTGTTAGTATTGACTAACTGACAGACAAAGAGAAACTTTATATTACCAGAAAAGCTTTTGCCAGCGAACACGTTCAACATCGTCAACCTTTTGAACAGTTACGCCTCCCTTTTCAAGAATACCAGCAAATTTCTCACGTTGAGCGGTGGAATCAACAGGGGCATTCTTGTAGTCTCCGACAATCAACGATTCATCACCAACCATGAGAATTTGACCAGGGCTAATTTGAGAAGTACCGATGTAAGCAACAATAGAGACGATTGGGTTCTCGGGGAAAGCTTGGGTAATTGGTTCTTCGACACCTGTGTGGAATATATAAAAAATTTAAGCAATCTATTATCGGGATATATAGATAAATGTTACATAAATCACAGTTGTCTATTTACCTAATCCATTCTGAATTAAGACTACGGTTGTCTTTCCTTTGGTTATAGCAGGCGCAATAATCTCTGCAACGTTGTAGACCTCAGGAAGTGCTTTGAGAGTTACAACGATATAGTCAAAAGGCTCAGATGCGACACCTTCAGCTACAGTACGAACAACTAAAAGGTTCATTGATAAATATAAGCTATGCAATAATTTATTATTCCGGTACACACAAACTAACCGTTGTCAGGCTTGAATATTTCCTTTCCAAATTTCTTGGAGTCAATTTCTAGTCCAGTGTTCTTAACAATCTCGTAGTTTGAACGGCATACAGTAGTGACATGAGCAGTCTTAGCCAGGCGCCATGCGTAAATGGAGCCAACAGCACCAGTGCCAACTAAAATAGTAAGATGTGAGTGGAGAAATATACACGTCACAAAAAATAGTCCACTTACCAACCATGATTTTAGTGGATTTTTCAGCCATTGTAGAATAAAGACGTGCCAGTTTGTGGAAGAAAAGAGTGTTTGTCGAACTTATTTGATGTATATTTGTTTTGTTCCATTGTGCGGACTGACCGTGAGTCATCCACACTATATCTTTCTGCTTTAAACTCAGTGCATTGGCACCTCTTGTGGCGCCCGAAACAAATGAAAATGTCCGTATGTGGCCAAGTCTGTATTGAATTGATACCACAGGACGTAAAGAAAACATTAAAAACAAATGTTGGAGTGAAAGAGCAGTAAATCCACCGACTGAAATAAAAAAGCCATACTTTATTTTACATCTTGGTAGCACACACAGATTTTAGATAGTAAGAATCCAAGATGCCGCACACCCTGTGCCAATCAAGATGGCAGATAGTTGAATTGCGTGTGGTTCGGATACAATATCTTTATCGGAACCACAGTTTCGGTGCTCATTCCAACCCCAAGCAAGCACTTGATGGCCTTGAATAGCAAGGGTGTGCTCCGACCCGCACGAAACGTGGGAAACGTTGCTTAGGTTTTTTAATTGGCTGTGGTTATTTCTACCCCACATGACTAATTGTCCTTGACAATCCAACGAAGCACTGTGGTGCCACCCAGCAGAGATGCTCACGATGGGGTTTTTATAGATTTCTGAGTTATCATGCCCTCCAACTTGTCCATATTTGTTAGATCCAAGTCCATGAACTGACCCGCTTTTACCAAGAAGAAGTGTATGTATATGCCCGCATGCTATTTGAGTGACAGGTTCGCCGGTTGGTATTTTTTGCGGAAGGTAAATATCCTTTGGCATCTTATTCAATGATCCAATCTGACCATGTCGTCCCCAACCCCACCCATAAACATTTCCTTGATTATCCAATGCAATAGCGTGACGCCAGCCGCAATCAACTTTGACGATATTTTCCATGGTTCCAATGCGTAAAAGACTATCAAAAGATCCACCTTCCTCAAGTTCGCCGTATTTAGCGGTGCCAAAACCATACACATATCCCTCTGTGCTCACAAGAAGCGTAAAAGACCAACCACAGGCAACATCACACCAGGTATGTTCACCGAATACAGCTGGTTCGTGGTAACGCACCCATTGAGATCCTAGCACTTCACCGTGCTCTGAGTCAAGTTCTCTCTGTCTTGCTTCTCCTTGTTGTCCTAGTCCAGACAACAAAACTCGGCCGCTTTGTAGTAAGACAGCAGAGTGATTGCCACCGCCTGTGACTTTGATGATCTTGTCATCAAATGGAATCCCATGGCATTCTTCAGGTACTTGTAAGTCTTTGCGATGGCCTACGCCCAGTTGTCCATTCCCATTAGATCCAAAAGCATACAATGGCATAGTCAGAGTACACGCTACATTAATATTTTCTTTTTTTTACTTGCTCTGAAGTTCGCGGAGTTATAACCAAATATGAATGATAGGAACAAGACACTTTTATTTAATGATTTGGGCACCTACTAGGGGACTTCAGGACCTTGATGTTTTTAAACTTTAATTTCGGCACTTTAATTACTTGGTTAATTGGCTAAAATCAATTGAGAAAATAGGAAAACTTAAAAATACCGGTTATCATTGGATATATATTAAACCTCAAACATTAAAGTTTCAATTTTTTTAATAGCTGCTGAACTCTCATTATTTTTAATTATGCTGCCACTCTAAGCAGTAAATTATAGGGTGCCCACAAGTTTTTATTTTTTCAAAAGACTATAAGAGCTTATATATATAATTTTTGAAGGGTCTGAATTTTAAGTTTAAGTAACTAAAGCTCGCTGCTTATGCAAAACAAGTAATTAAATATGTCTAACTGTTCAATGAAGCATCCACCATATCGGTTACACTTGAAAGCCAGTAGAGTTGCCCCTGGTACCGCCTCATTTTCTGGTCGTGACTTGTCCTCGGACCGCATTGAAGTGGCTTAGCCCCCTGGGCAAGAAGAAAACCTGTCAACAGGAACTGACTGGTTTAACGTCCATCGCCTCCCGACACTTCAAAGCATGATGATTGGAGCCTCCAGACGCATTGTGCTCAAGAGGTAGACAGGAGAATGCATTTTAAATTAAGAAAAAAAAGAATACTAATAGACTTTTTTAACAGCACTCTGGCCAGCATTCGTGTCAGCGCACCTTCAGCACGCTTGGTAAGTCCAACTTTGAGACAAAGAGAATGAGACTATTGAGACCCAGCTCTAGTTCTCTTCTGGATATGCAAGTGTCCTACAGACTCCCAAGCGCTCTCAATTGTTTGGTCTGATTACAAAGGCGTCCCAAAATAATGGCACACGCGCTGGAGGAGCTGCTTTGTTACATCATGCTAACGTCCGTAGCTATGCCACCAACACCGAAGACGCCATCCCCGCCGAAAAGTCGGAATCACTCCAGGTCCTCGAATCTGTCGAACCTACAAAGGCTGCCGAGGTTTCTAGTACTTCCGCTGGAGAGACATTGATGACTGACGCCACTAGCGCCCCTGCTCAAACCGCCTTGGATCAGATCGCACAGACTTCAAGCGAAAGCATTATCCAGACAGCTGCACAGTTGGGAGATTTCAAGGCAATGGGATTGTGCAATTTTACACCCGTAGGTGGACTTGAGGCTATGTTAGAGGCTATTCATGTATACAGTGGCCTTCCCTGGTGGGGATCCATTGCTGTAGCTACCATTGTTGTTCGTCTTGCACTTCTTCCTCTCATGATCAAGATCCAGCGCAACAATGCCAGACTTATGAATATCAATCCTGATGTGACTCGTATCATGGCTAACCTTAAGGCCGCTCAGGCACAGGGTGATTCAATGGCAACTGGAAAGTATACACACGAGATCCAGGATCTTTTCAAGAAGAACGAATGTCACCCTATGAAGTCCCTTGCTCTCCCCATTGTTCAGATGCCCGTCATGATTTCTTTCTTCATGGCCCTTAGAGCAATGGCAGAACTTCCTGTTCCTGGAATGCATGATGGTGGTATGCTGTGGTTCACCGATCTTGCTGACAAGGATCCCTACTATATTCTTCCTGTTGTCAGTGCTGCCGGTGTTATGGCCGTGTTGGAGGCTGGTACCGAGGCTGGTGCTGCTAACCCCCAGAGCAAGGGTATGAAGAACCTCTTCCGTGGTTTGACCGTTGTTATGGTTCCTTTTACCGCATGGATGCCAAGTGTAGGTTTAGGAGATAGACGTAACAGAGATTATGTATTTTACGAAGCTAATCCATTGTTGAATTCATAGGCTGTCTTTGTGTACTGGGTTACATCCAACGCCTTTTCTATTTTCCAGATTCTTGGTTTGAAGAACCAAAGCGTCAGAAATGTATTGAACATTCCTAAATTGGTAAAGCCTCCAGCAGAGCTCCAGAAAGACACCAAGGGTTTCTTTGAAAACTTTAAGGAGCAACAAGTTCTCCATGAGAAGTCTGAGAAGGAACGTGTTCTTCGTGAGCGTCAACAAGCAGCAGCCATGGCACGAAGAGCCTCCAAGCGCCGTTTCTAAACATAAACTGGAGTATAGTGCTTCCCCATTTTTTAATTGAAATAGATCCTTCTTAATTTACCATTTTCACAAAACAAAATAAAACTGTAGACATTCATTATACATGTATAAAACACATATATGAATCATAGTCATTATATATTAATAGCCGTTAACGTATATTTTCTCGCTAAATATTATATATATAATCTTATAAGAATAATCGACAGAACTCGAAAACTAATACACGCGCATGTATTAATGGTGTAAATCTGCTATATACAGCTTTAGATTTGCAGAGACTAGCCACAAAATAAAAACAATAGCTTATTATGTAGAATTCATATGTGCAGTTCTATTTACATTTATCTCATTAAGATATAATACATAATTGTTACGTAGTGCTAAGTAGCCTTGTTGAATATCATTTGGTGAAGAGGGACTCAACACGCAATAACTTAAATTAATGTTCATTACTCTACCCATCTGTTCAATCAACTGAATAAATTTTTAAATGTACGCGGTTACCAAATATTAAAGTTTTACTCAGGTACAACTGTTAATCCAACGGTTAATTCTACCTTTGATATTCCTCGAAATTCTTGTATCTTACAAGCTGTACTGTTAATCTATACTCTATACAACATTAAAATTCGTTATGTGTGTGGGTGCATTAATACATGTATTTTTTAATATAAAGTATGTTTAGCATATAATAAAAATATGCCGATAAATATCTTTTGCGCGCCAAAGAAAATCTCTCACTCACTCACTTTCACTTATATAAAATAAATTATGTACCTTATTACATAATGACACTTTGAATACTAGCAATAATAAGTCACGTACAAACATGCTTCATAGTGTATTGCCTTTAAAGTTTATTAAAGATACTACGAGTTTAATATCGAGAGTATCTTTCTCTTGGTTACCATCCAGAATAGTCAAAACTAACACCGACTGTCCGCCAAGAACAAAGACCGAATTATCGAAACTCTGAAGCACCGCTGCATGAACCAAGATATATTCCGCTAGAAATCAGTGACACAACTTCTGTTCCAGGAATGGAGCACAAGAGCTATACAAGGTCCGTGCCAGCAAAACCCAGGAGTACATTTGATTCTATTTTTTTTTTTATTTCTTACCTTAGACTCATACTCTTTATATAGACACTGATATTACTACTTGATACTTGTACTACATCAAAACAGTATGTAAAGTCAAAGTACTCTAAATAAATTTATGAAATTAGAATTAAATAGACCATATCGACGGCCATCATAATTTCTATAATCCACCAAATCAATCAAGAGTAAAGAAAAAACGTATTTAACTACCATAGACTAGCCTATCTAATTCTAGTTAACAACAATATCACATCCCTGAAAGTGTATCTTATTTAAACAGATGTCTATTATACTTTAAAGAATTACTTAAAAAAGTATCATTTTGTTACAAATGACAAATTAAATGCAGAAAATCAGCCATGTAAATTGTTATTGCGTGTGTAAGTAATCTAGTAGCACACATTGCGATCCAATATCTAAACGTTGTTTTATGTTGATTGCGGCAATGTTAATCAAAGCATCTATTTTTTTCACTCTAAAAAACTGTTATTAATGAAAATTGGATATTTGCATCACATAGCCATGTTTGATGCCAACCTTTCCTCAGGGAATACACCTAAAGAAAGATTGGAAATCCGTGATTTTCTTCTAGAACGTAAAACTGCCTGGCGTTTATTAATTTCAGTCAATGTCTGTTCTACAGCTAGGGGACAAATGTTCACGGAGACCTCGATATTCTCACCACAGATCCATGTTGTTTAAATGTCGAATAGTAAAACTTGTGTACCAAAAAAAAACCTTACTGTGGATTTCATATATTCTCATCATATATCACATAGTTATATTAAGTTAGTAGCTGTAATTATCCAAAAGAAATTATTATGAATTTCTTTATTTCTTGTAGCGTTTTATAATTTGAATCTTGTCATGCCTTATCTAATTAACAACAACAATTATGAGAAGACGAACATTTCTCTACAAACTAAGTACATCACAATCAGAATGTGGAAGGATATTAAAAACAAGTTCTTTGAAAAGGAAAGAGGCTACAGTAGGATCTTCAACAACAACAAAAAAGACATTCTATACAAAATATATTTCTTAAAATCTTGCATTGATTGATTAGATATTCATGCTACTTTATCGCCTCAAGTTTAAATAATACAACCTCTCGCCTAAAGATTCCCCTCTCCTGCCTTTTCTACCACTTCTTTTGTTTGTCAAAAGAATGAAATGTTGGTGCTTGTTTTTCAAAAGAGCACCAAGATAGTCCGTTTTGTTGTGTTTATGCTAGGATGAAAATGTATATATATTAAAAGAAAAGGTGGATTGATAAAGAGAAAGAGATTACAAAAAGGAATATATATATAAAAAAGGTAGAATTATTATTCTTTTTTCTTTTCTACTGTGAGAGGGATCCGCTCAAGAACTCCAATTTCCGGAGAACAGACTTGCGTTCCTCAGCAGACATGCTTTCCAAAATCTTTCCAAAACCATCAACAACGGCTTCCTTATCAACAGCACCCAGGGATGCAACGTGTTCTCTAAGAGCCTCGGATCTAAGCTTGCTGATGCGCTGCTTGATAAGCTCGGCACGCTTCTCGAACCACTCAGAGACCTGTTCATCGCCATTCTTCCAGTCCTCAACAAGGCTGTTGGTGTCAGCCAAGAACCACTGTTCAAGGTGAGAGCACATCTTGTTGCGCTCCATCTTACCCTTGGTGGCAGCAGAAATCTCGCGGATGGCGTACTCCTCAAAGAGGCGACGACGGACACGCCAGAAGAAGTACTTACGGGCATGGCGCCATTCGATGGGGCGGCGAATGACGTTCTTGGCAGACATACGGCCAACACGATCGTGAAGATCGGCAAACTGGACAGCAATCTGCTGGTACACGGGCATAAGCTCTTGCTCGCGGGCTTCCAAAAGACGCTTGGCATCCTCTTTCTTGTCTGCACTGGCCTCTTCGAACTCACGCTTGAGAGTAGCGTAACGCTCATCAAGACGAGCCATGGTAGCCAAAAGCTGGGGCTTTCTGTACTTGATCTCTACAATACCTTCGGGCTCAAGAACACCACCACGTGCGAGGTTGTCGGCATACATCTCCATCATGTCCTCATTGATGGTGGGGTCAACGACTACCCAAGCACCACCACGCAACTCACCGTTGGGGATAATGTAAACGAAAACGGGCTGCTTGTAGTTGGAGAGAGCATCAACAATCTGGGCACCATACTTGAGAACTTCGTGGTACATATCACGCTGACCACCAGAGAAACCACGCCAGTTGGCAAAGATCATCAAAGGAAGCTGCTCACCCTTGTTGAAATCGTTAATAGCCTGAGCAGTCTTGTAGGCAGAGTTGGGGTACCAGACACCACCAGCCTCCATGAAGACCTGTTCGGTAGAATCTGCGTTGGCAGGATCGGCAGGAACAATGTTCTCAACGGTACGAGACTCGACAGCAACAACACCCATGGGAATACCACCAAGACGAGCACGACCGACAACAACAGTACGAGCCCAGCCGCTCAGGGTTTCAACAAAAGAGTCGTGATCAAAGAAACCACTGAGCCACTTGCCGTTCTCCTGTTTACCGGCCAAGAACAGACGGGGGTCAGATGGACCCTTGGGGGGCATGTACTCAATCTCACGGTCAACGGGGTCAAGGCCAACACGCATCAGGACTGGGGCACCACGAACTTCAGGAACATAGGACAACCACTGAGCAATCTTTTCGATACCCTGCAAATCGTTCTCGGCAGTCAAGTGAGACACACCATTCTTGTACATGATCTGAGTACCACCCAACTGGAGGTTGGAAGTGTAGACTTCACGACCAAGAACCTTGTTGAGAGCGGGAGCACCGGTGAGGATAATGGGCTGACCTTCATTCTGAACGGTACGCTGACCAAGACGGACAAGGTAAGCACCAATACCAACAGAGCGACATGTCACAAGAGTGATGGTGAAAATATCATCGTAAGCACGGGAAGTAGCACCAGCAATGCGGCCGGATCCACGCAAGTTCTCAACACCAATACCATCCATCTGACCAATAATATCGGTAATCTTCATACGCTTCTCACCCTCTTCTTCGATTTCCTCAACCAAAACACTCTCGAGCTGGTTGGTCTGCTTGAGCAAGATGTACTCCTTGGGAGACAGGTAGAGGTACTTGAAGCCAGCAGAGGGGTTGGCATTATCCTTCCAGGCGGCTCTGAACTGGCCGATGAGTTCGTCAGCAAGACCGATACGGGCACCAGAGTTGGCAGAAAGGTAGATGCGGGGAAGACCCAATTCACGAGCCAATTCGGAAGCCTTGAAGAAGACAGTATCTTCCTCTACACCGAAAGAACCGATCTTGAAAGTGATGTCGTTAGCAATAGCAATTACACGACGACCGCGGGGGTACTCTGGTGTACGGAGGGTGAGGATCCAGGCGACCATACCAACGGTGTTAGTTCCGGGTGCGCGGTCGATCTCCTGCAGAACCTCGTCCTCGTCCAATACAAGCTCCTTGGCTTCAACGACCTGGCTGGGGCACTTGAGGTTGCTGTCCTTCTTGATGGCAAGAGCCCACTGGTTGTGAAGGGCCTGACGGAAGAGTTCGGGGAAGTCATACACGTAAGTAGTACCCATAAGATGAGCCTTGTAACGGCGAGGCTGGAGCCACTCCTTGGTAGGGTAAGGTGTGGAAAGAGACTGCATGTGCATGGCACCGGGGATCTTGCCAACAGACTTGAGGACCCATCCGTTCTTCTCGGTCTTGACTTCCTGGTAGACATCCATCTTCAAGATAAAACCAGAAACGTTGTCGACAGTGAAACGCAGAGGAATGATAGGAGCATCAGGACGCTTAGACTGGATGTTGAAACGGATTTCAGCACCTGTCACACGGAGCTTCCAGAGACGCTTGCCATGGCGGTCGATAAAGTCCTTAAGAGCGTGCTGGACCTCATCAGCTTCAATAGCAAATGTGGGGATGAAGTTGATAAACAAGTGGTTGCAGTCAGAGTTCTTGTATTCGTGGCTAACAATCTCAAGAGTATCAAGAATGTCGTTCAACAGACGGTCACTCTCAGAGATAAGATAATCAGCAGTGCGCATCGAGTTCTTGACACGGCCAGGACGGACGAGAGCACGGATAAAGAATCGGCAGTCAGAGGGGTTTTCCTTGGCAACAGCATAGTAGACATGCATCTGTCTGTTCTCGATGAAACAAGGCTTGATCTCGAAGTTAGACAAACGAGTAAGTTCAAGCTGGTAAGCCATAGCAGGCTCAATGTGGCGAATAGTCTCATCCTCAGTGTAGTTCTCGCGCTCACGGAAGGTGTAGTAGTCGGGCCACTGGTTGGGACGGCACACGACCACAGAAAGACGGCGCAAATGAGCCTTGCGGAATTCAGCAGTGTGGCGGCGGATAAGCTCGGCAACCTTAGGGCGCCAGTAGGCATCATCCTTGTTTACATCGCTGTAGACGGCTACATTGAGAATGTTCTCCATGCGCTCTTCCTTGGGACCGGAACGCTTCAACATGGGAGGCAAAGGCTCTTCCTCGAAAGCGGTGAGGATACGGGGCAGCTCAGCCTCAAGGTCTTCGAGTGACTTGCAAGCAGTCATAGCACCTGTACGGATAGGCTCTTCCTCGGTCTTGTTCAACAAGAAGGTCAAGTCAGAGTAAGAGGCCACACGCTGGTCAGAGTTCAAACCGTGACCGGCAGTCTGGAGCAAGAATTTCCAGGCAACAATATAAGGTTGACGCTCGAGGTTATAAGCAACATCGAGAATCTTGTAAGCGTGGTAAGAACGACGGCAGTAAACCTCAATAGCAGCAAGAGCAATATAAGGATCATCATAGTAAAAGAAGTTAGGAAGAACATCGAACACGTTGAACTTGGTGTCAATAAGATCCTTGAAGACATCCAAGCTGGGGGTTCTGTATTCAACACCGCCACCATAAACACTCTCGGTTACAGAGCTCTTGAGAATCTGGAGCATCTGACCCTGGCGTTCCTCGTACGAGGGCAACTGGCACAAAATAAGGAACTCACGTGCTCTGAGGGCAACCTTTTGTGTAGCACGACTGTCGATCTCGGAAAGACGCTTGAGAATGGGTACAAAGTACTTGTCAATGGCACCGCCGGTGGCTGAGGCAGGACCAACGATATCCAAAAGCATAAGGATAAGGTTGTTCTTGACGTTAACCTTGGTGTGGGAAAGGATGATGCTAAGAATCTTCTCAAGATCGTCCTTGTTCTGGTCACGGAGGGACAGAATGACTTCTTCCTCACGCTGCTGGGTGCTGAAAAGAATCTCGACGTCGTAGTACTTCTCCATGAGCTCAACGTAGACAGAGTACTCGTACTGCTTCAATCCGTGGCTGTATCTCTCAAACACGGTTGTCAATGGCTCAGTAGCGGTCTTGTAAGCGTTGACTTCAGAATGGGTAGTAATGTTATCACGAGCAAAGTTCTCGACAATCTTCTGTAATTCGACTGCAGGGAACTCCTTCTTGGCCTCTGCGCTAGAGGCCTGGAGAGCCTGGAGGGCTTGTTCAAGACGCTGGGGGATACGACCAGAAAGGACAGACATAGTCTGGGTCATGTCAGAGTAAGGCAACTCAGGGTTACGCAAGATGTCAGTGAGATCCTTGACAACGGTTTGGGCAAGAGCCTGGTTGTCATAACCCTGGAGGATGTACTCGAGGATGTGCTTGGTGTCTTGGAAACGCTGGATAGGCTTGTCACCGCTGATATAAGGGGGGCCAAAGACGGGAACCTGGCCAGTGAAGGGCAGGGCGTGCTTGACACGGCTGGGATCATCCAAAGACAGAATACCGATGATATCACCAGCCTCGAGGGTAGCACCGACCTGCTTGATAAACTGAATGTGGCCGTCCTCACCAGCCACAAGGGGCATGTACATCTTCATGACCTCAATCTCTGCATAGGCCTCACCGGCCTTGACGTGATCACCGTTCTCCAACAACAGACTGACAAGCTTACCGGGCGAAGGACTTCTAAGCTGAGTGGGGTCGCTCTCCTTCTCAAGAAGACAGGTCTTGCCATCGATCATGAGACGAGTGGCCTGGACTTCTTCACGAGAGTATGTGGTGTGGGACTTTCCGCCGATAGATACAAGCAAACCGCCATCAGAAAGGTCTCTAACGCCGACCTGGGTCTTTGTGCCGTTAAGGTAAAGGGTGTAGATGGAGGGTGCCGAGTGAGTGACGGTGAAGTTGTAGCGGACGTTCTCGTAGATGAAATCAACCGAGAATACAGTCTTGAGAGTGCCCTTTCCTGGGACCTGACCCTTCTCGAGACACTGCTTGTACTGCTGCCAGCATTCTTGGGAAGCGGAATGGGCTTTTGTGACGGCACCACAGAAGACTGCGAGCATACAATCGGGACGTTCTGCGGTGAGCTTCTTGGTGATCAGCATATCGAGCCATCCGGTGTTGATTGTGTTCTCCTCGAAATCGGGGGTCTCCAAAAGACGGATAATGTACTCAACAGTTGTTCTAAAGTCACCACGGATAGAAAGCTCTTTGAGTGCAATAACCATGTTTTTGCGAGCCTGCTGACGGTTTTCACCATAGGCGAAGATGTGACCGAACTGAGAATCGGCATACTCGTGCAGACCACCGGCAGATACAACAGAAAAGTAACCCCAGACGTTTGTGCTTGATCTAAAGTTAAGTTCCTGCATGATACCTGAAGAAGGCTTGAAGCCAGCATCTGGGTTCTCAGCTGTGATACGGACAGCAATGACGTGACCCTTGGGAACAGGACGACGGGTGCTCTGGAGAGAGGTTGGGCTAGAGAACTCGAAATCGATCTCGGATCCACTGTTGGGCTGAACGCCATAGAGAACACGGATATCCTTGATTCTGTGGAGAGGGATACCCATTGCAATCTGGAGCTGGGCAGCAGGCAGGTTGACGCCTGAGACCATTTCAGTTGTAGGATGCTCGACCTGGAGACGGGGGTTCAATTCGAGGAAGTAGAACTGCTCGTCGTGGTGGCTGTAGAGGTACTCGACAGTACCTGCAGACACGTAACCGACCAATTTGGCGAGACGGACTGCAGCCTTTTCCATCTGCTCAAAGACGTCGGGCTTGGCGATTGTTACTGGTGCTTCTTCGATAATCTTCTGGTGACGGCGCTGGACAGAGCAATCACGACCGAACAAACTGATGGCGTTACCGTACTGATCAGCCAACAACTGGACTTCCAAGTGACGTGCGTTACCGGCCAACTTCATGATGAAAATGGGGGAGCCTGGGATTTCACCCTGAACCTGGGCAAAGCACTGTTTGAAAGTTTCGGGACCGTCGACCTTACGGATACCCTTGCCACCACCACCCTCTGAAGCCTTGATCATGATTGGGTAGCCAATCTTATCTGCTGCAACCAGACCCTCTTCGGCTGTCTTTACACAAGCACTGGCATATGCTTCTGGGGGTACGACTACGTGTCCATTGGCATCCGCAACAGTATCTGTTACACCGTCGCCACTCCAACCCATGGTAGGTACGTTTGCGGATTGTGCGACAATGGTTGATGAAATCTTGTCACCCAAAGAGCGCATTGCAGATGCTGGAGGACCGATAAAGACACACTTGTATTTCGATGTTGCCAACATATCAGGTAAGCGTGGGTTTTCTGAAGCATGGCCCCTTTTTGGATACAAGAGCTCGTATAAGTCATTCTTGTATTGTACTCACAAACAGAAACACAAACACAAACACAAACAATACACACTATACAATATACACTATAGACACAATTCACGCACTTTATATATTTGTTTTTAAATCCGTCTATTTTAACTATAATGTTTTACTCACCAGCCAGCCCAAACAGCATGTACACCTGTACGTTCTGCGATATCAACAATTAAATCGACATTTGCGTAGTTGTTGTTGTTGGAACCGCCAGGTACTTCGACGTAGTTGTCGGCCATACGAATATATTCTGCGTTTGCCTTGAGATCTTCAGGGGTTGCCATGACAGTGAACTCAATGGCGCGTTCATCACCGAATGTCTCATAAGCCCATTTGCGGACTGATCGGATCTCTTTCATAGCAGCCATGCCGTTATTGGCAATCAGCACTTTGCTGATCACTGTGTGTCCCTCAGAAGCCACGACAAAATCTCGAACGGCTCCCTGTGCTGCCTTTTCCACTGAGTTACCACCTATATGTTTATGAAAGAATTAGTTTTGATTTTGTTTATTTGAAAGGAATCTTACCAAGAAATTGGGGTGGTACGCTGCTATGTTCAACCATGATGTGTTATGTGAAAATATATATATATAAAAGTGTATACTTTTGAAAGTATGTATTAAAGAGAAAAAAAGGTAGGGTTATAGGGGGAGGAAGGGAAGGATGGCTCGAGTGTAGATTTATGTAGATCGAGTTTAGTCTCCGCAATAAAGGCTAAAGCACAAAAGCTTTTTAGGAGAAGTAAAAAAAAAGTTCCCGCCGACAAAAGGAAGAAGAGGTGAAAAAGAAGTGCTCAGGAGCAAGTAGCTTGGAATGTTTTCTTAGCTTTGAGCAAAGAAGAGGGGGGGAGGGAGAAGTGGCTTCTGGGATGCAATGTGACTATGTATTGTTTGTCGGGGTGGAGTGTATAACCCCAACAAGCGGGTTTGTCTTTGGTGGTCGAAAAAGGGGAGCCCGCTTTTCTTTGGACTTTGCCTTAGGGCCAGCCAAAACCCAGTATTTTGGGGGGGAATGCTATTTTTTATTTTTATTATTATTATTTGAAATTAGAGAAGCTCTTTGGGGCATTGCATTGTTGCTTTTATTTTTATTTTATTTTAATACTTTGTTTTTTTATACATGCACGATAATGAGCCAAATTCATGTATAAATTTTCAAACCAAAAGAAAACAGTACAATTGCACTCTTTTAAACCTTTTAGGATAAACAGCTGCCATCAAAAAAATATGACTAAATAAACACATCTGCAGATCCAGCGTACAAGGGGGAAGAGGAATATCAATTATACTATAGGTCTACCAGTCGTCTCTTTATGAATCTTTTTTATCTGTATTGATGTATAATGTGTATGTAGGTCTGTACTTGTATGATTATGTGCTTGTTCGTGTGCTTGTTCATGTATGTGTTTATGTGCGTGTATATGTGCGTGTATATGTGTGTGTATATGTGCGTATCTTTGGTGCAACATTATGTCAACCAACAATCGGTTGCGCATGTTTTGTGCTATGAACTATCCAAAGGATAGAAAATTGATAAAACATCAAATATGAAACACAACGCCCACCGACCCACCCACAAATAGGCGGAGTCAACACACGCCAGAAACCCCCCCCCCCCCCTTGAAAACAATAAGCCATTTTGTGCCACAGCCACCGTAACATCCGAGGGGCGACTAATCCGTATTTTTGAAGATTATCTAATAAATTCCTTGTATATATTTTTATCTTTAACAAGGGCTTGTTCTTTAATATCTCGATTATTTTCTAATGTTCAACCTTGGTTATCAAAAAAAAATTAATTGATCGTGGCTTTTGGCTTATTCTCTACATTCATTTGACTCCAGCCCAAAAGAATCAAACAGAAATGTTACAAAATATGAAGAAACCTTGCTTGTTGTTCTTTACTTGAGATAGCACATTAAAAAACCCAATTTAGGTTACATCTTCTTTTTTTTTGGGTAATATACATGTATTATAGATTTATAGTACAATTGATATGCTTCTTTTGAATATACATATGCTATTAAGTGAAGTACAAAATATTATTGAGAATTGTGCTCAACAATAATTATCGATAACATGAGATACTTTTCTGGCTCAAAGAATAAACCAAAAGAGTTCAAAATAACGAGATTAATAAAGATAATGGGAAGAACCCTTTCTCTATCATTTTACTCGCCACTCGGCATTGATTTAACCTGTTACTTTATATATATATTTTTAATTAAAAAAAATCCCATTTACCAACCTCCATCGGGCGTGGAGAAAGAAAGATTATGAATCCGATACTCTTGTTGTATATCTGTATTATTATTTAATTTAATTTCCCTGCTTCTTCACCGAGATCGAGATTTGAGATTGAACCGAGATAAGCCAAAAGAAAGAACGAAAGAAAATAATAATAATAATAATAATCTTTTTGTTGGCTTTTTTTTTCTTCAATACTTACTTGCTCTTCACTTACTAAGTAGATTGTAAGGTTTATTTCGATGGTAATTAAGCGCAGATAAGCCTCAAGTAAGTATAACTGAAATACAAAATAAATAAAGAAAGGAAGGAAGATTTGAAATCAAAATGCATTTGAGTTTATATGATAACTTTGTCCATGTTGGCTTTGTTATAGTTCATTTCATGCCAACAACAAACCAAAAAGAGAGCTTCTTTTAACATTGATATCAAAAGGTTTTGTGTGTGTGTGTTGAATTGCTCATTAGACTCAACAAATGGGTTATTTTGGGGCATTTTTAATTTTGATTTTTTTTTATTTCCATTTCTTTATTAAGTGATTAAAGTGTCCTAGGCTATCCATTTAGTGATTATGTTTCTTTCTTTCATTTTTTGGGGTAGTGTTTATATGAATATTAAAGACTAATTGATACACAGTACAAGAAATCATGCTGCTTTCTTTATCCCTGGCTCTTTACTGTGTATCGTTATTGGTAATAATAATATACAAGATAAGAGGATTTGTAAAGGTCTTGAATTCTTTCTTGCTAGTGTAAACATGTAGAATTGGGTTGATTGAAAGGTGGGGGAAATGTTACTGATTGAGAATCATACATATGTCTTTAAAATTCTCTTGTTTTTTCTGTTTTTTTCTTTCTTCCTTTAAATTGTTTAATATTGGACTACAAACGCATAGGCACATATATTTTATATATATATATATATAATATTTATAATGAGCATGTAGTACACATTTACTAATTATCCGGATAATAAACTTAGCACAAATATATACATTTTGTATTATATAAATCCCAAAATAAAAGGTACAGATTTATATTTTACTTAAAGATTTCTTTGTCATTTTACTCCAAATCAGAAAGCTTGAGCCTCTATTCGATTACAGTTAATATCATTTATCGTTCAAACCAGCACAATAAGGATTCATTGATAGATTTTTGTACGTGAATTTTAAATAAAAATAAAAATAAAATTAAAATTAAAAATTAAGAGGGGTTGATACAATTGGGGATGGTGTTGTTTTTTTTTACCTTTCAGATACAGTCAGCGTCTTCTCTATTTTGATCAGCCGTTGACTGTGTATTTGAATAAATAATAAATGTCAAAGCTTATCTTTTGAATGTAATCTTTTTATAAAAAGAAGTATAAAGAAGAAGTAATCTTAGGAGTAGATTTATAGATTTCAAAAGCCACTCGCATAATCAAGAATAAGGCTACAATGGACCCAATAACGCATTTCATTTCATTTCACTTCATTTCATTGCCTTGTTGAATGCTTATAAATATAAATATAGATTTAAATATAATAAAATATAGCCGGTATTATTAGCACATTTTGGCGTCTTTGTTGAATATTTGATGAGCAATATATATACACTTCTTAAGATATGGATAAAAAAGAATTGTACTGCAAGGCAACAAAGAAAATTACTTATCACTAGCCTTTATAAAAGCAACATCTTTTGCCTTTTACTCTTATTCTTGTAGTTGATTTATAGCATCTTTGTCTATGTTTACAAGCCCTGTTTATTATCAATCATCTCCTCACAGTAAGAATAAAACACCCAAACCCACCATTCATTCAATGGACCTTCCTCAACCCTCTGGTTACGAGCATCACCAAGCCCATCATTACCAAAGCCCTAGCCCATCATTTCCTGTCTTGCTCTCCCCACCAATCCTTCAGTCAACCGCAGCTACCACTACTTATGACCGGACTTGTTCAGGATGGCCTACAAAATACCAAATTTCTTTACCACCTCTTTCTCATGTATTGCTCAATACTCAATCAGACAGTCTGGCACCAATCATGTCAACACACTCTCCCTCTCCAATCGAACATAAACTGCCGTTTGTCAGCACAGCTTTAACTGAAGCTGATCGCAAGTCAGGCTCAGGCTCATGCTCAGGAGGTCTCGAACCTCAAACTAGTAGCACTAGTAACACATGCGTTACCTCTTCAAATCGTCACACGATCGCACACACTGCGCAAACATTTTCTTGCATGAGTCTATCTTCAGATCGTCGCCAGGGTTACAAGTCAAAGGCTGAAATTGAGGAAGATGAGCTGCCCAGAGCCAAACGGCCATTGTTGTTTGTAGAGGACGTCAAGCAGCCCGTAATCTCAAAACCTCGATGGCAAGATTCGGAGCGTCTGGTATTACTTGAGGCCATTGTACATGACAAGGCACTTGATGATCTTTCGACATTTAGATGGGATTGGATCTCATTGACAGTCGGCAAAGCCAAACCAGCTTGTAAAGAGCAATGGCTATGTGACGTTTTACCTGCCCTTCTCCAAAAACCTTCATCCTCTTTAGAATAGATACTTGATCACTAGAGATTTTACTTTTTTTATACATGTTGTTGTTGTTGTTGTTATTTTTGATATATATATATATAATAAAAGGGGGAAAAGGAAAAAAAAGGCAATATTGTGCTATGGGATATATATATGTAGATATATGTATATCATTTAGAGAAACTGACGGCGATGGAGGAAACTAATGAGATCATATTTTGTAGCTACACCAAGACACCACTTGCGCTGACTATCGGTAACCACAGCAAAAGAATTCTTTTCAAAGAATTTGGCTAGAATGGAATAAAAACAGTAGATTAATTAATTGTATGTTGAAAAAGTTAATATCAGTTGTTTGAAATTTACCGAGTTCAGCAAGACTTGTATCGGGCGTGATGACCTGGTACTTTGAGAGATTGCCAGATGCCTTGTTGAAGGCATACATGCACGATTCAATGCGGTCATCGAGTTTAACAGTGCCCTGTTCAAGACGTGCCTGGAGAGAGGCAAGTGACACATATCCAACGAGCTTTTTGTTGGCTGGATGGATGACGGGCAGTTGTGAGTATTCGCGTTCAAGCATGAGATCAAGAGCGTTGGCTATGCTGGCTGATGGAGGAATCGTTACTGCGGCAGGCAACTGAAGATCCTCGACACTGGCAGCACGATAGCGATCATGGGAAAGGTATTCCAACTCACGCATGACCACGTCGTCAGCCAGATCATTCTCCAAAAGCCAGTCATCCGACAAAAGTGTAGAGGTGTAGTTGCGAGAGGTGTCGTTGAGAATGACGACAGAACGATAGGTGTGGGTTGTGTGCTGCGTAATACCCGCAGCATGGTTAGTGGCAGCTGCGACCACTGCACCAGAAGATGGACCTAAAAAGAGTATACAATTATTAATAAATATTATTATTGGGAGGGGTGATTTCCTATAAGCTAAAGCCCATAAAAACATCCCACATTCTCTTTACTCACCACACATCACTCCCTGGTCACGGATCAATCGGCGTGCCATTGAATAGGCTTCTTTGTCAGATACTTGGATCCATTCATCCACAACTCTCTTGTTGAGGCTGCTGGGCACAAACGTGCTACCAATATCCTCTACTTTCCAATCCTTCACAATTTTACTTTAGTCACGGGCCAAAATGGTCAATAAGATGATGTTATCTGTAAACTTACTGCGTGATGCCCTTGAGGCTGGTGAGATCCCAATCCCGATCCCACAGGTTCAACACCAAACACCTGATAGAAAAGTAACCAAAATTTTATATATTGTTATTGATCGAGTTTTTTATTATTATTATTCTTGATCTTCTCCAAGGAACCCCACTGGCTTTTTCTTTTCTTTCTTCATTTCTTTTTTTTTATTTACCTTGAGACCAGGAATACGCTGCTTGAGGTAAGAAGCTATGCCACTCATAGCCGCACCAGATTCTACACCCACAAACAAGGCGTCCAAAGACGCAGATGTCTGTTGAAGAATTTCCTCTGCTAGGTTATGGTAAGGCGTCAAGTCAACAATACGAGTTTCATCTACAACCAGAGCATCTTCCCACTGTTCGGCCAGCTTTTTGGCAACCGAGTGCGCACTCTCGGGAGCCTCAGGTCTGACTTCGTTTGGTGACCGAACGATTTCTGCACCCAATGCCTTGAGCAGTAAGATACGATCATTTGAAGTACGTTCGGGCACGACTGAGATAACTTTGTAGCTACGTTTTGCGGCCAAGGTGGCAATAGAAATACCAAGATTGGCACTTGAGGGAACTAAAATGGTTCGTCTCTTGTTTTCGGCTGGAATCCCGTGGCGTTTTTCGTGTTCATCCAAAACGTACTTGGCCAGGCGATCTTTGATGCTACCAGTTGGGTTGGTGAATTCAAGCTTAGCGAGCAACTGGACTATTATTATTATATAGATATTTTGTTAAATAAATAAACAAAATGAAAATAAAATTTAAATAAAGGTTAAAGGCCGTGATGTCATTAAGAAATTAGTTTACCTTTGTTAGTTGTTCCAATGTCAAGCATTGGCGTGAGACCAATGGAATCAGACAGGCTTTTAGTGATGGCTGGTGGTTGACTTGTCATATTTTTATCTACTATTATTATAGTTTATTAATAATAGAGTATTTTATTGTGTAGACGTGTTTATTATTACTTTTATTGCCTTATTTTTTTTCTTTAAAGAAAAATAATAATAATAAAAATAAAGAATTGTATCAAACTTTGTGTGTTCTCTCAATGGCATTCAGGCGCCGACTCTAGGGCACATCTCATCTCAAGTGCCACGACAAAGTGCCTCGTATGCCTCGTGTGCTGCGGAATGTGGCGCATGAGGAGGTTGTCATGGCTCCGCTTCCTATTTTTATACTGTATAAAAGAAAGAACAAAAAAAAAAAGAAATTGTGCCCTTTGGCCGCAGCAGAAAGTTAACTCCACTCATCATGAGGTCAAGTCACATTACATAGGGTCACATGAGGATGTTCCTCTTTACCCCCTCTCTCTCTCCTCCTTTAAAGATCATTTATCATTTTTTTGCTTTTTATTGCTTTCCTTCTCTCTTTCTTTCACTTTACTCAAGTACCGCACAACAAATACACACATACAAAATACAAAGAAATTTTAAATAAAGTAAGTAAAAGACTTTATTTTTTTCTTTACTTCTTAAGAATATAAATAGTTGGCAAGACAATATTGTAGGTTTATCTAACATGATTTCGTAATTAATTAGTTTATCAACCATGCGTTCCAAATTCAAAGACGAGCATCCTTTTGGTAAGTCGCCAAGGGTCTTTTTGGTTATTGGTTCGCTAATACTATAATGAAATACAATAGAGAAGAGAAAGGTAGAAGCCGACCGTATCAGACAAAAATACCCCGACCGTATTCCAGTTATTTGTGAAAAGGTCGAAAAGAGCGATATCCCAACCATCGATAAGAAGAAATACCTCGTACCTTCAGACCTCACCGTGGGCCAGTTTGTATACGTTATCCGAAAGCGCATCAAGCTAAGTCCAGAAAAGGCCATTTTCATTTTCGTAAATGAAATCCTCCCTCCTACCGCAGGTAAAAAATAAATAAAATAAAAGCAAAGAGGTTAGGATAGATAGTAATGGTAGTGATTGTGGTGAAATGCTGGAAAGTGGATAGTTGTGATGGTGTTTAAAATATATACGTGCTATATTGCATTTACATTGTATGCCCATCCATTCTAACTTGTATTTGTCATACTTTTCTGTTGTTGCTTTACAGCTTTGATGAATTCAATTTACGACGAACACAAAGACGAAGATGGCTTCCTTTACATCACTTATTCTGGTGAAAACACTTTTGGGTCTCTTCTGGAGTAGTAGGCGGGTCATTTTTTACATACATCTTTTAAATCTGTCTTTTCTTTTCTTTATTCTCGTTTCGTCTCCAACCCCCTCTATCTCCTTCTCCCTTCTTGTACAAAAAATCTCCCCCTCTTTTTTTTAAAGGAAAAACCCCCATCCAATTCAATTCGATTAAACTCAATGCAATTTAATTCAGTTCAGTTCATTTCAATGATAAAAAGGAAAAAAAAAATCCGTGTGCCAGATAGATAGATGTACAGATAGGTAGATAAATTCATGCAATCAATCATGCGTCAGTCAATATTGTGTATTGTTTTAAAATGTTGTTGTTGTTGTTGTTGTTGCTGTTGTTTTGTTTAATGGTTTATTACAAATAAAGTAATAAAACTATACGACAGACGGCAAGGTTGGTCAAGTAGCAGAAGTAACTGCTTAAAGACCCAACTTGGTGTGGCGCCAGTTGCGACGCTTGGCGTTCCAGCTATTTTTTTTAAAGGAAAAGAAAAGTTTATACAATTAGTAAAAAGAAAAAAAATTAACTAGTCATCTTCCACATTCTAAAACCTCTGGAATCTCTATCTCTATCTCTATCTCTAAAGAAAGCTTACCGGATCTTGGTGTCAGTCTTAAGACGGAACCAGTGGGGGAGAGGGCGGTTCTGCTTCTGGGCCTTGCCAAGCTTGACCTTGGTTCTGAACGACTTGTTAGAAGGCTATGTAAAACATAAAAGGTAGGTAAGGAGAGAGGAAGAGGAAGGAAGCTTGCGTCAGTCGTCTTGTCTTTCAATCGTATTCTGGTATTTTTCGTCGTGTCTGTCTATTAATCATGGACATCCATCTATCCATCTATCTATTCATCTATTCATTCATCCATCCCATCCCATCCTATTCCATTTTATTCCATTCCATCCATCTTTTGGTTTGTGTTCGCTCTTTCTTTACTTACCATGATTGGCTATCTGATCAAGTGAAAGAGGAGGACGCTTTAGGCAGCCTTGTCTCTACCTTGCCTTGGCTTGTCTCCCTCGGATAGCAAGTCACACCATTTTATAATCAATCATTAAACCACTTTGCATTTCAACTCAGGCGTCATTTTTTTTACAAGACAGAAAAATAAATAAAAAAATAATATATATATTATATATAAATTTTAAATTTTAAAAGGACTGATGAAAGAAATAAGATATATAAAAAGATGAAATAGTAATAGTAATAATAATAATAAAAAGGGATATATTTGCGTGTGTATTTTATATATAAAATTAAGACGAGTGGAACATGCAAGAAAAGGAAGGAAATAAAAGAACGGAAGAACAAAGAACAAGGAAGAAAAACAAGAAATACTTTATCGACGCTTCAGTTGATTATCAAGTGTGCGACGCTGTTGACCAAGCCAAGAATTGGGATTTACTTTGGAATTTACAAGTTCCTTTTGAGTACGACGAGTAACATCGTACCAGGCAGAGATGATCAACTGTTGCTCACGACGTGCCTGAAGACGTACTTCATGCATCTGCTTCTTCAGCTTATCAATCTCTTCATCCCGCAGACTCAATTCAGTTCTCAGAGAAGCAACAGCCTCATCGTAATCACCACTATTTTCTCCCAACTTGGTCTCCTTGAGCATCTTATCTTGTTGCTTGATAAACTATTTAATTCACAAATACATACAAGAAAAAAAAATAAGTAGAAAGGCATTAGATGGAGAAAAGAGAAGAGAAAGGTATTTGACAATAATAACAGTAACCATCTTACCTCTTTAGCTTTACGCAATTTGATCTGGATCTCATGTAGCTGTTCTTGGACCTGGGTTGCCTGCTGCTGCAGCTGGGCATTCTGCTGTTTGAGTGGCTCATCATCCTTTGCACCAAAGGCAGCCAATGAAGCCTTCATTTCGCTATTCAGACGCTCTCTCTCCAACAAGAGGTCCTTTTGCTCAATACTCTGGCTCTGTAGCATATCCTTCTCCAACAATAGTTTATTGATGTCCTGCAACTGCTTCTTGGTCTGTTCTTCTAACAGACGGGATCGCTGTTCCATCTCCTGGTACTTGACCTTGAACTCGTCAAAGTCTCCGCCATCAGATAAGTTGAAACGACCATCCACAACTCGGTTCTCCATCTTGGATACTTCGTCACGAATAGATTTCGACTCTTTCTCGAGATCAATGATGTGCAAACGGAGCGATAGGGTATGTTGAGACTGATCCAGCAGAGCATCCGGGATGCCTTCTCGGATACGTGCCATATCGCTCTGAAGAATATCACGCTCCTGAGATACTTCGAGATAATTCTGATATATATATATGTCAGTTTAAACTCTCAAAATCAAACAACAACAACAACAAAAGTTTGTAAACTCAAGTTTTCTTTCTTATATACCTTTTCAAACTGACTCTTCAGACGGTTTGCATCATCCAAAAGATGTTGGAGAACAACAGCTTTTTGGCTGCGACCAGAAGCATTTTCTTCTTGAAGTGTCTTGATTTGTCGTTCAAGACGACGCTTGGAAAGCTTACTATTTTAATATAAGTTTATTAGTATACTTTTAACAAAAAAAAAACATAATTACACACTTACAGCTCTGTGACATTAGATTCTTTGAGAGACTCTTCGAATGAATCTCCTGGGGTATCTTCATAATCTAAATCCATATCATCAGTAGCATCTGCTACCTCACCACCACGTGAGAAAAGTGCACGATCGAGTGTGTTGGCTATATACAAAGCATTTCAGTAATATAGATAAAAACAAAAATAATTAATAAGATATCAACTTGATGATACTGATGATTATGTTGCTTGCATGTTTTCTTTCTTCTTATTATTATTATTATTATAAATACCTCCCAACTGGGCTTCTTCTAGATGTTCTTCTAAAAGCTGGATACGATCAGCATCTCTTTGTCGCTCCAACTCGAATGCTTCAAACTTTTTGCTCTGTTGGTTGATTTCATACTCCATCTTATTTTTCTCTCTCAAAAGCTCGTTGTTCTTAGTCTCGAGCGCAGCCACTTGATCTTTGTAAGAGTCCATCAAGGTCTTAAATGCCAAGACTTTGCGATATTCCTCTTCGATTTGTTGATTGCGGTCCATCAATGAATGGTTTTGGTCATCGAGCGCTTTGATCTGGCGCTTCATGTCTGCACTCTCTTCTAGTTTTTTCTTATATTTCTCGATAACGTTTTCTGCCTTTTGGAGTTTTTCGGTAGCGTGTCTATATTCGTCCAATTGATCCTTCAGGCGTGCAGCCTTTTCTGCTTGTCTTGCAAGATCTTCTCCCTAAAATAAAAATAAAAATAAAAAATCAATATACTCACCCATTTTCTTTAACTTTATATATATATATATTCTTACTCTTCGTGTTAGATCTTCAATTGTGTCGGATTGAGTAGACATCAGCATTTCTAATTCTTGGCGTCTGTCTTCGCTTCTCTGGCTAATTGGAAATTTACAAAAAAAAATTGTTGGTGATCAAGTGCCTTTATCTTGTGAACAAACAAACAAAGATTATACTAAAATTAAAATCAAAATTAAAAATATACTTACAGGTCTCGTTGAAGATGTTCAATTTCTGTTCTCATAATAAAATCTGCTTGGCCAGTCTTGTTGGCCTGAGCTACGGCCTGGTCCATTTCACGCAATCTCTGTTGAAGATCTTCTTTCTCAGACTCCAATGCATCCTAGAATTAAGATCCAATATCAGTAAAAAATTCGTGTTGTGAGTGTGTGTGTGTGTGATTGGAATAAGATAATCAGGCAAGTAAAATGAGATGTTTGTTCTTTACATAGCGGTATCGAATCTGGGCCAATTCCACAATCAACTGTTTGTGGGCACTTTCGAGTTCTTCTTTTTCAAATATTATTCTAGAAAGTTCATTTTGACTCTGGTAATGGCTGTCACTGTTAAGAGAAGTTAGAAATAAACGAACAAGAAACTATGGACACACACATACACCAACCAACCCGCACTCAGAGAGACAGGCAAGTTGGTTGGTTGGTTATGTTGGGGAAAGGGGTATTTTTTTTTGTCTTACTCTGCATAGGAACTCCGAGGGGTGTTGTGGCTAGCCATGGATTGGTGATGTTCATGTCCTCCACCTCCTCCACCTCCATCGCTTTCCATTCTGTGCATAATCTGGGCACCGTGGAAATAACAAAAAAATATATGTAATTTGGATAAACATCAGCAACAATAACAATAACTATATTTTTTTTCTTGAAAGAAAGGAAATCTTGCCTTTCTTACTTCGTGAATGTTGAGCATTAATGCATGCTGCTTCTCTTCAGACAATTCCTGGATTTTTTCAATGTAAATCTGATTTCGGCTACAGTGGACGGCTACATAGAGCACAAGTTTGCACAATTTGTGAAGCTCTCGGAAATTAGCGTCCTTGGCAATCTTTGTGAGGTCAACTGCCGGAAGTTTTTTGTGGTCTTCTCCAAGCACTTCGGTGATATATCTTGAAAGAAGTTTGTCTAATTTCTTAAGGTTGTTGACTTTGAGAACCCAGTTATCTCCCACATCGGTTGACCGTATGAGTTTGAACCAGGTCGAATCTCTAGAGTAGCAAAGCCAAATAAATAAATAAATAAATAAACAAATAAATAAATAAAATATTATTACTAGTATTAATAGTAATAGTAATAATGCCAGCAAATCTTACATGTCAGCCAATACTTCAAAAAGTGTGATTCCGCTGGATAGATCTGTAATATGTTTACAATGGTGTGAAATGTTGAATGAATTGATCTAAAACAAAAGAAAGAAGAGACATCTTGTATTAGGCTTTTGTAGGAATCCGGAAAAAGTATTGCCAACGTATGCATACCCATTCTACCAGTACTTCTGCCTGGGTTTCTTCTTCCCTTGTCCGGCTCATCCTGCTAGTGTCTGTGCTCTAATTAAGAGAGCTTGATGTGGAATGATATAAATGTACATAAAAGAGTATGATTAAATACATGAAGGCGATGACGGCTATTTTAAATCTTCTGGCTAGTTATTTACCAGAGCTTGTTGTCGTAGAGAGAAAAAAGAGAGAGAAAGAGTAAGAAAGAAAGATAGATTGAATACTGAAGCAACACTATATTTAATAAAGTATGTAACACAGTGAAGAAAGGAAAGTATGTCTATTTTCGATTAAAGAAAAAGAAGAAGAAGAAAAAAAAGAATCAACAAAAAAAAATCAAAAAAAAATCAAGGCACCAAAATACACTGTGTATCGAAGGGATGAAAGTCTGAAAGGCGGATGAGTAACGGTCACCCATCTGCGCTCAGAGAATACTCCCGTTTATGGTAATCGTCCATGCAGTGACGCGAATTCACGCTATATAAATCCCCAAGGCTAATACAAAGTCAGGCATGCATGAACTTCATTGGTTTTAATTCAGGAATTTGCGTTAGCTGAAAATAAATTCTGCGTTGGTAGCATACTTTTCTGCGTGTGCTTTGAATTCGAATTTAAACTCATCACTTTGAGAAAGTAACAAAGTCGATCCAAAACAAGATATTGCTGTCAACATATGTAATAGATCATATTAAAAAGGCATCACTACATATAAATAAATGTTTTTACTGTATATGTATCTATGTATGTAGGTATGTAAGTATGTAAGCTTGTATAACTATTTAATTGATACATGTAACTAAGCATTCATTAAATGTAATAAGTTAAAAAAAATACCTGTAATTAACTTTGAAATATATATTTTTATTAGTATTAATACTATCACTATTACCATTAATTAATTAAGCAATTGACTCGCTGAAAGAATCGAACATTAATATAATCATTCTTTCTCAAAATGTTTATTTCATTTGGATAATTATAGCCGTTTAATATTTTTGAAGAAAGTGTCTCCTGTTTTACGAATTTGATCTTTATATATTTGAGGTCCATTCCTATTTTTCGTCAGGTATGCAAACGTTAAGTATCTCTTTATTATACAGACCTCCTTTGTAGTTTTGCATACGACATCCTTTTGTCTTCTTCTCTTGTATCAATACATAGCTTTTTTATGTCTTATAAAAATGCTCAATGGCGGCAATACTCAAATAACTTGATCTTCAAATGGTCCCTTTGTCAATTGACGTGAGCTCCTTTGTGACAGCTATTATGATCTTCTTGCACCAAGATCAGATTACTAGTACTCTTAAGATTTATTTCATATATCAAGGGATGAAACTTTTAAAAAAAAATAAACTTTATTGATTTTGTCCAGACAGGCTTTAATACCTAATTAATCGGGTCATCTATTTCTAAGCATAAACATATATATGTATGCACTAATCTTTAATATAATTCACTCCTTTTTTATACACTGTGTATGCTATTTTCATTTTCTGTACATGACGGAATGTAAGGGTTACAAGTAGTATATTCACATCTTGTATAACAATTGAGAACCATTCTATAAATCTTTATTCAAAAAAAAAAGTTCTGTGCTTTTGACTGTGTTATACCCCCTCTATTCTTAATTTGAGAATAATAATAATTAAGCATAGTCTGTAGGGCTTATATTCTCTTACATAGCGATATGTGTATCTGTGGAAGGGAAGAGGGGGCTTAAGTATAAATAGCGCAATTTGGGATATATATTTCGTGTGCACTTATTTGAGTTCAGGATTTTAAAAGAAGAAAATGATCGGAAGGTCATGGCCAGTGATTACAAGCCCGTTGTGCGAGCTACTCTGCATAAGCAAGACGGTGTACATTTTAAGATTAGAATGGACTTTATTATTTCGTCAATGACAAATCGTTAGACACAAGAAAGGTTAAATGTTTATATATATAAAAAAGGCCCGGTTATAATAATCTAATTTATATTTATATATAAAAAGATGTACTTCATGATATGTTTAACAATGTCAAGGCTAACATTGCGACTCCTGTTTTTAATTAACAACTCATATTTTCTATGTTTTTTGTTTTTCTGTTTCTTTTTTTGTTAATATAATCAATTGTCTATACTCTTTCAAAATAAACTAACCAAGATATCAATTGTGCGTATGTGTGGTTTTGTTACCATGCTCGTAGTACTGATATGTCTGGGAAAAATGAGCCCGGTGTACCGGAAGAGTTTTTTAAGTATAAAGTCAAAGCTGACTTACCGAAGCATCGGTGGTTGATAGATATGGTTACAGAGCGTCATGTATTGAGCGGGCATTTCTTCTGTTATCTATAGTAAGCACCATGGCTTTGTAACCGAGACTTTTGAAAAGCGGCATTTATATTCAATTAAGAAATATTTCAGCTTATTCCTTCTTCTTCTTCTACTTTTCACTTTTTAATTTATTCTTTTTTATATTTATTTATAATATATATATATATATTCTGATACCATGTCTCAAGGCTATTCTTCTTTGCCTAGAGGTGGGGATCTTGAAGATCCTTCTGGTTCAGCAGGCAACAATGATTCATGGATTAATCGCGCGAGCCAGTGGTGGAAAGAACACTGGGGATCATCTGAAACAGAAAATGCACCTCTCTTGAACAAAGGAAAAGGTTCTCTTGAACCTCCTAAAACCAACAACTTCAAGAACATAGTCACAATTGTTGGTGCTGTCATTGCTTTTATCATCATCGGTGGAATCTACGTTATGCTGGTACCCGATAGCGAAAAACGTGAGTGGGATAGCTTTAAATACCAATGATAACGGATAAACTCCTCTCCTTTCTTCTTTCTTTGGGCTACTTTCCTACCTAGGAAAACACCAATGACAAAAAAAAAGTTGCACAAAGTGACTTACTAGTTTCTTTTTATTTTTATTTTCAAGCTTTGCCTTCTAAGAGAACTCCGACAATGGCCGAAGATTTCCTTGTCAAAGAGGCATCTGGCGACAGCGTCCATGAGTATCTCAAAGTCTACACATCAGTATCCCATTTGGCAGGCACAGAAAACGACAAAAATCAGGCAGAATGGACACGGGATCAATTCCTTTCTTTTGGAATCGATTCCAAGATCGAGACTTACTGGCCAATGCTTAACTATCCCGTACAACGTCGATTGGCCATCATTTCTGGACCTGAAGAGTTCCTTTATGAAGCTTCATTAGCTGAAGATATTGTTGAGGAAGATGAGACCAGCAAGAATCCTGAAAATGTTCCTACTTTCCACGGTAAATAAGAACCACATAAACTTTATTCCCTTAAAAGATATGGTGTCTCATATTGATTATTCTTCTCTTTCTTTTTTTTTTTGGTTAGGTTACTCAAAGAATGGCAGTGTCACTGGCCCAGTCGTTTATGCCAACTATGGACGTCTTGAGGATTTTGAGTACTTGGTATCTCAAGGCATTGAACTCGAGGGAACCATTGCATTGATGCGTTATGGAGGTTCATTCCGTGGTCTCAAGGTCAAGGCTGCAGAAAATTATGGTTGCATCGGTGCATTGGTTTTCTCTGATCCTATCGATGATGGACCACTTGACAAAGAAAAATTCCCCCACACAAACCCTGCGGAGTCTTACCCCGAAGGTCCATGGTAAGCAATATACAAAGAAGACAAAAACAGTTCATCAGCCTCATTAAGCTCCCCCCTTTTTTTAATTTTATTTTTCTAGGAGATCACCTAGCTCTGCTCAGCGTGGCTCTGTTCTTTACCTCTCCTTGGCTTCAGGTGATCCCTTGACCCCAGGTTATGCTGCCACAGAAAACGCCACTCGTATTAATCCCGAAGACTCTCCCGCACTTGCCAAAATTCCATCTCTTCCTCTCTCGTGGCGCGATGCTCTGCCTCTGCTAAAGGCTACTCAAAATCGCGGTGTCGTTGGCGAAACTGACTGGACCGGAGGTCTTAACGAAGTCGGTTATTTCAGTGGTCCCACCGAAGGTCTTGTCAATTTGGTCAACATTGTGGACAACAAGATCACTCCAATTTGGGATGTCATTAGCCGTATTGAAGGTTCTGAAGAACCAGACCGCGCCATTATTCTTGGTAAGTACACCTAATTTAGATAAACACCAAAATAGCGTAAAAAAATAAAATAGAAAATCTGACACCTTATTATGTAATTTATTACTTTAGGAAACCATCGTGATGCCTGGGTTTATGGCGCCGTTGATCCTTCCTCAGGATCTGCTTCTATGGTAAATAATACAATTGTATAAAAGCTCTCTAGTTTATTCGCGCTCATCTAATGAAATCGGCTAAATAATAATAATTATGTAGCTTGAGCTTGGTCGTATCTTTGGCAAGCTTCTTAAGACTGGATGGCGTCCAAGAAGAACCATTATCTTTGCTTCATGGGATGCCGAAGAATATGCTTTGGTCGGATCTACTGAATGGGTTGAAGATAACCGCAAATGGTTGGTTGAGCAAGCCGCCGTCTACATCAATGTCGATGTTGGCGTGAGTGGTCCTCATTTCAACACCCAGGCTTCTCCTTCTCTCAGCAATTTGCTCTATGATGTCACCAAGACACTCACTGATCCTAGAACTGGCGACTCTATCTACGACACTTGGGGAGCTATGACCAACATGACCCGCGGCGAGTCTGCAAAGCCATACGTCGGTCCCCTTGGTTCAGGATCCGACTTTGTTGCTTTCCTCGACCATCTTGGTATTGCCAGCATTGACATGGGCTTTGGTGGTGACTATGGTGTGTACCACAGCAATTACGACAGTATTCACTGGATGGAGAAGTTTGGTGACCCCACATTCAAGTACCACGAGTCAATTGTCAAGGTCTGGGGTTTAACCGCCCTCCGTCTCGCCGAAGATCATATCCTTCCAATCCGTCCTTTCGATTATGCAGTTGATCTCGAGAAATCAGTCGAAACTCTGCACGAATATGCTTATCCCCATGTATTCTTTGAGCTTGAGGAAGCTGTGCAACAGTTGACCAAAACTTCTTTGAAGTTCAACACCAAAATTGAAGAGGTCGAAGCCAAGCTTTCAGAGTACTCTGAAAAGTCCAACGCCAAGCTTCCTTCGTCCTTAACCAAACAAATCGCAATCGCCAATAAGCGCCTCACAAACTTTGAGCGTGGTTTCATTGACCCCGAAGGTATCAAGGGCCGTGAGTGGTTTAAGCATGTTATCTATGCTCCAGGACTCTGGACTGGTTACTCTTCCCAGGTATTCCCAGCCATTGCTGACGGTCTCGATGCAAAAAATATTTCCCAGGCTAGACATGCTGAAGAAAGAGCAGCTATTGCTATTCAACAGGCAGCAGAATACCTTAAAGCATAATATAATACAATATATTATACTTACCCAAAGTTAAATTGTACGAATCGGACGAAATCGAATTTCGTTACTCACAAAACCATGCTTTATATTTAAAAACGAAATGTCTTCATGTATACTTTAATTTAAGACTTTATTACTATGCAAAAACAAATATTGATTTATATATAGTATGTGTGTGTATATTGTTTTTATTTAGAATAAAGAAATACAAAATATTAATAATAGGACGTCTTAATATTTAAATCTACCGTCTAATATTTATAACAATGTTCGATCTATGGCGCATTTTTCAGTGAATATTATCGAAAATATAGTGGTTTTTAGACAAGCTGAACTGAAACACTCTTTAATATCCCTTTTATTCAATAGTTCAAATATAATAAGATACACAAGAGTTTTTTCTATCAATCTAGGCCAATGACTCGTCTTTTCTTAAAAGAAGATATCATTCTCAATCTCTTTAAAGGTTAAGTGTTTTTTTCTGGTCGCAGCTGATGCACTTCGATAGTATTGATGTTGTAAAAGCACCGTTTTTTGAACACTTGCACATACACAAAAAAGAAACTGAAATACAAAGTAACTATGGCAACGAACTAGCTATAATGGCCGGCATGTATCAAAATTCCACTCCACTTCATGTAATTCAAGCTGCAAATGTACCTATGTTATTATATCTATGTCTTGCTTACTCGATAAACTTTATGTATGTCAACTTATCTTTAAGGATTGTAATATAACAACCGCCTCTACATTTTTGGTAGACTACTCTTATACAGAATATTGAAGGATAAATTTTGTAATGTAACAATACTTGTTCACTCTTTTTATTTGAATTCAAATTATTTTTGCACTGTAAATATAATTGCCCATGTGTATATAGAATAACGAATGGAGGGTGACAAGAATTAATTGATAACCAAAGTACAAAATCGTTTGTAGATAATGATACCTGTTTCATATTATGTCCATATTAAACATCTTGTGCACAGTCTGTGTAAATACAGAGGACATTCACTTGCGTATTCAGTCCACTGCACCTTTTCTGTCTCTCTTTCAAACGTATATTTCTTTATTTCTTCTCATCTCTCATTTCTCCATTTTTTCATATTTTTCCTTTCTCCCATTCCAATGCATCTTCTTTACAATGTTCATCCGGATTAGTTAAATTCAACTAAACATTTTGCGCCATCGGCATTTTCAACAATCACTCTGAATTTTCTTTATAGACTTTATAGACATAAACAGCCTGCACAATTAAACGCAGTGATCAACATAATTACAAAATCATACATGTTATATCTTTATTTTATTATATTTATTTTCATATTCATTCAATTATATTAATTCTTTCTTATAAATGAGCCCTCCTAATTACAACATTGAACTCTTCAAGCAAACAAAAAATAATTAAAAGCGCGTTTTTTTTATTGGAGAAGATACTAGTTAAAAAAGACTTTATTTATTTATTTAAAGATATACATAAAAAAAAACTATTCTATTTGATTTATTTTCACTTAATGTTCTTTTACATGAGTAAAAGAATAAAAAGCATGACACCAAGTTCTTTGTCCCCGCATTACGCGGCTCAATCTCCTTCAGGACGTAAACCTGACTTGGTAGCGAAGGAGGTGCTGGAATGGTGGCAAACCAACGGAAAGCACCCGTTCATCCAGCCCCACATCTCGTCACCGAGTAATGTGGGTGCGAACTCGCCAGAGAACTTACCACTAGGTGATAAGGTCCAGCTCATTCGACTACCAGTAGCTTCACCGTCAGCCGTTAAAGAGTTCAGTCAGGTTAGCAGTGAAGAGCCAGCACATCTCACCACAGGTTAGACCTCCCTCCCCCCAGCATCATGATTCCACATTGGCGATGCGATGTACACAGTAGTCCTTCCAAAAATGAAAAGAGACCATGCCCCACGACTTCTCAGAATTAACTGAGCTGGCGAGTAACAACTTTCACTTTCCGATGCTTGTAGCATGGAAGAATCTCCCTGCAACGGTCGCAAGAGACGCCTCACTATGAAACCGGGACTGTTGTTGCTCAAGGAGAAAACAAACGACGCGCGTTGGAGGAGGTCTATATGTAACAGAAAATTTTTCGTCTGCGATTAAAGTTTAGGACTGCGCTTTTTGTCAGTCTTAGGTGTCCACGTCAGAGCAAACGTGACATAGCTATATATTCTTTTTACTGGGTTTGTGTAACTGTTCTACGGCAGAAGAGACAGCTAATAATATTCACTCAGAGTACTTATGAAGTCAACTTTGTAAGGTGAAGTAAAGTAAAGTAAAGAAGCAAAGAAGTAAAAGAGTAATGAAGAGTTTGGTTTCGATCGGTGTAGTAATAACTCTTAAAGTGGAGTACAAGTTTCTATAACAGTGATTCGCAGGTTACTCTAAAGTGGTCTGTGCGCTTCTTGTTCAAGGACACAAGAAAATGTTTTTTATTTTGTTTGTGCAAATAAACACAAAAGGGACCCACCATCTGCTAGAAAATTAACTCACATATATCTCAAAGTAATATTAAGCAGTAAGGAAAGTGCAGAAAAAAAAAGAAAGCAAAAGCTATATATATAGTTGCTATTTTCGATTGGAAAAGAAATGAGATACTAGAGACCCTGCTAATGGTTTGACCAGAAAATAGTCTAGATATATTTTTAGCTTAGTCAAGATCAATTTCAATTTGGTTATGAGGATTATTGAGTAGTTGACAAAGGCAATGCCGATTCTACAACAATAAAGATTCGATGCTTCATTGCGATATACAATTAAGACTTTATTGGTAATTCGATCTAGGAAGAAAGGAAGAAATTACCCCAGTAGAATCTATACTTTACAAAGAAAAATACTATAGGATAATGATATTATTTTTAAGGCCAAAATATATTACTAGATATTAATATTTCTATTTCTCTTTAAGCTTGCTCCTTTAGTTTTGCTTTTAATACCTTGATGCTTTAATACTTAAATATTTTAGAATTTAGAATGCGAATATTAAAATGCTTTTTAAAGCAAAATAACTTGACTTGCACTTTATACCAATTTTTACCTGATCTCAATAGTTTAGACTGTAAAGAAAAAAAGAAGCCCTCGTATAAGTTTTGCAAAATATTTGAAGCATTAGCCCAAATACACCAGGATTAATCCCATAAATTTCGAGAAAATATAGGTGCTTATATATTGAGGCTTTTAATATTTTAACCAAACCGATCATAATATTGACAAACACTTTATTGTGAACTAAAACTTTCTTTTCCACTTTGCTCATGCAACCTTGCCTTTTGTAAAAAGGCAACCTTGATCGCTCTTTTTTGTATTACAGATTAATTTCACGACCCGGTATTTAAATATGAGATAGAGAGGTATAGCTAGCTCTCGATAGAACATTCTACCTGGAAATAGTATGGGTTATATTCTACAAATCTAAAATATATGCTGGTATATTGTTCTAGTCCTTTATTCCACTAATAATTCTGTTGTTGTCGCGGTTACGTAAAATGAGAAGACGGTATTGGCTACACAACAGAAGTACAAGACCGCAGAATCTCTTTTTATACGTTTTAAGCTCGTCTTTAATAGGCCCTTAAACTTGCTGGTACCTGAGTACTACTTTTAAATTTCCCTTTTGGGTTCTTCTTTACTGACAGAAAGCTTCAATACTTTATTGTTCTTCTTCATGCACAAAGCCTGCTTCTCAAAGAATTAACACATAAAATTACTCTATAGATGATAAGCCACATAGATAAATCAATCTAATAGATGGAATTATTCTATTGGACGATCAGTGTTTACGTCATATCTCGCATATTCACTCATACACGTATAGAAAAATGGCTCTTCAGTGTGGGGGTAAGTAAACCCGCCTTTCTCATAAACACAACACAGAGAAATGTTCATGTAAGTAACAGAATTTTTAAAGAAAGTATACCTTACACATGTGGTGCTAATTATGATGAATTTATTTATGTAATTTGTAGTAATGTTACTTTGACATTTACCTAAATGCATTTTCCCAAGAAGTGAATGTAAGTAATCACAAAATAAAATAGAAAATACCCTTATTTCATTGAAACTCTTACTAACAATGCGTAGTTAATAGTAACGAAAAAGTCTGACCCGAAAGGGTCAGCCTTGACATCAGCTTGTCAAGAAAGCCTCTAGTGACGTCGTTGCGGTGAAAACCAAAGCGGCCAACCAAACCACGCCCAGTTAATGGCTCTGGGAACGGCTAACAAGAAACACCGGTCTACTCTGGTCTCCTCTATTCTGACATCTGGTACAACGTGGTCAATCCGTCATAGAGAGGTGTAGCATAGGTGGGAGCCACCGGGCGCCAATGAAATACCACCACTCTCTATGACAAGCCAAACGGACTGAGGGCGAGCCCCCTATACTCTCCTCCCCGTTGATGTCAGATGTTGAGGTTCAAAGACGATCAGATAGACTGGTTTTTTATGGGTTGACAGCCGAACGTTCTAGCGACGCAGTTGACCTATAATAAAACCAACTCAACCCGTGCGATAGGCATCCATGTGTCTGGGGTATGACTGATTTAACAAGTTGGGACGCCTATTTAGCCCAAGTAGAAGAGTCAGTATAGAGTTTGGTCCGACTGTCATGATGTACTAGTCTACTTCTTGCTAGCTGGTACCCGATATTGTAACAGCAAATAGAGTTTTTTTTCGCAAGATAAATTACTTTATTCAAGCCTCCACTCTCTTGTGATCGGTGTTCTGATCCTGTTTTCGCGAAGATGTGCTTGTTCAATGAGTTTTTGACTGAACGCCTTTAAGTCATCACTCTGTGCTGGAAACAATGTTACTCGTTCTCCGTACAGCTTTGTACTTGACACCATATATTGTTTTTCGCTTATTACTGTCTAGGCAGTCGTAAGCAAAGACACCCTGATAATGCCAATTCTAGAACGGTAAAATCTCGTTCATCCCAAACGAAAAAGGCGGGGTCTCCAAACTTTATACGGTCTTTGTTGCCTAAAAAAGTGAAGTTCGCCCTTGTCTTTCGATTTCTTCCCCCCGTCTCGGTCTATAGTTAACTTTTTAGTTGGCTTGACAGGTGTTTTTCCAACCTTGGTTGGAAGAGCGTGAGTTCGAATCTCACAGAGACGTATTACTAGCAGCAAGCTAGTTACAACTTCGTATATATTATAATTACTAGAGCACAAGCTAGTCATAAAGAGTATTTCAATATAGTAAAAATATCATTTAATTGTAAAAAGATATTTAATGGACTGCTTACTGCTTGTCCTTGACCAAAAAAGTTACAAAAAACCCTAACATATCGGCGTCCTCATGGCAAGTATTTCTAATATGTACGAGTTCAAAATCCCGTCTGCTGACCATCCTCACCTCAGTACAAACTATCTTGCGGGAATTACTTAAACAAAAACAAATTGGAAAGTCTTTTATAATAGGCATTGAATCATTTCTGACTCTCTATCTAGCGTCAAGGTGTAAACACACATCGATTTATAACATCATTGCTGTTGATGTCCCACTCAAATAAGTTAATGATATTACTATGTTAGCTGTTCAGAAAATTTGCAAGCTCACTGAGGTATTCGGGACTGTTTATGGATTAGTATATCAATAATGAGAAAAGTAGATATTGTGAGAGTGTTATTTATTAAAGAGACCAAATAATATTGCTTATATATGTTACTATTAAAATCCCTATAATTCAAATCCCTGTTGTGTAATAACTGGTTTACACTGTATGAGTGCGTAGTGTACGTGTTTCTGATGTGTAACAGTTATGGAGATTGTTAACTTGCTAGATTCATTAGCAAGCAGAAAACAGTGTTTGGTTCTGGAGTCTGTTCTTCACTCAATTGTGATGTGTGTACCACAGCTACCAGCATACTAGCCTTTCTATACTATTATCTTATTTATTAATATTCATAAAAAGAAAAATAATATATATATATATAATACAATATATAGTTTCTCTTTATTAATATCAACAAGCTTACTAGATATTTATTGACTATAATATATTGATAATAATAAAAATCCAAATCAAAAGAATTTTTAATTAACAATTTATTAGTTGACTATATCGAGGAATACATATATAGAGAGAAAAAAGTCAAATTCTTAGTTAACCACTTTGTAAATAATAATAACAGTAACAAAAGCGGATCCATCCCCCTCAGGACGAAGACCTGATTTGACAGCGAGGAGGAAAAAGGAGTTGGTTGCTCTCTTTCTAAGAAAGAGTGGCAAGGAAAGTAGAGGCGAGGTCAAGCAGCGCTGCACGCCAGCATACACCATTCCAAGCTAACGGATGTTTTCAGAACTAAATTTTCCGCACCACATTGCGCATAACCACAACCAACTCGTCTGGACACTTGCGCAGGAAACTGCCAGTGTGATACGCCAATAAAGACCGTAAAACACAGTACAAGAGATAATTCGTGCATTTTCTCTTGCAGGTCCAGAATAAAGAAACGTAAGCTCGCCTGAGAACGAAACGCCCAGAGAGTCGACACTAGTAAAGTAAGTATATCTTGTACTAATATTTTTGGCGGAACAATACTTACCAAAATTTCTTGCGACCAGAACGTATACTTTGCAGAGAGAATGTCAAATTCTTAGTTCACCACTTTGTTAAAAATAATAATAACAAAAATGGATCCATCCCCCCCAGGACGAAGACCTGATTTGACAGCGAAGGGGAAAAAATGAGTTGGTTGCTCTCTTTTGAAAAAAGAGTGGAGTGGAAAACAGAGGCGAGGTCAAGCAGCGCTGCACGTCAGCATGCACCATTCCAAGCCAACGGATGTTTTCTAGATCAACGGTTTCCACACCGCATCGTGCACACCCACAACCAGCTCGTCTGGACACTTGCGCAGAAAACTGCCAGTGAAATACGACAATAACGACCGTAAAACACAGTACAAGAAATCATTCGTGCATTCTCTCTTGTAGGTCCAGAATAAAGAAAGCTTATCCTATCTGAGAACTAAACGCCCAGACAAGATATTCAAAGTAGAGTCAGTACATATGTTATGATTTTGAACGTGTGCTATGTGTAAAATAATATGCTTATCCTGCTGCTAGTACTATGAGGTTAGCAACTTTTGTACCAGATAAACAGAAATAGCTGTGAAGAAAAATATACTACTCATAAACCGCAAAAACTGTGCTAGAATCTTGTTTAGCTAGAGTTTGTTGATAATGTATATGTGTAAAGCAATAGAAAAAGATCATGGATTAGAGTCGATGTAAATGAAGAAAGATCTGCAAAAAAAAGAGAGAAACTTATCAAATAGTGTCGGGCCAAACAACCGTGTTATAGAGAGAGCATGTCAAATTCTTAGTTCACCACTTCGCCAGAAATAACAATAGTGGATCCATCCCCCTCAGGACGAAGACCTGATTTGACAGCGAGGGGGGAAAAGGAGTTGGCTGCTCTCTTTCTAAGAAAGAGTGGTATGGAAAGCAGAGGCGAGGTCAAGCAGCGCTGCACGTCAGCATACACCATTCCAAGCTAACAGATGTTTTCAGAACAACATTTTTCGCACCACATTGCGCATAACCACAACCAACTCGTCTGGACACTTGCGCAGGAAACTGCCAATGAGATACGACAATAAAGACCGTAAAACACAGTACAAGAGATAATTCGTGCGTTCTCTCTTGCAGGTCCAGAATATAGAAACATAAGCTCACCTGGGAACGAAACGCCCAGAGAGTCGACACTAGTAAAGTAAGTATATCTTGTACTAATATTTTTGGCGGAACAATACTTACCGAAATTTCTTGCGACCAGAACGTATACCTTGCAGAGAGAATGTCAAATTCTTAGTTCACCACTTTGTCAAAAAAAAATAACAAGAGTAGATCCATCCCCCTCAGGACGAAGACCTGATTTGACAGCGAAGGGGAAAAAATGAGTTGGTTGCTCTCTTTTTTCAAAAGAGTGGAGTGGAAAACAGAGGCGAGGTCAAGCAGCGCTGCACGTCAGCATGCACCATTCCAAGCCAACGGATGTTTTCTATATCAACGGTTTCCACACCGCATCGCACACACCCACAACCAACTCGTCTGGACACTTGCGCAGGAAACTGCCAGTGAAATACGACAATAAAGACCGTAAAACACAGTACAAGAGACCATTCGTGCATTCTCTCTTGCAGGTCCAGAATAAAGAAACATAAGCTCGCCTGGGAACGAAACGCCCAGAGAGTCGACACTAGTAAAGTAAGTATATTTTGCTCTTATATTCTTTACGGAACAATACTTACCGGAAATTTTTGTGACTAAGACGGATACTTTGGAGAAAGAAAAAAAGAAAAGAAAGCAAATACATAGAGCAAGGTATACATATAAAGGGTATATACAAAGAGGAGTATAGATATAGATATAGATAAAGCTATAGATAAAAGTATATAGAGTCGGAAATAAAGATAAATAGAGTAAAGTCTGTTGAAAAATAACACTATCACAATAAAGGAATCTTTTAATGATAAAGAAGCCGTATATACAAATGAAAAGAAAAAAGTTCTTACCAAAATGCCCTTATGCCAAAGAGTTATGTTCAATCGGCCAAAAAAAAAACTATATGAGAGAGATGCTTTAAAGAAATAAAGGGATATATTATAGTATGGCTCAAAGATGAAGAGATATATAGACATATAGATGTAAAAGTTCTCCAAGGATTAGACGATATATCAATGGAAAGATAATTCAAAGGTAAAGAGATATGTAAGCATATAGATCGAGAGGTTCTCCAAGGATTAGGCGATATATCGACGGAAAGATAGTTCAAAGATAAAAGAGAGAGAGAGAGATAGAGAGATTTTGCTTGACCAAGCTTCTGCTAGTCTTTATATAGACAATTATTTGATTTTTTTTTAAAAAAAAAGAGGGAAAACATGGTCACTATATCGCAGTTTTTTGGAGTTATGAATGCAAATGCAGATCATCTCTTAAAATGCTATATAATACAACAGAGTAATAAGTTACCTAGTACTCTTTTGAATATTCTTGAAAATAATTATTACAAAACCTATGTAGATAGAGAGTATCAACTTATCACTCTTCAAAAAAAATATAAATGCCTCGATATTACTCTTACAAGGAATACACTAGAGTATATTGTACTGTATTCCAAAGAATAAAAGATATATTTGTAGCATTCTTACTATCAATAAGATAGCTAGGTAACATTTTACACACAGCGACTGATCCACATAGTAATTATAAGAGCTTTTTTTTTAAAAAAAAAAAGAGAGAGAGAAAGGAATCTACAGCATTAATAATTGATGTACACCGCTGAGATTTTAATTGCAATATACTACATTTGCATATCAATATTCCATCATATAATTATTATTTATATGGAGAATATTACTCGTCAAAGAAGTGCTCTGTAAAAAAAAAACACCCGCCTTCTCTATGAAAGCTTACACTTTATTAAAAAAAAACCAAGATCTTTCACAACATAATTTTTATTTTATATAAAAAACTTTCGAGTAATAATCTTTTTACTTAGATATGTTATGCCAATTAGTTGTGTTTTTGGTCAATGAGATAGTGGATCTTTTATTTCATTTTTGATCGAAGGCAGGTATAAGCAAAAATGTTATGCTGTATACTCTGGAAATAAGTGATATATTTTGTACCCTAATAATATATATATATATATAATTTTCTTGATCTATACTCACAATAAAAAACACTTTTGTACCAAATAAAGTCTTATCAAAACCTCTACCAACTTTTAAGAATAATAATACAACTTGTAATAAATGATAGCATGGGAGATATACTTTTATTAACAATTCTCTGTAAATAACATTCAAAAGTTGATTATTATAAGTACAAAAACATCATGTAAGCGTACTTGACAGGCTTTAGTGATATAATTCTATCTAATGTAAAAATTAGTATTAGGCGTTTGCATTAAATGTTTAAATAATTTAACTGCTAGTATTTATAAGTCATTTTTCTTCAATTAGATTATCTAGATTTTTCATGTTTTGTTTTATTATCAGAGAAAAAATGCTTTCTTTTGATACAAGTGTAGTAGCAAGAGGGACACTCATTGATAAAAAACAAGTTTCCTTCCAAAATTTATCAATAAGACATTATATTTATTTATTAACCGCATACAAATAATATCAGTTAATTGTAGAGTATGTATCCCATTATTTTTGTATACAAATGCCTTCGATCAAAAATAAAATAAAAGATCCACTATCTCATTGACCAAAAACACAACTAATTGGCATAACATATCTAAGTAAAAAGATTATTACTCGAAAGTTTTTTATATAAAATAAAAATTATGTTGTGAAAGATCTTGGTTTTTTTTTAATAAAGTGTAAGCTTTCATAGAGAAGGCGGGTGTTTTTTTTTTACAGAGCACTTCTTTGACGAGTAATATTCTCCATATAAATAATAATTATATGATGGAATATTGATATGCAAATGTAGTATATTGCAATTAAAATCTCAGCGGTGTACATCAATTATTAATGCTGTAGATTCCTTTCTCTCTCTCTTTTTTTTTTTAAAAAAAAAGCTCTTATAATTACTATGTGGATCAGTCGCTGTGTGTAAAATGTTACCTAGCTATCTTATTGATAGTAAGAATGCTACAAATATATCTTTTATTCTTTGGAATACAGTACAATATACTCTAGTGTATTCCTTGTAAGAGTAATATCGAGGCATTTATATTTTTTTTGAAGAGTGATAAGTTGATACTCTCTATCTACATAGGTTTTGTAATAATTATTTTCAAGAATATTCAAAAGAGTACTAGGTAACTTATTACTCTGTTGTATTATATAGCATTTTAAGAGATGATCTGCATTTGCATTCATAACTCCAAAAAACTGCGATATAGTGACCATGTTTTCCCTCTTTTTTTTTAAAAAAAAATCAAATAATTGTCTATATAAAGACTAGCAGAAGCTTGGTCAAGCAAAATCTCTCTATCTCTCTCTCTCTCTTTTATCTTTG